TAAGATTTACGTAATTTATAAAAATTATAAAACCTACGGGAATTACGTAAATTATAAAAACTTCGTAAATTACGAAAATTATATAAATTATAAAAACTACGTAAGTTACGAAAATTACGTAAATTATAAAAATTACGTGAATTATAAAAGCTATATAAATTATAATTAAAAAAACGAAAACAATTATTAAAAAATAAAAATATATATAAATTAAAACTTTAAATAAAAAGATTTTTTAATTATTAATAAAAAAAAAAAACGGTAAAAGTTTTTAAAAATTAAAAATATAAAATCCTTTTTAAGAAATTAAAACTTTTATTTTCTTAAAACGATATAAATAAATTTAATATACCTTAATATAAATTATAATTTAATTTAAATAATAAATTTAATAAAATATTTAAATAATAATAAAAATTAAATATATAAATATAAAACTTATAAAAATAAATGTTTAAATATAAATAATATTATTATAAATATTATAATATTTTCTTAACTTTTTTTAATAATTTTAAAATAAATATATATATTAATTATTTTATTTTATATTAAATTTATATATATATTTTTTATAATTATTATTATTTTATTTATAATATATTAATTATTTAATTTTAATTTTTTTTTTAATAATAAAATTAATTTTAATATTATAAATTTAATAAAACATTTAAGCTTTTTATTTAAAAATTTACTTAATATATAAAACTTATAAAATTTAATAAAATATATATATATTATAATAATTTTATAATAATTTAAATTATTTATAAATTTTTAATATAAAATATAATAATATTTATTAAATTAAAAAATATTTTATAAATTTATTATAATTATAAAGTAAATATAAAATTATTTTTATTATAATTTTTAATAAATTATAATAATTTATTTTTAATATATATTTCTTGTTAATATATATTATAATAATTTTAATATTTTAAAATAATATTATTATTATATTAATTTAATATTAATTATATTATAATATTTTTTATAATATAATTATTAATTTTTAATATAATTATTATATTAATATATATTATATAAATTATAATTTTATAAATATAATATTTTTATTAATTTAAAATTAAATCGTAATAAATATAATATTTTATATATTATAATATTATAAATAAAACATTTTTTTAATATTAATATTCATTTAATAAAATATAATAAATTAACTTTAATATTATTTTATTTTTTAATATAATATTTTATTTAATAAATATTAAACGTAAAATATTTTTTAATTTTATAAATATTATTATATAAAAATAAAAGCAATAATAATAAACTATTATTATTTAATATATTAACTTATAAATCAACATTATTATTAAGAAAAGTATATGTTAAATAAAATATCGTTACGCGCTAATTGCGGTAACAAATTAAGTCACAAACACTGCAGTAACCAAGCCACACTTTACAGTAATCATTTTCCAACTAATATTATGTTTAAGACTCTACGCTAATAATGATTATTACCACACACCACCATCACTAACTTTATAATAAAATCAGCCTAAAGACTTTTACTGTAACGCAGTCGCAATTTAGACATACTCACCCCGGGTAATGATTCAATCAAACCCCTAACATTATTACTGTAACTATTACCAGATACCCCCCCCACCCAGTAGTATAATTCTCGAAACTTGGTAGGTCTTCCATTTCAAGTCCACAATTGAATATAACAAGCAGATTTTAAGAATATCACTCATCGTACCGTATTAGGATTGTAGCACACAATTAAGTTCCAGTTCAAATCCGAAGGGCCATTGCTCTTTTCTAAACTTATCCTCAATAACTCAAAGAAACAATTCTATTTTGTCTTATCCTCGTCAAACTGGGTTTCCAATATCATGTCATAGATAAAGTCGCCGTCTATTGAAAATATAGTGGGGTCGGGGCTCAGTCTATCACAGGCTCGCTCCAACGGAAGACATGTCAATGATTAGCTCTAGGTGATACGGTTATAGAGGTAATTATCATGTGTTTGATGCAGCAATACTAGAATATTGTATGTATGTGGCCGCTTGAATGATTAGCTTGAAGAAGCATCTGGACTGGTTCAATCCGGGTACTCTCGAAAAAGAGCATCTTAATCCCCCTTAGCTAGACCTCCCACAGCCAACTAATTGCAATAGAACGATGGCATATATTTGGCTGGAAATAGTCGCTAGGATGTGCTCTGATGTGTTTATGGCTTGTCTAGAAGAAGTACCCCTCATTTAACCTATGAGAAAGTCACATATGGCTACCTTAGTTGCCTAGTGTCAACAATAATTAGTCCATCCTTTCCCACGCTACCTTATAGAATTAGTTATATACCTAGGTATTAATGGATTATATGTATCTGAATGACATGTTCTCCGCTTATGTTGCTCCGTTGTTCGCATCCCGCGGCTCTTAAATATCTCAAGACAGGTCACTGTATTAGCGGTCCATTTATCGACCATAGATATTTGCGCGTTATGGATTATGGCTAGTTATCACAAAACTTGGGATCCACTACCAACAATACGGCTATTGTGGTGAAAACAAGGTACTCTTTGAACATTCAAGACACTCAACTACATTATCTTATCTATATGTTATATCGACTTGCCCCTGTTTTCTTCCAAAAACTGACACATCAGATCTTGACCCACGTCTGCCTTTCCGCTTGCGTTCTTGATAAGTTTACGTAGCTTCATCAATAAAGGTCACGTGAAGGATGAATGGTCGCTATTTTCCTCATCTATCACTACAAAGAAGAATGTTGCATTCTCCACTTAAGACTACCTTCACTTGAATGAAGCCTGAAGTTACAATATCTCTCGGCCTTTATTCGACTTTGCCATAACTTCGAAAATGGAGAATATAATCTTAGCCATGCTCCCTCCCCGAGGCGTGCCTATACGGATTATTATCTATTTAATTATGGATTGCTGAAATCGGTTATTATTATGAGTGACGGGCTGGATTATACCATGAGGGATGTTCGATACGATATAAGAAGGCCTATAACCTCGGCTATGTAGGTAAGTACTCTAAATTAAGAGCTTCACATGAAAGGTACTGAGGCAAAAGTTGGATTGTTTCTTCGAAACTGAAACAAGGAATCATAGTTGTGTAGATGAATATATGCAAGAAAAGAGATGTATAGAATAGCCGAATCTGGGGTTTAGCCACAAACTACCTAGGCACCTATCTATTAAGTACATAATGTGGCTTGTTGTCCAGAATCTTTTTCTTTTCCATCCGCCAACTTCAAAGGGCATAGTGTTCCTATCAGATTTCATCCGTCGCGTTTGATGTCGCGCTTATTTGTTAAACAAGCAAGTGGGCAGGTAGGCAAGCTGGTTCAAAAGGCCTCCTTTTTCTTTTTCTGCGCCAACTCTTACCTCAAAACATCCCGTTCGTATCACGGCATGTATTACATTAGTCCTGTTGAGACACGTCACGCAGACTCGGCAACATTGACAGGTCGTCGCGTGCAGCCATGACTTGTGTCGGCGAGTCTTCGGGTTGAGCCTTGTTAAGCAAGCCATCAGCGTTGATGTAGGACTAGCCAGTTCCGGTTATTAAGCACATAAGGTTACCATCACCGGAATCAAATGTATCCTGAGCGACCTACGTACATACATATGCCGGTATAACGGATGACACCCTCTACTTACTTGCGTGTATGCTTATATACTTACATATGTAAGTATGTGCCGAGGGTAGTCTGGAGCCCATAGGACGGCCGTCCTCCCCGGACGTTGTTAGCATTAAACCCTTTATTTTTGACCCTTGAGCTTATGCAAAACAGAATGCCCGAGGATCATTGGAGAAAAAATCCTCGGGAGGTCTAGAAGCAAGCAACCGTGCCTGAGTGGGGCCAGAGAGCTGCAGCAGAACCATTGAAAGAATAAAATAACCTTCTGACGGGGTTTCATCAACAGGTACGCGACAAGCCATTATTGGCTGGCCTGGCAAGCTGAGTGGCATGCACGGAATACGATTGGTAGAAATTGCGCCAGGTGATGCCGGATACAGCTCATGACGGATAAACCCAAGCAATCCTTGTGACGCGCGGGATCGAGAGCCACGCCACCCCCGGTCGTAAATCCTTCACGAAGATGGCACAGCAGGAAAAGCTGGAGAGGAAGCGAAGCATGTGAAAATCCGGACCTTGCACAGCTCACACAAGCTTCTGAAAATAGGAACAGAGAATATTGAGTCGATAATGACTACAAGATCAAAGGATCCCCAGGTACATATATTTCACTATCTCCCGTCAATCCCGTCAACCCCCGTCAACCCCTCTTCGTCTTGTTACCCAGTACTCTCTCATTGCGAAGCGGAGCTCGATTCTCGCTAGAGGGCCGGGGTTTGGGGTATTTATTGGAATCTCCAGCGACATCGGATTACATACCCAACCCACCAACCCATCCAACCGCCATCGCCAATCTGAAAAGACTAGGGCCATCCCGTTCCGTCCTGGCCTGAATGCACGTTGATGCAAGGGCTACGATCGTCCTGTTCGATAGCCACGAGGAGTACGGTAGAGAGACGGTCTAGTAAGGAACCCTAACCAGCATTGGCCGTCTTTTGTTATTTAAAGGATATTTCCCCTCCCGCTCGCACATCGTCATTAAATACCATCACCAGGGGCAGCACGTTGACGGTCTGACGGTTTTCTTCGACGACTAGAAAAATTCCGTGCCACTAGATTGCTCAACCAGGCCCCACGATCTATCTGTCGTTTGGAACACCGCTCCCCATATTCCGGTCCGTCACCACTGCAACCAACAACGGTGAAGGACGTGGGGAGCTTTTGAGTGCAACCGGCGGGGCCACGCCGGTCACGACAACTGCCTCCTGGTTCCTAAACGAGTCAAGCGACGCCAGACCGCTTCTTCACCCAACAAATTGGAAAATACACTATCTAAAATTTCAATAAAAATATCCTTAGCAGAGGGGGCAGAATCAGGGTTATTGTCCGTCGTTTCGAAGCTGTGTTGTATTACTCTATTTCCATACCGTGTGTATTCCTCATCAGAACTTGCTAAGCCCTGATCTCTCTTGTCTGTGGGTATGTTCGCACCGTCACAAATCACAAATTACATATTATTTCTTGCCGTCATCCGAAATACCTATCCAATTGCAAGATTGCGCTGTCGTCTGCGTTCGCAGCTGCATAGCGGGAACCATCCCTATGCTTTTCATGCAAGTAGCGCCTTGTTAATGGTACCATCTCATTCTCCTTCAGCACGATAATGCATAGAGGTCTGGAGACATAGGCAGATTCGTCTATACACACGTATCCACCCACATCGTTCTGACCGTTTTACCTACTGCAGATTGGATTTCATACGCATCATCTCCCCATGCTGGAGTAAAATTGGACTCAGACCGCAACTTTATTCAAGCTCCCTGACCATCTGTTCTGCATCACTGTTTCACCGCGGCAACGCCTCTTTGTTCATCGTACCATTACTCACTTTTAAGTCAAGCCATCTACGCACCTGTTGCGAATAACTTACCAGTTCTTATTCTCCCCCTCAATGTCATATTTTAGTCGGACGTCCTCTTCTTTTTTTCTATATCTAGCTATTAAGATAATAGTTTCTCCCATGCATTAGAGGACGAGCAAGGTCACCGAAGATGCCGCGATACTCTCCATTGCCTACGAGCCTCCAACGGTCTCGCTCGGTTAATAGCGTCGCTGCATCTGATTCTACATATCACAGCTTCCATGATATTGAACTGTATGAGCCTTCAGCAGCATCTCCCACTGCCGAGAGACGGTTGCCTTCACGCAAGGAGGACACGTTCGAGTTCAAGCCTATACTTCGCCATGATTCGGGCTATGAGTCCATACACCCAAAGACCAGGTCTACCGCATCTTCTCAGCGACGCAATTCTAGCATGTCCACCACTTCCTCCCATTCTCGTCCACGAACACGGCCATCCATGCGTCGTGCGGCAAAATCCAGTCCGATCGCAAACCCAAAGCGTCTCAGTGCGCAGCCTCTGCACTTAACAAATTCGCAGCAGCAACCAACCACGTACTACTACTTTCCACCGCCGGAGTCACTCTCCGGAAGCCTTGGCGAGGATGAAGAAGAGCACGATGCGGAGCGTTCGTATCCCCCACCGCCGCAAACAACGCATTACTGGACGAGTGACCACACCCGGCGTCTTGAATACGCTGCTATCGACGCGGCAAGCCGAGGCGTGAAAGGTTGGTTCATGAAGCACGTAGTCCCAGACTGCTTTGTGCCAAAAGCGAGCCGACGGGTTGGATTTGACGACGACTCTGGTAGTGTCAGGCGGTATCGATTGGAGCTCGATAACGACGAGTCTGGAGAAAAGACTGGGAATGGGGGCAAGAAAATGGGCTGGCTCCTTGGCCGATAATTAACGACGAATGAATCACGCGACGGCAAACGAATTGGAGGATCAGATTTTTGCATCCGCATGGTCGAGGCGTTGGATACCCACTTTGATTTCTGAAATTTCAAACTTTACCGTTTTATATCCAAGCATCTTTCGGCTTGAGATGCTCAAAATGCATATGATCGAGTACGGTATTACAGAGGGGGACGTCTGGAGGCGCATACGATTCGGTTCGAGCCAAGATTGATTTCTAGATCATGACATGAAACTAGACTGGTAATACCACTAGAGCGAAGGGTTTGCATGGCATGGAGCTGCATTACTGGGTGCCGGATTATCAAAACAGGACCGAGAGGGCATACATACAGACATGTAATCATGTAGCAGATAGCTGCTTGCTAATAATTGCATTCCACATATTACTCAGGCGGGTGCAAGTTGCTGGCTGAACTTGATTCAATAGAGGTAATTACCTGGATCCAAACTAGCCGGCGACCTAGATAACGCAATGGATAGTGGAGGTATATAAGTAATAATTCAGACTTAGAGCACATTAGACCGGGTCATCTCGTCTTTCTCGCTTCTCCGAGCTCCTTAATTTGACAAGGATGGGTCGAGTTCCACCACTGCTCCAATGGTCAAATCCATCACAGGATATATGGACGTACATTATGAATCACTAGCAAATATTACGCACCGAAAGTAATTTGGGAACTGAAATCGTATTAATTCAGAAGCTAGGTCGCTCACGCCTTATTCAGGGCTCCAAGCAATGGGAAATCTGAATATACCTAGGGTAAGGCAATCCATCTCGATCCCTATTCGTCTGATGGTTCATAATCACCCTCAGTTGAAACTACATCTGGCACTACATGATGAAGGCTGTTCAGTTCCATCACGGGCTTTGTCTCTTCCAAGGTGCGGAGCCGTTCGCCTATGCGTAGCGGTTAGACTTGGTCCTAGATCGGGCTAGAAAGTATTGAAGTTCTACCTTTCAATTTTGAATCAACGAACCGTTCGCAGGTTTTCAGTCCTCTCTGCAGAACATCGATCTTCTTCGTCAAGTCTTCTCGTTTTGTTCGGCTTTCCTGGGACTCGCCTGCGATGAGCTCCACTAAGTCTGGTGGCATCTTGAAGACCGCCACAGGGGAAAGGATGTCGGAGAGGGGCATAAGGATTTTTTGCTCGATAACCTCGGTCGCGATACTATCGATGAACCGCTTAAGAGCAATCTATGATGACGATCTGATTAGCTACTAATTATCAAATGTGTGAAGGCCTCTAAGAAGTGACACGAACCTGATAGTAGGAAAGCATGCGGTCGAGAGCTTCACAGGCTGCCGAACGTTCTATGTTCGATACGCTTTGTTTCGCTAGGTTATCTACAAGTGTGGTGAGGTTGTAATAACTGTTTAGGGCCTGCCTGGTTCCAATAGATGATAATCCGAAAAAGCTTTCGATAATCTTCGAAATCTCATCTTTCGAGTGGCAACAATGGCAATGGATGGTCTTCGCATATTCGTGGTTGTAGGTAATTGGGTGAACCCGTCGATGCGAATCAAGTAGCTTATTAGCCTTGCTTTTAGCATTCATGAGCAGTTTGCTAAGAGCCGGCTGGATTATCTTGTCGACAAGAGCATCGATGATCGACGCATCGGCAACATAGAGGACGACAAGTTCAAGAAATTCACCGACCGCTTCCCAGGCCTTCTTGACGTGGCCTTGCGCAATCCGTTCCCACGGAGACGATTGCTGCTGGAATAGGTCAGCGACAACCATGGAGCTGAAGATTCCGGGCAGTTCTCGGCCTCGGGTTCTTTGCATCATGTTCTCGACATGGTCAAGGAACTTATCCCTGGTAACCAACTCTGGGTCATTAGGAGACGCCTGCTTTCCTTCACCTATCTCGCGTCGGTGGCCGCGTTTCACGAGATCATTCGCAAATCCCTTGTTCAAGGCCTGTATCACTGCGCGAATACGTTCTTGGTATCCTTGATCTGTCTCGGCGTCTTCGAAGAAAGCACCGTTGTACGTGCCGCTGACGGAACGTTCTACAAGTGATTGGAACTCTTCACTGATCTGCAGAAGTCGAAGTCGCTGTTCATCAAGAGTACGTCGTGGTTCCCCAAGCTTCTCGAGGTCTTCACGTGAGTCATCGAGTTTCAGATTAATCTCACGGATGAGGCTTGGTAGCTCAAAGGCGATCTGCCGAAGTAGCACACTGCTAAGCTTCTTCCTTAGCTCGTTAATCCCAAGCATTGACGAAGGAAGCTCGTTCCAAACACCTTTCGAAAAGAAAAGAGCTTCCTCGGCGTTTCGATGTCCCAAAAGTGATGACCCGTTCTGTGTTTCGGAGTCAAGGTTCTTTAGAACGTGCCAGCCAAGGTCAAAATTGACTTGATTATTCTTCGCTAGGGAGACATAGAGTGCTTCGCTAGGGGACCCCTGGACTAGCGTATCCGGCTTCGTGATTACACCCATAGTTCGGCTACCTCTACTACTGTATAAGCAACGGATTTAGATGATAGGGTTACTACTTACCGTTTATCTACTTCCCGAGCGAAGTTCAGCACAACCTGGTTTGCGAAGTCATTCTTGGCGGAGACGACCGCAAGAATGATACTTCTAGGTTGTTTCATATACCCTTTCACGACTTTTCTGACCAACTTGACATCTGCCAAACTTTGCGATTTGGTCTCCGAATGAATGAGACCGGGCATGTCGATGATGGTAAGGTGAGGTCGATCGGGACCCGTTATCTCCACGCGAAGCCGGTCCTTAGAAAAAGCCTTGCCTGATGTCGAGATCCCCATGGCCGCTTTGGCCTTCTCCACTAGGTCTGGAAACCCTTCGAACCCTTCGAGTTCTTGGTGAAATTTGTGGAGGTCATCTTGGGCTGAAGTCTTGGAGGTATTATCAGGGATGATAGAGACAGTTACGCCAGTTTCTGACGATCGCCGAAGAACCAGCTCGGTGGGAAAGCAAGTGCAGAGGTTGCTTTTGACTGGAAAGGGGACCCCTGAGATGGCCTCGAGTACGGAACTCTTGCCTGATGATTGATCGCCGCATACGATTATCTGCGGTAAAGAGATGTAATGATCGATTCCCTGAAGACGTAAATGATCGATAGCATCCAGGAGCTCGAGTTGATCCTTAGAGCAAAGCCCATTGAGGGTCTCTGCGTTGAAAGCAAGCACCATCTTACCGCCAACCCTGATTAAGATGTATGGTAATTAGGTTGAAAGAGTAATGGTAAAGTAGGATAACTACGGTGGTTTGGCTAGATATGTCTGATATCGTGACAGCTCTTGTGGATGATATAAGATCCCTAACTTTTCAAGGCGCCTCAAACATAAGCAATATAGAGATATCTAGACTATTCTGTGTACTCATATAGTCATATGAAGTTGAAGTTATGGAGACATTGCTTTTATAGAAAGAAGGTAGTAATTTCTGAAAAGACGGGGTATATCTGCCTGAGTCTCCTGATGCTGAAGCCTGGCAGCCTGAGAAAATTGCATGTGCATGTTCTTCATAGGCTGCTTTGACCTTATGGTAGAAAGCCGATAGGAACACGTAAGAGATAAAAGAATAAGTTTTTGGTTGAGATCATTCTTTGTTATTTCGTGTTTCCATAAACCCTGCTCGGTGTTGGAAGTGACAGATAGGTATGATTGGGTAGTGATGTTCTCAATTTGTGAGATATCCAGTGGGTTGGCCGGCATAATGTCGCATTGCAGAGCGACAGCAAAGCAAAGTCAAGGTTTCAAAGTAGATAAGAAAGAGGAAGACGTAAAACTTCGGGTACCTATTCATTCATGATTGGGTTCCTCTACTCAAGAACTGCCCGAATTGATAAAGCCACCTAGAATCTTAGGAAGATTGCATACCCGAGTACATACCTAACTTAAGTAGGTAGTTTTCACAATTTCTACCATCCCACCCATCTGATGTATATACATACGCACCGATAACAACCAGAACATGGCTCTCTCGCATATTCTCAAGTACCTAGCGACTTAATACTGGTTTGACAGTCTGAAAAGATGAGCACCGCATAGTGTTCATTCAACACTGCCGGTTAATGACTATACATAGTTAGCGAGTGTACACGTAGAGGCAAGAGAATAAGAAAACCGCAGAATCAAGAGTCGACTTACTTGTTCCGCTACCCGGATTTGCGTTGTTCCAAACTCCTCCCCCGGCGACAAGATCATTGGCCGTCACTGCTCGATCGTAGCACGCGCACTCCCACAAGATGTGATTCGGCGGGTCTCCTCCCGGCGTATTGACGAAAGCGCCCTGGAAGTATTTCCCACTCGGCAGCCATGTTCCCGGGTTAGCAGTGTCGTTGCCTGCTAAGCAGATACTACCACAGGTGTTGAGCACTTCGGTTTTGTTGTTGTCGAGCCAGTCGGTCTTCTGAAAGCTGTACAGTTCGTGCATATCCGAGATGTTTGCCCTAACATGCCATATACCTTCATTACCTCTGTTTATAGTGGTTTGGGTAGCGAGTGCAGACGATGTACACCCCGTAGGAGTTGGCTCATCACGGACCCGGGCCGGCTCCGGCACATGGAAGCGTTTGGCCGCCATTGTGCCAGAGGTTAAGGCGAATAGAACTAGAGAAGTGAAATGCATGATGAATTGGATTGGCAGAAATAGAACACTGTCTTGTTGAGTTTTAAAGAATAAAAAAGCAGCGAGGTCTCGCTTTTATCAACGTATTTATGAACATATTCCTTCCTGCTCCATTGGGCGACCGATGGCAACATGGATATTTAACCGAGACTAAGAATAGTTACAGCGGTGCAGTTGGTTCCTAAGTGATCGTCGCCTAAAGTGACAGAGCGGAATAGGCTGAGATGAGATGACTGGTTACCTGGTTTCAATCACAACCGTCCAATGAGTCCTTAATAAACCATCGCGCCATCTGCCCCGATCTCCGCCATTCGACCCCTGATTCAGATTTTCATACGTCAGATCCAGCCACTACTAATATGACGTTCTGTCAAGAACGCGACGATCAAGAAATTCTTGAGCAGGTATCTTACTCCTCTCACCTTATATTTTCTTCTATAAATTATCTAAAATGAACGTCCGCTTGAAAAACTGTTACGTAGATAGGTACAGATTGAGTGTATTTGTTCAATAATATGAAATTCATTAGAAACAGTCACCGATAACTCAGGTCTACTCTTCTACAAGGTTGGCTAAATCGCACTTCACTTTATATTATGGTACCACTCACTGTCCAGATAGATTGATTTGTATTTCAAGTATGTTTCGAAATTAAGTTCTCGCCCTTCGAGGCAATTCTTATTGCACAATCATGTTCCACTGGGACGTATGAACCACTGCACTGGGAACCAAAGAGAAACCAGCGTGCCGTCCCAAACGGTTGGAACTACCTAGGGTTAAGGGGTGGATATTACGTAGAGTCCATGTAATAGGTGTAACATAAATCAACATGAATTTGCAAGTTACTTCTCCTCTCGTAATTATCTGCCCTTGTATATATGTAAGTATAAATGTAAGTATGTATGTAAGTATGCATGTAATGACGATACTCTATACGAGAAAGCTTATTGCTTTCATCACTTTTGCCTTGTGATATGATCTTTCAACGCCACAAACACGAACTGGTTTTTGATTAAGAAAAGAAGAACATCAATATATCCTCCGCACCTAGTTAGGTGTCCATCAAGATCGAGAAAGTTCATTCAAATTTTTAAAAGCAAAATGGCTTTAAAGCAAACTTGAGTTTCTAGGGAGGGGTTCTAAATATATTAATTAGAAAGCCTTTAAACCTATAAGTCTTCATGCGAGCATAGAAACAAAAGTATCTTCTATAACTATTAATCTAATCAACGCATTTGCTGTGGCTGATCAGTGGAGTCCCAGTGATTACATTAGAATTGAACACTGGATAGGCTACGTGCTTGTGGCTTGGATTATTCAGAGATATACGACCTTAATTTCTAGTCAACGTTGGGAATCAAGGTAATATCCAAGACATAACATAAATCCAACTACACGCCTTCATCAAGTATGCGGTAGGAGGGAAATAACTTACCATAGGAGACTTTTTGCAATTTGGACAAAGCGTATACTTCGTTGCCCTTCATCCTATCTATAATCATAATAAGTGACTGTAAAATGTCTTCTCAGCCGTCATCGAGCTTACTGGTGTTTCCAAGCCCGCAGACCATACTATTCGCAGTTCTATAGAGGGCCTATTGGACATATATCGACGCTATCAGCATATTCTTTCACGGCTGAATAATCCTCATTGTTTCGTAGCTGGGTTACTCCTCGATATAATGGTTACAGCCAAACACCCTAAGCAGATCCAAAGCTTGATATCCCTATTCTCATGGACATGTTGACCTGGAACCATCCGATGAAACCAATTTTCAAATGACTGTGTGCTTAGCTGGGAACGTGATACTCTACAGCAAGTCATCTCATTCATAGATTGCAGGTGACGAAATCCTTTGAGATGGTTATAAATAAATGCATCCTTCTAGGCTCGGTTGGCAGATCGTAAACGGTCACAAGTCTAGATAACAAAAGCCCCGAGATGTATTCCTTGTGTGCTGGCATCTTTATAGGACCCATCTCCTTGTCGAGGTGGCTTCGAGATTCGAGAGCCTCTTTTTTTTTTTTTTTTTTTTTTTTTTTTTTTGATATCTACAGCTCTAACAATATAATCGCGAACCTTGACGGTAGCTTCTGGCTTATAAATGTCGTCGGCTTGATCATTTGAGTTATTTCACCCTCACCTATAATCGCCCACCGATATAGTGTAACGCTGAAGCGGAGGATGAGAAGACGAAAAATTACTTGAACTGAACGAGACTAGCACATGCAAAGATGTCACACTGCATGGGACTCCTTTAAAAACTCAGCAAGACAGTGTTACATATTATATTATTTCTCATATCCAATGGCGGTTCTCCTCACGGGCCTATTGTCGTTGGCAGCCCCCTCCCCCGGCCTCTTTAAATTATCGAGGCCTCATTATCGCATGCACGACTCCAATATTCTGCAAATATTTCTAAGACATTGACAGACATTGATGACAGGGCTGAGATTCTTTAGCACTTCGTATTTGCTTAGGCTACAGAAGTGTGGTAAGACAGTATAAAGACTTACATATAGGTACATACTTACGCCGAGTACTACTTACCTAGTAGGTAAGTATTGGTTTACGCAGTACCTATCCCCCCTACCCCTTTTTGATATCCCGGTGTGCTATTGACTGTCGATTTTTTATCGGCACCCACTTCCCCGGAGCTTTCAAGTTCAGGGGAAGAAAGACAGCACGTACCTACATCATGGCTGCCCAGTCTACCAGTACATGGATTGTTCCTGCAAGCTGCAAGGGCATTAATGTAAAAAGCTAGAAATTACAGGGTACTTAGGTGGTAGTTACTCGGTAAGCGAGACGCTAGCGGCACATTGGGATATCGGGCTATCGGGTTGCTGGGATACCTGGTACCCCACCCATTCATCACACCTGGCAGACCTGACTGCCTGAGCAACAATTGCGAACGCGTACGTGCAATTGCATCTCATAGTGGAGTGGACATCACAACTTCCTCTTAACAAGTGGCGTCCCGACGCGGTTCCCTAAAACTTACGGAAGTCCCCCAGCGGCCCGTCCTTTTATGTTGGACTGAAAGCCTAATAGCTTCAAGTTCAAAGCTTACTTCAATCCTCACCATAGCTCTTTCTAGGCAGACTCAATAGCCAAATTAACAGCGCTTTGACCTCTCTTTTTCTTCCAAGAAGATCAAATTACGATCCAATGTCAGCCTTCTCTTGTTTATTGGACGTACTTTCCTCAACCCTGTCAAGAAAGTACATGTAAGCAAGGGTTGTGATAATAACCCGAAATCTAATATTGACTTGGGAATCTTTTTTGTTCTACAACGGACCCTCCCTCTCCTTTCTCGAAGTCTCGTTACATTGTACCGGCTCAACATTAATTACGCCGTCCTTGTCAACGGCTGCCATTGCTCGTCTCGAGTCTAGGGACCTGGCAGATGCACTCGTTATCTTAATCCGGACACCACCGTCAACATGGACGAGAAGCGTTCATCCGGTGCCACTGGTAGCAGAGTCAGTGCTATCCCCAGACCGACGTCACGGCTCCCTGTGCCTCGATCGAGTATTGCCAATCTGTCGGCTACCTCTTCTATCCCTCAAGTACAACAGCCTACTGAACCGACGCGCGGACGTCCTACGCAACCGGTAAACGCGAGTAACGTTCGAAATCCCCGGTTACGCGCGACACCTTCAAGGGAACAGATCAGTGCACCTTCAACAGTACGCAGAACTCAGCGGTCAGCTGCACCACCCGTAAGCTCACAGCCCAATCGTCGGGATCTGGGTGCTGGGAGTCGTAGCGTGTCCCGTGGACCTGGACACGTTGCTGGAAAAGATAGTCGAGATATCCGGGACGACCCTTTCAAGAAACCCTCAGTACCCCGCCGACGACCTTCGACTCAATTTACTCTTGCCTCGCCTACGCCATCGAGCCAAGGGGCATTGTCACCTGAAGAAGATGACGATGAAGTGGCTGTCGAATCACTTCCGCTATTGCCAAGGTCTTCCGACGAGGATGTTACATTCGATACTCTTATGTCGAAACCAAGGAAGCCTCGCCCATCACTTTCAGAGAGGACAATTGAAACGCTTTCGCAGTTACCATCATCCCCTGCTTTCAAACGACGTGGCAGCGACTTCTTTGGGGTAGATAGACCTCAATCTAAGGGCAGTGTTGGGTCAAGATCGAGAGCAGGCTCAAGACCTGGCTCTAGCTACCAGTCCGATGGTTCAACTATACGCTCGGCCAGATCATTAAGTCGGCCAGGATCTAGCACAGGCCAAGTGGACAACCACTATCCTAACTTTCGAGCCTCCACCAACACCTACAAGCCACCCCTATCAACTGTTATGGGAACTCCAACAAAGAGAGCGTCTGCTATCGGGTCCAAGACCCCCCGGCCTAGCCTAAGCAAAGTTCCCTCTCGATCGTCATTATCAGCTTCGGTAGGCCCCTCTACACCGAGCCCAGTCAAGCATTTCGATCCTTCCGTCTCCAAACTCGGATCGAAGACGGTTTCTTCCCGTCCTCTGAAACCGAGGGCCTCGATGAACAATCTATATAGACAACCATCTTTACCGTCTTTGGACAAATCGATCTCGGATGTACCCGCTAGTTATCGCAAAACTTCGCTTGTGTCTGCCAAGTCCTCCAGTACATCTGGTGATGGCCGCAATCTTTCAAGTGCCTCCACTGCTTCTACGGCGCTGACAGTGGATTCCATTGAGGAAGCGTCTGCCTCCACGATAAGAAAGTCGTCTACTGCGCTGCGGGATCAGATCGCAAAGGCGAAAGCCGCAAAGCGGGCTGCGTCGCGGCAGGTCCCAGCGGCTAAGGCACCTGGAGCTGAGGAAGCCCCTGTCGTTCCTACAGACACAACGTTTGATTTTGGGTTGTCCGATGACCCCTTCGGCCAACGTACGTTCGAGAGTGCGAACCGCAAAGCCATGCAATCCCGAATTGATACTGCGAGAACTACTGGGAGGCTTAACATTGCAGCCATGGGTCTTAAGAAAATCCCGACGGAAGTTTTGAAGATGTACGATTTAGAGTCCATAGATGGTCCTGGCAGTGCATGGGCCGAGAGTGTGGATCTGACGAGGTTCGTAGCAGCCGACAACGAGTTAGAGACAATCGACGACGCTATCTTCCCAGACTCCGATCCGAATGATTTTTCGAACGAAGAGGAATGTGAAGGGCAGATATTCGGGGGGCTAGAGTCCTTAGACTTGCATGGTAACATGCTAATAGCTTTACCTATGGGCCTGAGGCGTCTTCAGTTACTCACTTCGTTGAACTTGGTAATTACTCTTATTCCTTGTATTCCATGGGTACGACTAGAACTAACTGGCTTCTAGGCGTCGAATAAGCTTACAAATAACTCCCTTGAGGTGATCTCGCAATTAACTACAGTCCGAGATTTGAAGCTCGGCAATAACCTTCTTTATGGTCGCATGGAGGAGAACTATTTTGCCAACCTGCAGAATCTCGAGATTCTTGATCTACATGGCAACAACATCTCATCACTCCCAGACGGCATCGAAAGGCTAGTACGCCTCCGTATGCTTAACCTAAACGAGAATGCTTTTGAAACCTTGCCATTTGGGAGTCTCTCGAAGTTACCCCTTACTGAATTGCTGGCTCGCAAGAACAAGCTTTCGGGAACACTTATCGGTCCCGGTGTAGAAAGCTTCCCGCAGCTTCAAATCCTCGACGTGGCAGCTAACCAGATACAATCAATTGTGGATAGCGCTCAGTCTTTGAAATTGCCATCGCTCCATCAATTTACTATATCTCTAAATCGTGTCACATCCCTCCCTGATGTGAGCTCTTGGACCAGTCTCCTCACCATCAATGCGGATGAAAACAGCATCACTGCCTTTCCAGAAGGCTTCACAAGTCTTCGAAACTTGCGCCACATTGATTTCACAAGCAATGACATTCGAGTCATCCCTCCTGAAGTGTCCCAGATGGACAGTCTCGCAATGCTGCGAATCACTGGCAACCCTCTAAGGGATAGGAAGTTCACGTCACTCACAACAGAGGAACTAAAAGATGTACTGGCCGCACGGATGGAGCCGGCGCCCCAACCTGAAACGGGCGGAATGGCGCAAATCGAAAACGGATTTCCAGCTGCTCCACCTACAAATAGCAGTGCGAGTTTAGTCGCGCCTGTAAGCGGTGACGACGACGACGAGGGGCGCTTGACGGATTTCGACGACTTCGCTACACCGCCGACCTCGGCGCCTCCTTCTCCGGCCCGCTCCCGATCTCACACGTTGACTAGTCAGTCGTGGCCTATGAAGCCAGGCGGCCTTCTTGATCGGTCGGATACACAATCATCTAGCTTACATCCGGTTATATGCTCCAAGATTGCCGCTGCACATACTGTGCGTGAAGTACGCCTCCAGCAAAACACTTTCACACAGTTTCCGAACTCGTTGTCCTTTTTCACGGATACCATTACATCCCTGTCAATGGCACAAAACCAGCTCACAGGCGAAAGCTGGTTAACTGAGCCGATTGATCTTACGGCTCTCCGAGAGCTTTCTCTGGCTTCAAATTTCATCACTAGCCTTACGCCACTCACGACGAATCTGTGTGCACCAAATCTGGAAAAGGCAGACTTCTCGTTTAACAGGATAGTAAAACTCCCCGTCTTGCGGGAGTTTTTCCCAAGCCTCACCATTTTGCTTGTTTCAAACAACCGTTTGGAGGAGCTTGAACCTGAGTCCATCAAGGGCATGAAGGTAGTTGATGCTAGCAATAACGAAATAGCACATTTGAATCCTCGCATCGGCCTCCTTGGAGGCACGGGCAGCCTTGAGAAGCTGGAGGTTACTGGAAACCGCTTCAGAGTTCCTAGGTGGAATGTTCTGGAGCGAGGGACCGATGCAACGCTCCGGTGGCTCAGGGGCCGTGTCCCGGTTGCTGAGATGGCAGAGTGGAAGGCAAAATCGGGTGAAGGTGAAGAGGATAGTTTTAACGAGGTTGATTGATAATAACTTAATAGACTAGCGCTGGCATCTGAAAGCCACTGTACTTCTGGTCGAGGCGTCTTCGGTGGTCATGATGCGATACCCCGTCGGCATATTACATGCCATGATATAGATACCAGGTTCCGTTCGCACGAAATTATAAGGGAGTTGGTTGAATTGGGGGTTTGAGAATGCATACTCGTCACGGAGTTTGTGGGAAAAGGGGGCAAGCTTATGATAAAAACAAAAACCAGTCATACGTACTATTAATATTTGAATGTATGAATAAAAGGTGCAGCTTTGCATTACGATTTGTGTGAGAATTTTTCAATCGGTATATAACATGTTTAGGTTTGAAAAGCGTGTATATGATACAGATATTACAATTTGACTGTACCGTCAGGAAGGAAAGTATGTACCTATGCTGACGATATTAAACTGGTATTTGGCTCTACCCCTTGAGGTTGTGCTTTGACCACCTTCGATTCGATGATGGGGAGTAAAGCCGCCTAAACATATTTGGATTAGCGCATTCAACCTTGAACTTTGAATTCCGGTGGGCGTTGCCAACTAAACCAGCCTTCAGGATTTCCAGGGCAGCAAGGGCCAAGTTATAGTGGATTTCCAGGTAGGTGCCGGTCGCTGGGTGGACCAATTGATGGGTTTCGAAAGTTTTCCCATCCACTTCATCCACTTCGCATTTCTCCACCTTACACGCAAACGTCCTCTCTTCTTTACCTACCACCGACCTTTCTTCTTCACATCTTCCTTCATAAAGTCTGATGTGATAATCGAGCTAGTACCAAGATTTTCTCCCCTCCCCCCATACCATATCCTCCCCTCTTGACCGTCTGCGACAACTTTTGATTTATTTCAGAAGAGCACGCCGCGTTATCGAAATTAGACCGCTCGTTATTACCTTGCATCTAAACGCCTCTCCGTTACCGCCTTGCATACAGGTACCTTGTTGCACATCATCAATATCATTTCGAAAACATAAGATACAATTTCCATTCAGAATATACTTGAATATCTTCCTTGACCATCTTAATACCGAATGCAATTATGTTTGCAGACGCTGATCCGAAACACTCGCGCCCGAACGGCATTGGCATCGTAGAGAGCGAATATGACCACATTCCTTCCACTCCGCCTGATGCTATGGCTGTCCGCCATTCAACGTCGCAGCAATCCATCCCCTCCACCGAAGCGCCTAATTCACCCATCGACCCTCATTCTTCGTTTAAGGTCGAATTAAACGATGATCACAATCCATCCTCGCAGGTCATTCCCTCATCCCTAACCCCACCTCCTTCGTCCCAGGTTCCCCAGGTCAATGGTGTCTCTGGTATGCCTCTAGGTTATGTTAGTTCTCAAAGAGCTAACATGTTTTCTCCCCCTGCCACGATACTCCGGTCCCTCGCTCGCGATGGCGGTTCTACATCCGATTTTATTGCTCCAACCTCGGACCAAATATCAGACGCCTCAGCTGATGAGCTTCGTGCTATGGTTCAAGCATGCCTCGCTGAGAATGCGAGGTTGAAGATGGAGACAGCACATCACAAGTTGCAGTATAACTTACTTAGCATGCAGGCTGATGAGGATGCCAAGAGAGCCGCAGTAGAGCATGATATGACGCGGCGGGAAGTGGAGGTATTGCGTATGACGGAGAATTCGAGGCAAGCTCGCCGTGAGCTGAACGCGGCCGCAGAATCAACGCAGGTCAAATATCGTGAACTCCAGTCGCAGTATGAAAATATTGTCAAGGAAAACGAAGCTCTTCAAAAGCGCGTTAAGTCTGCTACCAAGCTCATCCAACAGCAAAGCGAGGAACGGGACGGCTTAGTCGAGGAGCGAGATATGCTCCTCAACCGTATCCGCGAAAACCGAGAGCATTTCCACATGCTTTGTAGCCCCGGTGGAGTGTTCCACGGGGCTCTAACGCCCAAAACCCCAGCAGCTGCTTCCCCACAGCAGTACCGAACCACACCACGTCAAACACCCAAATCTGCTAATCGGGATGCTCGTCCCGACAATTACAACAACCAGGTCGGATTTGCAGCTCTCCTACAGGCTCTAAGTCACGATAACAGCGCACCATCGACCCCGACTGCGGCTAATCGCCCTACCCTTCGAGCACCACCAAGACATACCCGCGGCGTCCAGTCTCTATCTTCTCTTCCCACCACGCCCACCTCGCGCGCTCGCGGGGAATATTCAGCCTTATTACCCTCAGTTGATTTAGTGCCGCAAACCGAACCCCCGAACCGGTATGGCAACAGTCGATTTGCCCTAGAGACGCCGGTGCAGAAGCGAGGGCGTCAGAGCCGGGAAAGCACCATCTCTGCGGATGATAACAATGAGGAGCTTGCTCGCGCAGCTCTCGAATCCGTGGCAGCGGCTACGCAGTCATATATGTCGCAGGAATCGCGCGCTTCTCGACGAAGGGATGAGGATGAAGAGATTTTTGAAAGTCAGGCTAGCCAGGCGGCGTCTGAAATGCTTCGTCGCGATCCACGCGAAAGCTTCGAGGTTGCCAGCTCGGTTGGGTCTCGTGATGGCACGCCGGCACCGGCGGAAAAGTCAGCCAAGCTACAGTCGAAACTTTTTGCGGGGCTGAATAAGGCAGGCCTTGCGGCGGAGAAGCGGAAGTTCAACGGCGGCACAGAAAATGGTGATAGCCGACGAGAAAATGTTATGAGTCCGACGAAGAAGATTAGGTACGGGGCTGGGAGCGAGTCAAATGGCCGGGTTGGCCTAGGAATACGCTACAGCCAGGAGGCTTGAAGGCTCCCAAAAGAGTAATCCTTGATCATTTTGGAGGATGACAAGGTGGGTTTATATTTTTTTTTTCTGGGACAGTCAATAGCTTTGGTGGGATGATGATATATGGTTCTCACTTTGGACTCCGATGATGACGGCGTGAAGAATGGATGATGAATGTATTATACCCCTTTTTCGTGTCACGGCGTTTGGCTCTGGTTTCATTTCGCGCTCAAAGGTAGCTATGGTGTATAGCGGCTTAGCGGAATGCTCCCAATGAGGAATCTGATTTGATGGACTATCTATGTAGGAACATTATAGGCAAATTGACATAATAGCTCCGTGATACTAGTTTTCTTTTTAGTACCACTTCGTGAAATCGTTTTTGGTCTATGAATTCCCAGAGGCACAAAAACCGTGGCCCACCTCGAATCATCTAAGTACGACTAAGTAGAAAAAGGGGAAGCGAATTGAAAGGTGATTAGCTAATGGCTGAGTTTAGGTAACAGAACTCAGTCTGGGCATAGTGGTACGGCAGGTAGATCCTCTGTATTAATTCTCTTAGTGGACCCAGAACACCCCGCGTGCGGAACCGACGGCCGGCAGTTTGAATATTGCTTCTAGTACACAATGCACCTTCTTTTCTCCCGCTTCCCGGTCTGTGACCTTCTAGGTAAGTATGTGCCTAGGTAGGTAGGTCCTACCTGACGATCATGTTTTCACCTACGTTCCTTCTCTGGATATATAACTCCCATAGCGTCACTTCACACTTGACACAATTTACAATACCCACCGTATAATTCTTCCGCTTCCTCTTTCCCGACTAAAAGCGTCTTCCCTCGGTCAAAGATGGGGCTTCCCAAAGGACTCTCCTCCATCCTCGCGAAATCCCCCTCCGATACCGTGATCCTCTCTTCCCTGCGCACGCCCGTCTGCCGCTCGTACCGCGGCCAGCTCAAGGACGCCTACCCCGAGGAGCTGCTCTCGATCGTGCTGCGCGCCACGCTCGACGCCAACCCGAACCTGCCGCCCGAGGCGGTCGAAGACGTGGCCGTCGGCGTCGTGCTCTCCGAGCTCGGCGGCAGCAAGGCCGCGCGCATGGCCATGAACCACGTCGGCTTCCCCACCACCACGTCCCTGTACACGGTGAACCGGGCGTGCAGCAGCAGCCTGCAGAGCATCGCGACGGTGGCGGCGCAGATCCGCGCCGAGATGGTCGGCGTCGGCATCGCCGCCGGCATGGAGAGCATGACGAGGAATTACGGGTCCAGGGCTATACCGGTGGATCTGTGGCCCGCGCTCAAGGAGAGCGGGGTTAAGGACGCGAGGGATTGTATTATGCCGATGGGGCTTACGAGCGAGAATGTGGCGCAGAGGTATGGCGTTGGGCGCAGGGAGCAGGATGAGTTTGCTGTCGAGTCTCACCGGAGGGCGGCGCGGGCGCAGAGTGAAGGGTTTTTCGACGCGGAGATTGTACCTGTGCGGACGAGGTTTCAGGAGGTGGATAAGCAGGGGAATAAGGTTGGGGAGGAAAAGCAGGTCGAGGTTACTAAGGACGACGGCATCAGGGCTAATGCGACGCTCGAGGGGCTTGCTAAGCTCAAGCCGGCGTTCAAGGAGGACGGCGCGAGCACGGCGGGGAATTCGAGCCAGGTTAGTGACGGGGCCGCTGCCACGTTGCTGCTGAGACGCAGCACGGCGACCGAGCTCGGGTTATCGTCGAGCATCATCGGGAAGTTCGTCGCTGCGACGACGGCGGGGTGCGCGCCGGACGAGATGGGCATCGGACCCGCGCTGGCCATCCCCAAGCTTCTCAGCCAGCTTGGCATCGGAGCGAAGGACGTAGATCGGTGGGAGATCAATGAGGCTTTCGCTAGTCAGGCTATTTACTGCGTGAGAGAGCTTGGGCTGGAAAAGGATTGGGAACAGGGCAAGGTCAACCCTGATGGAGGCGCCATCGCTCTGGGCCACCCGCTCGGTGCTACCGGCGCGAGGATGACGAGCACGTTGCTACACGGCCTAGGGAGGAGCGGCGGGGAAGTCGGCGTGGTGAGCATGTGCATTGGTACTGGGATGGGCATGGCGGGGTTGTTCGTCAGGGAGTAGGCCCTAATAGCCCATCTTTGTGCGTGTGACAATAGAGATAATAGGATATGTTTTTCGATGCTTCCTTTGTTTCAATGGCCTGATGTATTGTTTCTTCTCCAAGAAAAGCGTTTCGTGGACAAAGGTTCCCGAGGCGAACAAGTCTACAATAAGCAAGCGAACCAGCCCGCATTCAGACTAAGCAGCTGTTGAGACTGCTTCCGGGGGGTAAATTTGATATATGCTAATATTCAACAGGCTTTTGTTGTTAATGGTTATCTAATATGAGATCGTGGTTAGGATGGCCTCGTCGTATAGGCATTGCCCCCTAATCACTAACAGATACATGCGCCTGAGGACGTATTAAAAACAGCAAGAATTGGCACGGCGATCACGCGCTTTCAATAATCATATCCCCTGTCTGATGGGCGAGCCCTGCTGGAGATTCCAAGGTCCAGACTAAAGGAGAACAGAAAAAGAAGGGATAAGATTAGGTACGATGTTGCTCTTCTTCGCCCTCGCCGCCGTCCTCGCCTGGATCGTCGCTCTCGCCCTCGGGTTGTTGGGCAATATCCGCCTGCTCTTCCGGACGACTCGCTGGGCTGTCACCCTGTATATGGGTCTGCTCGGCGTGCCTCTGTGCCTCGTCTACCGCGAGGGGCTCATCGCCCTCGACACGGAGGAAAAGAAGATATCGGATGCAATGTGGGCCTGGTCTTTTTGGTATATGGTGTGTAATATCGAGTTTCTTTTCCTAAGGCTCTTTTTTAGGGAAGATATGAGGTCCTGACTAACTCTGATTGTTGAAGTGGGTTGTGGCTAGCATTTTGTTTTGGCCGTTCTTAATACCGTCGGCCTACGTTATGGCAGCGGCGTTGAAGGAGCCCCATGCGCAGAAAGTTCTTGATTATGGGTTGGCTAGGTTGGGCTGGGTCGAGTGGGTGCATAATCCTCTGTGGTACTTGGCCAAAAGCTGCTGGCAAGTGTGGGTGATGATAAGTGAAAAACACGAGCAGTCGAAAGTGTAGACACTGTCGTCCAGAAGGGTCTTGGTTCGATGTTACAATATTGAAAGAAACATAGGCTTGTTTATATAAACAGTATAGTTACCTACCAATCGACCTGTACAGAAACGTGGTTCATACACCTTCACGCCTTGTTTCTAAACAACAGAAGCCTATGGCATGGTTTTTCAACACAACTAGCGTTTCGCTGGGCTCAAGAGGCTCCTCAACCCCTTCTCTATCACCTGACAATCTATCCGAAGTTACAGACATCAGCTAAAGGGTCGCCTGCTTGATATTGCCGTTCATTCACAGTAATATTACCTACCCACTGACCATCTTCGAAAATGATCACAGACAGGGTCATTAATGCCATCTTTGGAGAGTGGCCTCACGAGCAAGTGCCCCCAACACCCTTGCCCTTCATCGCCTTACTTGTTTATATCGCCGAGTGCCTAGAAATCCCTCTTCCCCGTGTTAGCTTCCTAAACCCACTATTCAACCTATCTCTGTATGTCTTTTACGTCACATTTGCTTTTCAGATCATCGGAACGTTGAGGCGCGCCTTCAGTAGCCGCCATCCAGTGCACCTAGTACTTGAACAGCTACTTGACTTCTCTTCAGTCGCGTTGGCGTTTCGAATGGGGTGCTTCGCGGCTGCGGAGTTTCTCTTAGTTGCCTCAATCGCCAGCCTTACCGGTTCCATAAGATTAACGTGCTTCGTACCTCTTTTAGTAACAGCACTACTAGCAGACGTAATGCTCTCTAATGGGACTTCGCGTTGGACTGTAGCCCATATCTTCATCCTAGTAGCTTTCGCCGCACTTTATCTCGCTCCTCAGTTCTTCGACGAGGGCATTATGCAACTTGCCGTTTGGCGCATAGAGGAGTATGATGCGAACACTCCTAGATGGTTGTTGGATATGGCACGCGACATTGTTGTTGGCCAGAAAGCTCCCACTTACGTACAATCAAAGCCGATGGAACGGTTTATCACGGTCACGAATGTGCCGGAGGTATGAGGTTGGATATGGTAGGATATCAGGGGTGGTTAATGCTTCACCCCTTTCCAGGTTTAGTATAGGTAATGAAAGTCGCCGTGTATACCGAAGTTTTACATATTTACCATCTTTTTATTATATCAATTGTTCGAAGTATTCTGATAAAGTCGTGAAAGGTAAATTATGTTTCAATTGACAAGTTCCTATTAGTGATGTCCCATGTGTCTCCTTGGCCCCTGAAAATTCAGGGGCTATTAATATCCTACCTACCCATCCTGTATATCCGTAGCCGAATCGCAACCACGCTCAGAATACATGCCAACGATTGAATATAAAAGATTTCAGAAGAAATTACCAACGAAAAAGTTCTTTCAGGATTAAATCCACATATATAATTTATTACTGTAGTATTTCTAAAAGAGTGTCGATGGCATCCAATCTTGTTAGAATATATATTTTACTAAACCTAGCCAACGTTCCCAGTACTAGAAGATCCATTACATCCCCCTGAACGAATTAGAATCTCCTGAATAATAGCCAACTAATTATTATTTTTATACTTTGGAGGTCGACCCGTTTTCTGGTGGGAAAAACTTCACCAGATCCTCCGTCACCGAGTACCGAGTAGAAAGAAATATTGCGTCGGAAAGGACTGAATAATTAAATGTCATTTTATCGTTGATGATATCCTTTGGAGGTTTTGGTCGAGATCATAGCCATTAGTCTAGAGACTATTCTATGCTTCGCCATCATCCAGTGTCATATCATCATCCAACTCTATGTCGTCTTCCTCGCTTGGTTTATGGTATGTATCTGGAAGTTATACATTCTCTGCATTTATTTGTGTGTTGAGAAGTGCCTCGGAGGCCTTCCATTCGAGATCCCATTGGAGTAAGACATCACGGATAGATTGCTGTAGCTCGACTTTCATGGTGAGTGCCTTATTCCCTTCGACATCTTGCGGGGATACATTGTCCAGCAATGCATGAATGTGAGCCTCTACTTCTTTCACAGCCAAAGTAGATATCGTATCGAGCCTCTTAGAAAACCTATTGAAGTTTTTCTTGAGTTGATCGACTAACGACGCAAAAGCGGTACTATATATTTCTCTGCTATTTTCCGATGCGAATTCCGCAACAACAGCTTTTCGCCTAGAGAGGGACCCTTTGCCTGGGAATAACTTAGCGAATTTCTTTCGTTACATAGAAAGGGGGTATTCCGAGGCACTTACCATGCTCTTCCAGAGCACTCTTGAAAGCGGGCTTCCATGATCTCTGAATCGTCTTTGCCGCTTCAGGGTGTATTTCGGATGCGTCCTTAGAAACCGCCACTAGCGCTTGTTGAACATCGTTGTTGACCCTCGCTTTTATGGCATCAAGACTATGAATCATTTCATCTAGAGAGGGCAGAAGTTGAGGGAGATTTTCCTGGAAACGAATTCGTAACCGCTGAAGAAAGTCTCTCCAGATGGTATTGATGATATCAGAAGCTTCTTCCCCAAGGTTGGGAATGTCATGGTTGAGGGCATTGTCCCATTTTTGGACGATTGTCTTCAAGAGCACGTCTGAACTAAGAAATGGTAAGATATTTATAGGGAGTGGCAATGAAAGGGAGTCTCTCACACGTCTTGCATCCAGTAATAATCGATGCAATCTCGGCCCGATCTACCCCTGAACCTACCTCCATCACGGCGAATGTTCGCTTGATAGGTATTCCAATGGATCTTCTTCGGTGAAGAGTTATCCTCGGGGAATTTGTATGACCACCCTTGCACGATCCCAGCGCAGCGTCGAGCGCAGTTATCTATAGATTCCTTTTTGTCTCGAAGCGGATTCTTCTCTTGGACCGACTGGTTAAGTTTCTCCCAATACCCGCCAAGCTCCTACAGCGTTTTCAATGAGTGGCAAGTGGTGAAGACATGGGAGCGGAAAGAGACAAACCTTCTTGATATGCTCATAGATATCCGACGTAACATCTTTCTCGGCCAATTCTTTGCTAATGAGCAATGGACTCTGGCACCCTCCTTCCTTAGACCACGTTTGGATCACATTATACAAACTTAGGAGGCCATAGAGGAGACTATCGGCATGAGCCTCCCTCTCCGGGATTGCCGAATGTGATATCCATTTCTTGAGATTCGGGATCCCCGAGTATTGGCGACCTGGAAAGCCGGCTAGAGTATCCTCTTCATCAGAACACTGCCAGTATGCCTTAGAGCTGATCGGACATATCGATACTTGGCCATCATATGTGGCTCTCAAGTCGTCGCGATGATCAGAAGTCATTTGAGCTTGGCGGGCTTGGAAATCCTGCTGGATTCGTTCTGTCAAGATTCGGTTCCTCTCTTTCACACAGATAAATATTATGTTTCCCTCAACATTCTTGATGTTTTTCTCTAGTTCATAGATCATCTCTTTTAATCTTGTGATGGTCAACTTTTCCTTCTTTATGTCGGCCATGGTGCGAGACTGCTTCGATATCTGTGCGGTTTTATTTCGCGAGATCTTGGACTCTAAACCAAAATGTTAATTTCAAATAGGTACATGTAATCAATATCATCGAGATAGGGGACGAAACTTACCTTTGGAAGAGGTTTTCTTCTTCTAGAGCTTCTTGGAGGAAGCTCTGAATGTCGCTTGGAGTTTTAGCAATTTCTTGGTGGTTTTCGTTTTCTTCTTTTCGCTTTTTGCCCTCCGCGACTTGAGTTCCTGCTCTTGTTTAATAAGGTCCTGCAGTTCCTTATTCGACTTGGCCCATTCCTTTTTGAAATCAGAGTTCCGCTCAATCTCATCCATTTGAGAGACGACGACGCAGTAGCCACGTTTGTGGAACTTGCCATCAAGTTTCATGCGAAGTTCCTGGTGATCTGACAACAGTTTGACCGAGGTCGAATCATCCGCAGCTCGACGAGCGGGAGATACAATAAGAGTAGCAGCCAATTTTGGGAAGTATCGCTCGGCAACTGCAGCACGACTCTCCACTGAGTCAGCCAGGCCAGGTAAGTCCACGAGCATGACACCACTGCGAAGAATGTCTGACTTCACTAGAACCTCCACTTCGTCCACAAGGGGCCAAGCTGGGAAACTAAGGCCATGGTCGCCATGCTTCGCACTAGTAGAATCCATGTAGTGCCTAACCATGTCAGAGAATTGATCCGGTTCGCCACTATGAAAACATTCAGTCGTCCCCAAGACCTGGCCAACGTCCCCATTGAGAGAGAGGAGATCATCAGTCGTCATCCCTTTGATCTCATCCTCCCCGAGGCCAAACACTGTCTTAACCAATTCAAGGGTTGGCTTGACAATAGAATTAATGAGCCGGAGGGCGTCATGATCTTCGTTTGATTTGGATGGCATGTCTTGAAGTTCGTTTCTGTCCTTCAAGTCTTCAAAGAGTTGGTCTAGTTGCTTCACCAAGTCTTCTCGCTTACGGAAAGTAATAATTGCTCGAAATTTGAACTCGGGTCTAGTATCATTGTTATAGGCGAGCTTGCATGGTACGGCTGTGGCTGCTTCTGCGTTGTCCGTGGGTAATAGCTCGCGATAGTCTAGGAGTGCGTTCAGGGCAGATGTTTTGCCACTTCCAGTAGATCCCGCAACACCGACGGTGACTTGGAAGTCTTGATGTCGTTTGATGAGATTCCCTAGAGTAATGTTAGTATCGGCATCTCCTACATCATTATATACGCACTATAATCTGCAACCCACCCCTCGATAACCTTATGATCTGGTGCGATTGAATTTGATTCGCGATTTAAGCTAGTACAGCCGAAGAGAGACGCCTCAAATTTCTCGATAAGTTGTTTACAATATCTTATACCTACATTGAGAGCGTCCTCCTTGATCTTGATTCTCCTCTGGTCGTCGAAGTCCCCACATGAGCTCCATGCAAAAGGTCTCAATTCTTGAGGTTGTGTCATGGCGCCGTTCCGAGAAATAGAGCTCAAGTCAACGCCCCTTGCCTAGTGTGAAGACAGGCGTTCTCACTACCTGGTTACACTTTTCGAGAGCGAATTGAGATATTGTGGACCAGGTAAACTTTGCTCCAAGCAAAATCCAGAAGAGCTCAAGAGACAAAGATACAGGCAACGCGAGAGGTTCGCTATGAATTGGATAATAAGATGGGGGAGTACCTGATATCAGTACTACAGCGGTCCAAGACAGAGAGGTATTTCCAAGTCATACGATGAATGAAATCATCAGGCAATGTGAATTAGTGGTGACTCTAGATATAAGAACGTAAGATGATCAGGTTTAGGGATTTCGCGGGCGGTGGTAATGAAGAGGCAATCACTGAGGTAAGTGAAAGTTTTGAGGCTTCACATGAAGAAATGTCTCAAAGAAGTTACATCTAATACCATTATATAGAAACAATCTTTGAAGGAATGCCTCTAAGAGCTATCCTATAGCCATTGCGACTATACCCTAGTGGTCAGTCGTAGATTGTGATGAGATTCCTAGCGTGACGTTGATGATCAAAATAAGCAAAGCAGGGTTGCTTCGCAACATGGAGGAGGGAGGCAAAGAAGTCACAGCTAGCTAACAAGGGTTAAGTACACATGCCATTGAATTAATTTATTCATTCACTACTATTTAGGTATAAGAGTATGTAGAACCTTCGGGTAATATAGAATACTGTGGTTGGCTAACGTACCTGTCGTCAATATATCCAATCATATATATCCTCAAGGTGAATAACAGAAAAAGCGGTACCAACACAGTAAGAAGACGCATTTGAAAAGCAATTATAAACTCAAGAACCGCCAGCGACCCTTCACTTTCCATGCATTTCCTCCAAAGGTCACCCGGGTCCCATTCTCGGGAATGTTGTAAGTTATTTTGGGCGCAGTAATCACAAAAATATATGTCATGGTCATCTTCATAGGAATACGCCCAAGAGAGTGAAGACGTACTAGAGTAAGTGGTGATTCTCTCAATATCAACTACATAGTCCTCGTTGATCGACGACTCTGATGATGGCTGCTCGAGCGGAGCGGCAGTTGTTGGTTTTGCTTTTGGCTTAACGGTGTCATAGCTTGCGTTATCTGCAGACTCTAGGAGTGGGGTTCGGTGACTGGGCGACATGATCGTGATGGCATAGGGTCAGCTTACTTAATGATGGTGGTGAAGTGTGAAGAACTCGGCTCTCAACGGAGTCTGATTGCCCCGTAGTTGAGCGAGCGGCGAAATGGTACAAGAATGCGATGTAAAGAACACCAAAAATCAGGGGTTTACGTAGTTCTTATGATAAGTCTTGGATACACTTCACGTCATCACCCAAGTTGCCGATACAATGTAAACTACAATGCCTTGTCTCAGGGATAAAGCCGAGAAGCTTTTCAATGGAACCTACAAAGAAAAGGCCTTTGATAGCAATAGAATAATGCACAATGTCATACGGAGATAAATTTTGCTTTTCTTTATGTTGATAGAAAGGGTGTAGTAAGCCAAGCATGACTCTGGCCACACACACAGCAACAAGGATAAAGCTCCTTCGCTATTCTACATAGTGAATTATGACGTATATAGGACTTGAGGCTTTGGATAATCCAATCAGAAAGAAAATGTCACCTTGGAGGAAAAAGCAGAAAACTCGTGATAGGATTTGGAGTAGCTTTTCTGGGATCTTCGCATACAGCAAGCTCCCGCCGAATCTTAGGGCACTATGATAACACATCTACCAGCGTGATTAGAAAAGCAAGTATTCTACACATTAGGATAGCAGTTAGTAGGTATCGACGGCATTTCCCCTATTCATGATCATGTGTCACCGGGATCATAGCAAAGTCCTCGATCTTACAGCTGGGAAATGTATAACTATTAACGCCTAAATCTTTTCAAAAAAAAACCTCCATAGAACCTCACCTCCCTTTATATATACATCTGGCGGTGCCTTGGTAGAGAGCTTCTAGGTCGCTTCATCTAGTAACCCCTGACATTGCCTATGCTAATGAAATTATGCTACTTACCTACGAATACTGGTGAATCCTCGACCCCAGGCACCTCCTAATAGCCCTCCAAGCCTGCTCGTCATCCTCTACCTGCCTCCTGGGGTTTTCAAGCGCCTCCCTAAAAACACCACTCTGCGATTTCTCCTCAAGACCGAGGATAAAGTCGCTCACTCGTGCACCGCTATCAGGCCTCGGGCCTCGAAGACTACGGTCTAAGAATCGCCAAGCTAGTTCTACCAGCTTAGCCTCGTCGGCCGGGTGGTCTGTAAACTTACACGTGTCCCTCAGGTGCGCGACCCAGTCCTCGAAGCTGCGCCCGCTGGCTAAGTCCGCGATTGTGTAGTAGCACGGGTCTTCGCCCACCGTGTCGTTTATACGAACCTCTTCTTTAAGCCATGCTTTTACACTCGGTTCGCTCTCGATCCGGATAGGGGGGCATTCCTGTGTTTCCTGGGCATTGCGCTCCTGACGACTTTGCCCTCGCCAATGTCGGTCGACGAGGTATAAGCGCTGCCATGCGTTTTCGCTGAGGAGTTGGAGGTTCTCTACCTCTTCATGAAGGGAAAGGTTGCGATCCTGCTCAGACGTATTAGTGTTAGTAGAGACGGTCGCGTCGAGGGTTTGTCGGATACCCTCCTTGGTGACTTTCCCCGCGCGGCGTTCCAGCTTCAAGATGAATTGTAACATCCTTGTCAAATTCTTCTGGGTCGCTAAAAGCGCGTCGGCAGTCTGTCGTTCCAGACGCTGTTCGTCAGTCAATTCGGCTATGTCCCTAATGGTCCTGTCACTCCCGGACTCACTTCCAACGTCTTGTGCGGTTACCGGAATTCGACCTTTTTCGGCATTTTTCTGATTAAGGGTAGGATAAATTGGTTGATCATAGAATGAAAGCTGTTCTTCACTCATATATATCTCCGAGCGCGTCGGTCCATCTTCCCAGACGCAGACATCATCTTCTAAACTATCCTCAGACAAACAATAGGCTTGAGCAAGATATGGTCTGACGTTGTAGACATAGTTTCCTTCGCTGTAGTCCCTAGCCATTTCGTGTGAAGTTCTCCTGTGAGATTTGATTGGAATTTTATGAGAACAGATGTTTCAAAGGTTCAAAGTGGCTAAGATTTCGGATCATGCGTGTCCAGGGGTTAAGCCGATATATCAAGTTCCTCTACTAAGTCGCGCTCTTTGTTCATGGCCAAATCCTGAATATCGTTTCAGCTCTGAATCTATACAATGCTATCCAAAGAAAGAGAACTCACTTTGTTGATTTCTCCTAGTTCTTCAACAATGATCGAAGCACCGATGACGTCACTTCATCCTCGTCCATCTAGCGGACAAGTCGCGATACATAATAGCATTGATATTGCAATGTAAATAACTGTATGCTTACTTTTCCCAGCCTTTTAATAAACCCGCTGTTCCACTGTGTCCCTAGGTAGATAGCTAATGAAGAACTTAGTGATTCTCTTATGATAATCCGATAATCCAACCATCGCCTTCGGGCGCTCCTGATGGATCACAGCCACCCCATAATACCACACTCCGACCATCAGCTGTCACATCGTAACCGAATGAACTTCGTGGTCCGGGATGCACCTTGCCTTCGTGTTGCTGGAGATCGCCGGGTGGCTGCACCTCGACCTCTGCCCAACTAAAGCCACCGGTGTCAACACCCAATTTCGAACGGATCTGGTCCTTGATCTTAGCAGGTCTGATCGCATCCATCACACTAGATCTCCGTCTGACTTTCGAGTCGCCAGATGGGAGTTGGAACGTCCACAAATCGCTCCATAGGGAGACATCGCCGTGCTCTGTGCTGCTTGTACGATTCCCAAAGAAATAGAGAAGATACTTTCGGCCGTAGCCAGTCGTGACGGGTATCAACCCACCGTTTGATCTCTGGCGAGGCCCAGGCGTTAGGGGGTTGGTAGGGAAGGAAATGGTCTTCCACGCCGGCGGATTCTCGGCATATAGATCAATGTCCAAATGATGGACCTCGCTACTGAGGTCATCGGAGCTGGAGATTCCATATACCGTATCCCCTACAATGGCAGCACTCGATATGACAGTGGGAGCATGTGGTAATTGATTCCAGGTCTTAGCAGAGGAGTTGAAATGCCAAACGTCTGCCAGCGGTCCACCCGCAGAATCAGTTCCGCCAATTAGGATGAGATTTCCTTCATGCGCAAATAAGTTTGCGTTGCTTCGTGGAGGAGGCACCCTTTCCGGATGAGCAACATTCTCTACGGTTTCCCAATAGAAGTTCTCGGTATCATACAGCCAGATCCTACCGCCCTCATCCAGAACGTTGCCGGTTTCGTCACAACCTCCATATATAGCAATATGCTTATTCACAGCACAAGCTGAATGGTTAGTTCGCGGCCAAGGTACCAGACCATCTTGTTCAGCGGCGATGGCTGGGAGCATCTGATACTCAGGGGTAGAAGTGCTTGCATTCGGCAATGCTAAAGAATGGATGTCGTTGGTAACAAGTACGCCGTGGCTAGTTTTGCCCCCAAAGATGTAAGCTTTGTCATCGAGAATGGTGAGCGTATGATGAGATCTAATTAGCGAAGACTTCGAGGTATCGTCTGACGAAGAACCCATCTGCGTAAAGGTAGCCTTCAAAGGCATAGTTGCTTTTGTCACGGCATGACCGGCTACTCCGGCGTAGACGCCGGTAGAGATGACCTCCTCAGCCGCCACTGCACCTGCAGCGATTTCTGCCATTGTCTTCTCTTCTTTCTTCTGGACTTCTCGGATCTCTGAAGTTGGTATGTGCTAGGACCTGTCTTGATTTACTGCGATGGCCACCTAGAACACCTTGGTAGTTGAGTGAGCGAAAAGAAAGTTGAAGTCATGTCGTAAAGTTAAGCAAGAGACGTTTGTAGATGATGACGTATTATCGATCATCTGTATATCGCCCAATACTTAAATACATAGTACCTACAGGTGAGTAGTGACGCAATATTCAAACCATAATTGCCTATTATGGAAATTCGCCCAAAGTATCTAAGTATTTGCCTGATCTGGGCTAGTTCCACAGGATTTGATTAAAGAAACGTCTGAATACCTTCAACATTCATGATTGGAATTTTCGTGAGAAGTGACTACAGCCATCGGGGTATGATAATGCGGTGTTTGGGAAACGCGAGATCTGATCTGGCAGTTCTGGGTAGAGAAGATGTATGGGAATTCTCACTGCCGACTAAAATCCCAGTTGTAGTCTTCATCATAACCCCTGGGGTCGGCCGGGCAAGTACCTGGGTAAGTCATTAATGATCGTCGGGTACTTGGTCATTACATAGATACATATTCCATGTACCGGTAGCATGGCAATTCCGGTACCTGCATTAGCGACGTCTCAAGGGACGGAAAGCTGCAGCTCCAGTGAAGTGTGAGTCGCATTCTCACGCGGTAGATGGCGATCATATCGGAAAAGGGATACCAAGGTACCCAGGTAGGTAGCATTTACCAGTCTTATATCTGATCTCCAACAATTCAAATCTTGACGCTACCTGGGAAGCTAGTTCAGTTCCAAGATTAGACTGATGAGCTTGTAGATATTCCTCGTTGTGACCCTTTCGCGATTCCGAAAATGGTAGATCGAAATGATAGAGGAGAGAGAGAGTAGGAGGGAAAGGCGTAATTCAGATGATTTAAGTGATAAGGCACCTCTTATCTCTTATCGAGCACGGAACAACATTCCGCCTCTAATTTTCGCGTCGATGTTTTGTAAGGCGCCATCACGTGACTCCCACACGCCTTGAATATTACAACCATCAACCTACCTACACGGAGAATCATAGAGAAAGTCAACCAAGGGCGCCAGATATTGCTGGAAACCTCATGGGTTCTTCTGATGAGAATGAGCGTCTAGCGCATCCCGAGTTTTGGGATCAGCGTTACGCTCAAGCTAACGGCGACCAACCAACTCACGAGTGGTTCCGAACATTCGGCGACCTTGACTCATTTTTTAACCAGAGACTCTTTAAAACCCGGAGTCCAGACGCAAATCCGAAAATATTGCATCTAGGATCCGGAGATAGTGTACGCTCAGCCTAATAGGCATGGACTTATGTGAAATAGTCTGACATGGTTGACAGGATGTGCCAGCGGGGCTTTATGAAAGGGGCTACAAGAATCAGCTCTGTCTTGACTTTTCGACAATCGTTGTCGATCTCATGTCCAAAAAGCACTCCAATATGGAAGGCATCGAATGGAAGCATGCTGATGTTCGCCATATGGACAATCTACCTGAAAATTCCATAGACGTTGCCTTCGATAAAGGGACGTTAGATGCTATGATTCATGGTAGTCCGTGGAGCCCTCCTGACGATGTGAAGGATAATACCAGCCAATACATTCGTGAGGTAATTTACCCTCATTAAAACTGGCCTTCTCATGCTATTCCAACCACCATCTCCTTATTCCAAACTACTAAGGGACGCTATTAACAAAATATAGGTGGACCGAGTACTGAAGGACAACGGCGTATTCCTTTACGTAACATACCGACAGCCACACTTCGTAAGACCTCTTCTGAATTGTGAGGGAACTAATTGGGATATCGAGATGGATATCCTCGGCGATGGTGCGAGCTCTTTTGCTTACCATGGATTCGTCTTGAAGAAGATCATACATTGAACATCCACGGCGCCACGAGTCCCTTGAGTCTTGACATCGCATCGAATCGCTCATGCGCAAGGACAGTCTTACAGACCGCTAAGCTGTACCGATAGCATAAGAAGCGTTTGCTAAATTTGCCCAATACTAATTCCTAAAAATCTGTTCTGTTTATTCTCGCTAATGTCCCGAATAAAAGAGAGCCGGTTATAGTTGCCCTAGAAGTTGATTCTCTTCAGGTATGTTCATTGAATCCATCCGTCCTAACCCCTGCCGCCGCCCTTATTTTAGCCGTGAAACCCATTTTTGGACTGTTGAAGTAACCAAGTATGCGCCGCTAAGCCTTTTCCAATGTTATTTACCGCCGTCGACCCAGAATTCGAATGTCATGTATATATCTAAGGCTCGCCCCAGATTTCATCGGCAATTTGCCTCACTAGCGATAGCTTCTTCTTCTCGTCCTCCACCGTCAGAGGGTATCCGCTCTCATGAGTACTGAAACCACACTGAGGGCTGATGCAAATCCTCTTCAGCGCTTCTTCGCGAGATTGGCCGCTTCCTGCCGCAACAAATTCTGCCGCCTTGTAGATACGCTCCTTCGTGGTCTCCTTATCCTCTAGCTGCGGCACTTTTGTGCTGATGACACCAACAACGACGTTCTTATTCTTAGGCAGGTACTTAAGGGGTTCGAAGCCTCCCGCGCGCTCAGTATCGTATTCGAGGTAGAAGGTGTTGACGTCCAACTCCTCGAAGAGCTTCTTAGCGATGATATCGTAGGCTCCGGTAGCAAAGTGCCTGCCTCCTATGAAGTTCCCTCTGCATAGGTGGATTCCCGAGTGGAAGTCAGCCGGTAAACCGCGGATCGAGTCGTTATATAGCTTGATGTAGGCATCTAGGAGATCCTCCCACGTCCCGATATTGTCCTTATCTTCCTCCCATCCTTTTCGGAAGTCCTGAGAGCAGAAGTCTGTCTCTGTTGTTAGGTACAAGTCGTGATACTAGCCATGTCTGGGCAAAATAGACTTACAAGCCATTCCCGGGTCATCGAATTGGACATTCCGTAGCCCGGCCTTATACAGGTGCTGTAATTCGGCATTATAGACCTTGGCTACGTCTGCAAAGTATTCGGCGTCATTGGCATAGGCCTCTTTAGTGTACGCGCGCCCTTGCTTGTACCTCATGTGGAACCACGATGGCGCAATCATAGTGAGTTTGATGTTACCCCATTCACTCTCAGGAACAAAGGCCTGAACAGCCCGGAGTTCGTTCAAGTTAGAGACAGACTTGCTAGGATCGTGCGATAGCTTGCTCCCAGCAATGACCGATTCTCCAGGGAAAACCTTCCTGTCCTGCTCGATCAAACTCACGACATCGGGATGGTACAACCGAAACATGCTAGCCTCGGCATCTTGTAGGCCGATAGTGCCCACGATCTCATCCCAGAAGAGACCCCAGAATCGCGTTCGATTATACTCGCCTGAGTTAACACCTTTAAGCCCCAACTCTTGTTGCAGCTTAACAACTTCACCAATTGCTTTCTTCTCGACAGCAGGTAGTCCAGCTTCCTCTGCTGAGATGCCCTTATCCCGGATAGCGGCACGAACTTCAAGTAGTTCGGCAGGCCTCAATAAAGAGCCCAATTGCTCGGCGCGGAACGGAGGTGCCATCTTCAATTGGTAAGGGTATGAGCCTCGGCGAAATTTTTTCACCCCAGCTCCTCACTTGAATTTTCCGTTGGTCCTTGGTGTGTTACGTAAAGCAGCAAAATAGGGGCAAGGCAGCCTTTCTTTTCATAAGGCGACGGTAACACAACTCGGTGTCTACGATAGCAAAGCACACAGAAGGAAGATATATCCCTTTTTATATAGAGCTAAATGGGAGGCTAGAAATCTCCATTGATAAGCTAGTCCTTCGGTCATGACCTACATCCTAGGCAATCACAAGCTTAAGAATCCTGCTAATGGTCTCTAGCGGTTGGTTCAGTGCGGGGGCAGATGGTGAGATGCTGTGGCCCATCATGTAGCGTACGCGCGAGGGCGAAAGGAGCTGACAACCGAATCGGGAATACTCAGGGTATGTGAGTATGGGAATAAACTCGGGGTTATCAAAGGCCCACATAAGTTCCAACATTTACATGAGACTGCGTCTAGGAGCAGGATGGTCTGCGCGTAAAATTGATCCACAATAGTTGTGGAAATGTTAAGATAAGTCGAGGTTTTCGACGTCGAACAAAGCTTTGCAAGATACAACTGTAATACTAGGACACTGGAGAGAGTTAATCTACTTTTCGTGGGGGTTTGAATAGATAATTGGAGTTTTAGAAAAATAATTGCGTTTTTGGCTCGAGTGAATAGAATATAAATACTGAATTCACGTTATTTTTCAAGATGCATGCCATTCGTAGTGAATAGGTAAACATCATTGCATTCAACAATGTACCAATCCTTACAGTTCGAATCGTACAACTAGTTGCGACTAAATGCTTGTAGGCAGTCCTGTTGAAACTGAATGCAATGGTGATAGTAACTTATATCATCTCATAGCTAGACGCAAGCTCATGACAACCCTTATACCGCAAATTCGTGACCAAAAGGTGGGAACTCTGGTCAATATCACTACACCCCCGTAATCAATTAAGGGCGAACAAACGTTTAAAGAGAATGAGGACAATGAAAGACAACCACAATTCCCAAGGCAAGGACATTCACGGGACAGAAGACAGTAATTATATAGGCACTTGGAAAATCAATTGAGCAACGACCAAGATCTTTAAATTTACAAGCTGTCATGAACATAAATGGTATATACCCAAGCTATGATAACACGCCTTCGCTTGCTTGTCAATGAAACATTACAGATTATAAGACCTCCAATCCATGCTAACATGCAAATCTCCTCTTCAACACATCACTTAAATCACCAAATATCCTCCTACTTCACTCCTCGCTTATAGGAGAGCAACGACGGCACCGATGACGGCGAACAGACCAGCGCTTCCGAGCTTGGCAGCACCGGCGGTAGCGATGGGGGTCTCGCCAGCAGGGTAGCTGGGAGTGCTGGGGTAGCTGGCGCTAGCGCTGGGCTGGCGGGTAGCTAGGGTCGTGCACGGGGTGCTGGTCGGGTAAGGAGGGATCACGGTAGGGTAGGCCGGGGCGGTGGTGCCGGCGGCGGGAACGCTACCGGTGGGACCGACGGGGACACCACCAGCGGGGTAGCTAGGGACAGAGCCAACGGGAGAGCTGGCGCTGGCGCTAGAGACGGGAACGCTGGACGAGGGAACACCGCCAACGGGGTAGCCAGGCGCAGAGCTGACAGGCGAGCTGGCGCTAGCAGCGGGGACGCTGGAGGAAGGAACACCACTGGCAGGGTAGCTGGCAGTGGCGCTGCTGCTGCTCACGGCCGCGGTCTCAGAGGTGGCCGGGACCGAAGGAGCAGGGGCAGTGGGGTAGCCACCAGCGGGGGTGGTGCTGGCAACGGGGAGGCTGGCAGAAGAGGACTCAGCGACCGGGACGCTAGCGGAAGGGTAGCCACCAGCAGGGACGGGGGCAGACTCGCTAGCAGAGGGGGTCTCGCCGGTAGGGTAACCACCGGCAGGGGCCTCGGGGTAGCTCATGGTGTCACGGGCAGGCACAACGGGGTACGAGCCGGAGGGCTTGGCAGCGGGAGTGCTGACGACGGCCGGGGTGCTGACAGAGGCGCTGCTAGCGGGCAGAGTGGCGGAAGAGCTGACAGCAGGAGTGGTGCTGACGGCGGGCTTACCACCGGTGGGGTAAGGAGCGGTGGGGACGTTGCTGGGAGGAGTGAATGTCGAGACACCAGAGCAAGGGGTCAGGGTAACGGACTCCTTGGAGACGGTGGTGGCGATGGCAGGCTTGGTGTGGGTGGCCTTAGGAGGAGCAGTAATGGGGGCGGTCATGGTGGCAGGGCAGACAGTCGTGTAGACAGTGGTCTGGACCAGGGTAGCCGTGGTGGCGTAGCCAGCAGGGCAGTTGGGCACGGAGGCAGCGCACTGAGTGACGGTGAAAGTCTGGGTGTTGGTCACGGTCGAGGTGGTGGAAGCACCGCCGCTGGGAGCCGGGGTAGTGACGGCAGCAGTGCCAGAGGTAACGGCAGGGACGGTCTGGGATGGGTAGCCAGCGCCAGAGCCGGAGCCGGAACCGGAGCCAGGCACAGAAGCGGGGAGAGACGCAGAGCCGGAGGGGAGAGAGCCAGGGAGGCTACCAGTAGGGACGCCACCAGCAGGGACGGAAGCGGTGATAGCCGGGATCGAGGCAGTGTACGAGGGCTGCTGGCAGATGGTAGTCGTGGGGTAGCTCAGGAGAGCGGTGGACAGAGTCGGGGCAAGGTGGAGCGAGAGGAGGTCCTCAACGTCGACATTGAGCTCGACGGCGGCACCGATGTTGAGACCGTACGACTCCTTGGAGAGAGGGCACGAGGGGGTGGCGCAGAAGAAACCGACGTACTCGAGCAAGTTGGCGAAGACGGCAACCTCGAGACCAGCACCGATCTCAGGGAGGTCTAGGATGGGGACAACGTCATCAACGTCGACCTCGGCAGCGACGCCGAGCTCAACACGGAGACGAAGGTCAGCCAACAGCTTGGTGCAACCAATGCGGACTTCCACGGGCAAGACCTGGACGGAGAGGCCAGAGAAGGCAGCGTCCAAGATCTTTCCAGCCAAGATGTCAGTCGAGATGTGGGCTTCGTCAGCAAGCTTCACGTCAATACCGGCGGACAGGTCAATGGCGGTCTCGACACCGAGGACGAGATCGAGGGAGATCAAGGCGTCAACCTTGAGACCAGGGAGGTTGAGGGAGATCGGGTTGGGGGGAGTGAACAAGTTCACCGCGATGACAGCGGCGGCACCGATCTCGATGTCCAAGTCAAGCTTGGCCTCGATGTCAGTCAAGGTCAAGTCGAGAGCAGGGACGACGTTGTCGAGGTTGATGCTGGCGTTGATGTTACCCTTGGTGTAGCAGGTGTCACAGACGATGGCAACCTCTACATCAGCAGCAGCGCCCACGACGGGGGGGACTGCGACGTTGGCCAAAACACCGGCAGCGAGGGTTGTGCCACTCAGGTCAATGCCGAGGTCGACATTGGCGGAGATGGGCTGGCTGAGGTCCTTGGGAAGGTCCAGGTTAAGGAGATCTCGGTCGGAGACCGGCGCAGAGGCGCTGGCGAGCGAGGCCGCCATGGCCACGGCCGCGGAGCCGTGGGTTGAAAAACGCATTTTGTATCTAGGGAAGCGCAGAAACGGCAAACACTAAAGAGTGGACTGGAATAATAGTATTCCAAAAAGAGAGCGTGAAGATGCCGGAGAGCACAAACGAATGACTGTCTTGGGCCGAAGCTTGATGGGAGTGAGGAAAGAAAGGAAAACCGATGGTAAGGACGGCACCGGCTGTCTTTTCTATTCCTTCGATCGAAATTACCATCACTTCACCGACCCAGGGGACCTCAAGGGGAGCTCATGGCTACCCGGCCACCCGTGATTAGCCATGACAGTCCCCATTCGTAGCCTTCTTGCCCCGGCGACTAGGCGGTCAGGTTCTGTCGACCTAATTCAGATCGTCAATTAAGGCAGAGGTTCACGGCCTAGCCAATAATTCGTCAGCATCAAACTCCCTGAAAGAGTGGTCCGAGAGCCCAGTTAGCCGTCCCACTGGCGAGGCTCTCCTCGTGCCTCTGAACATCGTCGAACGTCTCCCTGTGGAGCCGCCAAGGGAAACAAGACTAATCGACAGGGGCTTTCTTCCTCAGGCACCCTGCAATGTTCGTTAGGATGTGGGGTTGAACAGAGACGCACAGGCTCCATCGAAGAGCCAGGGGCATTGGTGAGCAGTGAGGGAAAAGGGGGCTGAGGACTGCCGAACGGGAATTAGGAAATAGCCTCTACGCTTGTCTAGAAACGTCGACCAGTCATATTAACGACCCAATTGAATAGTAAAAAATCAATAATCGATATCTTATTTTACGAGTTCTTTTCCGTATGAATGCTATTACAAAGTTTTAGGTATCATTATTGGCAATGGAAATAACAACTTCAGCTTCAACACCATATTCTGTCTGTTTGTTCATAGCTATTACCCACCTACATCACCTACATAGCAGTCCCCGACCTACCCAGCCAGCCACGTTAGGGCCGGCATAGTAAATCAGTTTTATTACCCATTTAAGCTACTTGAGATGACCCGTTTTGCCCCTTCACTGCCGAATTTTCGGCAACTTCGCATGACGTTTATTTACACCTCTCCCCGGCTTCTGTGACATCGACGAGCTTAAAAGGCTAAACCCTTCTGTACTTCTATCCGCCGCTAGAATTAGCTGCTGTGGATGTACCTGTCGTGTTTGATCATAGTAGCAATAGGAGTGGCTGACGGGCGTTTTAAAATAGTGATCGGCACTATGTAGCTTGGCAGGGACCAGGGCTCTCCATGTTGGGCTGGCACTTTTCAGGGGCCTGCGCTGTGGCAGACCAGCTAAGTCAGCGGGGTGACATGTCATTGTCTCCATCACAACCAATTCTCGTTGGTTAAGGGGTAAAATACTCCGATGCCTTCCACCAAATAGCCCTATTTCCGGAGGTCGACCCGTAAGAATCGCGTCTCGCGTCACATCATTAACAGTCTGACAGCTCGCAGCACTGTTACGCTGACGGCTGTAATGCTGCGTATGCTTCAATAAATTTGAGTCTGGACTCTAAATCCTTTACGTTGTATATTTTGTAGGGTGACCTCTGGACGGGAATCCTATCGAGATCTCATAGATCTCTGGTAGACATCCGCAACATAAGCTGGGAACGATACACTTCGTAGGTAAGAAAGCGAACCTGCTTCGAAGCTGTTTGGGTATGTCCACTAGATCACGATGAGAAACACCCATGATGTTTTAAATTACTAATCTATCAAACGACTGATAATCTTCTGTTTCGTCAGTTCGTCTCATGTTGGTGCCAATTTTTTGTATTGTAATTTTCTAGAATAATTTCTTATGCCTTTCCTGCCAGGGTTTATTATTTCCCATCTCTAATGCTATTACGCTATTACTCACATACCCAGTTAATGGGCCTATGAATTGTGGTTTATTATTTGTCAATTCGGTTTCAAGCTTTCGGTGGTTCCATCCCAACTGCAAAGAGCAAGCCAGTGAATCGGCTTGCATAATCACAGCATCTACTAATAATTTACCTCGTTATTACCTACCTGGTAATATCTCCGATGACTGCAATTTGATCGAAGACGGCCTTACTTCCTCAAGGATTTCGCGCGGCATGTCAGCTGCAGCATCTCGAACAGCTGCATGTGGAAATTACACAGCTATGCTTCGCTCCGGCCTACCTCAATCCAAAAATATCAGATCTAACTTCTCTGACAACCCTGTAGCTTGAGGCCAATGCCAGCACGTCTCTCAAGGAAGCGAGATCAATAGTTCTTTCACGGTTCTTTCACTGTGTAAGCGTCTCGCATACTGAGAAAGGTTTCCATCAGTATGGCACAGCTCAAGCCATTATGTCCGTGTCCGTCACGACATTCAGTGGTCTAGACCCGCCAACAGCCGGGTATTTAGTAAATTTTACACGTTGTGTCTCAGATGTGACATTCCGTGGACAGCCGCATGCGACCCTTTCTCCAGATCGTAAACGTGAAATGAACCCTGCCTCTTAATATACTCATCTTTTCTGACAGGTAGACATTTCTCATTGTTGATAGTCATTAGATACTATTTTTGCCATCCCTTAATACTCCTTCATCTTAATACACGCATAACAGAGGCAAAACTGCGCGACGAGTGCCAGGCTTGCCGGAGACACCCGATGTCTGTGCTTCGGTACCAGTCTAGCCTTAACAGTTAAGCATCCAGAACTATTTTAGCCTTCCAAATGTCTCGGAAGAACCAGAAAACAAAAACTGGGCGACCCATTCAACTTACTGAGTCTATTGAAAAGAGAAGCTTATAATCAAGGCCGAATATAGACTTAGCCAGTTAGCTTGCGACAATGCGGTGTGTTATCTTCGTCTTTGTTGAGCAGCGGTCTAAAATGACATTCAACGTGTCGATGGCGGGTTTCTTTGAGTCGCTACGTCGCTTCACCCGTAAGTAGTAGGGCTGTCAGAGGCGAATTCGACTTAGCGTGTTGGCGCTACTGCACCTAGCACTTCACGGCTACTTCCACAGTGGATGCTGGCGTCCGCGTATTGCAGCCGTGTATCACAGCTAGTTTAATTTGTCTCCTCTTTGGGTCTTGCAGGAGGTAGTATTGCTAAATTCGAATATCCTATCTCCATTATGAGTTGTAGACACTTACTATGTATATTCGAATGAGAAGCTAGAGAGGATACGTCAATTTCGCCGACTTCACATGAGTTTATTCTGTACAGATGATCTTCAACTATGATGACAATAGAAAGTCAACTTTGGTCACAACGTGGACGCATCGACCTCTCTATGCGGATCTATCAAAATATGACATATCGGTTATTAGTTGCTTTACATAGGTATGAAATATCAGTTGTGATGAGTATTATGATGGTTACCTACTGGGCTTGAGCTTAATTACCTAACCCTTTAACTCGAAGCCATTCAGTTTTCGATTCTGCTTACGAAGCAGCTGCAGCCCGTGTATCTGACGGGGTCTACCTAGTCCTCATACATGTTCGCACAGTGGATAGCTTACCACAACAAAGCAATGTGTGTGGACTGCTTAGAGAACTAGGTACGTACGTATACGGTTCTCAGTTAGGATGCTAGCTGCGTAAGCTGAAGACCAGCCCCATAGAGTTGTTGGCTCTTAAGTATTCGTAAAATAAAATAAAATAAACAAAAAAGCACTACCTATTGGGGATATCATCAATGTATGTAAGGTAGCAAGCAAGCTTTTGTTAATATAGTTACTATATGTGCGTTCCATCCAATATAGGAAGCTCTTCTTTCTGTGTGAATGTACGGCTTACGGCCTCGGGTTCGAGTTGAGTAGGTAATACTCCTTTCACGATCCCTCCGTCTAAAAGGGTCAGGGGTACCGATTAATACACACTTTTAATCTTATAGTTCCTATGTGCCTTCATGTTATAGTTCAGCGTACCTAGATTTGGATATGATTGGGTTGTTTTGTCTAGGGATGTCTAGCCCTGCATGACAATGCCAGGAGAAATTGAGACAAAATTTTCATCATGCAGAAGCCTCGAAATTACATCACCTTTCGATCTTAAGATATATTTTTGTTATTAAGAGAATCGATCTTTATGGTTAGATCCCTCCTAGGGATGTGATCATGTCGTAAGACCTCAAATATGCACACATTACATTCTAATCCATGACCTGCTCATGCAAGTTGGAACCACAAAGCTATTGTGCTATCAGTTGCTCTAGGATTACATGTGTTACGTCTCGGTATAGCCATGCTAGAGTATGCTTAAATCAAGTTTCCCGTGTTCTACCCAGCACTCCTATTTTGATGAGCATTCCCCGGGAATGGTCTTGGCTGATATCCCTTATCCAAACCCAAAATTATCCTCACGAAGCTGAATAGAACAGAAAGACCCGTCAACTCTAGTCAAGTTCAATGGGAGTATCGGGATCGCCTCCCTTTGTCTGAGTTACGTCGATACAAGCACTTGGGCTAAGGACATCTTGGCTCATTGCGTCGATTTCCATACCGTCCTCTGACTCTGAGTTGATAGTCAGGATACTAGCTTGTTGAGCTAACTTCCGCCCTCCCAGAAACTCCACCTCACTTAAGCTTGAGTGCCTCTCGACTCCTCGTTCGCCAAGATATTGAACATCGTCATCATTTTCGGAATCACGATAAGCTGTATCAGAGTCACTCTTGAATTCTTCATCCTCGGATCCCGAAAGCTCACCGTCGTTAGCATGTACGTGGTCTTTCTGCTCCAGCCACCTTCGGAGGTGCTTGTAGAGCTGCTTGACCACAAGGGGCGGGAATGCGTTTCCTATCTGTCTCTTCTGCGAAGGTTTTTGAAAGTTATAGTCTGGAGGAAAGCCTTGTAATACTGCGTATTCCCGAAGCGTGAAGTCTCTCAGGCCAGCGTAGTGGTAGTTGCCTACACCACCACTACATGTTATAGTGCGAAGGAGAGGTATATTGGGATCCCATCGTGGTCTTAGTACGCGCTTCATTTTATTTGGACTGTGAAGCTCGTCGTCCCATCTCGCACTGGGAGGAATTGTCCGAAGCGTCTGCTGAACTGTCCTGTACGGCTTTGTTCCGTCTCCCTCTACTGGCCCTTCTGAATGTGTCGCGACCGGAAAAGGGGGTAACTCTTCCCCTATGCAAGCACCTATCATGATGAGACGGTTTCGCTGCGACGGTGCTCCCCAAGTTAGCAAGTTGACCACCTTCCAGCGAATAGAATAGTCGTGTTTTGTGAACCCATGAATTAAAGAGTTGAAGTAGAATTCGAATCTGGGATGTAGGATGCCGAAGGTCTGCTCTACAGTAAATATCCGTGGGCGTAGAATCTTGATTAGCTCGTGGCAGGCAAATAAGATAGCAATGTTTGCGTCGTCGTTGACACCAGGAGTCGTGTGAGCTGGAGACCAATATTGGCACGGCGGAGAGAGATGAAGCACGTCGATACGATAACTAGAATGCCTCATCTCGATGATGAAGTCATACATATCTTGTTGGCGTAAGTCTGCTTCCGGGTACATGATTCGATATGTGTTGCATGCCCCCTGCGCATTATCAACACTTAGCATGATACGCATTCCAGCTTTCTTAGCGCCACAAGATGCTCCTCCAGCACCGCAGAACATATCTGCGAAAGTGTATTGTTGACCGGGCTTCCTCGGGACCCAACCATCACCTTCTGTATCATCTTGGCTTTCGGAGTCGTCGACATTCACCATCAACCTTGAGCTCTCTGGTTCGTCCGGGATGTAGGAACCGCCACGAACTTTTCCACCTCTCCAGGCGTTCATCAAGCAGGAATTAGAAGCACGATACCTTTCTTTGGGCACTTCCTCGGAGATAACGCGCGCTATAGCAAACTCATTAGGCGGCTTCTTGTTGCAGCGCTTAGCGGCATCTCCCCATGTGTATCTAACCTTCCATCGACATATGAGAACCCCTCTATCTTCGATGTCCTGAGTACTGCTGTAAATCTTGTTGGGGAAGCGGTGGTCCGGGAAGGGCTTGTTGGTGGTGAGACAGACTCGAGGTTTGATGATCATATGCAAAGGAATCTCGATAGCAGCCTGCTCTTCATGAGGTCTGAGATCGTCCCCATCGATCTCGAGGACCATGGCAACCTCGTTACGAAGTCGCGGCAACCGTCCTCGTAGATTCCTCGTACGAGTAAGTGGGAGTCCTCGAAGTATAACACCGGCTTCCGTATGAATGATTAGTTGAATGAGCAAGAATGAAGCACAATGAAGATGTGGAATTGGGACCATTTCGATCGCGCCTCCAGGCTTAAGCTCCATGTCATTGTAAGTGAAGCTGTCTAGCCACCTGTTTGGGAGGGCTATAGAAGTGTTTCGTTTCGGCGGGCTGGTCACCTTGCGTGGTCTTCGTCGCACACTCTCCGTGGTTAGATCGATGACTTCAATGACCTTGGCAACCTCGGGCTCCAACTTTTCCTCAAAAGCTAGTTCTACTCGATCGATTTCCTCTCCTTGCTCTTCAGTGAGATCAATAGTAGGGCGCTTAGATTGTTTGGATGCTTCGTTAAATCGGCGTTCAAATTCTGCTTGATCTTCGTTGCCACACTGTTCCTCCCCCTCCCATTCATTCCCAACGACTGATGCCCGGGGGGCATCAAGAGATACTTCAACTACTGAAGAAGCCATGTTTGAGTTCCTGATCACGATAGAATATGTTAGTGAGATAACGGAAGAGAGAAAGTGAGTGGCTGAGTAAGTGGGCAAGAGGAAGAGGGAAGAACGAAAAGAAAAAAGGCTAGTCTCTTACTGCTAGATAAATCATTTGACGATTTAGAGTATAAGAGGAGGGCTGAGTATCGACGTGTCAGTGATATGAATGTGCACTGGCTTATGACTATGATAGGAGACGAAAGCGCACCATTGGTAAGACAAAATAGAGTGAAATTATAAGCTGTTATAATTTTCCATAACAAGGATGTCATAACATCAGAAGTTATGATGTTATTCCTTTGATTATATTTGAATGGAACATAATATATGAAATATTACTGGTGTAGGGGAAGGTAGAAGTCTGGATACCTATTTAGTGATAGCAGGCGTTGAAAGAGTTAGGATGAACTTCCTAGGAGATACCAGAAAGGCTTAGAGAATAAGCCCGTTCCTAGTGGAAAGTGATTAAAGACAGAAGAAGTAATCCAAGAATTTGTTTGTCGAATATACGTAACCAAGAGAATCAGTGTGACGCGATGGTCATCAAAACTGCAAACATAAAGGAGCTAGATGGAAATGTATGTGTCTTATCACTATTAGAAATATGCAGCCAAAGAACAAGAATACTTTACTGACAGTTACCTAGTAGATGATATACTTGGGTGAGTATTTAGTATGAGGATGATTCACCCGCCAGTATCAAGAGGGAATAAGGATTAAAGCCAAAGCCGACAATGATAAAGAAGGTCTGGATGTAAGAAAAGTCAAAGCTAGCAGCACAACTCGTTTTGAGATTAGGTACATCATAAAGAGCATAAGAGTTCAGTTGCTTATGTGAATTAACTTGCTGTCGATAATCAAGAGATACAGTCTCACCCAGCCGTGAAGAATTGTGAGTTTGGTGGGAAGGAAACTCGAGAAAAAGCAATTGCTAACACCCTGGTTCAACTCTAGGCAACAATGCGCATATCCACGGTCATAACTGCACTTGTTACCTGTCTAAATGACCATGCTTAGTCCTTGTGAAATATTCACGTTCCAATAATAGGGATATGTAAGTGCGTTCAACATCAGAGAATGCATTTTTTCTTAAGCTCAATGTCCAAACTTTTTGAAATGCCTCTTCAACAGCGATCATGATTTGTTGAACACTTACGACGCTTTAGACAGAGTGCAAGGCAAGAGTCAAAAAAAGGAGTGACCCCTGAGTGGGTACTGGGATGCAAATTCTTTATGATACCATAAAATTTAACATCAAACCTATACTTGTTTAAACAATGCCATTATACAAGCGGACTATAGTAGAATAGATTGCTAGAGAAGGTGCTTGCAGCTCCGCCGGTAGCCGACGGACATCCCCGCTCGGAGCGAACCGGAGTGTGGGTCCTTCAACTAGGGATTACAGTGCCGTAGCAGGCAGGTACCTGAGGGTCCGTGACTGCCCTAAGTCAACTTTATCCGCTGCCACCGATATCCGACGGCGACGATGTCTCGGCTTCATACTCCTCGTCCAATGTGACGCAAATAAGTCGTTATCCGTAATGCACGGTGCCTTGTTCAAGCATGTCCACAGCTCCACAAGGACCTTCTCGGTCCTCGAAACGCCGCGGTGGAGAAGAGAACGGTATCGGAAAACCGCCCCAGAAACGGCGCCGACGAGCATTCTCCTGCCTGTCATGCCAAAAGTTGAAGTGCAGATGCGAGTATGACACTGGCGCGCAGGGTTGTCACCGTTGTCAAACATTGAGGTTAGCAGAGCAGTGTGCATGGCGATCTGGATTGTGGTTCATATAAACATGAGGGGCATGAACTAATGTATATCTTCATGAAGAATCGAATGCTCTCTCCGCGGAGAATATGCGGTGTCACCGTCTAACTCTACCCCTGCCGAGCAACTTAATTCTAACGTCGAAGAAAGGTATTCGTGAAATTCTTAACCTAAAGGCGTATATGACCATGCGATAAGCTAATGAATTGGCCAGGCTTCAACGTTATGAAGATGAACTACGTGAGATCAAGTCCATGATTAAAGTCCTAGTACCGGGTGCTCAACCACGCAATGGTCGAACGCAGGCCGTCAGGGATTCTACTTACAATGGCAATGAATCTGTGCCACACACGGAGCAGCGGAATCCTAGCCCTGAATTTCTCTCGGCCCCTGCAGATAAGGGGGCCCAAACTGCGCCGGTCGTCGTGCTAAGGTCGATATCACAGCAAATAACGAGAGGATGTAGAAGGTTATTAGGTCACATCAATATTGACCTTGTGCAGCTCCAGCTGCTTGACGAACAGACAGCAACTGAGCTGCTCCAACTGTAAGTTCGAAGCCTTAGCCCCTTAGACCCGGAGTATCAAGAATCTTCGGATCTGTGATATATTTGCTGACTTGGCGTTAAGCTTCTTTCGTTACCAAGGTCATAACCTCCTTGTCTGCGGCGTCGAGGATCTGCTTGCAAGTAACGAGACCCGTACAGTATCTGACTTTTTGCGCAGTGTCTGTTGTCTGATTGGCGTCGTATATCGTGACGATATATGCGGAACACCAATACACAGGCAGGTCTACGAACAAGTTCGCGTCACTCTTGGTCAAGCTCTCCTGACCAGTCCATTGAATCTCGAGGAGATCAATGCCGTGCTGCTCATGAGTAATAATGCGAATAGCCCAAGTAGTGTGAGTAATGGCGATATCTATGCTTAGACGTCCAAAGCTGATTAAGGATAGAACGGGGCTGAATATGTCGATAGTTGGCTGTTGACCGGCTACTGTGCTGGGCAAGCAATGCTCAGCATCAGCTTCTCGAAGATAATCAACAACATCAAGGAGGGGACGATGACCGCCGAGGACCAGAGAGCTATTCACCTGTGGTCTAAGATCTGCCTCCACCATCTTCAGTAAGTCTAGGCATTTTGGTCTTCCCTTTTGGCGACTAATATATCCGGTTATATTGTAGTTGGGCTGCGACAACAGGGAGACCATCGATCATACCGACCCAATACATCGACCAGTGCAATATTCTTCTTAGTTTCTATCAAGCCACCATGCAGGATGGGATGCTTGTCGCCGAAATATTTTTATACTCAACATTGCATCAAAAGCTCGCTCACCAATCATATCTCGGGGACGGTGGTGAGTGCAAAGAGTTTCTGGCGTGGAAAGAAAAATGGAACCATCTGTTAGGTAAGTCGCAAACAGGAATATGTCAATAAGCGCGTCTTCTAAGCGGAATAGGTCTTTCGACATCATCGATGTTGCGTATTGGGTACCATGCTGCCTGTCTTATTTTGGCCGTGAGATCTTTAGAAGAAGTGGGACAGGGGTTACGGCCTCGCGAATTTCTCTCAGGAGCAGATGGCGACGACGAAAGCGACGGCGAAAATCATACCCCAAGACATCCGAGACGAACCAAAGAGAACGACGGTGACATTTTGCGAGCTAATGCGTGCAAGTATGCCATGATCGTCCTACAAACTTTCCTAGAAATGCCGTCTTTTCTCATGGACGCCGTCCCAACTTGCCTCTGCCTTTGCATTGGTTATTGCGCGTTACTTCTCGCACACCACGACGAAGCGCAATCGAAGGTCTCGGATCAAATCAGCCTTGACCTGATCACCCGGATCGATCAATGGATTAAGACCTCGCCAGGTAAAGCGTGGTCTTACAAATACGGCACGCTTGCCAAGCACAAGATAGAGTCGCGAATGAACGGTGGCTCAACCTCAACAGGTTCTGGTCAACCATCAATGAGGACACATGTTGAGGATCAGAGAGTTTGCCAGGATAAATCTAGCGTACCGGTTGAGCTTGATGGTCATAGCACTCGCAAACCCACCCATGAGACCGTGGGGTACCACACGAATGAGGCGTTTGGATCAAATGTTCAGCAACTCGAATCTGAGTCTATATTCCAATCGTTTGACATGTCTGATAACGCGATATTTCCTAGCATGGAAGATTTCTTTGGTGGTGGCTTTTTGGATTTCGTGGGGTGAAGTTCAAGTTGTACTTCAAGCATTTCTTAAACCCAACGTGTGCATTTTTACCCCTGAGGGCCGTTACCTTGGTGAAAAGCCAATTTGAAGCCAGAAGTCCCACAAGCAAATGAGACAACGAGTCATTAAGATAAATAAACCCCTTGACCTAGAGCCTAAGGTCCTAAGACAGCTTGATGAAGTTTTCTGTACAGATACTCGTTTGATGTCAATCGCTCGAATTTCCACTATCTAAATAATGACTTCCCTTGCCATGAAGCGCTGCAAAAGTTAAGTATTTGCAGCACCAACAGCTACAACGCTAAGATAGAGGAATAATCCAAAATGCTGAGAATCCATGCCTTTTCGATCAACCAGGTAGATGCCTACATGACTCCAAAGATAATTACGCCGATTACGCGATTACCAGCTGCGCGTTTTTCGCAGCGGTTCTTCACGTTCCTCATCACTTGATACTGCCCCATCAGATGCAGTATAACCACGGCCGCTAGTCAATCCGTAAGTCCGGTGACGCGTATTGTAGTTATATTTCCTGATTGCCTTTTCAAACACATATAATTTCTTCGCAAATTGAAGATGCCTTTCTTCGAAAGGAGATGTCCACTCTCGGTCATCTAAAAGTTCTAGGCATGCTGGATCATAGAGCACCCTCCGTTCGACAGCGAAGAGCACGGAGAAGATATCGCGCTACAATACCTGGACGATGACGCCTGTCCCATACTGCCGTATGAGCTCGCTTGCTCTGGAAGCTATTTCGCATCGCTCGATAAACTCATATTGCCACAGCTTCCTTATACCTCTTAACTTTATGGCAAAGCGGAGTGGCATCTTTATTCCGTACGAGTTTAGAAGCTGCTCGTTTGGCGGTCTTTGCCTCGACTTGACGATCGGGATTCTTTCATCGCCGATAACCCAGTATCCCCATAACCAGGCAAAATCGATGGTCTGTGGAGAGCTAACCGTTTCTGGCTGTTCTGGAGGCAACCGCGCCTTGAGAGGTATATGTAGCATGCCCTGACTTTTAACTGTTTGAATCATCTCGCAGTGTCTTAAAGCTCTCTTTGTGAAGAGTTTGACACCAAAGGGGGTGCCATATTGCGGCGCATATGGTAGCAGGTCTAAGATGTGCTGATCAAGGTGTGCTGGTCGATTGGAGGCGAGTTGGGCTGCGATGTATTCGCGAGGTGCGTATCTTGCGGCCTTTTCTTCTTGGGTCTCTGCTTTTCCATCGTCTCGCATCCCAGGATCATACTACTGCTCGTTTGGGACTACCCAACCATCAGTCCTTTGCGGATCTTCGAAAATAAATTTGCTTCGAAACTCCTTTTCCTGCGAAAGTTGTTCCATGCTGAATGAGTGTTAAAAGAAGGAAATAAGACTATATTCGTATACAATGTTTGAAACGTGAAATTTCTGTGTGTCTAGGTATTGAAATGAATGTGCAGATATCGAGCTAGGATGGCAAGTTTGGCAATAGGGAATAGGATGATACCTAGTATTAATAGCTGGTAGATGAGAGTCATCCAAGGTTCGACTTTTAAAAAGAAACCTCGGTCTTTTAAGTTTAACTAACTACCTAGGTACCTACCACTGAATGCTCTTGGAGACTTGAGAGGTATCGTCGCGCTTTCTTCGTACTTGCTAGGAAGGGAGCCCCCCATTCATATTTATCTAAAAAGACAATATATGTAATATCCGGGCTGCGGTAGTTATCATGGCTTCACCTATTAGATAATATCGGCGCTGCGACTTAAAGCCAACCATTATCGATATTTACCACGACGTGAAGCACAACTGAGAGTCATGACTTACATACGTATCCCCTATATAACTGCGAAGATACGATCTAGATAGCGGACAGGTATAAAGCGAATGTTTGCGCAATGAACTCGGAGTCTCGCCTCCTTCGGTGGCACTACATGGCCGTACTCCATATCCTTACACGGAAGTCGTGAAACGGCGAATTAACAACCGAACCCGTTAACATAATAGGTTACCGGTAATGCTTAAGGCCGGAAAATATGATTGGTGAAGCCTAAGGACGCGAAATGTTGTCACCGAAAGTCATGAATATTCTAAGCTTGTGTAGGTGTTGACGGTGCTTGAATTTCATTTGTTGGAGGCGGGGACGAAACTCGCTATTATCACCTTCGGGGTTCTCCACAACGTCGTTCCTAGTAGCCAAGATATATCAGGAATGCATAGTTTGGAGACTAGACGGATCACACACCCCGTCTATTGACCGGCCCTATTCCAGTTATACTATTTATCGTGTAAGTAGTATCTCTCTTCGTAGACGGAAAATTCTAAGGTTATTGTCTTCAAAAAAGAACGTCAGAACAACTCTCGGAATAATTATATTAAAACATAGGTACGTTGACGTTGTGGGAATGTATGTGCAAATAAAATCCATCTCGTTAAAAATCCAAAAAGAGGTAGGGGTCAAAGTTTATAGGATAGCGGAGATGGCCGTCGAATTTAGAGTGTCGGTAACTAAACTGCAGTGTGACGGTGCAGATTTGTTTGGGTTCACCAGGTTTAGCTGGCAATGACTTGCCTAATTCGTCGCTACAAGTAGCTTGACGCGCCTGCAAACGCAGGAAAGCCGCAGGAAGTGCAGGAAGTCTCCCTAAATTGCACTCACTGGGCAATGAACCCCTCGAAGCCCCACGTAGAAAAAAAGCCCTCTAAACTTTGCCCCACTAAAAGTTTCTTTCCCTACTCTGGAAGCTGTAACTCGCTCTAACTCGAAACTTTCTCCCTCTAGTCCTTTCCTCTTCTCTAAAACATCCAGCTTAATAAATCCTTCTTCTCTAACTTCTATATCCTCGTTTGTTATCGACTTCCTCGTCATCGCCAAACCGATTCTTCCGACCTGCGTATCACGCGAACATAAAATCGCAGAATCATCGAAACTCCCCCCACTATCAAAGAACTACTACAGTAGCGAAGATGGTGGAGAAGGTCTACGTCACTTACAACGATGTAAGCAGATCTTGATCTTTGCTCGTCTACCCGTTACTACCTCACAACTACCCCACGGTGCCGTTTGCTTCTTACAAGTCGGCGCAAACCGAGCCGCGGCTCCGAAAGAGGTTAAGTGTGCTGTCGTAGTTGATTTTCTGACCAACTTGGTTATCAACAGGTCCATAAGCTCTGTCAGGAGGCTGCTCCCAAGATCCTGGCCCAGTTCAAGCCCCAACTCATAATCGCCATCGGCGGTGGCGGCTACGTGCCAGCTCGAATTCTGCGCTCCTTCCTCAAGCAGCCCGGTAGCCCGAATATCCCTATCCAAGCCATTGGTCTCTCTTTGTATGAGCAGCTACCCGTGACCGACAATGCGAATGCTGGCACTGGTGTTGTAGACCAGATCGGAACCAAGGTTACCCGAACGCAGTGGCTGGATCTGAGCAGCCTTGGCGAGATGCAGAACTTGGTAGGAAAGCGCATTCTGATCGTAGACGAGGTCGACGACACCCGAACAACGCTGGAATATGCTGTCAAGGAGCTAGAGAAGGACGTCGAAGAAGCGCGACAAAAGCTAGGCACTAATACCGAGAAGACCGAGTTCAGCATTTTCGTCTTGCACGTAAGTAGAGCTGATCCTTAAGAGAACGCTGGGAGATCTGTCAGGGTCGCGATGTGCTGACAGAGTCTGTAGAACAAGGACAAGAAGAAGAAGGGCGTGCTGCCTTCCAACATGATGGAGGAATCGCGATACTTGGCGGCGCGAACGATAGGCGACGAATGGATATGTTATCCATGGGAGGCGACTGATATCGACGCGCACGACGAGTTGGCAAAGAAGCAACTGAATGGTAATGGCGCTGTTAAGGCGCAGTGAGTACGTAGACAGAAATGCGGCTAAGGTCTTTCCATTTCGGGTAGGTGGCAGGTAGGATAGACATGGCGTGTTGATAGACAACATAAGGGCATGCTCGATACGCATCGAGATAGTAATGGCCCAGGCCGAACACCAAAAAGAATAACGAAGTATCGGAACAAATTCCACATCAAGTCAAACTCGCGTGCGACCAGAGGGTTTGGTGGATTGTTCTATTTCTCGACACAAGGGTATATATGATGTAGCCATCTTTTCTCTAAGCGCCGAAAGTCCCTTCCTTGATGTGTTTTTCCTTTAATTTCTTTTCCTGCTTCATAAACTCCCGAATACCCACCGGGACGTTCTTGTATAGGTCGTCATCCCAGAGGTCCTTTGCGATTTTGGGCTGATCGGCCATCTTCAAATCCGTCTGCCAGTTCGTTTCGCTGCCACCACCATCGTCATCCATAGACACTGCACCAGCCGGGCCAGCCCGGTCTGGTATGCGCTGTTCCGTGCCCTGAACCGTTTCCGCAACTTTTCCTGGAGTACGAGCCTTTTGCGACCGCTGAGCCTGCAGCGCTGCTTCAGCCCTCGCGGACGCGGCGACCCACTCCTCCATATCGTCCCGGAAGCGGTCCCAGACGCAGTTCACGCACCCGCTCATGCAGCAGTTGTCGGGCTCTTCTGGCCGCGGGGGGACTAACACGCCGGCTATTAGCGTACTGCGGTTCCGGATGGCGGCGAGGCGCTCGGCTCGCTCGGCGGGGCCGACGAGTCGCGAGCCAAAGATTATACGTGCCTTTTCCTGAGCTGTGGCCGGCTTCGCGGATGTTTGAGGTCCGGATGGCGACGACGCGGCGGCGGCGGCGGCGGCTTTTTTGTCGGCGTTCTCCTTGGGTTTCTGCGCGGGCGCCTTCTTGACGGTCGTCCGCGGCGACTTGGGCGACGATGTGGGGGGCTCCTCGGGCTTGACCTCGGGGATCGGCTGCGGCTTGTTGAGGATGGCTTCGTAGTAGGGGCCGAGCGGCGCTGCTTGGCCGGGGGTGGAGGCTTCGCCGAGGGTGCCTCCGGGGAGTCGTGCGCCGCTCGAGTAGAAGGCGCGAGGGGTTTGGGATTGGCGGGTGAGCGAGCCAAGCCTAGAGGCTCTTATTAAGGGTTTCGCGTTGAGCGGCATTATGGGGATTATGTTGCGCTGCGGAGCGCGGTATAAGGTAGCTTAGGTGGAGGTTGAAATTAGAGAATCAATGTTGGACGATAGGGACAATTGCGTAAATGGGAAGAAATGAAAAGTAACGTATGTTTTTCCCCTAGGAAATCCGGCTAGTGCTCGGGGCTTTCACGTCATCGGCAAGTAAGAAAATTGGGGCGAGGGGCGCTGGACTTCATCACGTGCTATATATTGTATACTTAAATACATAGGTACTTGACATGCATGGATGTCGCGGGCGGGATTCAGCATTGTGGAACATTGAAGTCCACGTTGAAGAAAAACAAGCACCGATAAGATAAGAGATACGTAGTTAGGTTCTGGCGCGTCAACATCCACTTATACAATTTTAGACGCGTTCTATAACTATCTCGGCAACATCCATACCAGATTAAAGTGAACAAGAGGAGGGCATTATTCGTCCAATTGGGTCCCATGAATAATATTATATTCGAACTTGGAGAATTTTGCACTCAACTAGATGTGTATCACGCGTTCCGCATCCAATTGGTGGAGTAGGTGAATAACAGGTGTTGACATCTAAGGAGGCCAAGTCCAGGTTGGGGTTGAGCGGCGTTCCGTCTGAACTCATTAGGCGCATGAAGTCGATATCCGACCGAACACACCATGATCCGATAAGAGAAACTATTGAAGACATTCAATGGACTCTTCAGCTCCGAAGCGAAGGAAGACGTCGCCTACGACGAACGTTCCGATAGGCGGTTCGGACGCACCGTCAACCTTGGGTTCGCCAGCTAGACGACCTCCGCGACGAAACAGACCGTCTTTCGCGTCGCCGACGAAAGCTAGCCTAGCGCGATCGAACCCCGACATTCTAGAGCGAAGAAGTGCCTCTCGAGCCCCAGAAGCTGGACCAGCAGGAGATGACACGGGGACACCCGTTGGTGAAGCGCAATACGCGCAATCTACGCCAGCTGACCAACCATGGAGTCCGGTCCGACGCGCTACAGGAGCTATGGCCTCCGCACCGCGAAGAACACCGAACAAACAACCGTCACAACCAATACCACAGCCTTCAGCAGGAGATGCAGCATTGCTGAATCCATTTAAAGGTCGCGCATTGCGACGTTCTCCGCCTCTTGGGACGCCCGTACCAGAAATTGCACCGGAGCCAGAAGTCCAAGAAGCAGAAGAACAAGAAGAACCAGAGGAACAAGAACAGCTCCAAGAACCGGAGGTAGAAGAGGATGCAGAACGTCGAGAGGAACAAGATCAACCTGATGAGCCCGAAGAAGAACCTGAAGAAGAACCTGAAGAACAAGAACTTCCGCCCACGCCGACACAAAAAGGAATATCCGATCCTGCCTCGGTTACCACCTCTCCCATGGGTATTCATAATACACCCACCAAGCGCCCAAGAAGGAGTAGAGCATTAGCCGAGAGAATTAAGAGTTCTCCGCTCAAGCAACCTCCTCTCTTCCCCAAAGGACCTACTAAAGAATCTATGCGTGAAGGGTCTCCGTCTCGAGCGGCAGTAAAATTAAGAGCTCTGAGAGAACAACCCCAAAGGACGAAAAAACGAAAATCGCATTCGGCTCGAAACATAGAAGAGCCGGACCCATTAGCTGAGAAGAAAACATTACGAGATTCGCTGCTCGCTGAAGTTGCACGTCTGAAATCAGATCTAGAACTTGCTACTCGTGAGAATAATCGTTTACACCAGTTACAACAGACACGACGGGATGATTCGGCGTCAAAAGATCCAGAAGATAAAGATGGCCTTCTCGATTTATTGCGTAGACACGTCTTACCGCCTGAAAAAGAGGTGGCACCCGATCCAACACAAGATTGGCTCGAAGCAGTGTTAAACCCCATATCATTCCTACCTTTTAGCAAAGCAAACCCCTCGCTTCCGAACCTATTCGCTCCACAAGAAAGTGCTGAAAAAGAAGAAACCGAGAAGCCGCCGGCTTCGCATCATCCCATATCGATGACAGCGGACGAAGAATTACCTTACCTCCAAGTCTTCACCCCATTGACATTTACTTCCACCGTCTCGATCATACCACGAGACGATCCTACGAATTCGGGACCGCTTTCGCAAAAGCATGCCATATCCGTCTCGTCCACGCCGCCCGGTCTATTCGTCGCCAAGGTCGAAATGACAGTCAACACCAAATCGTTATCCATCTCCGAATTAAGCGTACCCCGCCTCGAGCCATCTGCAGTTTCCGAGCTGGGACCCTTTATAGAAAAGGTGGTTCACGGCGTAGGAACCAGCGCGCTGACGAGAAATGTCAGCATCATCACCTGGGCGATGAGCGAGTGGCTCCGCGTCGCGACGAGGAGAGCCCGTTTCTGGTGCGCCGTCGAGAGAGAGCTGGGAAGCAGCGAGGGTCTAGCGAAATGTGCCGCGGAGATGCGAAAAGATACGAGGAAGAGAGGCTCGGGTCGGCGAGCCGCGGCAGATGACAGCGACGACGATGAAGACGAGAATGAAATAGGGTCCAAGAAGGCGCGCTTCACTAAAGCCGATCTGTTACCGCAGTTGGGCAGGACGAATCTGGATCTAGAATTGTCTGATCCCGACGGCGCGGAAGAGGTCCCGAGTATTCGTATCCAGTGGCGTATCGAGTTCGATTGGACGGGAGAGGCGCAGAGCAAAATGGAACTGTTGCTCGGGGTCCCGGCGAAGTGTGAGTCAAACAAACACCTTTATAAGCCACATGGCTTGATATTTGGGTGATGAATAAATACCTAATCTAATCCTTCGGCAGGGCATGGACACGATACGAGGGGTAGCTTGACGAGCATACCGGGCATGTTCGACAAACTCGTTCAGGAGAACAAGGATCCGATGGAGGCGCTGAGGACGGTCGTCGCTTTACTAGTTGGGGAGGCGTGAGCAAAGTACCTAATAGGTAAAAGTACAGGGGTCAAATGGCGTTTTTGTGAGTACTACGGTAATTCGAGCTATAAACTCATGGCGGGTTACGTGTTATGAGAGCATGACGGGGTTTTGGGATGGGGGCGAAAGCAAGCCACCGGACTTTCGGACTTTGTTTGGCTTAGTGGTGACATACGCTCCTCGCATGGCATTCTGGAATAGTACGTCAAGGTCGTTGAAATACCCAAGGAACCTCGTAGCTACATTGTATACTAGGTACACACCTACGCGACGCTTAGCTCCCTCCTTACCTACCTATACCTATATTTAACGACGAAGATCACGCCGATGGAATTTATAGCATGGCGTGGGACACACTTTGTTCGAGAGCCAGACAGACAGACGATGAAATTGGTGTTGATGTTTGTTGATTCCGATAGCCTAATGCGAGGTAGTGAATCGAGTCTACATAAACGCATGTACTTAGACAACGACCTTCCTCTGCGTACCTCTTATAGGAACTCTTTCTCGAATAGTAGCACCCATCATGACATATCATCGACCGTCTCGTTTCGCAACCCAACCAACCACATTAGCTTCCCCTACCACGCATAAGTCCTAAGGTATTCTACATGCGATCTGATCAATCCACGTCGACGCCCAGGCGCCGGAGGTCGGCCTTGGCCAGCTCGATCTCGGCCGTCAGCTCCTTGTGGGCCTCGGGCACGTCGTGGAAGGTCATCACGTTCCAGCCGAGGCGGAAGAGAAGGTACGCGCCGAAGGAGACGAGGGCCCAGAAGGGGAGCTGTTTTCGATTGCGAATTCGGGTTAGTTATGCTATTATTTTCTCCTTGATTTATGTTATGCGGTATATGTATTGTATGTATGATATCCTGTTTCAAACTGTTTGGGGGAGTGTAGTTTTCGAGGGTAGTAAAGAGAGAGAGATTCTACGTACAACGGGGACGATCTCGGTCTGGACCACGTCGGGGAGGGGAACGAGCTGTAGGTACAAGGAGAGATAGAGCTGGAATGAGATGTTAGCATGTATGTAGCAGAAAGGCGAAGCTATCATCAATTGGGTCTAAAGTTGACGTACAGAAGTGACGAGGAGGCCGATTGAGATGGTTTGCTGTGCGCGCGTCATGTTGGCGGCGGTGCACTTCTGTATGCGACTAATTGGAAAGCGTGGTAGTTCGGCAATGCCTTCTCGTCGCAGGATGATCGATTTCTAAGTATCGAGTTGGTAGGTTCGAAGGTTGTCAAAAGAGCGACGGAAACGTTGGTGTTGTACAACTATGCGATCTTGTCGAGGCCACTTTTTTCATAAAGTCTAATTTCCAATTACCGTTGCCGTTGCACGCGACGCGGCGGACACTTTGTCATCGCCCAAAACCGTGTGTTTGTCTTAACGGGTTATGCATATAAGCCCATATTCTCGTCTATCAATAGTAAATACCCCTGATAAATGAATTTTGCATATAATTCAGGGGTAAGGGGTAAGGACCAACACAATCCTATGTTCACGTTGTTGCAATTCTTACTCCTATACAATTTGTAAAAATTGCCTTGGAGAAAGCCTATAGCTGTTTAATTATCAGGAATCAGCCCGTATCAAAGAAAATAACTCATGGCAGATTTTAGGGCCACCTGCATCTCCTATTGGTAGCCTTCTAGTCAACGTCTGCAAGAGTCAGCCATGCCCGTTCTAGCTGAAGGGAGATGCAGACGCATTTCCGTATACCGAACGACGTACAGAGAAATACAGTTATTCCGGCAGCTTCTAATCTCAGTCAGATTCCATCTTGTGTCGTACAATAGACGCCCCATATGTTCGTCTGAGCTGGCCACCCTGGCGCTGACACACGTCACTAAGGTTCACGATTTGTAGCCGTAGTATGAACTTCGTCCAACATACCACACACATACACAATTCCAATAATAACAATCATAAACTTTGGTGCCTAATAGTTCATACTTCTTACCATCACTTCTTTGGAGCTCCCCACCACAAGATCAACCCCAGCTCTTCCTTACCTAGTATGGCGATGTATCCGTGCCCGCCCTACTACTCCGGCAACTATGCTTATTACTTTCCTCCCGTGCAGCCGCCCCTAGCCTACGTATTGGCCAATCACTTTGGTCCATACGGGAAAGGCCCGGTTTCCGCAGCCGGCATGCAATTCTTGAACTGCGTTGCCCCGAACCTCAGGCCTCTTCCACAGCCATACACGCCTTACGGCATGCCATATGGTTATATACCACCTCCGCCGCCGCCTCCACCACCATCATATCCTACCCCCCCTCCTCCACCGCCGCCGAGGGATCCGCCAAGAGGTTCGTCAGCGGGGGCGGTGGTAGACGTACGGTGCCACTACGACGGCGAAAAGCATTATCATCATAAACCATATTATCACGAGTGTTGCGGTGGGCACTGCACTTCCCGTAAGAAAGCCTGGCGTAGGCATCATTGGGCAGAATGAGTGTAGTTTGGAAGATTGGTCCGTTCTAGGGCGAGGTTGCCTGTATAGGTATCGTTCATTTAGAAGTATGTGAGGTGACGGTGATTATCCGACATAATGGAGTACGGCTGGACTGTGTATTAGATTGAGCGAGGTTGGGAAAATATCAGGATGAATAATGAATTACGATTGGCTATAATAATGGACCTAGTAGAATATTAGAGCTAGGAATTGAATCATGAGGCGTATTTGATTGTCGATTGCATATATAGTGATCTTATCACCATACTTAGAAGCTTGACCAAGTCAAGTGTCGATTATTAGAAAACCTATTAAGCTACCTACCTATCCATGAAAACAGTCCATAAATAATATAACGAGCACTTCACGATCATAAATGGCTACGGCCGTTGAAATATTTGGCTCACTATTACCTTAACTAGTAGAAGTCTCAAGGCAGGGTATAAGAGTACCTAAGAATACTGTTCTCCTAGACGTAAATAATCCTAACAAACCAGGCTCGAGTTTTCATGAGTGCCAATGAAATGATGAATACTGTCAAACGAAGGTATTTACCTGGGTAGATATATGGACCTATTTTAGATCTATAACATCACCCTTTACACATCGACATCGTCTTGAGATATATCTGTTCAACTGAACCAAGGTTGGTATACTCAAGCTTAATAATAAACGCTTCACACGACACGAAACCACAAAGAGAAATTTTTATTGAATTATCGGTATCTGTATAAGGACTTCGAGATCCAAGTCTCATGGGGGCTTCCCCTTCCCGAACCAATCGTCCCTGATGGGGAAACATCATAGCCCCTGAGAAGATTATTAGATACCATTGATATGGATAAGGTTCGTTAGGAACAGCTAAGTAGATATAGTGATTCCTACAGTAACGAATGAGGATGCTAATTAAAAAGAGAAATAGGGGTATCAGAAGCCTCCTCTGTAAGAGCTGATAGCCAGAGGTCTCGCGGGTTAGCCAGTAGCCCAGAAGGATCGGGAGTCGGCTTGTACGAAGCCGCCCCGTTGGCAGTTAGCCCTTAAATGTAGACAAAGGAAGGTCTATGTATGTATAACGCATCCCCTGGAAGGGAGTAATTAGAGCTCTTCGCGCAACAACGTCGCTATCCCTCAGCCCTTTGGTTCCGCCTCATGGCAAGGGGCAATCTGGCTAAAGCATGGGGAAAAAAGGAGCGTTGGATCAAGCACGCAGCGAGAGCTTAACTACTAGGTACCTACATCTATGAGTTGATGACGAAAACCAAGCGTTGGAATCAAGGACATGAAATTGAGTAACCTGGCAGTTGGTAAGCACTGACCCAACCTGAATCATTACACAGCACCATTATTAGTATGATTAACATGGAAGACATTTCTTCAACCTAAGACTTGATTAGGTATATCCGACATCAAAGTCGTCGTTATTACACTAGAATGTCGTAAAACTATCGCTTCGAAAACATTAAAATTGCTGGGCGAGAGCGAAACTCGGAGCTAAGTGTATATCAAGCCTCCGAAAATCTAACTCCGTCCATCCATTTTAACCCATTTTCATTAGTGTGTGAGTTGTCATTTCTCAGAGGAAGCCAACTGTCAGCATCAAGGCAATTCCCAGTAATCCCACGACGTTCCGCATGATCGTATCGTATCCCATTGTAGAAGACTCGCTGACTGGTATCTGAGTCGGGGATACACTGGCTGCCGCTGTGGAGGAGGACCCATGAACAGGAGTAATGCTATGGGAAATCGAGCTACTGAGAGGCGTGACAGTTACTATAGCAAGTGTCAGATTTATGGTCAAGTACAAGGCGAAAGAACTCGATTGTCAAATTACCTGTCGCTGTAGAGCAAGGCACTTTCGTGGTATTCGCAGGGGGTGTAGAGGAGTTAGCCATAGGATACGGGTAGCCACCAGTTCCTGCCGCGGAATATGAGCTGAATACGGTATAATTGATGGTGGGCTGGATCGTGGTTAGACCAATGGGACCAACGCTCGTGGCATTAGTCACATTAGCTACGGTGACGGAGATGGTAGACTGAAGTGTGCTGGTGACTGTAGTAGTGCCAGAAAGTGTCGTAGTCGGTGGCTCGAATGGGGTAAAAGTGATGCTGCATTGAGATAGGTATTTAGTGACCGTCTCAGTGACACTTTTGGTGGCGGTTGCATCCATGATGTTGCCTCCTGAGTGGTCCTGCGCAGCCGCAGTGGATGCTAACAGGCAAACGAATGACAGCAGCCAGTATATGGCCATGGTGAACGAGTGACAATGAGGGATGCGTCGTGGCCAGATACAGAGACCGAGGGTGCTTGGCCGGAGAGATGGCACTCGCTATTTTTATAATAATACCTTTGCCTACCCGACCTGGAGCGCACGGTAAGTCGTATTGTCCTACATTTTGTTTTCCACAGGCCAACTTCAGATTAACGGAGCATTTCAATTTGGGCTCGTGATAAATGTGGGTGGCACGCGCACCGCTTTGTATTTGAAGAATGGGTATACTAGAACTTGAGATCAATGTGTTTGCTCCAAACACCATGGAGCTTGTGTCACACAACGAGGATAACGGAGATTACAAGGTATGACTTAGATCAGTACTGAAACATGGGAGCGGTTGAACTAGTGTCAGGAAGCGTTATTGCTGCCGTTCCAGGCATTAGGAACGATTCTCGACGAACACGTATCCATATTTCCATCGGATCGTGGGGTCATGAGGAATTGTTTGAATACAAGTAATGACACAATAGACTTGTTGTGACCTGATGTACTAAGTCATCGGATGGCTGGGAGAATTTGAAGCTCGTCATTCGCTTTAGTTACTAGGCGACGGAAGATCAGCGAGATGGTTTACGAAAAAGGGGCGGGACAAGTTGCCGCGTAAATGCTAAAGTTCTCTTCTAGAAGGACAGCAAAGGTCATTCTTCATGCTCGCCAAGGTCGACCCGAACGATGCTGGTTACCGATGAAGACGGGACCTCGCGGCGAAACCCAACATCGCACAGGCTAGGCCGTTGAAATTGGACATATCACGAACACGAGGGGCCTCGGCAACTTCTTATCTTCCGTATGGTGTGGTTTGCTCGACTCACAGACGCTGGAAGTGGTTCAAAGATCCCTAAATCATCATGGTCCCCTCAGAGCAGATGACAAATAATCTTGCCAAACACCTTAGCCGATACTAGCGAGTGATGTCTCCGGCAAACATCTGGGTAGTTATCTCAGGTTGTAGAGAGCGAGATAAAACCGATAAGTATGTGTTTCTTTCCTGTGATGCGATGGAATCTCTAGATTGCGTTGACCTGATGTAACAGTCTCACGTTCCCGTTCCTCAGACCACGAATGCGTTGCTAAGCCGTGTAACTCACTCCGAGACATTCCGGTCTGCTAGAGTATTGCATCCTCACAAGGCCCCAAAGTTCGGGGCCGATCGAAATTCTCGTAGAATACGTGTTGACAGCTACTGCTTGGAATCCCGAAGCATCACAGACGAGACCGCCGGTCACAAGAACTTCGGAGATCGAATGTATTATACTAATCGTCCGTGTATATAGATCTCGATGGATCTCATAAGTAACCTGTCAAAGTCATATTTCTCGGAGTTTCCATATTGACCGAGTGAGCCTAGATTATGCCTCGGCAATTGGAACGGTTTTCACGATGGACGTTGATAGATCTCCACTTCGTCCTAAGAGGCATTTTTCCTTAGGAACATCGAGACTCAAGATAACTGTCGATTGGAATCAGAATAATTGACCACGGTCTATCGTTACAAAGAGATAGATATAAAAAAACAGGAAAACGCGAGGGAAAGAAAAGGTGACGCGTCTCCCCCGCTAGTTCAGCCCATTCTTTGAGTTAGTGGGTGGGCACCTTCCCAGACCCGCTGTAAAAAGGTACAGAGCCTCACATTGCTCACCTAATTCTTGCCCGGGTAGGGATCCGATTAGTGGAAGCACCATTCGTCGGGGCACCTTCCCGAGGTCGGGCATCCAATCATTTGTCGTTAAACGAACCTCGAGTTGGCAGGCACCAACACATCTATCGCCGTCATCACTGCCGTGGATCCGACGAATTATATACTCGCTTACTTACATATGTAATAACCCCTGCTATAACCTTACATACACATTTGTAACTAAGGGAAAGCCATTTCTTCCTCACGGCGGTAGTCTGTGTAGTCTGTGCGGTATCAAAGAGTCAAAGATCGTATCCGAATATAGACCTGGGATGGACCGCAGATCATGACGCCCGATCAAATCCAGGTCCTCTTTCAGGATATCCCCGACGACGAGGAGTCGAGAGTCCAGAAGCTCGAACAAGTCTTCGAGGATGCCCAGGCACTTCAGCATGAGAAACCCCTTGTGTTCCAGAGCCTAGCAGAGGAAATTGCTATCGGGAGCCGAGAAGGTGAATGAGTTTTCAACTTCACACTTAAAGTGTTATCAAAGAGTTACCAATATTCATATGATACTTATCTTTATACATACAAGGAGGATATAGCTAACCCCCTCTCTTAGTACGATGGAGAATACCGCTTGGGAAATCAGGCCTGTTAGAATTTTTTCTCGGTATCATAAAAGGAGACGATCTAGATCCGGATCTCACGTCATTAGCACTTCGTATCATAGGAAACACTTGTGCAGATCAAGGTCCGCCTATATAATTTTCAGCTTATTCCTCCCCGTGCTTACCAGATATAGATGAGAACCGACAACTCGTTGTCGACTCGGGCCGTCTACCTGACCTCGTTAAACTATTGACTCATGATACCTTACTACAATTCGCTATCCCGGTGTTATATAACATCTGTGTAGACTATGGTGAGCATAATCAGTCGACCTTAAAAGAGTGCCCTTTCTCACCAGACACAAACTAGAGCCTGCCCAGATAGCAGCATCTAAAGCGAACTTGACCAAAGCTATAATCGACTTTCTCACGAACCCGGAGTTGCAAGATAAGGCTTCACCATATCTATATAAACTAGCGGGCCTTGTAGCAACTCAAGGTAAACCATGCCCCTAAACTCATGAAGTGCGGTTACAGCTAACACAACCCAAGACGTCGAGCCTGACTTATTCGTCCCTCAAGCCCCCTATGTCCTCCTATCTCGCGCCGTTTCGGAAGCCTCGAACCCAGAATCAGCAGATCTGGAAAGCTTCGTAGGACTATCCATTGCCGCACTATCATACCTCTCCCACCAAAACTTCCAAGAGAGCTTCCTGGAAACCCCAGACGGCATACAAGCTTTCTTAGCAGCGTTCCAAACCGCCATAGAAGGCCCGCGTATCTTCGAGATCGAAGACGCCGACGACAGAGCGCAACTCAACCAACTGCAAGCGACGTACACCCAGACTCTCGCAGACCTATCCGCGAACCCCTTGTTTGTATCCCTCTGCCCCCTAGACGGACCCCTCGCCTCATCACTCCTGCAATGGCTCTCCCTACCGCACCACGTCCAACTGCAAACAGCAGCGTGTCTCGCGCTCGGCAACCTCGCGCGCTCCGACGCCTCCAGCATCGCCCTAGTACAAGACCTATCCATCCACAAACCCTTGCTCGCCATCCTCTCGCCGGCGGCAGAGTCCGACACCTCCACCTCTCCAACCCTGGACCTGCAGCTCCTGCACTCAGCCCTCAGCTTTCTGAAGAACCTGTCCATACCCGCAAGCAACAAGGCGGTCCTCGGCTCCGCCGGCATCCTCGACGCGGCCCTGCTGCCGCGGACCTGGGCCATGGACACGCAGCCGCAGATCCAATTCGACGGCGTATCGCTCGCGCGCCTGCTCCTCGTGAACTGCGGCGCGAACGTGCGCCGCGTCTGCGTCTGCGCGCCGGGATCCTTCTCCTCCTCTCCGACGCCGCTCGACGCGCTGATGGACGTGCACCGCAAGGCGGACCAGGACCCGATTAAGATGGAGACGGCGCGCGCCGTAGCCAACATCTGTCGAGTCCTGTACTCCTCCGAGCCCTTGGGCTCCGCACTGGTCCCCCTCCCCGACACAACCTCCGATACGGCGCCTCCTACCCCCCCGGAAGAGGAAACCTTGCCCCTACTGGACGCGTTCTTCGCGGCGCACCCGGCACTCGCAGACACGCTCCTGTACCTCGGCCTGCAAACCAAATTCCCCGTCCTCCGGTCCGAGCTGTGGTTCGTGCTGGCGCTAATGGCGCGCTCCGCATCCGGCGCCAGCGTGGTAGCGCGGTTCCTGGGCCAGCGGCCCGAGATAGTAAACGTGCTCGCCGAGGCCGTTACCGGCGAAAAGGTGTCCGAGACCCAAGACCAAGCAGCCCAGGACGCAACCGACAAGAACGCGCCGGAAGAAGAAGAAGAACAGCCGGGGTCGATGCCCGATCTCTCGGCCCTGAGCGGACTAGGTCAGCTGGAGCCGCAGCAGGTTGACCCGGCGAAGGCGGCGACCATGGAGAAGGTAGACCGGGAGAACGGGCTTGTGCTGATAGCCGAGCTGTTGAAGCGGTGTCCGGATGAGCTGCCCGCTTTGGCGAGGAGCAGGTTTGGGCGGATATTGAAGACGGGTGGGGAGTTGGTACTTGGGGAGAAGAGTGAGGCATAGTAGGGAGACTCGCTCCGTAGAATGCAAATTTGCTTGGCTTGATTTGGCTTGTCCTAAATCTGTGAGTTGGTTGTTCTTAAAAGGTGAGGTTTGGAGTTGTAAACGCCTAGACTATAAATCCTGATAGATATGATTGTCAGAAGGTGCTCCTACCAATCCTTGGAAAGGTTGTTCAGCAAATGGACCTATTATAATATTATCCCCAGATTCATGTGGTACTTCACGGCTTCACATCAAACTGCTTCAAAGAAGACGTAGATCATGTCCATTCATTTTTCATTGAGAAAGACCTAGAGCAAACCGGAAGATGCAATAATGGCTTCAGTCTTTTTGTGTGGCGAGAGAAGGTTGATATCTTTTCCCTCATGGCTACACAGAAACCGCAAGCCAACCCACCATGACCGACCAACAACACAACGAAAGCAGAACCCTGATAATGCCGTCCGTACTCCCGTGCAGACCCTGTCTGAGTTCAGCCCCCATCTTATTTCTTGTTAGCCTCCGCCTCGGCCTTGTCCCGAGCTCGCTTCTCCCGCGCGCCTTGTAGTCGGGCGTCACTTCGGGCCTTGCGGAGCTTCGCGTAGGCACCACCCTCGATAGGCTTGGGTAGCTCGCTCTTCTTGATCTCTGAGATACCCTCGCCGACGGGAACGATGGGGAGGGTAGATCCGACGGTCGAAACGGTCTGGGTGTTGCTAAGGTCGATGTCCTTGCTGTCACCGGCCTTGGGGTGCTTGGCACCCTTGCGGGGGAAAACGATCAATCGGGCCTTGTAGGCCTTCAGGCGGGCGACATTAGCGGCGAGGGACTCTTCGCTGAGGTTCTGGCGGCGGTGATCGACGGCGATACCGATGGTAGGGGCAACGAGACGGGGGATACCGGCTTCCTATGAGGATGTTAGAAAAGGTAGTCCAGTAGCCCACATGTTGAATTTGCGAAGAATGTACCTTCAACTCAGTGAGAGTGAAACCACGTCCAGCACGAACGCGGCGGTTGTACTTGATAGTAGGGCATCGGACCACGGGTCTCAGCTTGTCAACGGGTCGGGGAGCGACAGCAGCGGCCTTCGCAGCACGGACAGAGCGACGGCGGATCTTTTGGGTGGGCTATTTCCGTTACAACGTTAGAACATCTCGCTTTTCATTATCTCGTCGGTGGATTCTTTTCATAGGCGTTTAATCCGTACCTGGTTGAAGTGAGTCCGAACCCGTCGCTGCCAATCCTTTCGGAAATCTATATATTTCTGTCAGTTCATCTGGGATTTACGTGAAATGCGATCGCTCGGTCATCGTCGAGGGATGGCTTCGGTTTGACATACGGTTGTGCTGAATCTGGTTGTTATGCTTGATCGCCTATGGTAAATTGACATGTTAGCGAATCGCTCTCTTAAGATGAGAAATATTGATAAATATTGTGGCAGCATGGCCGCATAGAGGCAGGCAATACTAACCATTGTGACTGATTGCGATCAAGGGCTGATGGTTGTGGAAAGAATGGTCGTGGATCGCAGGTCTACTCAATTCCAATTCCCGGATTGGAGGCACGAGAATTTCCTTAGAGTAGCAGGCTTAGACTAACCCGCACTTTCGCCAATTTTTTTTTGAAGGGCTTGAAAACCCTACAATTTTGAAAGGTGGCTGTGCGATTTTGTGTGTCCGCTGTGGAGTCATCAGTGGCTTGACTTTCGTGTTTCGAGATCCACTTGAAATGGATAGGTGGGGCGATCGAGTCTGGTCTGTGCAAAAAGTTTGGAGCTCCAACGGTCACATGCCTTTCATCTTTCATCACTCTATCAAATATTCTGCTGAAGATAGAATAGGCCTAGGAACATCGTCTATTGAGCAAAGGCATAGAAATACAGAAATATTTGAATTAACATCAATTCTTAAACTCCAGGCTTGTAGTTGTATCAATGATATACTAAGCTATTTCATACCTAGTGATATGCAGATTGCGGATGCTTTCATCTCAGTTGCAACCCATATTCTTCACATGGATCAATGGCCTTAGAATACATATGCTTTGGAAAGTGTTAGTTCTACAACTTTGACTGACTGGCAACTACCTAAAATGGAAAGCTCTTGCAACGTTTGAACTTACTATGGCTTTAATTGGGACACTAATGACTCGAGCCTACGAATAGTTCCTATTGAAGCAATCATGCATTTCTAGCATTTTCACTAACGGGACGCAAATTCGAACTGGTCACATTACATAACCGCATTATCTAAGACTCCAAGTACTAAGCTCAAAGAATCCAGCTAGGGCGAGGTATATAAGACAGGAAAAAACCCCAGCAGTCATCCAATGGTATTCGCCCTTGCGGATGTACCTCGGAGTTCCTCATTCAATGTGCCTGCCTTGGTAGCTCAATTGGCTAGAGCGTGGGACTTTTATCCGATCAGATTGCGGAATCCCAAGGTTGCGGGTTCGACCCCCGCCTGAGGCGCATAATTGCATATTCCAATATGCGCATCCTTCACTTCTCTTTTTTTGAGCTTATGTGTGTACCTAGTTCGCGTCGAGGTTTCGGGTTTAAATTTTAAGGTTGGTTTGGTTTTTTTGGTTTCATATATTATCGCGGAAGCCACGGAATTGTAATGAAGGCGTGGAATTCGGTTCGTGAAAGTGCGATTACATCAATTTTAGTATGAAATCTAACATGATTAACCCCCACATTTGACGTGATAAGCGATACATAGCAGTACTTTGTCATGCGTCATCGCCTCTTTAAACTAAATGGAATAACAACTCCCAATCAATCAATGGCTTCTCTACCATGATCTGCAGCAAAGCACCCATTCGGAGGCTCTTCGCCTCAGCCTCTCGGCTTGAAGCTTCAGAAACATATACTTTTCTGAGAAGACCTCACTCCTTTCCTAAGAGATGCTTCCACGGCACACCTTCCCATCTCACGGATGGTGTATTTCGCGGTCTTACGGATGACCGTCTACCGATGCCGTGGATAGAAGCATGGAGGCTCCAACAGGAAGGCAAGAATATCGCCTCCGATGAAGCCCGGTCGCAAGAGCGCGATCTCACGCCCAAGAAGATGAGCGACAGCTACCATCGAGTTGTGCTGCCACTCGGTCGTGACCCTTGGCTTAGTGATACATATATCAACTCGTCCGGTCACATAAGGTCCTAGGCCCGTCTCTCTTGTTCGCTAGGAACCTCGTCTAACTGGATAGATATGATATAGGCTAGGCACGATATTCATGGACCTCGATGCTTTATCCGGTATCATTGTCTACAAACACACCGGGCCCGGCGTCACCGTCGTGACCGCGGCCCTCGACCGCATCACCATCGCTCACCCGCTGACCGAGATATGCGATCTCGAGTACAGCGGACAAGTGACCTACGCATCCGGGCGAAGCAGCGTAGAAATCACCTGCAAAGTAGCCCGAGCCCGCGACGAAGGCGAGCCCAGCAAGCCCGAAGACGTGCTCCTGACGTGCACCTTCACAATGGTAGCCCTAGACCCCGTAACCAAGAAACCCGTCAACGTCCCGCGTCTCCTCGCCTCCACGCCCTCCGAAGAAGCGCTCTTCAAAGCCGGCGAAGCCAAAGCGCTCGCCAAGAAAAAGAACCTCAAAACCTCCCTGCTCGAGACCGAACCCAACGACCCGGAGTCCGCGCTAATCCACAAGATCTGGCTCAGACAGCTCGCTTATCATGATCCTAACAATAGCATAAGGCAGCCGGCGAACGTGATCGCCATGTCGCGGACGCAGCTCTCGACGGCGTCGATCATGCAGCCGCAGTACCGAAACCGGCACCAGACCATGATCTTCGGCGGCTTCCACCTGAAGCAGACGTTCGAGCTGGCCTTCTGCTGCGCCGCGAGCTTCGCCGACGCGCGCCCGACTTTTATTAGTGCCGACCCGTGTACCTTCCGCAACCCGGTCCCGGTCGGCAGCGTATTGTATCTCACGGCGACCGTCGTGTACACGGACCCTCCGCTGCTAGAGGAAGACGGCAGCGAGCCGCAGCAGAAGGATCCGAAAAATCCGATGACGCGATTGCATGTTAGGGTCGATAGTAAGGTTCGGGACGTTGAGCATGGGAACGCGAGGCCGACGGGCCAGTTTAACTACACGTTCTTGGTGCCGAAGGATGTTAAGGTCTTGCCTCGTACGTATATTCCAGATTATTTTTTATTGCATTATATTCTCGTCGTACTATTATCCCCCATATTTATTCGTATCGCTGTTTTGTGTTATCTCTTACCTTCACAATTTGATCATCCTGTCTTCCCGCTTCCCGCCCCACCAAGAAATCACGAGCTCGTAAATTAGCTTGATTACTTAAATCAGCCTAAAAATACTTGACTGATTTACGATGGCTTAGACACATACCAAGAGTACATGATGTATATTGACGCAAGGAGAAGAGTGCAGCTTGGAGATGTACAGGATCGCCGGGAGCACACTGGCGCCGAACTATCAGCTGAGAACGTTAACCTTACCGAGTGAAACACGTCCTATTTGGAGCACCGTTTCGAAGGATATGTGTAAATGATATCATTACAACGGCCATTAAATAAAGAGAAGAGCTAAGAGCGATCGACTTTGACGCTTGATTCTACCCCTTTGCAATAAGAATACCCGGCAACACTTCCTATACGATCGAAACGGAGAGGTGCTACTATCTTGTCACGCCTCTTCTGAAGACGAATGGTTATGGTGGTGATCCTCATTTGATTCATTTATTGTTGTTCCTCTCAAATTTCAGCTATTCTGAAGAGAGCAGTCAATCAAGCTATCTATGGGTTCAAAGCAAAGTGCACCTTCCAGGGAAGCTTGTAAAAGCTGCAACTGCCATTCCAGTTCAAAATGTTAGAGGATTGATTAGTGAACTTCAGCTGAGCAGTCCGATTTGACATTAAGTCGAACGGTATCTTGGCTGATTGAGGGCGACTCCAGCCCCGATTGCCAAGGAAATCGTGACCAAGCACCACAATTTTCTCAACCGTGCGATTCGAACCAAGTTCGACGCGATGGTCGATGAGCATACGAATAACCTTTGCTCCAAGAGGACTCCCCAAAAGGGCATAAAACCCCTCTTTGTTGCCTAGTATACTCTATGACAACATCATATTTCAATTCCGGCTGCGTGGCCGTCTTTCTACGGAGCGACTCGTAGAGTGATCGATTGGTGGCTTCCTATGCCACCAACTTCGTCCCATGATTCTCTATAGTGTCCACCCAAACCATCTTTAGCGATGAGCTTGGAAGGCCACGACTGTGGGCGTCCCGAACGTAGGACTGCCAAAGAAGTTCGGAGATGAGAGTTGCTAGGGTCCTGGCGTTCGGTCGTGCTTCCGTATTAGCTCGTTGATGATCAAGGCGCCCCGCAAGGTTGGCATCTGTTCTAACAAGAGAGATATGCTCTTCATCCTTCCTATTGGTATATATCTCAAGTCCAGGTCATATGACCTGTGTTGATATTATATGTTCTCATCATCTTGTGTGAGAACGATTCGAGCTGGTTGACTGATTTGTTGTATTCCCCCTCTTTGATATTGTATACGGTCTCTACACGAGGGAAAACGGAGGGTGGCGAATTCGACGAAGACTCTAGCTCAGCAAAGGGGCGTTTCCCCTTTTCGCGGGCTTCTCCGTATACGTCCCAGAGGTTAAGACCATCCATTGGAGGATCCAGAATCTTATCTCAACTAGGTAGCAGACCTTAGTCTGCGATTGACAGCATGTTGGGCAACATGTCCGCCCGTTGCTCTGTCTTATACTTGGAGTGTCGAGGGATGAACAGTGCTGTGTTGCTGAACTTGCATGCAATTGCGAAGAGGGTGTCAAATACTTCGTACCCAGCTTTAGACCAGATCGTTCCGTTGGCGACCGCGTCTTGGAGGCTGACAGAGTATATCCGACATGCTCATCTCCTTTGATATTATGGAAGGTATCGATGTTAGGGTACGTTCAAGACAGAACGTTTGACTTCACAGCCGATTCCGATCATATTCGCCTGCCTAGAGCTAGTAGGCCTATGATAGGTCTCTTGTCTATCGTCATCAGGACGGTGTAGCTCAACCATAATTGAGATGACGGCTGCAGCGATGTTGGCTTGCAGTATAACAGATGGAAGCCAAGCCGTCGTCTGAGCGATCGGCAGATGTTTCTTGATGTAGAGTCATGGAGTTTGAGAAGGTGAAAGACAAAAGCCCTTTTCAAAGCGGGAAAAGTATCGGAATGATATAGTTTGAGCAAATTTTCGGCCAACTTAGGGGTTTCCTTCCCTCTACCGATCATAGCAGGCACGACCTGAGCGAGTTATAACCCCCTTGCATAAAGCCAACCCCCTGTGTGCTAGACTCGCAACTTCTCTAGCACATCACCTATCGTCAGCGTAAAGGTGGTGCCAAAACCGAACGTCCTGTAACTTATGAAATATCTCCCCAGCCAGTCGTGCTTGGACATATCGGATGGTCTCCCAAGTATAGCCGTTTTTGTCGATTCCAACTTCCTGCGCATGTTTAATTACTCGGTCAACCCACTGCCGACATCCTTCCTCTCGTTCTTCTTTAAGATGTTGGGCGGCTTGGCGAAGTCTTGGTATAGCCGCTTCCTCTCTCTGCATCAAGTCCACGAAGAATTGTATTGCCACGTCGATCTTCACGCGGACGACACTTTCCCCTTCGGTACCTTCTCCAACATCTTCACGGTTTACTGTTAACGTCACGCCTGAGTTGATGAGCGACTGAAAATCTATCGGAGAACTCAGATGTTTATCTTCTCCTGTTTTGACTAGGAGCACGGTACAATGGGGTAGAAGCCAGCTAAGATGTTTCTCTTGAGTTCTTTCACTTCCAATCTTGCTATCACTCTCGATTATGTCTTGAGGAGTCGGGCGGTCCTCATAGTCCACGTACGCCATGACCAGAGGGTCTACGACGATGAAAGCTGCTCGAAATAGATGGCCCAAGGTGTAGCCATGATCCTTCCACGGTTTCTTTGCTCTACTGTGGGGTGGCCAGTATTCAAGTCTGAATTTGAAGCTGGTAGGGTCATCGAGTCGAGCAGATACACTATCACAGAGACTCCGGTGAAAGGATTTGATTTTGTCGATCGTTTGCGGCCCATCGCTTTCCTCGAATGTAATTGGCTTGGAGAAATAATGGTGGCGCTGGAAGGGTGGCCGTTCGTTGTGTATCTGAAGCCAACGATGAAAAATATAACGGCCCAACTTTTTATGTTCATAACTTCCTACCTTTGCCGGGGCCGTAAAGTAGATGGCGGCGTATTTGTTGAAAAAATCGATGATACTTGTCACGCCACCCGTACCATACTCCCTAATAGAGGCTCTGTTAAGGTGTCCACGCGGCAATTCTCGGCTTGAGAAGAAGCGTGTCGTCGAATCTTCGCCCCATTGGCTTTTTCTGCAATGCATACGGATCGTTTCTGCTGCTGCCTGATAGAAATAAATTTCCAGGCCTTGCCGCAGTAAGGCGAGCATATGACTTGACAATGGTTCTGCGGTTTGCAATTTGACATATCTTTGATTTAGGAGGCGATCCGTGTCATCAATATCGCAGTCTGGCTTGTTTTCTTCTCCCCATTGGTTGGTTATTAGGTAGGGAGCTGCGCTGCCGTCGTGTGTGTATCCCATCATTAGTCCAAGATCTTGAGTATGTTGACATATATGTCTACTAACGTAAGATAATTGTGAGAAATTAAATACTGTATGTTCACTACCTACGGAGTATCTGACAAGTAGCATATATATATATAGGTAGGTAGGTATTGAAAGAAGATTATGCATATTAGGCGTTTCTAGGGTTACGATGTAAGGTTTAGTTTGCGTTATGAGGCGAGTAAGTTCATACCTGTAGGTTAACTGATAGTAAGCTTTCAATTCCAAAGCTTGATCAAACAAAGTCTATGTATACCTATGTATACTAGAGTTTTCTTATATTTTGCTCGTTATTACGATCGCGCTGCTTCGGTTTGCAGCGCATTAGATAGGGAGCATGCATATCGACGGAGCATCGGAGCGGAGTATCGGAGGATGGAGACGATGATCAAGATATTGAAAGGTACCTAGTTAATCATCTGTTCTAGAATATCACTCCTTCATATTACATAGATCTATGACAGAGTATCAATAACCCAAACCCCTCCGCCCTCTCTCTTCTCCCTCTAGCTTTAGTAGCTTGAGGCGGGTTCACTTAAGAAATGTCTGACCAGGACGGACAGATCCCCTATAGTGGGTCTGGTACGACTCCTAGAGGCCGTGCTCGTCTACCATCCAGTAGGCGTCGGGATAAACCGCAACTTTCTTGCAACTTCTGCAGGACACGAAAGTACGTGCCATAACTTCCGCAAAGATCACGTTCTGACTCTTTCCTAGATTAAAATGTAATCGAGAACACCCCTGTAGCACCTGTGCACGACGAGGTGTGGGCCCGTCTTGTACTTACGCTTCAAATTTGCCGCCCCACGATGGACCAAACCAGCCGGACAGGGCTTCTCTAAGTGTACAAGATAGGATACAACAGCTGGAGGACCTCGTAGTCAATTTAATGAAGACGTCGGGGATAACCCCCATTCCAGAGTCTCCAAGCTCTAAATCGCCGACCGGCTCTACCCTCGCCCCTACTCCAGCCAAGCAAACTCACGAAACCCACGAAGATGCTTCGCCCACATCAGACTGTGGAAGTATGAAGTTGAGCGAAGCGAGCGTGAGCTACGTGAGTGGCTCTCACTGGGCGTCCATTCTTGAAGGGATAGGTGAGCTCAAGGATCATCTCGAGGAGGAAGAGTCGCAAACTATTCATCACGTCACTGAAACCCCTGAATTCGACATACCAGGGCCCCAGTTGCTGTATGGTTGCCCGAGACATGCGACTAAGGAGGAACTCTTGGCCTCTGTGCCTCCTAGACTGGTTGTGGACCGATTAGTTTCGCACTACTTTAATTATTTCGAGATGTCTCCCGGTTGGTGTGGCCGTGAAACTTTTGCTGCATATATAAGCTGACTATTCTGAAGCAGCCGTCGTACATCCAATCCAGTTCCTAAAAGAGGTAGATGATACCGTGCCAACCTACCCCTAACTAGGTGCTTTATGTTGATGCTTTTTGCTAACGACGTAATGCTAGTACGAGCAATTCTGGGAATCTCCATCCGCCACGTCCGTCATCTGGTTAGGCCTTTTATTCGCTATCATGTCCCTCTCAGCTCATTTTCAAATGTTCAGAATTGACCCGGGAGAGCGGTTTCTACCTAGTACACCCCCTGGGACCGATCTGCAGACCATGAAAGAATTGTTTGGGCAGAATACGGTACAATGCCTCATCCTGGGCAGGTATACAAGAGGAGGTCCGTATGTTGTAGAGACGATGGTTCTTTACTTTGCCAAAGAATACATTGTCTGTAGGGATGCCGATATGGGCGTTTGGATTCTGTTGAGCACAATTGTGCAGATTGCCATGCATACGGGCTACCATCGGGACCCAAAGCACTTTACAGGAATGTCACCTTTCGTTGGAGAGATGCGAAGGCGTGTTTGGAAAACCCTGGTTGAGCTCGACCTCTCGATTTCTGCTCAGATGGGTCTCCCGAGGTTGATTAAAGAAGAACAAACTGACACAGAAGAGCCTCGTAACCTTCATGACAGCGATTTTGATGCAGACACGATAGAGTTACCTCCCGCAAGACCAAACACAGAGCTGACAGCTATGTTAATTCGTCTCAGCAAGTCTCGATTGATGTCATCTTTGGGTTTGGTATGGGATCTTGCCGCTGATATTAGACCTCATACGTACGCCGAGGTGATGAGCATAGATAAGAAACTCGAGGAAACACATGCGTCCATCCCCGACTGCCTTAGATGGCGGTCCATGGCTCAGAGTATCACCGATTCACCAAAGATAATTATGCATAAAGTCTTCCTAAAGATTATATTTTATAGGACCAAGATAGTCCTCCATCGGCAGTTTAGCCGTACCAAGACACCACAACAACACGCCTATTCCAGAGAAGCCATTCTGGATGCGTCCTTCAATCTCCTCGAGTGCCAACATATGCTCGACGAGGAGACGCAGCCATTTTGTCGGTTATATGACGAGCGTTGGAGGGTTTCATCCTTAGTATCTCATGACTTTCTCCTTGCCACCAGCGTTCTTTGCCTCTACCTCCAAGAGAGTTCAGGCGATGTCGGACAAGCCGCCCAGTCTACGTTAGTAGAGAAGATCCTGAAATATCTTGAAACTTCCTATTCCATATGGCTTCGACGCAGTACCACATCGAAGGAGGCGCAAAAGGCCGCGAAAGCTGTTAGCATTGTTATTCAGAATCGCCGGGCTTCTAACAAGACGCTTGATTTCAAACCTACAGTCTCGGAGGAATGGATGTCCTGGCTAGATTGGCCTACTAAGTCCTTCCCATCATCAGAGTCCTGGAATAACCAAGGCCTTCAAACATCTGATGGTAAGCAAATTTGTCATAACGGCTTACGTACTAGTAAGGATTCTTGGGCTAACAATAATAGCAACCATAAATGCGCTAGGTCCAGCTCAGTGGCCTTTCGGCCTGTAGTGATGGAATCATCCAGACCACTCTTACGCTCGATTGTCCGCGTCATTTTAACCGTCGATGTAAGTGAGTTTTTGGCTAGAGACCCCGGAGGTTTATTTACGGTTCAGGGGTTCAGGGGTAAATCTTCCGATCGGTAAACACCACTAAGCAAAACCACTTTGCACATAAGCTCACATGAATAAAAAACGACAACATACCTACCATTTAACATGCTAGACTCACCATTTTCCGTAACTCACAATTCACCACCGCCTCCCTCCGACCCACCCCCCGTCCCGTTCCCCACCCCAAAAACCAAGCAAACCGCCGGACTCATAAATTCCGTAAAATTGCTATGCCGGAACACCCTAAACGCCACCATCGGCACCTGGCTCAAACTGCCCTTCCTCGCCGCGGCCGCGAAAGCGCTCGGGAGGGCCGTGATATTGTAGCGGTAGGCCAGCTCCATAAGCCGCTCGTGCTTATCGTTGAACTCGCCCAGATCGGCCCAGTTGTTAAACACGTCAGTGATCCACGAGATGTCGAACCAACGGGGTTCCCCTCCTGATATTCGCTGGTAGAGTATGATAGGCCAGACGAAGAACACGGCACCGGCCGCGACGGCTACCTTGATGACGTGTAGGGTGGAGCGCGGGGTGAAGTTGAAAGTCCCGCCGATGCTGAGACGGTCGCAGGGCGGTTCTATGCCCGACGCGTAGCCGATGAGATATCTCACGGCGGGGGAGATGAGGACTTCGTTTATTACGAACGGGGCGAGCATCTCGATCAAATATCCGTATGTTAACATGACGAATATGCCTATGTGGATAACCGTGTAGACTAGAAACATCAATACGAACAGCGCCTTTTCCGTCTGCAGCGCGGGGTACTCCGGGTATCGCCGCGCGGCGCGCGTGTAGTATTTCTGGATCCGGGATTCTAGCGACACGCCGAGTCTCGGACCCAGTAGATTTTGGAAGACAGTCCAGCCGCACGCGTACGCCATGAAGAACGCGACTATCGCGAACCACGGGCGCGCCCAGCGCTCCACGTTGCCGATTTCCTCCGACCCGCCGTAGGTTGGCAGGAACGAGATCAGGACCCCCAAGAGGATGTTTACGAGGTTTGGGATGTGGATGAACCACGAGAAGTGGAGGACCATGCGTGTGCTGACGGCGGATAGATTGCTATCGCACAGGGCGTCGAGGAAGTTTAGCGTGAAGGCTTGACAATTGGTGTCGAAGGTTCGGTAGGTGGGCCAGGTTTTGATTAGTGTAGTAGCTGTGTTCGATCGTCGGCTTAGTGAGTATTTGGTGGGGAGGGAAGACTAATATACGAACCTGCTTCGTCCATCTCGTTTTCCAGCATATCTGTTTCGCCAATCAGAATGATGTTATATGTGGTCTTGTAATATTCGTATTCTGCTTCGGTCAGATGCCTCTTAACACATTGGCATATGTCCCCCTCCCGCTTGGCTATATATTGAATGGTATTAGCAACAACAGTAACTAGATACCTTTTTATCTTGTAAACTAGTAGGTATATTACGTACATGTTCGTTGCCGGACAAGTGTTTCAGCAACTATACGGACTGGTGGCGCAGAGGTCTCCGCAAAATCAAGGGGTGGTGCTTCCACTGGAGAAGATGGCGTGAAAGTGGTTGCTGGGAACTCAGTTCTCAATGTCGTGAGACTTGGATAATCCAGAAGCGGTAGTCCTTCATCATATGTTTCATCGATTATACCGTCGGGATTGATCATCAGTTCCTCTACCATCTCCTCGTCCTGGGTCTCATCAAGTTTGGCAACTTCATTAACCCGGAGAGCTTTCCGGACCTTCGTAAGCTCATACATGTAAGGACCAACCTAACTAGTCAGCTAGAGGATACGGATCGAAATAAATCTTGGCCAGAAGGAAAATGCGTAGGCTTACTAGAACTTTCCAATGCGACCAAGCGGCTTGATCTCTGCCGAGTGCTACAAGTGTATTCAGACCAAGCATACCAGTGCCCACCACCGTCATTAACGTGAACATATCGATGAGTGGCTCCGAAACGAGACTCATTAATTTACTGAAAGGAAGTGTCAAGATGGATACAAAAAACAGACTGGTCCAAAGTCGCCAAAACAGAGGAAGACTCAGGATGAAGATGACCAATAAGTAACACAGATAATAGACGATGAAGCCGAGTGTTAGGATTGTGATGAGAATAATCCTGGACTCGTAACGTCTGAAGAACCTATCAATTAATTCGGGAACGTCTAACATCGCCAAGAAGGCATTGTAGGCGGTTCCAATTGTTCGGTATACAGGTCTTAGTCCTCTTATTGGAGAGTGAACCAGATGCACTTCTAAAGGATACTGAAAAGCACCCTTAGTTTCTGGCCTTTCGGAAACCCGAAAGTCAGGCTGTAAAGGCGGCTGAGTATCCGGGTCGAAAGGGCGGAGGCGGCCCGCGACCGTCGGAAAAGGTGCGTAGTCATCCTCGGCCGTGGGCCTTTTCCAAGTCTTGATCTGTCGGTCTCTATGGACATAGGAGACACCAGCAATACCAGGCCACTCACGAATCTCCCAACCGGAAGGTAGATCCGATACTAGTATTTCTCGACGAGCATCGGCCGGTAGGTCCCATAAAGCTTTGTGATTGATGGTGTCACTCCCGTGTTGTACTTCATTGGCAGTGACCTGTTGGGCATGCGTATGCAGGTTCTGTGTGACTTCAAGTCGAATATCGGCCGGGAGGGCTTCGAGAAAGTCTGGATCAACTCCATCACTAGCCGTGCTCTCGTCTGTTGCAGACACGGTTCCGTGAGGCGCCATTTAGATAGAACGCGCAGGCCATGAGAAGAAAGAGATGGAATATTCCAGGCTGGAGATTTGAAGGTCTCATTTTTAGGTGTTTCGCTAATGTTCAGCTTCATTCAGCCCCTGCCCCGAGATTTTCAGCTTCGGCTGACTCCAGCACACCCTACGATTGTCGCCCCGTTTTCTCTAATTGTTTTTATAGTTAAATAAAACCTCGTTATCAGTGACTGCAAGTGATTCATGGGATACTTTTTAATTACAAAGTCCCGAAAGACGTACTCGTTATGTACATCCGACGTTTTACCGTAGCTATGTACCCTGGGATGGCGACTTGTGCTCGCTCGTTTCCTCGTTTCCTTGTTTCCATACACAGGATTTCTCAATCCTTATTCCTCATTCCTCAGCCCCCCCCTCCTCAGTCCCCCCTCCTCAGTCCCCCTTCCTCAATCCCCCTTCCAGGATCATCTCATCATTGGTACCTCCAGCCATATGTTCGCCAGAAGATGTCCTTCAAAGACTCATGAACATAAGTTCCCATCTTGCTGTTCATTGCTTCCTCCAGTCCCTTAATGCGAGAGGCCGTCTCAGGTAGGTATTGCACTGCCGTCGCTAAGACTACATGGCAGTATGGCTTCGGCGGGTCCGTCCCCAAATCATTCTTGATCTCCTGGAATAATAGTAGGTTGCGGTACAAGTGGAGAGCATCTGCCGACTTCAACTTGCAATTCTCTGCGTATATTACGTGCAAGAACAACATGACGTACAGAGCGTACGAAGTCATAGGAAAGCATAGTTGCATGAGTATCTTGAGAGTAAATCGCCGCTTTTCGGCATCGTCGTCCATGACCCCGGCGACGCATCTTCCGATAGTGACCCCGAGGACATTGGGTACTTGTGTGCTTTCGTACAAGCTTTCTACTGCTTGACGGAGTTCGTCGGCTTCAATGTCGTTTAAGGGCCTGGTCTTGTCAGGCACGAGCCCATCCATAAGCCATCGACCGTGGTCATTGCGGACTATCTGGTGTGAGCTCAGTTTGTCAGGGTCTACGACATAGCCTGCGAGAAGAAGAACCGCATGATTTAGTCGAGTAACGCTAGAAAGAAGTGATACTGCGTAGTCCAGCAGTGTTTTGGCAGTATGACACTCGACAGCCTCATCATTCTTAAAGAGAGTTGCTGCTGCCGGCTTCGGATTGCAGGCCAGCGCCACCGCTTGGACGATTTCACTTCGCGACGCATCGGCCGCCGGACGCTGAAAGGTTAGCAGCAACGGAAGCTTCATCGATCGTTGTTCCAGCGCGGCGACCAAAGCCGGAGTAAGACTCGGTCGCGACATCGTGTATAGGAATATTCCATCAACAAGTACCCTTTTGATTCTGTATTGATGAATCTCTTCAGTAGCTGTGTATTCTCCTTTCACGATTCTCGGCTGGCTAAAAGAGCGAGGATATAATAAGTGGTGGGTAACATCTTTCGCAGGCAGGTTGTCATAATCGTGCCATGTCCACTGGCCAATTGGCCCAATTAGGGCTTGTGTCGCATTGAAGGCGGGTATATCGCTATGCTGGGGGTCTGGGACAAAAGGCGGTATCAACGAAGACTCGACATCGGAAGGGTAGAAGGAGTCTACCACGGTTGGGCTGATCTTCCTCATCTCCTCTTCCACCTCTGTTTCCGAGATCGATGTCGGCGAGATCGAATATTTTTCGTCCCGACGAGTGTCATGTTCGTAGGCTTTGTTCACAAACCGGTACGGATGAGTGTAATAGACCAATCGATAAATCTCCGTCCGTTTCAGAAACTCGATGAAATAGATGATGAAGTGAGTTAAGGGGGGCTGAGAAATGGGGTAGGTCATTACAACGCCTTGGGGTATCTCATGGAGATGACGCTTCAGAAAGTCCCAAACAAAAATGGCGAATATGATCTGTCCTGTTGAGAAGATGTCTCGAGGATTTGCTTCCATGAATTTGTTGATTAACTTGAGTAGTTTTCCTGTTACTTTGTACTCGTTGAAGACCGGAAGTTTACCGTAGAGTTCGCCTGCCACAAAGGGGGCAGGTTGTCCGTTCAATGTTGGCCGTGAAATTGGTCTGCAAAGAGCAGCAAATGGTTGCCAGGGTTTTCCACGTCGAAGCTGCCCGTACCATACAGCTTGCTTCTCGATGAATGCGTCTTGGGATGTGGGCGTTGTACTGAACAACAACTTCGCATTCGCGATCGTGTTTTGGACGCATATAGACCAGTGGTAGACATACCCAGGTTCCGCTATCTCACCTAGTGGTGTATCATCGCCTTGTCGGTGAAGGGAGAAGTGGACTATTCCCGAAGATTTTCCCAAGTCATCGTCCTTTACAATTTCCTGTCCTTGGGGGATATCTTCTTGCAACTTGATCATGACGGAATATTCTAGATAACAGTCAAGTCCACAATAGGCGTGCTTTGTAGCATCCACATTAGGAAGATTCTTTGGGACACCATACCCTAGAGCTCTAGGTAACACCTCGATTTCTTCGTGCTTCAACTTTGAGAAATCTGGGTGGCCACCAGGATATATCTCGAGGGTTCTGTATTTGTAGAGGACCTCGAACCCACTCATGAAATCGGCCATCGTATTTGTAGCCAATACGGCTGACGCGGCTATTAAATTGAGAATATGATTAGCAATTATTAAACAAAGAGAGCCCGGAGGGATGGTCGGATACTCACTACGTAGGTGGTTGTCGGAGAATGTAAAAAGGTGAAGGGTTGATGGGAAGATAATGTGTTTGTCAGGAAGACAAAATGAATTTTGTTTTGTGTCCGTAAACAAAAGGGCCTAAGTACTTTGGCAACAGTAAATAATTAATTTGTGGAAGCTTACCACGAGTTGTCGTCGGTCTTCATCTATAAGACGGGAGCGTCGATTAGACATCACTAGCCTGTATACTTATAAGCCATCCTAGGAGAGAAGGCTTTGGTAGGGGCTTGCTATGGATATCAACAGGCACCCTGGATAGCAGATGATGTAGCTTTGAATAGGAGCTGTAGTGGAGAATATGGCCATACTGACCCCTACTGACCTTTGTGAACATTTCTACATGGTAATAGCTCTCAAGCCGTTAGTAATAATGAACTTCAATCAGACATTGAAAGAACGACAGAAACGGGGCAGACATCACGACACAATGGAAAACATCGACTGAAGCGTGTAGTGAACTTGTAAGACACACCTTCCCTATCAGGGCTGATAATCCTATACTCAGGGATTGCTAGCAGAAGCAACCTATGAGCCCAATTACTGTCTATGGTTATCATACTTAGTAGTCTCTTAACCCTATGGAGCAGACACGGCACTGATGTTGTTATATGAAGCCGACCCTTGAATCACCATACTATCTGGAAGTGTGAAAGACTCCTGCAAGAGCCACAGCTCTAATAAGACGGTGATATTGGAAATCCATCGATATAAATAGCTACCTAGGTAGCTGTGAAGAAATGAGGTGAAGGCCATGCTACGTGCTAGCCCCAGACTATCCCTAATTTTCCCATCGAATTACAAATTCGCCCATAGGTATTTCATACCTTCCCATATTTCAATACCACTCGGCAAAATCTGGTCGGCAGGAAGCACGAAGCCGTACGGAGTCGATCTAAGCTCTATTCCCCACCCGAACTCAGCTCCAGCCGCGTCAGTCATGTAATCTCTACCGTTCCCGCTCGACTGGTAAAGGACGAGACAGCCCGATCCATATTCGAATGTCGTGTTGTCTGTGTAGAACGCGTTAGGAACCATCGATAAAAGCCATAAATGATTGATGGATAATCATATTGCTGGAGAAATATATATAGAAATATTTCACATACATGGCTGTGCGATTCTTGCAGCTGTTTCGCCCGCAAGACTGACTTGCCTGTCATAGTTCGGCGGAAACGTGTCACAGCTGTAACCATACGAGAGCAATATCACTTGGGCGTAGCTGTGCCAATCGATATACAGCTTGATGCCTTTATCGCTAGCCAGAGTCTGCGCGTAAGCCATCAACGCAGCTGTTTCCGGTGCGTCTCCGGGTTGATAGCCGCTGAAGGTCTCTGAATCAGGGTTTGATGAAGAACCGCCGCCACCAAACCCGACGGACCAGTTACGGTTTATATCCGTGCCGACCGCTGTAGTGTTATCTCGTGTCTGGCGATTTTTCCTCCAGAGGCGGTTGGTCGTCTGGGAATACACAAAGCCTTGAAAACAATATTTTAGTAAGAGATCCGGGCTATTTTCTCCTTGAGCTTAGAGGAAAATTAGCTACATACCGTCGGGATTCACCACAGGCAGAACATAGAAATCGTAGTTGTCTAGGGCTGCTTGTACTGTCGTATCATTCTTGTACCCGATGACAATCTGATAAAGTAGATACTCGACAACCTAGCAGCGACCCGCATCAGTGTATAAGAAGATCAATAAGGAACTTACAAGCTACTTCATGTCGAACGTACCTTTGAGGTGATCCATTCTCGAGCATGGACATTTCCGTTGAAGAAGATGGCCGGTTTTGAATCCTTACCGCTGCTTCCCCAGAGATGGATACCTTGAATTTGTCTCCCCTCGAACGAGGGCCCTACTTGGATAAGCTCCGAATTGTCGGGAAATGACGCCTGGAGGTCGCTCCAGTATTGGATGTGGTCTTCATATGCGTGATACGAATCAAACCAGGATATTGACGGAACACCATTTTCGTCAAGTTCTAAAGCACAGTTAGTGAGACATTTCATACTGTTGAGTGATGGTTACAGGCCTGGGTAGCTTCCCAAGGGACCTTCAGCCGCAATATCAGCTCCTAAGTTGTCACTCAGCACTGTAGTAGTAAAATTGAGCGTATCAAAGGGCTCAAGGTGCTCCGGTGGAATTGCAATATCGACTGTTCCACCGTTATGGTTGAGTTCGACGACAGATAGACCCTCAAATGCTGAACTTAGCTCATTCGTGCGATCGTTCGTGTTCACCCTATAAACCTTATAGCCTTCATATGAGGCCTTTCCGTCACGACCTACTCGAATCAAGGCGCCAGAAACGCTAGCTAACCAAACAACACTTAAAAACTTCATGGTGGCTGCCTGTGACATCCAAGAAACTCTTTAGCCAAGGAGGGCGCGAGCAGGTTTTATCATAAGCTTTGGTGGCGAGTAGTTATAAGCTCATTCAGAAGCTTTGTTGGGGAGACTGATGCATTGCAACACAACATTGGAGATACTAGCAGTCTCCTTCCTAAACTCGCTATCCAGTAGCTTGGCAAAATGATGTGACAATGGTGCAAAATATCGACAGCACGTGTGGTAACGGCAAGCTGTAAAAGACGACAAGAAAATTACTATGCTAACGTGTTGTCATGTCCAATCAAGGTCGTATAAAAACCACTCGCCCATTAGATGGGTCTACCGCATAAGGGGGTATACAACGTTCAATGGTGAAATAATACAAGAAAATGTTTTAATCCTAATGCTTGACTGTAAGCGTCTGCATATATTAATCGATACATTGTTAAATATATTACAGAATCTTATTAAATACGCATATCGTATGTTAGCTGCCCCTTCTTTGGCTGCCACACTTGTTAGGGCTGTTGCGGCGGCTTTTTGAACCCTCTATGGCTTCTGTAGTCGGCGTGTGGTTCTTAAGGCTTGGTCGATACCGATATATCACGGCGTCAGCGAATGGGTTGTCTTCGTATCCCCTCATACCCTCCAGAGACTTGACTTTCTTTCTCACTTCTTCTAGTGAGTAAGGCCCTGCCATATCGTCATGATCTTTATGCCCATTGGATGTACTACTCGCTATCGCGCCAAGAGCAGTCCAGCTGAGTCGTGTTCGACGTGTCCTAAGCCGTTCATTGGGGACGCTCTGCGCGAGTGCAGCTAACTCTCGCATCTCACTCAACTCGCGATCGACTTTGCATACTTGGCCAAGGACGCCTGCATGAGGATCTCCATTGGGAACGAGGGCGTCAAGGTAGTCATCAAAAGAGTAATGGCAATTCCCAGGAAGTAAGTAAGACCTTGTCGATACTTGAGCAGTTTTGTGGATAGTGTACAAACTGCCCACAAAGCGGCCTTCTAACCTTTGGCGAATTCCCAAGAGCACTCCAACTTGCGCGAAAGGATCATCTGTGAAAGCGAAATGGGTAACCGAAGGGGCGGTTGGGCCAGGGTTTTCTTCGCTTTGCTGGTGGGAGCGGCCAAGCGGTAAAGTCATCTCAATTGACGCTGCACCAAACGTAAACACTTGAAGCTTGCTTAATTGTGTTCCGGAAGGGAAGTCGGAGCAGAGACGGGCAAGTAACCACGAAACGTCGAGAGCACCTGTGTGATGCGCGAGGATGCGCACGCCACTTGTTTCTGGCTTCAAAAGGCTCGTCCGTACAGATTGATATAAAGCCACTGATATTTCAGTGGGAACGTAGACGTTTCGTTGAATAAGTGTGAGGACCGTATCGAAAATGAAGCCGAGCCTACGGGGGAGGAAAACGTGCATATCGTGACCGAAGATTTTCGCAAGTCTTGATGGGAGCTCCCGGCGCATACGTTCATTATCCATTAAGCCACCTACAACGAACCAGTCCAAGTGGCAGTCCTCATCGCCCGGCACATCGTCTTCGGGTTGGTCTGCAGCATATTTAAAAGACGATGGTCGATTATTCGCAGCGCGAAGGAGAATCCAAATCGAGGCGGCTAGCAAACTCAACCAGGGCAAAAGAACGAGACCTGGCACTACCGGCCAAAGTAGACAGACCGAAAAGAGAAACTGTAGCTGGAGGAGCGATAAGAGAAAATACAATATCGTCTCACGTAGCTCAGCCCAGCTCGTTTTTCGTCTACGGTTGACAATTGAGACCACGAGAGCGGAAAGGATGCGCGGGATGGCAGCGGCAACGTAGGAAATATCTGCTTTCAGCAATGATGCGGCGGTTTGCTGATGGCTCAATGGCGTAGTACCCAAAGCTTCGTCTGTCAATGCTAGAGCGAGGCTCAACGACAAGCCATTTAGACTAGCAGGTCGCGACGGATCCTGCTTGAGGGTGTGGTGTACAGTAACGGGCGAATTCGCCATAACATCGTGTCGCGCGGTGTTGGTGGACTTTTAGAAACTCTACAAAGCAAACCCAGATCAGTGAGTTCCGTGGAAGTAAAGGAAAAGAAGCCATTCTTGATGTTTTTTTCCCTCGATGGAATTTGGCGACAATCCAAACCACACGAGCACACATTCCAAAGCGCAGGATTCGCGTGGCGCTTTTGTGTTTCCAACCAAATTGCGCCGACGCGCCCGTGACACAATATCAAGCATGGTGTCTTTTAGTAGATCATGTTCCTAGCCGGCGCTTGGTGTTCTTAGTCCAGCTGAAGCCGTGAGGAGGCCTCTCTGTAGTACGAACATTTTGACATGCCGTTTCTGAACCGAGAGCACGTGCTCGTGAGGTCCGAAGCTGAGTATCTGGAGAGACAAATGTTTCTAGAGTATTCGAGTGAGCATTTAATATTCAACAATTATGAAATTCGGTATGAAACGTGGCTAATTGCGGTGGTAGGGATCTAAAAGTTGTAAGTGGGAAACCTATCGCGATGTTGATTCTAAGCGGTCATAGTCAAATATCCCTCTTTTAGATTTTATTCTGGCCGAGACAAAAATGTAACTCAAGAGACTCAATTTAAGATAGAAACGTAGAGATGTTCTTCTTTCTTCCATTCAGGACTACAACCGGAGTGGTGTTCCATTCACCTGGATGATTCTAGCCTTGTTGATCTCGTCTCCGGGTTTCCAGGGCATGGCGTTCCAACAGTGGCTCTTGGATCTCAGATATGTATGGGGGTCTAAAGAAGACGGATATCATCGGTCTGTCAATGGTAATGATCTTCCATTCTGACAGCTTCTAGAACCATGACGGCGGAAGGGGAGAAGAAAAGAGAAAGGTCTTTTAGATTGATGTCTGGCTATTTTCAGCACGCTTAGAGTTGAAAAGTTGTCGCGGAGATACTTGGCGCGAGCTGTGGACTTTAGCCTCTACGGCTGAACTAATTCTTGGGAGTAATTGGGGAAGTTAGGGGTTGGGTCATGCTACCTTTAGTGGGATAAGGTCCCTATTGGATCAGTTGGAAGCTAAAATTAGCACAATCAGACGTACCTGGTTATTGTCCAGGCGGCCCCGCAGAATTAGTCTTTGGGGCGGGTACTTCGAAATGGTTTCGCCAACACGTTACTGTACCTTTCAACCCTGTGACCGAGTCTGATACGTCAATGTACATTTATGTATTAATATCAACATCGGTCTTCAAGAATGTATTTTGTCCATATCGACGTAACCGGGTACAATCTCATCTATTTTACACACGCATGTCACTTTTGATCAATTGGCATCCGTGTGTTGTGCGAGATGTGTCATGATTCTTCTTGTCTAATCATGATACCATCATACGTACATACCTCCTACTTCGTCGTCGACATATGAAATATCACGTTGAGATGGATGTAGGAAGATGCCACATATACAACTATCCTCTGTTATACAGATTAGTCCTGGATTGGGAAACATCGACGCATCACTAGGTAACGTGCACAAGCAATTAAAGTCCAAATGCTGAGATGTGACCACTGCCTTCCATCTGTAGATCGGCCTCACCTACCAAGATTCACGTCAAGTCACTAGGTATACCTAGGTAATTACCCTTTTCTTGGCCTTGTTGAATCCGCCGGGTCTCTCCTTTTCCCATAGACGTCAGATGGGACATAAATGCGCCTCTTTCCTCTGATCGGATCCTATGTTTTGCCTCCCATCATCATCACCACACCCTGCAGTCTAAAACAAACAACAGCATAAGAACCTACACACTAAAACCATTCTCCCCTCATACTATACCTATATACCTCATTTTCAATATCATCAATAGCATCAAACCCAATTCACCATGAAGTGGCCCGTCAACCTACTTCCCCTCGGCCTTCTTGCCGCTTTCGTTTCCGCAGCCCCTATTGTGGAGCGACAACTCGACCTCTACCAACTCCAAATCTCTTGGTAATGAGCCACTTGATAGCTAATCACTGCCAATGATTGTTGCTAATAAAGCCAATAGCCCAGCAAACAAGAATGTCGACGGTCGGTTCCTTTCAATGAAGAACAACACCTTGGGCGTCTTCGAGGGAGATGATGTCTCTCCCGTTAAAGTGTACACGGTCCAAGGCGAGAAAGAAGGCCTCAACGAGTTACACACATACCCTGTCGGTATCGTCGACCACTCCGTCGGCCTCATGGGTCCTCCTGGTCTGTTAACTCTTGTCGACATGACCAACCCTCGCACTATCCAACCCGGAGAGGGCCAGGTCGCACAATGGGACACTTTCCGCCTTGATGCTGGAAAGCTTACCAACGACGGAGAGGGTCAATGGCTCGCCTTCCCTGGTGTTGGCGACACCTGGTATGTGAAATGGTCTGATGGTGCGTTGTCAAGCATACCCCAATCCCTTCTGAGCCGAGTAGTAACTGACTTTCGAAGGTTCCGCTGTTATCACCGCCGACTTCATGATTGTTGACGTCGTATATACGGATGCTGGCGAGGGCCGCTTCAACGGAGAGTAGATCATGGTCAACGGCGTTGGGGGAAAGGTGAAAAAGTGTAATTACTAATTAAGGTGGACGAACCGAAGAGGATATCACTCCACTAATAGTTCACTGTCACTACTTCGTAGCTTACATACCTAGGAAGTCTTGGTTGGCAAGATAAATAAAAGTTGATGCTTTCTTTTTACTTCACTGTTGCCTTTCTCGAACCGCGAGGGGTATATATGATAACAAGAATACCTAAATGTAGAGATTCATGTAAGTAAACCACCACATTATTTCCGATTGGCTCGATTTCTTCACGTTTATGGCGGCAGCTCCCAACCCCTATTTCTTACAGCTCCATGCAGCCACGATCCTTCTCTTAGGTATACGCCATGTGGCAGTGATCCAAATGGTGGGTCTATTATCGTAGGGCTGAACAATTCGGAGCTTTTGATTTGTCGGCTCGGACTTGACCTCCACATGTATGACCCCCGGTCAATCTGCGCCCCCTGAAGTCTTACGGCACGGCTCATTCACGATATCATTCATAATAACGACGATATCATGCCTTATGCTGACTTCTTTACACCTTTTTAAATCAAGAAGAGATCCTCTTGCTTCTCACAGGCTTGATCGGACCTTGCCCCTAATTCATCTCCTTCCTCCAAACGCCTAGCAACGCCACGACCAATGGCTCGGAAGGGCAGCTCCAAAGTTAGGACAGGCTGCCTAACGTGCAAGTACGTTGACTAACGCTGTGGTTTTTGTTTTTAGTATGACTTGCAGAGAATTGACATCCAGGCACAGGGTTCGTAAGATAAAGTGCGACGAAACTAAACCGCACTGTAAACGCTGCGTATCCACCGGCCGCAAATGTGACGGATACCCGCCGCCACCATCGTCATTGACTCTCTCGTGGCACCGCCCGCGTCAACTGTTTCCAAATGTTGACGATGTTGGTGAAAGGCGAGCCTTGCAATTCTTCTGCCAAGCTGCCGGGCCCTCTCTATCAGGGCCGATGGACCCCTACTTCTGGTAAGAATGTCTTAGCCTAGAACGTCGAGGAATAATTACGCGTGGAACAATTGTCTAATTATAGAAAGGACCCATCTGGTCATGCAATTCAGCACTTTCGAACCAGCCGTCAGACACTCGGTAGTCGCCATCAGCTCCCTTTACGAACAAATACACTCCAAGCCAAAGTCGGTACGGTTGTTAACCGACAACAGACTTGCATTGTCTCACTACAACTCGGCTATCCGAGAATTAAAATCGATTAATAATGAGCCCCTGGTTCTCCTAGTATGTATCCTTTTTGTATGTCTCGAGTTCCTGCTAGGGAACAGAGACACGGCAATCGAACACTGTAAACACGGTGTCGTCATCCTGGAGAATGTCGAAACTTCATATCCTTGGACGAAGAAATACCTTTCTCCAATATTCCGTCGGCTGACCCTTTTCCCGTTCTTCTTTGCCATCGATGAGTCAAGTTTTCCTAAACTTCTTGGGTTAAACGACCAGCTTCCAGAGTCATTTGAGTCACTCGAGCAAGCGCAATTTTACATAGACGGAATTACAACTAGAACCGTCAGTTTAGTTCGGGGCGGAGATCGTTATAGACTCGAGGATAAGCGCGATGTCCCCGTATCACCAGAACTCCTGGAAGAACAAGAAAAAATCAAGGTTCAGTTGGATGGTTGGCATGCTCGTTTCTTGGATTTGAAGAATAGCCCAGCGGCATCCGACTGGTCAGAGGAGATAGCTTGTAATATCCTCCTAAGACATGATATTTCTACAATATGGGTGAACACAGCTTTCGAATACGAAGAAACCATATACGATGAGCACGTCGATAGATTCCGCTTGATGGTCTCCCGGGCCACTGGACTCCAAGCCTCAAAATTTCCAGGACCAACCGCCCAAGATTCCCCAAAATTCATCTTCGAAATGGGGTTCATGCCATTATTTTATTACGTCGTCCTCAAATGCCGGTGTCTCACAACAAGGATGCAGGCACTCTCTCTCATGAAGAAACTCGGCACTCCCAGGGAAAGTCTGTGGGAAGCTTCTACGATGTTCGCGGTCGGCCGTCGAGTCATCGAGATTGAGCACGGTTTTCTGTTCGATGAGAAGGGTGAACCCTCTACCCCGCCTCGTTATCCAGACTTCCCCCCTGATGAAGCGAGGGTACGAGATACCACCACAGGTCCTGCGCCGACAATACAAGTCGACTCTCGGGGTCAAGAGGTTGGAGGAAGGACGACAGGGTTTTTCAGACGCAAGCATGATGGTAGTATATATCTTCAAACGGAGTTTCTTGTCGAGAGATAATGATAACATAGGTAGAAAAATAAAACCAAAATGCATGTATGAAACGACTGGGGCAAATTTTTACCTATTGCGAGTCCTTATGCGACAGTCTAATGACTATTTGTAGACATAGATAACCCGATATGGCTTCCCGTAGCTTTAAATATCGCTTTTCGACTGCATGAAATCAGTGGAATATACAAGAGATATGTCTCTACCTCTATGTATCTAGAGAGCATGGGGAATGGGGCTTGTGATGCACAGCTAAGCCTGATGTCGACCCTTATACACTATTTCCGAGGCTCCCATTGGCCAGTTCGGACTGCCTATCTGTCTGGACTCAGCCCATGATCCTATTGATAGCTTCAACCATAGGTAACGTAGGTGACAAGAATTCACATAGACATATAAAACCCCTGAAAGAATTTCAAAAAGCAGATGTGAACATGGAAGTCAACGGAATCTATCCTTATTTAAGCACACCCAACGTCTTCCTTCATAATCGCTACCTGCTTCAAGAAACCAAGATAATTCTCTTAGCATAATAACACCGATGGCCACACCAACTCCAGTATTAACGGCCGAGGGTCTCGCCAAGACTCTTCGAATGGCAATAAGACAAACGACGGCAACCGTAACAAGCGCACCAACAGCTACCGGCGTGGACTTCTTGACTACAGAACATATTACTATCGACGGATTCACCAATGCTCACGCAACAAACCCTGGTAAGACGATAGACATCGCGATACCCACATGTATCCAGACGATAGAGCCGGACGCCAACGGATACCTGCCTCCGGGCACATGTAATGCCCTCTGGGACTATTATCCAAGCTTCTCAGCTGCTCTCGCCTTCGCGATCCTCTTTGGGTTACTGACACTTGCTCACTTATACCAGGGCATAGCATATAGAAAGGTGACAGAGTCCTCATCCTCCCTTCTATCTCCTTTGGATGTGTACTGATTCCACGGGAACAGAAATTCTGCTGGGTCATCGTCATGGCTAGTTTCTGGGAAACGATGGCCTACCTATTCCGCACCGTTAGCACTCGCTACCAGTCAAACACGGCTATATACCTAGTATTCCAGATCTTCATTCTTCTCTCGCCGCTGTGTGAGTACCTCACAGTCTCCCCAAAATGACATACTTTGTTCCTAAGACGTCGTCCTAGGGGTCAATGCTTTCTGCTACATGGTCCTCGGTAGGATGATCCACTTCTTCACCCCTTCACGCCAAGTATTCGGGATACCGGCGCCGAATTTGGCTGCGGCCTTCGTGACTTTCGGTAAGTCTTTGATATATGTAAGATCGAAATGACCACGAACGGTACTTGATATTAACAAGCAGGCTACCAGATTTCATCGCATTCTGCATACAGCTCGCGGGCGGTTCCATGGCAGGTCCGACGGCGCCCGCGGACGAACAGCTGAAAGCCATTCATATATACATGGGCGGCGTCGGTCTGCAGCAATTCTTCATCGTCGTGTTCGTCGTGTTCGCGGTTAAGTTTCAGTTAGATATGCGCGATCTAAGGACCTTTAGTAGTCAGCAACCCAGTTGGAGGTCCGGGTGGCGCCCGTTGTTGTTCACGCTGTATGCGTCCCTGACATGCATCACTGTAAGTACACTTAATAAGCACGCGGCGAATGGCAAGCCATGATTGATAGATTACTGATAAGCTATGAAGATTCGTATCATATTCCGATTAGTTGAGTTTTCGTCCGGGTCGACCGGTGTGTCGAATCCTTTGTTGACCAATGAGAGCTACTTCTACGTGCTCGAAGCAATGCCGATGCTGTTTGCTATTCTTTCTTTTAACGTCATCCACCCGGGAATAGCTCTGGTCGGGCCCGAGTCCGAAATGCCCGGATTCTTTTCTACGTGTACGGGCTTCCCTCGGAAGAGAAAGCATTTTAAGGAGTTGGACGAGTCTGAAGGTGAGGAGATGCTCGACCTTACGGACGTAGATGTGAGGAACGGGTAGTTGGAAATTTGGTGTGTAAGATTTATGCAAGGGATATTTCGATATGTAGGATCTGTTCAGCAGATTATCAGTTGGTGGTTACTAAGTTCCCACGGTTAGACCTCCGGACTTCCATATATAGCGGAATCCCCCAACTACGCCGCTCCCTTGGTATACATGGACTCTGCATGGACCTACCGGCTTTCATGTCCATCGACCCTTACTAGAACGCCACCTTCAACGGCGAGCGGAGAATCATAAAGCGCAAATCCATCCTATGTACCTACCAATCGTCGTCTCCAATACTCTTGGCTTATAACCCCTCACTTTGTGTTTTATACCCCTCCCAGCATCTTGAGATATCAAGACACGGGCCACCAATTAATATTGAAAAGTATAGAGTGTCTTAATTGACCCTAGGATAAGAATAAACCAACGTATTCCGCCAAAATGTCGAAGCAGTCGGAGACCAACCAGCTCTCCCCGGATCTTCCCAGTACTACTACGTACTTGACCGGCCATAATGAGGAAGGAAAAGCAAAAGTGCACTCGGCGCGGCCGGCAGCATGGAAGCCGTTTGAGGGTGGTGTCAGTACGTTTTTTACTGGAAACACAGTCTCCCCATACTATTCTAGGTACTAACGCCCGCCACCGCAGTGGGTTTCAACCAGATCTACACCAACACATTCCCAGCCGACCTGAACAACGACGCCGACGTGAAATACCACGAAGAGATAATCTCAAGCGGGAAGCTAGGTCTGGCGACCAAGAACGGAGTAGTGTGCCGGATGGTAGATTTCGGGCCGCACTACGAGTGTATGATGCACCGGACGCAATCCCTCGACTTCGGAATCGTCGTCGAGGGCGAGATCGAGATGAAGCTGGACGACGGGTCGAAGACGCTGATGAAGCGGGGCGACGTGGCCGTCCAACGCGCGACGATGCACTCCTGGCGGAACACGAGCCCGACGAACTGGGCTCGGATGATCTTTGTCCTGCAGGACATGAAACCTCTGTTTGTCAACGGGAAGAAGTTTGGCGAGGACTTAGGGGGTGAGGTTGAGGGGTTGCCGCCGAGTGGGAATGACGAAGAGTGATCTAGATCTTAGTAGTATTCTAAGCTAAACAAACTGAAAGTGAGCTGTCACATCCATTTCAATATTGGGAGTTGTTGCCCTGTATTGAAGCTATCCCATGGCTGCATCATGTGATATTGATGTTTCAATACTATTCTTCTTTGATACGCTTGGATTTCATTTCGTACTAAATCTTAATGTTTGTTATGCGACATTAATGAGGTAAAAAGTACCTATCTAATTCAATGTCCTTATAGCAATTGTAGTCAAAATTGAAGATAGAGGTTTACGAGATTCATGTTGGGATTTCATCACTCAATTCTTACATCCCTATCAGGTCTAGGAAATTGTTCGGTACCTCCCCAGGTCTTAGGTAATAAAGCACGAAGCGTAAACCTCCAACCTCATTGGCCAATCCAGCCAGCCCCGCTCTCTATCGATAAAAATTTACTGCAAATGGAAGCTACGGGACAAGACTCGCTGGAAGCTCCAACCCGCCGCAACGGCTATCGATCAGACGATTCGCCGAAGAATTGGGACTCCAAAAATTTCCAATATCGAAATATCACCACACTACCACCATCTCGAACAAACGTGACGGCTTTAGCGGGTTGTCCCAGTACCCATTCAGCCCAATCCACCTCGCTCGACAGGGTTTTTGCCATTCTTCAGACGACGTCACTTCGAAAAATAGACGAATAATTCTCGCACATCCCTATCTAACCATTCATAAAAAGGAAGACCAAAAATCGCAAAATCCCATGGCGGCAAACCACACCCCGCGCACCGTCGCCGACGCCACGCGCTTCACGTCGAGCACGCCGCACGCCCACGCCAAAGCCTCCTCGCCCTCATCCAGCAACTCCTCCTCCAAGACCAAAGCCTCCTCCTCTTCCTCTTCCGCCGCCCCCTCCTCTTCTCCGTCGCGCCCGGCGCAGTCGAACCGCCTGCCGCCGGCGGGCATGCCGCGGCCGTCCGCGCCGGAGACCATGGAGGAGCGGGTGCGCCGGCTGCGAACCGCGCACCTGGCGGCGAGGAGACATGAGACGTCGAGGTTCGACCGGATCGTCGACGCCTCGAGGCGGTACTTCGACGCCGCTCACAAGTTCACTGTTATGGGGTTGATTGGGTTCAGTGGTATGTATTTTCTCCCCCCTTTCTCCTTTCCGAAATCCCCGAACCTCGAAATTGTATCAAGAAGAAAAGGAATTACATTATCACTCGAACATACTCGCCAATTCTTCTATTACATTTGTAATTGTAATTTTAATAATAATATAAACTAACTCGACCCCCCAAAAACCAGGCCTCGCCCTCTTCGTAACCGTCTACGCCACCGCCGACATGATGGTCTACAACCGCAAGCGGCGCAACGAGTTCTTCGCGATGCAGCGGCAGCTGCAGTCCGACAGCCTCGAGGCCGCGCGCCTCGCCTACATCAGCAACACCGCCACCCCGGAGCAGGCCGCCCTCGTCGAGGAGGCCGAGGCCAAGGCCCGCGACTCCGGCACCAGTCTGCCCCCTTTACTCTCCCCGCCTAGACCCATGTCTTCTTCTTCTTCTTCCCCTCCTTCCACGACGGAGACCGTAGGCAGCACAGCATGGGCCGCCGAATCGCTAAGCGAGAGCAGTCTTTCGGCGACCGCCGACGAGAAGCCGAAGAGCAAGGGCTTGACCGGGTGGCTGTTCGGCGGGCTGAAGAAGGAAGAGCCCGGGAGCGAAGTGAACGCCGCGGGGTCGGCGCCGATGCCGGCATCTGAGTTAAAGGAGAAGGCGAAGACGGCGTTCGACCAAGAGCGCGAGAACCAAGCGGACGGCGGGCCGTTGGATCAGCTGGGGAAGCCGAGCAGCGGCGGCGAGACGAAGAAGTCGGGTTGGTGGTAGTAGAGCGGTGTGACTAGACTAGACTGTTGGGTGGAGCGGGTATTCTGGGGGTATGCTACTGCTACCATGCGGACGCGGATAGGGGTAGGAGTAAGGGTACAGAAATCCAGAGTGGTAAGAGCCGCTCGACAGGCGGGCCAACCAATCAGCCCAAAAGAAGGGCTTCAACAGTGGAGCGTATATGCGTAGGGCCGCCATAGTGTTCGAAATTGTACGTATGTGCGATTAGTGATTTAGCATATTCGGTCAACGGTGGTGGTGGCAATGGTGCGAAAACTGCTGTATCATATATAGTAGAAAGGGCGGAGCATCAGACCTCGGCGTATTTGGGTACTGTGAATGCATACATACACACACACATACGTGCTCTACTGATCACATATTCTTATCAAGACCATGACCTCTCCATGGCCTCATAATTGTCTCACGTGTGGACGGGTATGATTTCGTTGAGTTCGCGATTCCCGCTTAGTAACCTGTCAACCGAATTTTGGCGCCATCTTACATTCAACAGCTCAACATCCGACTCCCCCATGTGTTTCCACGCTCTTAATTCCCCTCTTACGTTCTACTACAAAGAACATATATATTCGCTTCGGAAAAACTCAAAACATGTAAAAAGACTTGATTTTATATTTCCCCGTTGTCGACCGCCAAGTGGCGGTCATACTATTAGTAAGTACCAAGGTGTGTGTGTGTGTTTGAATACAGGGGAGTTTTTCACACGCTGGACCGGCCCTTGGCTAAATTGACCTCCTATCCACGCCTTGAACGCCCCCGTAGCCGTACTCCTAATAGAGTATAATAGACAAATAAAAAGCAGATGAAAAAAGGATAGAGCGCTGATGAGAGCAAATTCAGATCTTCCACTCCCGAACTTTGATTGGCCGGGTTCTTCTTTTTCCCCTTTTCCAGTGAATGCATGAAATCCCTTCCCAAGCCAATGAGCAAATGCAATAACGACCGTGTACTGTATGGGTATATGTGTAATGAATGACAATTTTTGGGTATGCGAGTAAACCGAAAGCAATGTTATCCGAGCGACTGTAGGAAACAAGAAAAGCCACGCTGTAGCATGTAGCGTAGTGTTTGCGTCCCGAGAACGCCTTTGGATGCAACTAGTAGGAAATCATGTGCCGTAAGGCTCTTGGGTATCCCGATTAATTATCGGTTGCCTCAGGATTGTAGTAAAGTGACGTGGAAAAGAAAAGGGGGGGTTGATTCTCTTTAATCACTGCCTAAGCCGCACTCCACATAGTGCATCAGCCGAGGGGAGTCCAGCAATCCAAAGAAGAATCAGAACCCCATGCGCGAACGCCGTCCAGCATTCTGTTTGGATTTTATCCCACATGTATCCAGCAGCGAGTCGGAGGGGTTAAAGACTGTGGGTGTAGTCTTATCTTGGTCCTTCCCGTTTCGGCGTATTTGTGCAATTATTTGTTTATCCTTGGCAGAAACACCCTTCTTGCCATTGAACCAAAAGTGTGGCCCTCCATCACTTCCATACTAAGAGATAATAATGTGGTTGAAGTGGCCTGGAATCTTCATGCGGCATTTCTCGCAGTCTGCTCGGTAACCTATACTGAATGACTTCTTCATGCCTGGTTGTAGAGTCCAGTTGTTAAGGGTGTGTTTGCTGCGCGAGTGGCCATATTTTCCTCTTGGCGATGGCGTAGCCGGTGCGGAGGAAGGGGAGGAGCCGGGATCAGCATCCGTCATACCAGAATCGTTATCCGTGGTTGGAGGAACAGTCTGAATGTTGGGATGCATGGGCATAGCATGAGGGTTGGTCGAATGGGGCATGTGAGGCAAATAAGGCCGCTGAGGCTGTCGAGAGTCCAAAACCATGCCTGGGCTCGTCGGAGTCTCTTCGCCGCCACTTTCACTAATAGGGGACGGAAGACGCCGGTTTTGCACCATAGACCATTCGGCAGAACCTCCCAATGACCTGGGCACCGAGGATTCGTCGTGACACGTGGGGAATGGCTGGGCTTCTGTCGCCGCAGCATCAATCGACCCGTTCGCCGTATGCATCGTCTGATTCATAGGACCCCAGTTGTTCCCCCTTACTTGCGCGGCAAAGGTGCAATGTATAGGCGTAGGCATTCGTCCGGCAATGCTTGGGTCGACGAAGTCTGTGTGGGATGGGCCGGTCTGATAACGTTCGGATGAATCGACCATCATATCCATATCTCTATCTACGTCCATCGACAAATTTGCCTGCTGCCGATATTGCGCATCCTCGGAGTCAGAATCGGTCGGGCTGATAGAAGCGGGAGGAGTTGTTGCTGATGTCGCAACTGGGAAATCCGGGGCTCCTGCCCATTGCTTCTGGGTCGGCGATGTGCGCAGAGGAAGAGACTGAAGACGTTTCTATTCATAGTAGACAAATTAGTCGTAAGTTGCGATAATATCGCAATAGTGTTGGCTGGCTACAATGGAAAGTGGAATATCATGCACGCATGCATCATCGTGGTTGTACTAACATTGCGATGTTCAGTGAAGCCTAGGGTTCCATTCATGGCATCGCCTATGTTGACCTGACCTTCACCCTCCTCCTCCTCTCTTTGGCGCTTTCGCGAAAGCTCCTGCCACTGAGGCTCAAACATGTTTACGATTAGAGAATAGAGAGTAATTAGTTACGCCGAATGAGAAAGAAAGCGAAAAGAGATAAGTTCCTAGTTCCTGATTCCTGATTCCGAGTACCGGTTATGAGAGTGGACGACGATAAGGAAAGTAATGAAGAGACAATGTGACGATGTAGTTGTTAATGACAGGAATTAATTTTTAGAAAGACGCCAGAACCAGCCAGAACAACACGAGGCCGGGGGTAATGGTGTAATGGTGCTGTGCTTAAAGTGCTTAAGGTGGTACGTCAAGCGATGACCACCTTGATCATTTTATGCTAACGGCGTGTCCGAGTCCAGGGCTATGGCGGGTTGACTGGGGTCGATGGGCTGGCGGGGAATGACGAGGTGGGAATGAGAGTTAAGAGAAGAGCTGGAGAATTGGGAATTGAGAACTGGAATCTTGGTTCCTTCAGTCGTCGATCAGCCGCTTACGGGATAAAATGGTTGGTTTTGGTTGGCTTTAATGGGTCCTAGCAGAGTACGTACTGTGTAAGATGGCTGGAGCTGGCAGGCACTTTGGCTTTTCTGACATCCATGCTTTTGACATGCTTTTGACAAGGGGAGCAGGGCAGGCAGGGGAACATCCTTTCCTTACGAATTTACTTTTTGTTAGCTGCTAATTGCCTCGGGTACCTCGATTAGCTTAAAGCCAATTTGATCCACCTGCGATTACCTATCTACTCAGGTACCGTCTTTCCCAATACTCCCAAACATCCTCTATGATGCGCATAGGGTATCAGGTACCCAAGAACGAGGGACTGGGAAGACTCTAAAGATCTAAAGTTGACGATGGAAGAATACCAATTCGCCGATGGCGGTCCAAATGTGTGGTCCCAGAGTCTTAGTCCAAGTTCCAGCACCAGACAGATGTGGGGAATACCCTCTTACAAGGGTTTCCTTTGTAAAGGATCATCAGAGCACCAGCCTTGCCGATTGGATATCTCTACAAGCCTCCTTACTGTGCGTAAGCCATCTAGCAGTGCTATGCACGTATTTATTAACAGATTATGCATATAGGAGGTCCACTTCAGTGGCAGCGTGGTACCCTGTGGGACTCCATCAAGGTTTCTTTTACACTTTACTTGACAACTGAGCACTGGAAACTACCAACCTTAACTTTAAGAATGAGATATATATTTAAGCTTAATCCTATCTTAGGTTCAATCAGTAGTAGTGACTATTCTAATATCTAAGCGAGTGTAATCTGCTAGCGAGAGTTGTTAAAAATAACCATATCTACCAACGTACCTGGTTAGACAATGGATGTCACACGATTACTGTGGTGCAGTACAGTTCTGACGCTGAGTAACATGTTGGCAGTAGGTTTCAGATTTGCTTCATAAATTTGCTTCTCACGTATAGTGCCACCGCAGGGATTCGATAATAACAGATAAGAAGATGAAGATGCTTCATTCTCGATACAAATCATGAAATCGTGCGCGCGTTGCTGCCAGGAATCCAATATCTATTCCCAGAATGCTTCGTCACCGCAAGTCAAAATATGCTAATCATGGCCTCTTTTAGCTTCTGTTGGACTTCCGTATCTTGTTTCTCGCAAACCCCTCTTCTATGTCTTAACCCCTGGTTCTGTTTCCTAGACTTGCCTACCCCTCATTTTTTTTGGATGGCCATTGCTAGACATCCATCATGAACGTAATCGGCATTCCATTGAAGTTGAAGAAATAGGTAGTCGACAATAATTCCTGATCGAATATGTAACCAGCCAATGGTATGGACTATAGATAGTTTGGTTAAAGGCAGCTCAGTAAACGGATCGAGCTTAACACTGCTCATTTCATCATACTGTTACGACAAGATGTCATCTTCTTCCCATCCACAGCGGGAGATTCTATTGGCGCCAATGAAAGGTCGGTAAAATGGCAGAAGTCAAAATCTCAAACTATTGACATGAAAGGGCCAGTATAGGACGATTTGATAGAACTGATATATCAATAACACAACTCACGTGTACCATGGATATAGATCACCCCTGTCATAAACATCTCTATTAGTTATAGCCCCTAACAAAGAACAAAGTGTCCCCTAAACTACCTTAGTATAAAGCATACATTCACTAGACTGTTTAAGCAACTACCTATTCAAGAAAGCATATCAAAATGATAGACCTTTTGGTGGCAAGGCTAACAGGGCATGTCAACAAAGCCTTACTTACCTAGACATTAAATGATATCAGCAACTTACCTACACAATGGAACTGTTCAAAAATTTAATCTATTCATTAAAACAAGATAAACATATTGTAGCTAAACAATATAAAAACAATACCTGATAGATATAACTTAGGTTAACTCCGCACGCATAGGTGCTTACTAGGTACCTAAATATGAACATGTCAGTACTACAGGCCTCTAGCTCTAAATAATAAAGATCCAATAGTTGCTGATCCCCCTAGTAGTACTCGTAGTAACCTCATTGACGTAGAGAGCAAGCAGACAAACGCGCTTAATGAAGTAAAAGAGTAGGGCCAATTTAATGACCTTCCAAAGCAGTCTAGATGCTAAGGATAACATGGGGGAAATAATAGGGAAGGCGACCAAAAAGATGATGAAAAGAGAAAATACCGAGGAAAAGTCCATGTCGGCGATGTAATCAGATGTTTACTTGTGTGGGTGTATAGGTAGATGTCTGTGTAGATGAGTTACCGAGTATTGATGCTTGAAGGCTTGATAATGTCCCTATGTTCCTTTATATTCCATCAGGTCTCTACATCGTTTTTGAGCAGTATTATCTACCTCTAAGCAGCTCGCTTGTGTATAAATAATTCTCATATCACAATATCATCCTCTAACATGAATCTTGTTACACAACTATCCCTTTGTCTTTGATATATCTCCCGAAAAGGGGCAACTTCAGCTTCTCCGAACGAGATGGAATATTCAGATTGAACCTTGCCAAGGTTAGAAATGCTACCTAGATACAATCATCCTTGAAGGTCAACTAAAAGCTCAATTATAACACTTATCACTCCTGGAATAAAATCTTCAAAGTTGGAGCGCTTCTGTGGATGTTAGGTCAATGTTATATACGATGATAGCTAACTTATTCAATAGTGCTTGTGATGATACATAGTTGTATTTCCTTTGAAAATATCCAGGGGGAACTGGTCGGCCATCGCTTGGTATCCAGCAACGTTAGGGTGTAAATGATCACCTCCGTCGTACTGAGTAGCCAAGTTAGCCGCATTCGAGGGGTTAGCCACGATCTTAGCGAAGTCAACCGTCGCGGCGAAGCTTCCGTCGCCGCCACCTAGGATCCATGTGTTTACAGACTGCCTAGCTTGGTCTCTAGTCGGGTTGCTGTAGCTCTGCCCGCTTCCGCCAAACGGGGTGATCGTAGCTCCGAATACGGTTATCCCGGCTGCTTTGGCGTCGGTAGCAATGGTTTTGAAAGCTGATTCGAGGCTGGTTCCGATGCGTGACTGTGTTCCCGAGTCGGCAGATGCGCTTCCGATATCATTCACTCCTTCGAATATGAGGGCATACTTGACGCCGGCGGTGGCGAGAAGATCTCGCTTGTACCGCTGCATCAGAGGCGGGCCTAGGCCTCCGGTAAGTACAGTATTGCCGCCTGCTGCTTGGTTGCACACGGCAATGTCGGTGATTCCTTCTTTCTGCATTCTAGCTAGAAGCAGATCGGGCCAGCTGGGAAGTTCATCAATAAGATATCTAGTCGCTGAGGAGGGTCTACTCATACCGGTTATTAGCATTATCATCACTTCCACGTCCATCTGTAATACTATCACCAAGAATTACCAAAGCGGCAGTTGTCGACGGAGCCCAGGCCTCGACAGCGGTAAGGAAGTACCAGTGTGCCGTGCTCGCTCCTGTAACAGTCGAGGCATTGGCATGGTTTCCTTGTTGCATGAACGAAGTAGTCCGGCTTCCTGGATGTCCAGTAATGCTGCTGCCAGACTGACCCGGCTGCGAATATAAGCTAACCGTGATCGTGCCTTGAGGTTCAACTTTGAAATCGACCGGGTCCGAGTAGGCAACTTGGCCCCTGGGTATCGTGACGGAAGCCGAGCCATTGAACGTTAGAGCTTTCAATGTAGCTGTGTCAACACCATTGACGCCACTTTCGCCATCTGTTGGAAGGGCTACGGAAGCTTCTGTGATGGGAAGGTCACTACCACCGAAGGTGTTGGAGATCTGAAAACGAAGCCTCTCCGCACCGATAGACAGGTGGAGCGTTTGGCGAAGTGTAGCATCCTTAAATGTAGCTGAACCAGACTAATTATACGATTAAACAGATAATCCAGGAGTTGCCAAACTAGAGAATAACATACAAATGGAGCTGGAGGCATGTTATTGGGTTCTACTAGCTGTGGCATCGAGACCCATGTTGCCACCCAATGCGAATCTTCATCCTGACGCTCGACATGGCAAGTAGGGCGTGCAGTAGCAGATATAACCCAGCACAGTAGCCATGCTGTTAGAATAGAAAACCAGAAGCTGAAGCTTCCCGGCCTGTTTGACAACACAGAGACCATGATGATGATAATTGGTATAGATAGAAATGCCAAGGCATGGAGGAGGGCTCCATGGCGGCAGCTTGGAGCTTTATTGTCACGAAATGCATCTCAGACCTCGGGTTAAGGTGACGGATAATGTACCTCCGCAGTTGTTCTGCCCTATTGGCGCCTTGTAATTTAGCCGTAGGGCTGGTTCCTGAATACTCAATCTGGGACGACGCGTGCTATTTGACGGGCATGGGGAAAAATCAAGAAACGGGGCTGAAGTCGAATGCAGATGTAGAGTGGTATCGAGCACAGAAACAAGAATGAATTCGCGTGTCAAATGGGGTACTCCTATAATGAAGAGATATTACATCTGATGAGATATATCTCGATCATTATATGAGGCCGAAGATGTGACTCCACCTTACCGATCTAGGGACCTACATTGCTGGCATTTGAGACACGCAATGTTATCCCAATTGAACCCCTCACACGTCTCATGGTATTGATGTGAATATAGACAAGACTGAGTAGGAGTCTGACATTGTGACAGATCTATGTGAGATGCCACTTAGATCATAACGGAATTTTATTTCTTGCTCCTCATAAGATGACTTTAAGCTTCATAGATGAGACGGTAAGGCATGGATAATTTGGAGAAACTTGGGACGACCAGTGACATAGCAGTAAGTCTCCACGGGGTCTTTATGGGGCGGTGAGTAAAGTTTACCTAGGAATCATTGGTGCATTCCCAATGCGCCGTCTATCTTACGATGACGACGCGAGTAGGATATTGAGAACATGTGGTTGGTGGTGAAGAGAAAAGAAATGTCCTGCACATGTGAAGACTGAGGGGAAAAAAGTTTTCGAAATGGGGGATTAAAAGAACAGGATTATCATCACCTAATGCCTAATTGGGTCAAGTTGGGTGGTACGTACTTACATATCTTTTTGTGCCCCTCCATCGATTCGCACCCCACCAGCCCACCAAGCCCGTCTTCGTAGCTGGCTCCGCTAGTATGGGCCAATACGGGCCGTAGGGGCTAGATTTACACCTCTCAACCTATTAGAGTCATTGTAGTTGCTAGTAACCACCAGCTACTAAGCTTTAAGTAACCATTCAAAATATCTTTGACTTTACCTCACGTACACACATACACACATACATCCCTTGTCGTAATTATCTACATAGATATTCTCACACAGCATTCCATTCACATCTTTTGGGTTACTTTAATACTCCCTACACCATTACATTAGGAGTTGAAGGATTCGAGAACCAAAAAAGTACGAGACCGGAATCGGGAACCAAAGAATCCAAAACCAGGGGTCCAAGGAAGAAAGAGCATACAAACTCTTCTCCTTAAATTTTTTTTCTTCGAGTCTGACTCACCTTGAGAGATCTCTTTGCCAGAGGAACAACGAACAACGGCTTTTCCACACCGTATCCTCACGCACTTATCCGTTGCTCGGGTTGTCCGAAGCAACAAACAACGGTTGCCGTGCTGCTCAAACCCTAGGACTTTAAATTTACCTGTTCGACAACCAATCACTCGAACCACTCGTCATCCTGTTCATCTATTCACCACAATGCCAGGAGTCGACATGGCGCCTCTCGTGGCTGATGATATGAGAGGTACGTAAGATAGCAAACTTCAACCTTTTCACTTTTCATTTTACTCGGTTCTCGTCAATGTCAAGTCGTCCAAGTCGCTCTTTAAAACTTTCAATTATGAGTAACCACCGTCCCTTATGTTACTCGAGATCACTTGTCCTCCCTTCAGTCCTACATAAACCTACCTACTCGAGCAACATCGTACCACAAAGAAAACAGATCCCAAACAGGAACAAGATGCTGATGTGCTTGGAAACCGCAGTCCTGGGACAGGACCCTCTGATCCCGCCGGCACTGCTCATATCTGAGATCCCAATGACCGATGCTTCCTTGCAGACAGTGGTTAAGGGCCGAAGAGATGCTGTTGCCATTATAATGGGCCGCAGTGATCGTCTTCTGGTCGTGGTCGGCCCCTGTTCCATCCATGATCCAGCTGTTGCCCACGAGTACGCCCAACGTCTGAAGGGTCTTTCTGAGAAGCTATCGGACGACCTGTGCATTATCATGCGCGCTTACCTCGAGAAGCCGCGGACCACAGTTGGTTGGAAGGGTCTCATTAACGACCCCGATATCGACAACAGCTTCAAGATTAACAAGGGCCTCCGCATATCGCGACAGATGTTCGGTGACCTCACCAACGCGGGCATGCCCATCGCCAGCGAGATGCTAGATACTATCTCTCCTCAGTTCCTAGCAGACTTCATCTCCGTCGGCGCCATTGGCGCTCGTACCACCGAATCACAGCTACACCGTGAGCTCGCGTCCGGTCTCTCCTTCCCAATTGGCTTCAAGAACGGCACAGATGGAAACCTGAATGTTGCTATTGACGCCATAGGAGCAGCGGCCTCTAAGCATCATTTCATGGGTGTCACTAAGCAGGGCCTGGCCGCCATCACGAGGACCAAGGGGAACGAGCACGGCTTTGTTATCCTGAGAGGAGGTAGCAAGGGCACCAATTACGACAAGGACAGCATCCAAGCTGCCAAGGAAACCTTGATCAAGAAGGGACAGAAGCTAGCCATCATGGTCGACTGCTCGCACGGTATATTGCGCTCTGTCACATGACGCGCCCGAGAATAAGCTAACAAGGGAACAGGTAACTCGAACAAGGACCACCGAAACCAGCCCAAGGTTGCCAAGGTAATCGGTGACCAGCTCAAAGAGGGAGAGAAGGCCATTGTCGGCGTCATGATCGAGTCCAACATCAACGAGGGCAACCAGAAAGTCCCAGCCGAGGGTCCTTCCGGACTAAAGAAGGGCGTCAGCATTACGGACGCCTGCATTGACTGGAACCAGACTGTCGAGGTCCTCGAAGACCTAGCGGCGGCGGTCCGTGCTCGCCGAGCGAAGAACGGGGCCCCGAACAGCAATGGCCAAGAGCCCAAGGCCACTCTCCTAGAGGAGGAATAAATAGTTAGAAGGGACATGGGTAGCGGGTTTCACCAACCGTAGCCACGCCACACGAATACGTGGTATATCCATTTCTGAACGAAGGCAGTTAATGAGAACAAAAGTGATAAAAAAACGCATTTGGGAGGATAGACTGTCGTAGGTGCATGATATCTGAGATCCGTCAGCTTAGAAAAACGAATCTTGGGAATTTTGGTCGGGAGAGGGAAAACCAAAAAAGGCATCAGGCGTTTGGTTTATAAAACCCTTGGGGCTATTATAAAAGTCAGATCAATTGCATGGAATGTGATTCCTCTTGTCTTCTAGACCAGCTTAGTTTTAGTATAGTCACGAATGATAACTACGTGATGATTTCATCCTCTGGATATATGTATGTGGAGGCTGGATGTTTTATATATAAAATCTGGGCAATGTATATTGCCTCACTCCCTTACATCCTAAACGCCATTTTTCAACGCCAAACCCTTGATATTCGAACAGAACATAGGTAGGATCTTCCCAAGTTCCCAATCTTCTAACCCTACGTCCCATCCCGGCCAACAGGCATATACACCCCCCTATCCTGCCCCCTACTCCTCTCTCCCCTTCCACTCCCCACCGCGGCACCTTTCTTCCCATCCCTCAACTCGACGACCCGCCGCGCGGCCGCCCAGCCCAGCAGCCCCGTCGTGCCGAGGATGAAGCCCCACACGATGATCTGGTCCTTGCGGCTGTCGCGCTGGAAGCACATCGCCACCACGTCGTTCTCCTCCGCGTCCTTGCATATCGGCAGGTGCTGCGACAGGCAGAAGGCCCGCGTGCACTGCGTGCAGGACGCTGATGCCGCGCGCTTTTCGAGCAACTGCTGCTGCTGCTGTTGCTGGGCTTGGGCTTGGGACTCGGGGGATGAGGAGGCGGGTGAGGAGGAGGATGATGGTGGGTTGGAGGTGGAGTCGGAGTCGGGGTGGGAGTTGGATTTGGAGGCGGCGTTCTCGAAGGTGTTTGGGTTGTCGCCTTGTGGGCCGAGCTGGATGAGCGTGCTGTTCTTGAAGCAGGTGCATTTGCAGAATGTTGGAGCGGCTGTGGGGGGTTAGTTAGCTTTTGGTTTTGTGGATTGGATGGTTAAAGGGGGTGATTTAGTATGAAGGGAATAGGATAGAGGTGGGAATGGAATGGGGAGGATAGCTTACAAGATGCGGCGACGTAGGAGACGAGGACTCCTAATAGGAGTAGATAGGCCTGGAGTCGCATCATGTCGCTATCGTTGAATGCCCATGTATCGTATGTCGCGACGGACGAACTCGCTTTTACATGGTATAGAGGATGGTACTAGAGTCCGGTCATCAGAACTGAATAGATGCCTTCCTCGCAGGATCGCGGTATGCTATGCATATATTTGTAGATGGTTGAAGCTTCAATGTTTAATTCGAATGACGAGGCCTTCGATATGCACAATCCGATAAGGTACGTACTTCCTTAGCGTCTATTAGCCCCCGTGGCTGGAACGTGGATCCATATTTTCCGGCTTGGCATGGTGAACCCCTGCAGATTACCTAACCTTGAAAAAAGTTCGTAGCTTCAATATCAAACTCTCAATTATTGCGACGTTCAACGACCTCACATCTACGCCTGGGGGAGTCAATTAGCCACAATGCGACGGATAACAAGATTGCGACGGCCATCCGGCCTGTCTGCACCAGTCACCCGCTCCCCAATCGCTCCCCTAGTCGGACAATCCCCGTCCGTACCCTCCCACCACATCTCGGCCTCGCCCCGCAAGTCCATACCGAGAGCAGGACTGCAATGCCCTGCATTCGCACGCCTCTACTCAACCGACAAGCAGCCCAACCCGCAGGACCCGAGCCCAGAAGCCAAACCAACACAAGAAGCCTCATCCCCCGAACCCCCAGTCCCAGTCCCAGTCCCGGAGCCCGAGCAAGTCGGACACTCGCAATACCTACCCCCCAACCCCGCGCCCGCGCCCACAGCCTCCTCCTCCCCCTCCTCCGCCGCTCCCCTAGCCGAAGCAGCATTCGGCCCCCTCGACAAAGAAAAGGCCGAAGTAGAAAAAGAGCCGTGGCAGACGTTCCGCCCGCCGCCGCGCCGCCGCACGTACGCGGAGCGCGCGGACCTGGTGTCGGACCGGACGTACGCGCCCGCGCTGCGCGACGACGGGCTCGAGGTCGTGGGGAACACGCGCGGGTGGTGGGACGCGCGCGAGCACTGGCCCGCGTCGGCCGATTTCGTCGGGTTCCGCGCCCCGGCGCGCGTGCGCGAGAACGCTGTTCTCGAGACTGCTGTTCGCAGGGCTGTTGTTGAGGCTTATGCGCTTAGGCAGGGGGGGCGCGAGGGGGTGTTGGTGAAGAGGTGGCCGGTGGGCGGGGAGGAGGAGATGAGGTGTGTTTTGGGGGTTAAGGTTAAGGTTAAGAATGATGGAGAGGTGGTGTTGGATGGTGATGTGGAGGCGGTTTTGAGGGCGCTGGAGGGGGAGGACGGATGGGATGCTGCTGTTAGGCCGGCGCTTGAGGTTGCCGAGGCGGAGGAGTTGAGGCAGGCTTGGGGGAAGGATTGGAAGGCTGTTTCGCTGGCGGATCCGAGGATTAGGTTTGCTGTGAGTTGCGCTATGTCGCGAATACGCGGATAAATTATCTCTAAATATGGGATACTGGACTAACACATCTACGTCTAGGTCACGAAGCGAATCTTCCAGCTCACCGGCCACCTGGTCCAAGACTTCCAGCTCGCGGGCATAACCAGCGTCAAGACGCTGCTCCACGTGGTCCTGAAGCCGCCCAAGCCGAAGACGCTCACGATGGAGATCCAAGAACGGCGCCAGGACCTCGTACAGCTGCCGAACGTGACGGTGGCGACGAAGCGCATCACGCGCGGCGACAAGGCGAAGGCGATCGGCCGGTACAAGCTCATCGAGGAGGAGTACAAGAAGAGGGACTTGCCGCTGATTGGCCACGGATTCGTGAATAGCAATACGGACGCTCAGAGGATTAAGGGTGACGCGTAGTCTGGTTTATCTGCTACTTAGGTACTTAGGGAGATAAAATGGCTACCTCTGTATTATACATGAATATGGACGTTCTTCTCGCTCCTGTATATGTAGGACAATGACTTGATCGTGTTGTAGTGCATCCTATCAAGTTTAACCAGACGGAGTCCCCAGCCCCTTTTCGCTTCGCTTGAGGTATAGAGGAAGTGATCTGTTATGTCACATTCTTCTTCCGGCTATGAGGAAAGGTAAAGCTATATTAGGATCCTGACTTCTGAACCTTCCCCGTCAATATTGTCACATTAGGCACATTGTATATATGTACTGGTACGGCATAAGGGACTTCGATTTCGAATTACATGATGATGTGTTATTATCGTATGTGTCTATTTAGGTCGGTAGATGCCTTATTCTATCAATTAGGATAGAACTTGTCTACCCAGGTGTTGGGTGTTTCTAGAGCTGTATGTAATTAGATACACCTATTGTGTAGTGATGCTCGTTTAGAATCTCTTCTGTTCGCTAGAAGAGGAATCGGTGTGTGACCTGTAGAATGCAATTTTCCATCGAAACGTTCTCTGACTTCGCTCGCCAGTGTTGAGGGACACCGTTTATCTGCTTTTTGTATTTCAACTTGTTCCATCTGGATCCAAGGCAGGTAGGCTGGGATCTGGAAAGAGGCAATGACATGGAATGGTGCGGTTGGATTGATGCACCAAATATTTCCTTTCAGAGTCCAGCTACGCGATTTAGGTCTTGGATAAGCTCTCGCGCATTATAGCGAACCCTGCGTCGTTGGATTTTATGAGTCTCGACGGACTTCTTGGCTTTTGCCGCTCTCCAAGGAAGAGTTGCCTGGTACCTGTGGCTTTCGCTCTCATGATTTGGGATGGGCGATACGGAGAATATGACATTGTTGAAATAGGGTCGTTTGGTTGATTGGATCTCCACATGGAGTGGGAGTGTTGTAGAGACGCCGTTAATTCCTGGTGAAGCCGCTGTTGCTGTTTGTTGTTGTACGAACTTAGCATCTCCATCATGCCGGGGACTTTGTTCGAATATATCTTTAATAACAAGTACTGGGTAAAAGATCTCTCGACCCAAGATCTGACGGTGGAATGTGGAAGTTCCCACGTAGAACCGCATGGCACATTAAAGCGGCTCGTGGCAGATGGCGCAGTCTTCCTCTTAATCGCCCCATTGATAGCGCGCCCATATAATATGTACAGTTATCTGGCGTCGTAGTAGCATTGGGGCCGACCAACCCATTTGTTTGCTCTGCTCCTTCGGGAGTCGGTTTGGTATCGCCATCACCCGAACTCGCGCGGCCAGCCATCGCTCGCTTCTCGCTCTCGATTTACTCCGCTTCCGCCGGAGCCATAGGCAAAAGTTCGTCGGGGAGTTCTGATGGTGTCGCGGAACGTTCAGCTCCTGTTCTGTATCTCTTAGGACCGCTTTGGGGTCGGAGAAGCGGCGGGTAGTTTGCCGTTCACGATACATCTTCCCTCCTCCTGCAACTGCTCGAATTCGTCTTGAATAGCCTCGTGTAGAGAGGCCAGGGAATAAGACTTCTAGTCTTCTGCCTGACATTCCAATCCAAGCAGTATCAAGATATCCGTTCATCGCTACCTTCAGGCGACAAGGGTATTAATGAAAAGTAGGCAGCTCTCCTGCAAGCCTAGATAAGGAATAATTTATATATAAAAGGCTCTCTTATATGGTGTATGGAGGATCTAGGAAGAATGTTGAACTTATTGGATATGCTGGCGAGCATGATCTTGCTCTCAATTTTGGTCGCCCTTTGGTATAGTATTCGTTGCGATGTATGCAATGATTCCAAGAGTTGATATGGGGCGTCTCGTTTCCGGCAACATCAATGAGGATGTTGTGGTGAACCTGGAGAAACGCGGCTTCATTGCGAGTGCCGCCATCCTACCGTTCTCGTCAGCTACGCGCTAGGGTTAGACAAGGTTAAGATGACGACTCTGCCCGCGCTGTCTATGCAATACCATCTGTTGCACTGCATTTAGCGCAAAAAGGGTGGAGGTGGGAGCTTGATCTTGTTAAGCATCCGAATCCGTAGGGCATGCGCAATGATTGGGACAGGGCTTTAAACCTAGGTCCTATCCCAAGGATTAGAGAGTACTTTTAGAGAGTACTTGAGCTCTCCGCTGCATTGGATGCAAAAGAAACGCGTTTCGCCGTTTATTATAATCTCGTGTCCTTGTACACCTTCGTGGTTTAAGATCCTTGGTGTGTCTGAGCCGCCGACAGCAACCAACTCCCTACAAGAGACACTTGCTGGTGAACCGTGGAAGGAGTAATTATCCACGTCTTCTTCACATATTTGGCTGTAGATATAAGCCAGTTATAGCTCATGCTCATCTTAAAGCACGACAATGGAGTGAGGCCGAAACGCCCTTTTCGTTGTAGATATTAAAGACGTCCTCGAGGAGTTACTGACTGCTCGTTGATAATCTTAGGAATTATCTTCGTTATTCCACCAAATCTTGGATGTCACGTATCGCTGGGACGTGAGCTAATAACATCCAGAGCTGAGTTTATCGTCTCCCATGCGCGAGATTCGAATGCGGTGCCAGATGTATCGGTGAGTAGTCCCTTTCCCATACCCTTACCCTTTCCTTTTCCCTTTCCCCTTTTCTGGGAGGGAATTCCTAGCACTCCATGAAGTAGCCTTCTCTCTAAGAATTTTCCTGGCCCGTTTGGCTTCAGGATCGGCTTCTTGAATCCGCCATGGCTTTTCTCGAATAGACAAGTCTGGTCGAGCTCACGCGTTGATTCTTTTCGCATTAGTTTCTCGTCGAAAGAGATTTGCTCTCTCGTCACATATAAAATTAGTCCAAACATTCACCGATCGACCGTGTGGATGAATTCTTGCACCCTCTTCTGTTGGCGTACGGGGATCGGGACCTCGAGGGGCTTGAGATTACATTCTCAGATAGTATTAGGTAAAAGGTGGATCGTCGAACCACGAAAAATGCTCAATACTAGTCTGCGGTGGTGATGGTTCGTGGCAGGGTTGTTTTCTCTTTGGTAGCCCTGGTTGTGTGCCGAATTTGTCCTAATTCTGGACTTACAACAACTTCAACTTCCTCCTCTTAGTGTTTAATCTCCTTCTGGATTGACGCCATCATGGCTATCTTGTCCATGTTCGCTTCCATCCTTTCAAGTTTGTCGTTCAGCCTAATAGGCAAAGATGGCGGAATTATGACACTCTTTATAAGTGCTGATGATAGAGATACGATCAAGTTAATCGCGTCTAGCCGAACATCCTTCCCACGATCTCTAATGCCCCGCAACGTTTTAGAGAAAATAACGCCGAGGCTGATTAATCTAGACACCCTGTCCTGTCTGGACAGCCTGGGTAATCTAGGCCGTCCGTTCGAAGACACATCCTTGGATCATCTTGCTGTTTGCAAGTTGCCGAAGCATGGCTTCGGTTGGGTCTTCAGTATTGTTACATGCCCGGTTTCGACATGCCATTAGAGGTTTTATGTATGTGCCAAAGGTGAAGCAATGACGATTGATAGGGGGGGTAATAACAAACTCTGGTCGTTGAACCGTCTGGCTTCGACGTGCAAGATCAAGGGTGCGCGATCAAGATCCTCTTGGGTTTTTCGCAGATCATCATCTTGCTTCTTGATCTCCTTCCATCCCCGCTTCTTCTAGCACGCCTGCCTGCTTCGGGCATTCCTTGAATGCTTGTAAGCATGCTGTAGAGAAACCGTGCATAGACCAGCCCTTCTGCAAATTCGATGAAGGTATCGCAGGGTACGTCGGCTGAGTCTAGCTCTTTATAAGCTACTCGAAAATGACCACCACAGCCCACTCTCACTACAAAGTCCGCGCCGCGGCCAATCGGTGTCGGTGACGGCTTCTCACCAGTGTACCACTGTCTTGCCGAGTTCGCAAATCCTCCGCCGAAGAGGTATCAGGCAGGATATCCTGGCAGCGATCGCAAACTGGGCCAGAGAATTATTGGATCGACTTCTTTGTCTGGCCCACAAAGTACGGGTGGCTGAAAATCATCGTGCGGAGGGAAGTGTTGCGATGGTAAAATTAATACATCACCACTTGCCTGCTCTCTTAGTTTTCTCCATTTGTCGACGGTTATAGGGATGGATTTCGTGCGTCATTGGTCGTTTTAGGACGTGTCTCTTACGATCGTTATTCAGCTCGAGATCCTAAAACGGTTAGAATTGGTATACTTCAAGTCTCTCGTATCTCTTTACTTACACCGTCGGATGCATCATGAAGTGCTTGGATGTACCCGAGTAATCGTTACCACAAAAGTCTTGGGCTTCGTAGGAGGTCCTACTATACTCGGAGGGTGTGGGTCTTACTGCTTCTCTGCCCAGCTGCTCTCTGTTGTTCCCTTGGAACCATCTGCACTCAATCCTTTGACCCTTAGGTAATATGGACATCGGATTTCCTCGGCGGCTTTATGTAACATCTTTCAGCGAGAATATGTGATGTTGGGCGCTTTGGCCGTCATGAGGTATTGGTATCGTTGACATGAAAGTAAATCCGTGGCTTGGCCCGTGGAAGTTTTAGTAATGTCTAATGAATTCTGCCACATATTATTCTGGTCTCTCGACCGCGTCACTTATCTCTTAAGAGACGTAGGTGGCCCCTGCAGTATATAAACGGTGTAAAGTTGCCGGGTTCCGGAGACGGGACCTTCGGCTTGGCTCTCTTGGAGTCATGGCCACATGAAGTGCGTTCATGGATGGCCAGGCGACAATCTGATGTGGCTGAACGGAGGAATCCAATATTAGGTCGAGCTCGTGGAAGATATTTCGTATCACTCGTGTCAGTGAATTGTAGGTAGAGGGTCGAGCTACTGGCTAGTTTGTGCTGGCTATGTACGAAGTTAGCTTGAGTTATAAAAGAGGCCAGACGAGGATGAAATTCAAGAAAAAGGAGAAGGATTCCATAGTATGAAAGTAGAAAAGGGGCACACGGCTTCGTTGGATAGAAAGGAGTCGGGCGTCCCAGAGGGAAGGTATTGTGGGATCGCAGTGACTTACCTTAACCTGCCTGTCGGCCCTGTCGAACATCGGCATTAGGTGGGGATCTTGCGCTACCTTCGGTATAATAATTAAGATATGGCCTTCTACCTCTACTATCGAATTAGAGGGATTTTTTCAAAGTTATGTATTGTCGTTCTAAATATGGGAGAGATGAAGGGGAGGCTGCTTCTGCAAAATCAAGAAATGGAAACTTACTCTTCTCATGTAGATGATAATTTGGTCTATGTGTCCCACCATCGATGGAATTTTCGACCATTGGACCACAGCAGGATACGCCATCCGTTGCGGCCGCGGTGCAATCTGGCCATGTACATGCAATATTGTTCTGAGCCTCGGCATCATTAGGAGTCGAATAGCGAGACTCGACCGACTTGTTAGAGAATTTCGCAAGAGGCCATCTTGTATAACGATATTTACCCCTCTCGGATGTATGTACCTGCTGCTTTAAAATACCTAACACAGCGAAGAAATAGAGTTACCTCGTTAGGTACGCATAGTTTCGCCGCCCGGTAAGGTAATGTGTAATTTAGTACAGAACGAAGTCTGAAGGAGAGGATAGATCTGGAGTATAGCAGCAGAAGATGGGATGGGACGGTAGGAAGAGGGTACTGAAGGAATAGCTCCAAGGAGGTGTAGCAAGTTAAATGCATAGAGAGATGGTATTAGGTGATGGAGTAGGTGGGAGAAGAAAGTAGAGAGGAAGAAATTAAATAGAGTAGAGAGTTTAGAAGACCGAGAAGAGGGGGCTCATCCGTTTAATAGGTGAATAATAGAGCTAGTTAAGAGAGTAAAACGTAATAGGAGATTCAAGAGAGAAGATTAAAATGGAGGAGGAAAGAATGTAGCGGTCATATTAAAGGCAATATAGGTAGGACCGACTTTAAAAGAGAAGACTTAATGAAGGTGGAGGAGTATAGAAGGAAGGAGAAGTAGGAAAATTATACAAGGAATAGTAGAAAAGCTACTTGAGGAGGCATATTAGAGAATGAAGAGCAAGAGGGGTAAGAAGATGGGTTCTCTGCTTGGTTTAAGTCAGGAAAATTGTAGATAAAGGAAGCAAGAATTTTCCTGCACCCTTCCTTTGGGTGTTATATAGAAAATTTACTAGGTAGAAGCGATGGTAGGACAGATATGACTCAATGAATACCAAGCTGTGAAATACGGGTCTAGAAGTATCTAGAGACGTATAAGCGGAGATCCGTTGGATCCTCGTGGATTCAGGAAGCTTATTTTACTGCTTGATCGGTCATAAACACGCTCATTACCTAAGAGATATGGGCATATTCTTTGTCATATTGACCTTCCCCCTTCGATCATCCTCATGATTTAAAGTTCTTTGACTGAACAGACATGCGTGATGATGTCGTTGGTCTGTGAGTAACGATCATATATTATAGACGCATGTATACTGTAAGAAGTTCCCCGTAAAATATGCGAGTATCAGTCGTTAACTATCTACCTACAGGTACCTTAGCCAACCATCTCTAGGTACATAGGTAGTCATAGGTGATGAGTGAAACATCAGATGGCTTGACCTTCTAAGCTATAGAACTGTTAGAACACAAACTTGAAAATAAGTTAGGATCGTTAGCACTGAGATGTATGAGTCTTTATTTGATGTCACAGCAAACAATCATGTAGTTAGTAGCATACAAAGGCTTCCTCAATATCTAGATGAGCATCTTAGGTACCTACATAACAGTCACTACAAGTGACAGAAATTTCTGCTGAGCTAAAAACGATGTAATGGAGCATGAAAATTTTCGACAGGACAACTTTAACTTGTATTAATATCTATGAGATCGAATTCCAGGGCAATAAAGAATCCTATGGAAGGACCTCTACCCTTAGTGGGAAGCATAGGTACGTATGTGGAAGATTTGTACTAGAAATGATCCCAGGGTTGATACTTGGGTATTCCATAATCCGAGGCTTCAAAGAGCATCTTAGATCGGCGGCTGACGGCGCTTTGAAAATTTTCCTTTCAAGCTGCTATCTGGCAAGGAATAGGACAGTCTGATTCTCTGGCTTTAGTAGTGATCCAGACCCCAGTCAGTTTGAAGGTACCTAGGTATGTTTCTAGATACAAGCAGTGTTACAACCAATAATAGCAACAAGACACGTCAATGTGATGATACAGGCCTACTTTTCTTGTATTCGTGGCATATCAGTAGCTAATTGATGGACGATGCTGAGGTCCGTCCTTGGTTTTCGTACCATCTCTCATTTTTAGAAATTAATTAACTTACATAGCATCGCACAAATACCTGAATTTGTAAACTAATAATTCTTAAATATACTTCTATTTGTATCAAAATCAGTCTGGGGGATACGCCTAGCTATAGTACTACATATGGCGCTATTCTGATCCATTGTGTATATATATACCTAGGTAGGTATGGGTATTTCTAGGGGAAAGAGTAGGTGGTAGCCAGATTTTACTGTTCAAGCACTAAATACCTACCTAACTATCAAGGGATTGCGTTCTTGATAAGAGACCTTTGCAGTTATCTTGTTCTTTTCTGACATCTCGTTTATGAGCCAAGTACAGTGTCTGCAACAAGTGACGCCAACCTGGTGCGTTGATGCATTCAAGGCACAACTAGATCATTGAAAACATTTTATACGAATCTTATCCTAGTATATTTACAGAGGAGTATGAAAGTAGTGTAAGTAAAATTATATTTAATATCGTATTCATATATTTAAACCCAGTGAGCATCGTAGTAGAGAGTTGTGGCCGTAGTGCTTAGGATTTTAAGATGTCTAATTGTAACCCCTTTTCGCCGGAATAGCCGCCACCCCTTTTTTAATTCGGCACAATGAGGATAGTGGTTCGTATAACTAACAACTAATGCATTTCTATTTATCTACTCATTTCATATTGATATTTCATATAACCTAGATAAATGATAATAAATTAGAAATACGATACTAAAATGAATGCGGATGGCGACTTATGTTGGGGTTATCTATGGCTAATTGATGCCAGTCTCCCGGCCGCAGCCTTACTAATCGGGAGAGCTTAACCAAATTAATGTATCTATTGACTTATAAGCAGCAAAACATGCAATATAGGTGTATGCGAATCTGTGTATAGGTGTAAAAGAGGCATTAGGTGTTCATCTTCTTGATGATGTCTTGGATGGACTTAAATGTCAAGATCATGCTCTTGTCTTCTTAGCCAATCGTCTAATGTTGATGAGCGGCACAGATAGTCAAGCTAAGATATTATTTTATACGTCCCGCCTTGTAAACCTAATAGAAGAATGTTTCTGAACTAATCTTACCTAGGTACCTAGGTAGACATGGTGTTTTTTTACAGAGCTCAATATGCCGGTGTTTGAGGGTGCGTGAACTCGTCTTCGTCACTATTACATTTGCTGTCTTCTAGATGGCTTCAGCCCAGAAATATCTAGGCTATAATTGTACGAACATACAGAGAACCCGTATCTCGGGCACCTAGGTCAGCTCGGTATGGATGGCGAAGTCCTGCGGGGAACCCTTGTGAACCCCTTGTCATTATTCGGTGTATTTCTGCTATGTGTCTTACATTGGACTGAGCACGTTTCACAGGACTGCGAATTAAAACTTGCTCGTCTTATTATCCTCTTTGTGGCTTGTTGCAGGAGTCTGGAGTCGGAAGAACCGAGTGGGACGAACGGGCTAGTCATTCCAAGCATTGGTAGGAATTTCTGTACGCCTGTGGCCATCGAATCATCGTCTGCTTAGTTAATCTAGTGCCATTGTGGACGGAACAGACAATTACAAATACACAATGCTCCCAAGTGTTCAGTTAACCCTGAAATGTAGGCCCTTGCCTGGCATCTTGATGGGAGAAACACGATGGGGTGGACTTCACTCTTTTCTTTCGCAATCATAACGTCTCTGTTTACCACGGCACTATGTGGACATGGCCTCATTGGTTATGGTCAGTGGTGGTATGACCCAAAATGTTGCTACGCGTGTCGCGGTGTTATCTCGTCTGCTCCGCTCGACTGTCCTGACGGAAGTATGGGTGGTATGGGTATGGAGATGGACATGACCATGGCGTCCCCAACTGCGCCTTGTATATCCGAGAACATTGCTTTCCTAACGACGCTTGCGTATTGCATCAACTCGACGTGTCGGGAAGATCATGTGCCAACTTGGAAGATCGAGAAATATTGGGCCGACCAAGCCACCGGCGACCCTTCCATTCTACCGAGATGGACTTACGGCGCCACTCTCGCGAACATAACCCAAACTCCCACTAAGATATGGGCAAGCGGGCGGGTGCTTAATTTTACCGCTCTCCTTCCCCCTAGCGACTACGAATACCAAAAGTCCTTCGATGACCTCTTCGACTGGGAAGAACATACACAGTCGACATACGTGTAAGAGAATGACCAGTTATTACTTCGGACGTTATCGTAACCGCTTCACAGAATCGTTATTATTACCGTCGGTGTGGGAACGCCGTTGTTGGTGTATCTCCTCGGCCAGCTTCCCTACATGACTAGTGTCTCCGACGGGATCAAACCGTACCTCGTGTACCCGTCTACTATCAGCACATATGTCATCCGGCCACTTCCACGGCTGTCGGGAAACGCACCAACAATGGGTCAAGGCCTTTACATCGGAATGTTTGTCGCCCTCAACATCGTACTAAGCGCTGTCTCGTATCGAGGGTTTGGTCAGCCCGACCCGTGGGGCTTCACACCTTCCGGGGAAATCATGGCATATGTCGGATATCGAACTGGCCACATCGCCTTTGCTCTGCTCCCCCTGACCGTGTTGTTCTCATCTAGGAATAACTTTCTGCTATGGCTTACGGACTGGCCATACTCGACATTCTTAGTTCTCCACCGATGGGTCGCACGTGTTTGTGCTCTCCAGGCTGTGGTCCATTCTATCACCCTCCTTTGCGCGTATATACCAAGCGGTGTCTATTATACAGACGTCCATAAGCCATATTGGATATGGGGGATTGTGGCTACCCTGTGTCTCGTATTATTACTTTTCCACAGTATACTATGGTTCCGTAGCAAGTCTTATGAGACATTCCTCATACTCCACGTTCTTCTCTCGGTGTTCACGATAGCAGGCTGTTGGTACCATGTGATGTACTGGAAGGGGTTTACCGGTATCTATGAGTACTGGATCTATGCCGTCAGCGCCGTCTGGTTCTTCGACCGTCTTATACGCGTGCTGCGAGTCTGCAAAAATGGTATTCGCGAAGCCAAAATAGCGGAAATCGGCCCGGATATTGTTCGCGTGGATATTAGGGGGTTGCGGTGGACTTCAGAGCCTGGATACCACGTTTACGCTTATTTCCCCAAACTCAACCTCTTTCGCCCCTGGGAAAACCACCCGTTCTCGATAATCCACACCGCCATGCTCCATTCTCAGAATCATCAACTCCTCGGCAGAAACGGCATCGTGAATCACAATCCATCTGATTTGAAGGAAGTTGAGGAGGGCATGAGTAAGCCCGCGAAAGGGAACTCGGAGCCGAGCGCAGCTCCACCGGCAACCGACGCATATAGCGGGATAACCATGTACATCAAAAAGCACGCCGGAATGACGAGGTATCTCCACAATCACCGCAGCTTACCCGTCTTACTTGACGGCCCCTACCGTGGCAACGCGAGCAGGGAAGTATTAAAATGCGACCGCGTGTTGCTTATCGGCGGCGGGATCGGGATTACCGGCTTACTCGCATGGACAGACAGGCACCCCAACGTCAAATTAGCCTGGAGTGCGAAAAGAGAAGCTGAGCCTCTAGCGACGGATCTCGGCACGGCCCTCGGTAAAGTGGCTGACAAGGTGGTTCTAGTCGGCGAGAGGCTTAATATAAACGTGTTGTTAGCGCAGGAGGTAAGTTCCGGGTGGAAAAGAGTCGGTGTAGTCGTTTGCGGTCCTGCGGCGCTTTGCGACGATGTACGAGAGGCGGTGGTATCGTTTGGAAGAAGAGAGAAGACAATCTTTGAGCTCGAGGTTGATGCTTTTTCCTGGTGAACCATATTACACCTAAATATTCTGGAATTACCTATTCTTGACTAAAGTGCCCCTTTAAATGCCCCTAATCGGGATCGGACTTGTGACACGACCAAAACACATATTGACGACCCACTTGCTGCTGAGAATGTGGCTTCATTATTTGAAGTTGAATTGACTGAAATACTCGCTAATTATCCGCCTCTATCGTGTAATGTTGAATTAGGTAAACGTCTATAGTACGACAGACCTCAGTTTGGGATGGGCTCAACCCATCTTGGCACCACGCGCTTTAGAAACCTCATAAACTTGATGAATCCCACAGCATACTCCACGTTTCCAACCGGGTCAACCACTCTCTCGGGAAATCCAATTCCAGCACCGTAGAGCCCTGGAACAGGTTCCTTCGTCTTCGGATCTATGAAGCCTCCCGTCTCGTGATTGAATGACACCTCTTGTTTCATAGGGAGGGGTTTTGTGTTGTACCCTATCGCCTGTGTAACGTAGTCACATCCTGGCATCTCCTTCAAATAAGCCTCCCGTTCCTGCTCCACACCACCCGAACAGTCGACTCGAGTTATGATCTTGCCCACTTCGCTGTGCAAAAGCCTGTCGCCATCCAAGTTCTCCCGGGCGAATTGGGCTGCGATGCCTTTCAATCCGGTGTTGTCGTAGAGAATCCAATCTCCCTTGTCCTCAGCATACTTCAGCCTTTTTGCGCGGGAGAACCACCGCGCGCGAAGCTTGGGATGGGATTTCTGACTGAGTTCGAATATGTTCCTTAGGACGAGAATGGCACTGTGAGAAGCGCCGATGACACCAATGCATATGTCTTGGTCTCTAGGGATGGTCTCGGCAAAAAGAGATGGCTTGAGTGTGATATCAAGATCTAAGAGTTTCGGTACACGAGAAAGACCGTCCGGGAAGGGAACAGTAGAAGGGAATGCACCTGTGCAGTAGGCAACAATTGGCGCCGTAATGCGTTGGGTGGCTTGAGAAGCCTCATCCCGTACAGTCAACGACCATACTGAGTCTTGGCTAATCCGTTCACAATCGGTCACACTGGCCTTAAAGCTTGTGACTTGATCATGTTTGAGTAGGCCCTCAGTCAAGACCTGCAGCATGTCTCCTGCATATTGTAGCGAACAAGTGTCGTCATGAGGGAGACCTTTTAATATGGAGATGGCGTTTGGCTTTTCGGTGGTTTCTGCGATCTTCCTAAACGCCTCAACGCCTTCGCCGTAGGAGAGGAAATGGTGGACTTTTGTATTGCTTGGAACCTCTCTATACTTGGCATTGATACGGCCGCCTTGGAAGAGAGGATCTATCCATCCTATTTTGGAATTAGGGGGAAGTTGTTCGAGGAGATTGCCAACAACGGCGATACCAGCTGCACCTCCCCCAACGACTACCGCAGCTAGCTCCGAAGTTTGCTTAGTCGTACAATGGTTATCCATGTCGCGATGGCCGAATTTGAGTTTGAATCGGTTTAATTATTATGGGCTTCTTAGGCTTGATATGGTTTACCTTTTATATTCTCGAAACTGTAACTGAAAAGAAAATTTCGGATGTTAGTCACTCACCTTCAAGGTTGTCGCTTCCAGTCTTCCAATTCACCCAAGTCACTTAGGTACCTCCTAGTGTACCTACACTAAGGAATGGATAAAAGCCGGGCGGCAACTGGAGCTTCCCCTATCGCTTACCTAACCATATCTATCTCTTTTGTGGATGTCCGGGACACGCGTTCTCCTGGGTCTGTGCAATAACCATCTTCCACGTACTTCAATTGCTTCGATGAGAAGCGCATTGATGTGACGCGTAGAGAGATAGGTAATGTATAAGGTCCGGAAATATTCACTAGAACACCGCTATATCAAGACGGTGAGGTGAGTACTAGGTAAGGATCTGTGTAAGAAACGGAGAAGGATGTCGGTCTTAGTACCTTGGTATTACACACTGAACAACAGCCACAGCGTACTACATAATTGGGGCTTAGTGTCCACCGAGTGCCGCAGGTGAAGGAATCAATTCCAACCTGTCGGGAGTCGGCCACTGCCGGTGAAAGTCGTCGTGTATCTCCGACATAGGACAGCCCTACCTATCAGATGCAAACGTTCGGAGAGCGCCTTGCGTCATACTGTTCCTTATCTCAAGTATCGTTATATAAAAGGGGTCGATTCGCCATCGCTTTTATCAAGTTGTGAGCCTCAACTCTACGAATCAAGTCCGAATACTTTAACTTAAACAATAACAACGCCAATCAACACAACAGCAAGAATACAATGTCGCAGATCACTGTAGAACCCCTCACATTCCCAGAGACATCTGGCGTAAACTTCGGAGCCATTGTCCGCAATGCAGATGTCGAGCATCTCACTGGTAAGACCTATGCAACGTATTTCGTGATAAACTAAGTATTTCACATAATGGGAGATCACCCGTAAAATCGGTAACCTCCTTTGGTAAGCTACCTGACACATTCCAATCCACAAACAACAGCTAACAGTATGTTAGATGCCGACTTCGATGTTATCCGTGATGCCCTTTTCAACCACCAAATCCTGGTATTCAAGGATCAGGCTGGCACATCGCCGAAGGCTCAATTTGAGCTAACGCGACGGTTCGACCCTGCCGGAACTTCGTATGGTCATGGCAAGACGATCGATGCTAAACGCAGTATCCTACACCCCGATCTCAAAACCATACCACATCAGCCGCAAGTGCAAGTTATCGGTAATGGTTTTGTGCCTGAGTATGAAGGCTTGAAGAATGCCCAGCTCAAGCACCCGCACCACAAGACCTTCCACGTGACTACTATTCCTGCCGAGGAAGATCTCGACTTCACCCGCTTCTACCGCTGGCATATTGATGCTGCGTTATACGGCCTTGCTCCTCCAATAGTGACTACACTTCTTGCGGTTAAAGTGCCGGATGGTCGCCGTCAGATTTGTCGTTATGACGACGGAACCGGTGACGAGTTGGATGTTCCCTTGGGCACTACGGCGTTTGTATCGGGTTACTCGATGTACGACCTCCTCTCCGACGCTGACAAAGAATTTGCGCGCACCACCAAGGTTGAATACGCGCCTCATCCGTACATCTGGATCAGCAACGCCAAGTCTCGTCCCACCGGGCTAGGTATGGTCTCCCAGGGGCTGGAAGTTCCCCTGAACGACCTTCCTCCTATCGAGGAGGACAAGATCCAGATCTTGCCCCTGTGCTGGCGTAACCCGGTCACGGGAAAGCTTGCCCTCCAGGTGCATCCATCGCCGGCCCGCAAACTGCATCTTGCGGATGGGACCGTCACCGACGACCTAGAAAAGGTCCGCGAGACCATATATCGCCTGCAGCGTCCGGGTATTGCACCGAAGATGGTGTATGCGCACGACTGGAAAGAGGGTGATCTTGTGCTTTTCCATAACCGCGGGTTACTTCACTCTGTGGTTGGCGCGTTTGCTGAAGATGAGGTTCGACTGTTCAGGCAATGCAACATCGCGGCAAGCCATTTCCCTGAAGGACCTACTGCGGTGACTGCCTAGATACTTTCAAGTTATTCATGTTTTATCTCATTTTCCAATAGAGTACAGATTTCCTTTTAATCCTGGTCCCGGAACCTAAAATGATGTGCCCTGGTGACCGTTTATTCATGATTTATAATGAGCTTTTACGTATATCAACCAGATTCCAGTATTTTATACATCAGCTATACTCAAAGCAGACATGGTTGATTTCGTACGAAGGTTAAAAGGATCAATATATCTATAATCCCCCAAGCCACTGCAGCAGCACGTAAAAGTGTTTCCAGTTGATGATCAACACGTAGGATGCTAATATCTTAAGGAATATAGCGGGCCATTCTCGTTAATCAACCAATAGCCGACTCCGATTCTCGGCCCACACGATTATTCAGTTTGTGATATATCATACGTGTATATCATCCAAGTACGCCCTTCGTGGTTATATATCGTTCTATGAGATAAGAGGACCATGGACCCCTACGTAATCACGACGCTAAGTTCTTCGCGATTGTGTAATAAGTGAGATCTGATAGGAGTTATCCGGCAATGGTTTAAGCTACCCCTCAATACGCCTTTCCTGTATCGGTCTGTAGGAGCCCAACCGGCAGGGAGCTATGCGCTTCGCGTACAGTAATCGCATATGTGCATAGATCATGTAGAATCCTACGCACTTGGGGTACCCACCCCTTAAAGAGCTCAGCTCTCCGTAGGTTTTGGTCTGGTCGTTCGTCGTCTGTACGTCTCACGCTCTCTAAATCTCTCGAAAGCTGTAACCATGTTTCAAATCGCTAGCCTACTACCCAAAATCTTGGGTACTACCACCACCACAACAACAACAACGGAGACAGAGCCGGAGCCAGAGGCGAAGACAGAGACAGAAACAAAGCCGGACCCGGAACCAGAGCCGGAGAAGAAGCCGGTGACACCAGAAGCCGAAAAGGCGCGCGCAGCGTACCTGCTAGACGCGCAGAGCAAAGCCGTGTCCCTGTTCGCCGAGATCGAAGAGAAACTAATCCGCCCCGGGATCAGCGAGAAGCAGCTGAGCGACGAGATCCACGCGCTGGGCGAGGAGCGCCACGGCGTGCGGACGCACTGGCACAAGCGCGTCGTGCGGTCGGGCCCCAACACGCTGCTCCCCTTCGAGGACAACCCGCCCGACCGCGTCATCGGGGCCGACGACATCCTGTACGTCGACCTCGGCCCCGTGTTCGAGAAGTACGAGGCGGACTTCGCGCGCACGTTCGTGCTGGGGGATGACCCCGAGAAGATTAGGTTAAGGGACTCGCTCGAGCCGACGTGGAAGAGGGTTAAGGAACGCTTTGATGCGGAGAGCAAGAGTATGACGGGCGGCAGGCTGTACGAGATTGCGCAAGAGGAGGCGAGGGACGCGGGGTGGGAGTTTGGCGCTTGGCTTGCTGGACATCTGGTTGGGCAGTTCCCGCATGAGCGCGTGCCGAAGGATCAGACGAAGTTGTATATCACCGAGGGTAATGATGAGCTGATGGATGTGGAGGGCAAGGACGGGTTCAAAAGACATTGGATCTTGGAGATTCATCTGCGCGACAATGCGAATAATAGGGCGGCTTTCTTTGAGCAGCTCTTGACTGTTGGGTAGACGTGTTCTTGGATAGGAAAGTTCTTGGATATGTCGCCGTTGGGGGTGATGTTTTGTGTATACTTTTGGGTGGTATAGGATATTACCTAAGTTCTAAAGGGGTAGGATTAGCAAGAATCCATTTTGGATAGTAGCGGCAATTTACTGGCTTGAATCCGTTGGCATATCCCTAGATACGAATATTGCTCGTTAGAATAAGAGATGAAGTGAAAAAGTGAAATTGAGTCGAGAATAGTAAGGGGTAAGGGCAATGTTGGTATTCCGTAGTACTATAAGCGAACTTGTTGTCTTTCTAGAGGACCATATTAGTATGTGTTAACTGAGTCTTACATGAATTTGTAACAAACATTAACAGTGCTACCTGTGAAATATACTATGTGATTAAAACCCACATGATCCAAGTTCTTCTACCGCTACTATTTATGACCGTAGTCTATGTCTAGATATCCTTACCATCCGTCTATCCCCTCTAAGGTATTTTACGTAGCTATATTAGTTTAAGAAACCCGGGAATAGGTACTGGACCTTCTTTAACGCCTCCGGATTCCTGCCCTCGGGCTTAGTACAGAACGCAACGGCGCCCTTGCTGGCACCCTCCCAGTGCTTAGCGGTAACCAAGTCGCTGTTTTCGTGCTTACATAATTCGTCTAGCACGGCTCCAACCAGTCGTTTGGCGTTCTGGCCATTGCTCTCCATATAGTGCATAACCATGGACACGTCAACGTCCTCGGTCGTATGCCAACAGTCGTAATCTGTAGCCATGCAGATGACCTGGAATGCCATCTCGGCCTCTCTTGCTAACTTGGCTTCCGGTAGTAGCGACATGCTGATCACCGAACCGCCCCAAGAACGGTATAAGTTGGACTCCGCGCGCGTCGAGAACTGCGGTCCCTCTAGTCGTCCAGTATAATTAGTATGTGTATTTGAAATCGTCAAGCGCAATGTTTGACTTAGCAACCTACCCATGCAAATAGCAGTTCCCTTCCCATGCAGCACCACACCATCGCCCTGCATAGACTTGGCGCACTGGCGCACGACCTGCGCGACCTTATCATCGTAAGGATCGCCGAAGGGCACATGTCCGACGAGTCCGCCCTCGAAGAATGTAAAGGGGCGGATGCCCTTGGTGCGGTCGATAACCTGGTCGGGCACGACGAAGTCCATGGGCTTGATCTCCTCGCGCAGGGAGCCGACGGCCGAGAAAGCGACGACGCAGCGCACGCCGATATGCCTCAAAGCGGCGATGTTCGCGCGCGCGGGGATCTCGTGCGGCGCGTACTCGTGGTACTGGCCGTGGCGGGCTAAGAAAGCGACGGGCACGCCGGCATGCTCGAGGATCAGGATGGGCGCGGACGGGTAACCCCACGGTGTCAGGGGGTTGATGCGGGCGATTGGGGTGTACCCGTCGATCTTGTACAGGCCGGTCCCGCCTATGACGGCGATGTGGACGGGTCCTGCGCGCGGACAAGAGTCATGATATTAGCTACCTGACTTCTACGTGGCTAGGAACTTGGTGAAGGAATTTGAACGAGGTTATCGTGATAGCGGATGATGTGATGGCGGGGCAACGCGGGACGGGAAACGCTTACGGTCGAAGGTTTCAGGAAGATCAGACATTGTGACGGGCTTTCTTGGTTTTCTATAATTCTAATCAACTCTTAAAATTGGGAAATCGCTTTCTATTGCAAGTCAATGCTGAGATGTAGTTGTGTCTGTCTTGTCGCCGCCTCGCGGTTGCACAATTAATAGAAAATTTACAATGCAAAGAGTTACTGATATGCGATATGCCCCTCCCTCCCCCGCTTTCTGATACGTACCTGGTACGCCCCTACCTGGTTTGTTTGTTGATGGCGGATCCGATCTTCACTTTGATCTTTAACTTTTACCCATTTTACATCTTGTAAACACCAAGTCCTAAGCTTGGAATAGTTTCATTCTATTAATTCAACTTTTATGACTAGACGCTTTGTATCATTTTCGAGTAGTAATATACTCTGATCCCTTTTAATCTCCTCATATATCTCTAAAATGGTTGTCATCATGGCGAATTGTGTTTGTCTTGATGATTTCAATCGAAACCCTCCTCGCAGCACTTAGTCAGAGTTGAACGAATAGAATATATGACGATTTATGAACCCTAGAAACCAGAAATTTGTCCGATCTAGAACGGTGTCTCTTATGCTACCTTATACCAACTACACTGTCCAAGCTATAACATGTTGCAGCTCATCTTATACAGGAACCAGGTTAAGATGTCTCAAGGTTACTACGATATGATCGTCGCGCACGAATTGCCGACGCAAAACAACAACCACTATGCCGGCTAATGAGGCCGACTAATAGCATCGCATGTGTGCCCGCTTCCGACTTATATCGGTTCCACTTTGGGAAATTGGCGGTTAAGTGACGATATCGCCGTTTCGTCATAGTTCTGTGCCTTATGGCCGGAAGAAGTGCTTGAGAGGGGTGACTGGTATAGCCATCGACAGCTTCAATAGGACTTATGTCATGGCATTCATCTCTGAGATCCGGGGAATCTGTCCCTCACAACTTCCGCTGTTCAAGAATTGCTACGGCCCTCTTTTCAAGCACATGTGAGAGTTCCTCAGCTCACAGCTCTCATTATGCATTTCAACGCGCTGCTGAAGGTGAGTGTCGTATTGGCACTCTCGTGGCTCGGATATACTCAGACAATTGTTGTGGATGGTCAAGTCATCAGTCAGTCAGATCGCGATTCTCTCAGTCTCAAAGCCGAAGAAATATGAATATTATATCCCAACAAGCTAACCTAATACTTATTCCTTCCTCAAAGACGCCAATGAATCTACTATTTCTCCCGCTTTCGTCACGGTCAACGCCTCATCCTCCAACGCCACAGCTGATCTCTTTCTTGGCGAAACTCACCAACTTACCGATGCCGTCCTAGCGAATCTTACCGATCTTGGTTTGACTAACATCACACTATTTGGCTTCGCTGATCCTTCGACTGCTGCTAATCAATCCGCCATTGGAACCTGCAAGACTTTCCCAGGGGAACTAGTCGTCTTTCCAGGCCAGATTACCGACCGGGTCTTCGATCTTCTCCTGGGCGGCAGTCTGATCCAAACCAAACCGCTCGCTTCACCGTGCTACAGTGACTACGGGAACCAAGATGCGGCTAAGTGTGATGAAATCACAGCTCACTGGTCCGACGACTCTTACATTCAGTAAGTGAATCTATGAAACCCCTATCTCTGAGTGTGCCTATGGAATTTAGGTTAACATAGCTAAGTACGAATGATCCGACTTCAATCAATGCGATCTTATTCGAAGGGACGTCATGTGTGCCACATAATGTGAACCCCTATGCGCTGAATTGCACCATCGGTGCCTATCCGACTATGTCGGTCAACGTTACCACCGTATCCCAAATCCAGCTGGCCATCAATATGGCGCGTAGCCTGAATTTGCGGCTCGTTATCAAGAATACTGGCCATGACTATAGCGCAAAGAGCACGGGAGCGGGTGCTGTCTCTCTTTGGACCCATAATTTGAAGGAAATCAAGTATTATGAGGATTACGAAGAGGGATCATATAGAGGACCGGCGTTTAAGATGGGATCAGGAGTTCAAGTTTTTGAGGCCTATAAGGCTGCGCATGAGCTCAATCTTACAATTGTCGGTGCAGAGGGCAAGACCGTCGGACTTACAGGGGGGTACATTCTCGGTGGTGGTCATTCCCCTTTATCAAGTTTGTATGGAATGGCAGCAGACCAAGTTAGTCCACTCGCAGAACCGTCTCCATCGCATAGACTAAAATTCTTAAAAGGTCCTTTCTATGGAACTCGTTACAGCTGATGGTCGTTTCGTAACGGCCAGCGAGATATCTAACCCCGACCTATTCTGGGCTCTTCGGGGTGGAGGCGGGTCAACGTTCGGAGTTGTGACGTCAATGGTCATCAAAGCATTCCCAGAGATTCCAGTCACGACAATGAGCTTCAGTCTGAGCAGCAGCGAAGAAATATCCACCGACCAATTTTGGGAAGCTGTACGTGCCTACTTTAAAGACTTCGCCAAGTACACTGACGCTGGTAACTACGCTCATTTTAATCTCAATGCGACGAGCGGCAATTATGTTTGGGATATGGCACCATGGTTCGCACCAAACATGTCGAAAACGGAGTTGGAAGCGCTTGCTGAACCCTTCTTCAAAGCGGTTAGTGCCATTGGGCTTGATCTAGAGCCAACGTACCAGGAATATACCAACTTCTATGATGCTTGGGATAAATCTTTCCCATTGGAATTGTGGGGGTCAAATCTTGCTCGGTATGGTAGTCGACTTTTCCCAAGGGAAAACTGGGAGGATCCTACAAAGCTCTCGTCTACCTTCGATGCTATTCGGCATGTAGTCGATGGCGGCGGAGTGGTATCTGCTTATAACGTTGCAGCTGCTCCGAAATCTGGATACCCGGACAATGCTGTTAATCCAGCCTGGCGTAAAACAGTCTTACACGCCATCGACATCGCCTCGTGGACTCAAGATATGTATACGGAGCTCATCACAATCTGGAGCAACGTTTTGACATCGGATTGGGGTAGTCTGTGGCGCTCAGTGTCGCCTGGTTCAGGCGCATACCTTTCAGAATCGGACTACATCGAACCTGATTTCCAGCAGTCATTCTGGGGCGATAAGTACGACAGGTTGTATGAACTAAAGAAGAAGATCGATCCTTGGGATGTATTCTATGCGCAGAACGCTGTCGGGTCGGAGAACTGGGAAATGTCGGATTACATCTTTGGAAATCTGCCCTCGCAGAACAGTCGTTTGTGCTTGAAGGGGACTGGCCCCTCTCAGCAAAACAAGATCCGGGACACTCATTGAAGCCCATTAGAGCTGGATCAAGTTCGAAATACGATGCCCCCTTCCTTGGCCGCTAATTCTTGATACGAATAATAACAATTTTATATGACGAATAGGTAAAATCTCGTGCATTTATCTCCATCAAGCTTAAGTGCTCTTACTAGAAAGCAGGTCGAGATAAGGTGACTGATAGAACGCTATTTTATTTTTAGCTTATCTCAGGCAAGTTAACATGGGCATTTCAGCCAACCGGCCTTATCAATAACCCCTTATAACACCCCTCCCTTGGAGGGGTGAAGCATTCGCTAGGTGGTATAGATGGCAAGTTTCTTCTGAAGTATCAGGAGACTGGCTATCAAGTTTCCACTGTGAATGATTGAATAGCACAACAGGCGAAAAATACATGGTATGCTGAAGTGTTTGAATCATGACTTACGACCTTGTCATAACTAATGGCACATGTGTAACCGCATCTGATATCGCGGCATTGGACATTGCTATTCAGAATGGGAAGATTGCGCTCCTAGCTCCGTCGGGCTCGTTGGCGGGTGCATCCGCCGTACAGGTGATCGACGCCGAAGGAGGATACATCACGGCAAGTCATTATTCTCATGAGTTAAAATTATGAAATGAAATCCAGCCCTAATACTTTGAAGCCAGGAGGAATCGACTGCCATGTCCATCTTCAAGAGCCGGCCATGTTTGGCGGGAAAGGAAGGTCTGCCGACAATTATGAGTCTGGTACCCGTTCGGCCATCGCCGGCGGAAACACAACCATCATAGCCTTTGCGCCGTTGCAAAAGGACGAAATATCTCCGCTAGCTGCAGTTCATGCGACACATGCCCTCGCACGGGGTAATTGCTACTGCGATTACAGCTTCCATCTCCTCATGGGCAACGCAAGCGCGACAGCACTCCAGGAACTCCCCCGGTTGAAGCACGAAGAAGGTATCAGCTCGGTCAAGATATACATGACATATAAGGCACTGCAATTGCGGGACAACGAGATCTTATCAATCCTGCTTACCGCGCGGGCGCATGAGATACTCACCATGATCCACGCCGAGAACGGGGACGTGCTCGACTGGTTAACAGACCAACTAGAACTGGCTCAGAAGATAAGTCCAAAATACCACTCCAACTCGCGGCCGCCAATCTTGGAAGCCGAAGCCACGAACCGGGCCATCGCGCTCTCGTCGCTCGTCGCGAATACACCCATCCTGCTAGTCCACGTCAGCGACCCGCAAGCAGCCCTCCGGATCCGCGAAGCGCAGACGCAGGGCCAGCCGGTCTTCGCCGAGACGTGCCCGCAGTACCTCTTCCTCACGCGCGACGACCTCGACCGCCCCGGGTTCGAAGGGGCGAAGTACATATGCTCGCCGCCGCCGCGCCGGAAGGAGGACCAGGGGGCTATCTGGCGCGGCCTTCAAAACGGAACTTTCTCCGTGTTGAGTTCGGATCACTGTCCGTTCAGCTTCGACGACGAGGAGAAGGGGAAGAAGTCGTGTATCACGCGTGAACATCCGGAGGGCCACTTTCGGCATGTGCCGAACGGGTTGCCCGGAGTGGAGACGCGGCTCCCGCTCGTCGTGTCAGCGAGTAAGCTGAGGCTCACGGAATTTGTGGCTGTGGCCTCGACGAACCCGGCGAAGTTGTATGGGCTGTATCCGAGGAAGGGGGCGCTGCTTCCGGGGGTTTCGGATGCGGATTTGACGATTTGGTATCCCGAGGGGAAGTTTGGGGGGGATCTTACGTTGAAGAATGATATGCTACACCATGATGCGGATTATACGCCGTACGAGGGTCGCAAGCTTGGGAATTGGCCTAGGTATACGGTGCTCAGGGGGAAGGTGGTCTGGGATCGGGATAATGGTGGGGTCGTGGGAGAGAAGGGATACGGCAAATTTGTTAAGAGAGGGTCGGCCGTTGATGTTTGGGATAAGGTTGATGAGGCTGGGTTTGATTTGGAGGAGTTGTGATACTGGATAGTGGTTATACTTCCCTTGAAAAGAAATTCATCTTGAATTCAAGTCACTTAAAAAATGGCACTAAAGCAGAAGTGAGTCCAGTAAAGGTACTGTATCTGTACCTAGGTTGTTACCTGAGGCGCCTTAGTAGGAGTCGAGATCGATAAGAGGATTGCCGGGTGGCTTACTCACTCCCTAGAGAAATAGGTATTGATCTCGATTGCAGGGAGATATCACATGGTTCGTTTGAAGCAAGATTTCCGGCCAATCCCGGATAGAACCCACTTCATCCTAGGATGAGGGGAGGGGTTGGAAGAAGTCGCCGTTTCTTCTCTTCCAATGTCAACCTACCTAAAGGAACTCAACCCAAACCCTAATCAATACTCAAATATGCCGATATCTCCACTTCGAGTATGGGAGAAGCTCCAATATACGGCTCAATGGGGCCGCTTGGAAATGGGCGAGCACGTCGGGCTCTGCCGTGAATCGCTAACCGATAGTGATCGTGAGGTACGGGACTGGTTCGTGGAGGAGGCCAAGGATATAGGGTGCGAGGTAAAAGTGGACAAGATGGGGAACATATTCGCTATTCTTCCCGGTCGTAATAACAAACTTGCACCTATCGGTATGGGTAGTCACCTTGACTCGCAACCCGCCGGCGGACGCTTTGACGGGGCCTTAGGCGTTATCGCCGCCCTACAAGTTCTACGAGCGGTTAAGGAATCGGGTGTCCTGACGAACGCGCCGCTGGCTGCTATCAACTGGACAAATGAGTACGATACAGATATCGCTTACCTCCTAGCCTAGGATCTGTAGTTATGCTTACCTACTGACGGCTGTACTAGAGAGGGATCTCGCTTTCCCAGAATGTGCACCGGCTCAGGGGTGTGGTCCGGCGCTGAAGATGTTGCGAGCAGCCATGCCCTGACCGATCTGGCAAATCCATCTATAACACTAGGTAGCGAGCTCAAGCGCATCGGTTACCTTGGCACTACTCCATGCTCCTACCGCGAAAACCCGCTTTCGGCGCACTTTGAGCTGCATATAGAGCAGGGGCCGCGGCTAGAGAAATCACGACAGAAACTCGCCGTCGTATCTGGTGTGCAAGGCATGCGCGCATATGAGGTTCGTTGCCAGGGTTCCGGGGGTCATGCTGGTGCTGTGCCTATGTCTCAGCGTGCTGATGCGCTCGCGGCCCTGGCTACCTTTGTGGTGAAGGTGGAGGAGCTGGCCCGTCGGGAGGATGCTTTTGGCACCGTAGGCGTCATCGAGACCGACACAAGCAGTCCGAATACGGTTCCCGGTCGTGCATTTTGCACCCTAGACCTACGGCACCACGACGAAGAGACCCTGGACACAATAGAGAAAGAACTGAATGCGCATCTATCGGGGCTGGAACGGGATAGACCGGGCATCACCGTATCCATGATAAAGACCCGGCATAAAGAGAGCATCGAGTTCGATCCAGAGGCAAGCCTATGTTTACAGCGAGCCATGATGAGTACTGTTAACGAGTCTCTGGTGTCTAAACTAGAGAGCTACGCTGGGCATGACAGCGCGGAAACGGCGCTCGTGATACCGACGACCATGTTGTTCATCCCATCTAAGAACGGGATTAGTCATAATCCAGCGGAGTTCAGCTTCGAGGAAGATTGGTAAGTGCTCTTTGGCCTCCTAGTGATTCTGACGTCCTTTACTAGCACTAGAGACAGGTCGGCTAATCAGAACACAGTGAGATCGGCGCTCAGACACTTCTTCAGGCGGTGATAAACTACGATGCGTTCCTTGAGGGGCGAATAGCGAATAACATAAGTGATAGATAGGAATATGGAGGAGTATCCGTGCTCGAGTGTCATTTTAATTTCATAATATGTATTCAAATACCTAGGAACTATATAAATATAAATAATATCATGACCCTCTAGACACAAGCTCGGGTATATGATGTTTCTTAAAGCTGGAACATTATCCATCCGAGTAGATCAACAGTTCTCAGAATCTTGAGCAAACGTACGGTCGTTCTTGGCCTAAACGAGGATGATCTCGTGCCTTTGGAGCGTATGGCCTCCATGCGAAGGAACCTTGCAGTGCTGGAACTTGTGTTCCAGTATTAATAACACGCATTCCACCATTTCTTCAAGGCTAGTCGGATCTTCCCTTAGAGGGCTTCCTAATGCCGCCCAGTTTCCGTCGTCAGTTGGGTTGAAGATGAAGTCCAGGAGTCCGATTCGTTGGTAAATGCCACGACTGGGCGTCACTGCTGCCAATATAAGACAGTACAGGCGCAGTTCTGTGCAATAGTCATATTCGCTTTCGCAGAGGATTGGAAGGAAGAAGCAGTCCATTGGCTCCAAAAGACTTGGAGCGTTTGGTTTGCTGTTCCCAAGTGCATGATCGTCTATTTGGACAAAATGGGCCCAGCCGTTTAAAAGTGTATTGCTCGCAAACGAAACCCTAAGGTGGAAAGGCCTTGTCCCGTGGCCACGAATTTGCCCTGGTTGATATTCGCATGAGTTGCAACCCTTGTGGAATACAGGAAAAACGAACCCCGAAAGTCGAATCCGCGAATCCTGAACCGCTCCGTATGGGTTGGTTCTGACAACTGGGGTTGAATACATGTCTATAAAGTCCACGAGATTTCCATAATCGCCGATGGGGCGGTAAGAGACCTTCCCAACCACTGAAGCCCATGACCAGGAAGGTGCGCGATAATCTGACACATGTTGAAGATCATTCTGAGAATGCCAACATAAATCTCGAGTTAGATTTGATATCCATAGACCAGCTAGATAGTCCGACCCGAAGGCTGGCTGACAGAATTTCGCAATCCCTGAGACCGCAACCAACTTGTCGCTCCGTTTTGTGAGATTCGAATTTGTATAAAACCCAATTACCTTATGCCAAAATGTTTGGACGTCATCGAATGGCATGTTCCGTAAGAATGTTAACGACCACAGATTCCGACAAGCAGGATCGTATCGAAGTCCACAAGGGGATAGCGCGCCGCCCACGAGCTCACAGTTAATCTCTTCGGCGCACTCGTAGTACACCAATCGTCGACTGAAGCTAATATTTCGGGTTGATAGTAGACGCTCTTGACATACCCAGGCCCTGAGATTGAGTGGTTCTTCATCGAGATCCACCAGAACCGTTTGATCGTTTCTATCAAAAACCAGCGTGTCTCCCATTTTCGGCAAGTGAACCTCATGTGGGCATACTTGTGACGGAGATCGCTTATAGAACAGACCCTCCGAGCTACGCATCGCGGATGTAGCAGCCAGATTACAGTATGCATTGCGGTAGACTAGGTCCATGGTGCCACTTTCTCGATCCCAATCATCACTGGAATCTTGAATAATGCACTGCTCAAGAAGGTTAGATTTATAGCCAAGAAAAGCATTATTCTGAAAGAGCCGCTCACTAAGGAGTCTATCCACAAGTATGGTATCTTGAGTCTCAACGCAAGCACCGCTGCATCGACATATTTTATGGGTAACTCATGCTGGGGGATCTGAACCATGAAATCAGATAAATTACGCGACGTGAGCGTTAAGGTCGCATTTGTGCCCCATCTGTGACTCAACGTAATGTACCGCCCTCGGAAGCCGCTGTTAGAAGTCAAGACAAGGCGAAAGTGCAACTTCCCCTCCTCTTCTTCTTTTATCTCTATGAGTCTCGATGGAAGAGTGTTTGGAGACTGCTGGCACGATTTATGATTGTTCTCGCAATTCTCCAGACGGTCGGTGATATACTGCCAAGTTTGCTGGGAGTTCGTGTTGTCTGCCACTAGGTACCGAGCACCCTTCCGTTCTCGAGCGAAGAAATACAAGTTATCCAAGGTGCCGTATCCGTCATCTATTTCAAAGCCTGCATAAGACGTCCAAGTGTAGCGTGATGATATCTGAAGGCGCGCGAAACTTCGAAAGGTGAATGAACACTCAGATCCAATCGCGCAAGTGATTTCTGAAGGGAGCCCCTGAAGAAAGTCGGGTAATGATTCAATCCTGGATTGTAAATGCGTCAATATCCTAATACACCACCAACATTCACGTCGGGCACCATCTACCAGTTCTGCTATATTGCGGTGAAGAACATGCTTGATGGAAGTATCTTGAAGCTGGGACCAAATCTGACAGCGGTCGCAATCCATAATCGGATTTCTGCTATAAATAGAGGATGTCGTTTATTCACTTACATCTAATCGTTAGGTTCGCCATGGCGAAAGAGGGACAACCAACTGCCTACCTCTTATAAGTCGGAAGCATCGTAACGGCTCAGCCCTCAAACGAAACCCACCTGCAAAGAATCAATGAGAGACGAAAATCCATTATCGGTGGAGAAGAACATAAGCGAGATTGAAGACTTGGGCGCCTAATCAGGAATTCGGGCCAACGAGTCCTCGATGCCATATGGTTCTTTTGATATTGATATAGTTGTAAATTGTGAATAGCCACTCTATGCAGGCTTGCAGTCTTTACCAACAAGATTACCAAAGTAAGTAACATAGCTGCTGTTGGTAGTAATTTGGAAAAAAAAACGTGTCACTGTAGGATCCTATTATGGAGCGGCATAAATCATCATTCCCCTACGATTTTGAAACGGATCCAAACCGGTTAGAAGCAGGCTGACTTCAAGTTGAACCAATTGTATCAAAATGCGGTGCTCGCTGAAAGGCGGCGTTTGGGTGAGAGGAGGGCTGAAACCCCTCGATTCGCTGCTGAAAAAAAAATCTCATTGGATCCATCTTCAGAGCTATATCTGAGTATCCTCACTGAATAGGGCCGGAGTTAATGCCTCTGATAAAGACTTCGGCCCTGGGTCTTGCATGACCAAGACATTTGAGTGCTGAGAGTAGTGGTATATACACTAGGAATAGACTAGGAGAGGAAGGTTGAGATATATTAGGTACCTACATGTGCCTGCGTCGATTGGGACTATAAGTACGATATTTAATTATCGAAGCTATACTGTTCATCTACGTACATAGTTGCATCTAAACAGCAAATCAGCAAATCGGAATGGCTGTAGTACGGATTACTAACGAAATGCAAGCCCCACCTACGCCACTATGAATCTCAGTCAAACTTTCAGACAAGTAACCATGAGTCCTCAACCTTCTAGAAGAAACAATTACCAGTCATAAATGAATAATTACCTAATTTATAAAATTTCATTTTATCATAGGTAATCCTTTATGGTATTGTTCTTTAAATCAGTCAAATCCCACTGATCAGGCAGACGCTTCCTAAGAACTCATCTCTTCGTCGCACCCGATCTATGGCGGGGCGCCATACAATTTGATATGCGTTCGGGTTGTCCATCCAGCGCACAACTTTGATACCGCGCTCTACGCAATATCTAGACGTGTATCTGTCATGGCATCGTCTCCCTCCAGAACAAACCAGGTAGATCCTGATAGGGCTAAGATGTGGAAAAACGACTCTATCGAGGAACGCATCTTCTCAGCATCTTTGATATGCCTTGAAGGTCACTACAACCAGTCCCCTGTGATGGGACCTCACTCTATAGCCAAAGTAACTAGCATCGTCTCCAAAACCTTGGAAAAGACGCACACTTTCAAGGATGTGAGGTGAGCTTCTTGAGACATACTTTACGAAAACATGTCTGGCGCCGCACCCCGCTAACGCTTGAGCCACAGAGAGATCTTATCGAGAAACGTGAGAGTATGGATATGGTTACGTCGTGCTGTAAGCGCCGCGATATGTGATCTCAACGAGAAATCTCTTGGCGTACGATCGGAACCATTTGTCCAGACTAGGTTTCTCGACATCACTACTCCCGAGGTCACCGCACTCATTATTAAGAATTACGTACCCCTGAAGGAAGCTTTGCAGATGTTGAACAAGCTTATGAACATTGCCCGCAATTTACTCGTTACCACCGATCCTGAGGTTCCGCAAGATTTATCTGCGGCTATTCACTTCGACCATGAAGTATACGAGTCGATATGTCTTTGCGTCAACGTGACTAGCAAGGGAATCGACGGAGAGATGCCAGAGGATGAGGCTTCTAGAGCAAAGCTGAATGAAATCACAGAACTCTGTAAGTCTCGCTATTCCTTGGTATCCTTGACATGACTAACTATCATTAGGTAAAAAGGTCCTTGTTACGTCTCTGCAGCAGGCTCATAACTGGATCGCCAAGAACGACCGTAATAAGATGTTATTTTGGTATAAGGTGTTGATAGAATCACCAGATGCCGATAGCAATCCGGGTCCAGAGGATCGACACGAATCCGTTCTAGACTATCCAGCGCCCAGAAGTATTCATCTTCGAGATGAAATATCCAATTGGCTTAAGAGATCATCACGGATGTGCAGCGCCGCGGTTAGTATATGCAAGGAATTCTTCGACGCTCAGAGTGCTGAGAAGAAGGACCAATGGCTGCCCCACGACGAGAACCTCCTCGCTTGGAATTACACCCCACCTGAAACGTGGGCTTGGCAGCCGGATGATTATGACGACGCGGCTGAGGTGATCTCAAAATGGGATCCCGAGCAGACTAACAAGTTCGAGCAAGATAAGGCATACGGCCGTGTATCTCACGAACTCGACAAATGGTGGTGTGGCGCACGCATACCAAACTCGAACGACTGGAGTTTGACAATGTATTCGAGCATCGACTCTGTTCCTCAGCGCATTAAGGAATGTGAGGCAAACCTCATGCAACGATATGCTGCGGCCGAGCCCCAAGAGGAGCCGAGCGATATAATTGAACACCCATCAGATGATGGAAATAGCCCAGAATGGCAAACCCAAACGCCTCAGGCCAATCAGAATTTTGCCCCGGAATATGACGAGTATGAAGAAGAGGCCGACGACGACGATTCATATGGAGAGGGCCCGATGACCGGACTTCTTACCGAGGTGCCAAATATCCTTGATCCTAAGCAGATCGAGGCGCTTCACATGATTGTTAAGTCGTGCATATTAGATTCGGCGGGTTCTGGCTTGACGCGATTCGGCGAGAACCTGCAGCAGACCCGATGCCGTATTTTCCTCGCTACTGATTGCGGCAGAAATCTTTTGAGAGAAATGCTTGTTTTTATCGCCGTATGGGAAAAGGACGAACAGTCACTTATATTTCAAATTAGCAGTCAGATTGTGCAGGCGATTCACGAGAACTCTTTAATCCCCTATGCATGGATGGCTCTTCGAAGCCCCAAAGACATCATATCGCCGGCACAGACAGTCCTGCTCCGGCTTATCACCTTTTTATTCCGCACGGCGCTTGCGCCGCCTAAAGATTATAACCCCTTTCCCGACCCTAAGACGACAAGTATCGAGAAAATCCTAGCGAATGAGGACGTTCGTCTAGGGAAGATGTTAAACTATTTATACGGTCTCTTCCGAAGCCGTATTGTGCCGGAGTGTGTCGCCTTGATGCAGATCCAGGGCGAGGTCCGTAAAGGCCGACTAGATCCTGCAGATTTTCCGGTCGATAATTGGGACCTGGAGCGGGCTAAGGACGGCTTGGTCCAATATCTCGACTTTCTTTATACCGTTGCAGACATATTTCCCCTCCGTCAACACCTCATCGATTACGAGGCCGTATATGAACTCCTTAGACTACTAGAAGGTCTCGATGTCGGAGTAGAGAAGGCTCCCTTCCCTGGAACCCGACGAAATGAACCTCCCACTACACCCTCCACCACAACTTCGACGCCACAAGCATCATCATCCAATAACCCACCTCCACCCCCACCTCCGCCTCCACCGATCTCCGATCCACCCCACGAGTTCCCATGGTCCGGCATCAAAGGCCAGGTCCTTTCCATCCTCGCAGCCCTCCTACAACCACCCCCCGGCCAGTCCTCGCCCGGAAACCCGACGGTGCAGCTGCAGATCCTCCAACATAACGGGATCGTGGCGCTGCTGAACTGCTGCTTGTACGACGACAATAATAGGTTCTGTCGCGAGCGTACGCAGCTCTGCCTGAAATGGCTCATGGACGGGTGTCCGGACGCGTCGGCGTTCCTGCAGAACCTCGTCAGCGCCAACCAGCAGCCGGTTAACAACCGGCCGGCCCCCGGCACGACGCAGAGCATCCGCGTCGACGGCGTGCCAGGCGAGGTTAGGGTCCAGGTGCGCAGCTCCAGCGCCCCCGTCGCTGGTGAGATTGGTGAGGTGGTGGTCGGCGGCGGCGGCGCGGACGCGGCGAGCGCGAGCTTGAGGAGTCGGCTTGAGGAGAATAAGAGTCGGAGCGAGGAATTGGTGAATGATCTGCTGGCGCTGACGGTCGTGGATGAGAATGGTAAGATGACGATTGCGCCGGATGAGGATGAGACGGAGGATGATGATTTCATATAATCAGGCAGTCTGGGTTGGGGGATAGTATGGGATGGATTTGTCGGGAGAGTACATTAGGACTTTAGGAAAAGGGGTAGGGTGGATGGCTACGAATGGATGAATGACAATAGGGAAGGTCGCTTGCATTGTATGGACTTCAGGTGCCTACTGGGTATGTTGCATAGGGCCTGTGTAGGAGTTTAGGTAGACGGAACGATGGTTCCTTAGGTATAGATTGTGAATACACAATCTGATAACAGGCAAAAGCCTAGTCCAATTGATTATGCTAAAATTCGTAGTAAAAGATCGAGGAACTCGAATGTTTCAATGATGGTAATAGAGGGAAAGACTAAGATCGTATTGTCTACCTAAATATCTATCTAGCTATAGCTGAAAAGCAAATGTTTTTGATAATTCTCAAAGACAATGATAGACAGTAGGGCATAATCCACAGATAATGCTCCCAGATGCCAAACTCATCCTACACTTTCAATTCACTTACATGATCTTAATCACCTGCTCTAGAAGTTCATCGTCAGGCACGACCAGTGCTAGCAATATCTCGTTCGTAAGGGTCCCTAGAGTGTTCAGATCTCCCGTACTAAGCTTTGCCTCGATGAATTCGGATATTCCCTCTTCTTCTTGGACGCGGATGGCTTTCTCGATTCTCGAGAGGCGGACGTCTAGGGTCTCTTCGGTGACTTTACCTTCTCTTCCGTCCTGAGTGCTGGGGGCATTTCCGATAGTCGAAGCGGATTGGTGATATTCCGTGGCTTTGCTCTCCGGTTTTACATGTTTTGCTCTGGACGCTTCTTCAGATGGCATGTCATACTGAGAGGAGGCGTTGGCATATCGTCCACGCTGGCTGTTGGTATTTGGTTCTCGGTGTGTTGCACTAGAGCTGCTGAGAACATCATTTGGGGTGTCAGTCTCCTCGATATTGATGGGTGCTCGCTTCTTGCTAGATCCTCTGGCATCTTGAGAAACTTCAAGCGGGCTACCCCTATCCATAATATCGTACGGGTCCAATTCACCTACTCCGACTTGCCCTAATCTCTTCGATGTTAGTATGGTTCCAGTAGCATCATCTTCGCTTTCCGAGCCTTGAGTCTCATCATCATCGACTTCGATGTTCTGGCTGGTTTTCTTTTCAATGGTAACATCCGTTTCGTAGTTGTTCCTACCGAGTTGGGCCCGTAGACGAGTATTTGGGTATGTCTGATTAGAAATCTCTGGGACGGTGGGGGTTTGGGATTGACCTCGGATCACATTGATTTTGATCCTCTTCGAGGTATTAGGCTCCTCTGTGGTATGATCATTCCCACGTTTCTGACTTCCTGTTAGGCGGCTTGAGCCTTGCTCAGGAGCTAAATCGAATTCGGAATGACTACCATTTCCCGCGTTGTCATCAGATGTTGAAATTTTAGAACCACGCTTGGCAACCCGACGTGTAGTTTTTGGTATTCCGGAGCGAGATCCTGGGTCGCCTGGGTTACTTCCGTGTGTGGCCAGGGAACCATTTTCAACACCTTGGGCAGGGCTGCGATTTAGGAACGGGAGTTGACGGCGTGGAACCAATTTGTCAATGTCGTCTACCTCTGACGTGGAGGCAGGTCTTGGTGGACGAGCGAAGCTGTCATCATCGCCCTTTGATGTACGACTACTGTGATAATTAGGAACCGAATATGGCCGGTCTGATGCGAGCTGCATCGAGGGAATAGGCATAGGACGCGTATCAGTCTGGTTCATAGTGAGACGCTGCATCCGCATAGGTACAGCACGAGGACCTCCTGGTGGTGGGCGGTAGTCCGGAACCCATATTGTCTGCGGATGATAACCATGAGTTGCTGGAAGGGGCGCAAATCGTTGTGAGTATCCATCGGGATGTGATCTATATAGGTTAGATGGTTGGCGTGACAGCGGTTGAGTAGGCGTTGAGAGCCGGCGTAAGTTTGATTTCTGCATATTGGACCATATTCAATGCAGACTATTTCTCCTCAGGCGTGTAATCATGTCTTGATTAAGTGAGTCGGCTCGGTGAGAGTTTGAGGCGTCGGGATTGATAATTTGACTGAATTCATTGAATACTAGGTACATAGGTATATACCTTGAGACGGCAGCCTTCAAACACGGGATTAAGATATGGATGAATACTAAGTCGTTAGTTTATACGCATGATTTTTGCACTAATTATTTGTATGGTATGTCATATCCATACAAGATATTTGACGAGGATGATTGGTAGTGAATAGAAAGAAGTGAGGACAGAATGAGTTGTATGCAAATGATTGAGTATGACTATACTGATATGCACTTATGCGCTGCTAGATTTACAATGTCGTTGCTTCCTTGGCGCGCTAATGTAGGTGCTAAGCATTTAGATGAGTACTCATGCACATATATGTATATATCCGCTACTTGTCGGCTGTGGTGGGGCTGACGGACTAGTGATATGCACGGGCCAGATACATTTTTCTTGGACCAACACGACTCGAACTCCATCAATTTCCATTTTCGCGATTCAACTATTCCCAGCTTTGCGACGAACTAGACGCGAATTTGTCTAAGTTCGCATCACCCATTTGTCCTACCACCCTTTGTCGCCTCCACATCAACCTTTTAAATCGTTGTATAGCTGAGGTTCGCGATTGCGCACCTACGCAAAGCGACCTCCAGCTATTCTTCCCCAGCCTTTTTTTAACTCTCGTTTCATTTTCCAACTCCTTCATCACCGTCCATCGAGCAAGCAAGCAAGTAAGCAAGCAAGGAAACAAGCAGACCAAGCTTGTAGCCAATGCCTTGGCTTACTTGCTAGCCACTTTCATTTTCACTCTTATTCCAGCTCGTCACTGTCCGAACTAAATAGAGTCCGAATTACGCAGCAGTGACCTGCATTAATCCAACATGGCTCCGAATCGCGGTTCCGCCAACCGAGACGATGTTTACATCCACGAAATCGATCGAACCCCGGAGTATGAAGAATTTATCCGGAAACTCACAGCTTTTCACGAGGAACGAGGCACCTCGTTCGAGCCCGAACCTCGGCTCCCCACCATGAATGGCCACGTGAATGTTGACTTGTTCAAGCTCTACAAGGCTGTTATAGAGAAGGGAGGTTACGATGAGATGAACAAGGTGCAGAAGACTTGGAGCAGCCTTGCCGCTGAGCTTGGTATGCATCATACGGATAGCAAGGGAATCGGCCAGCTGTCGTTTCAATTGAAACAGGACTTTTACCGATACCTTGCTGCCTACTGGGTGAAGGACCAATACGGCAAAGAACCTCCGCCCAAGGAGATACTAGAGCAGCAGTCATGCGCTAGTAAGTTCGGACCTGTTCTAACTCGTACTGTGGACAATTTCAAGAAATTCCTGTCCTCCGGCCGCTCTGGCGTAGAGACGCCTACTAGGGATGAGCGGCAAGGTGAAGGTACTCCCGTTTCGGGCGACAGAGCTTCTGGACGACTCCGTGAAGCTCCTCCTCGACGAGTACCCTTCCAACCGGAGACTGGTCCGAGTCGCCAACCTAGACAATCATCTTCTCATCATTCCACACCCACGGCCGCAGCTATGAATACAGCCCATCATCCGACTACTCCTCACTCCCAACACCCCAACCACCACCTCACCCAACATCACAATCCGAACAACCCTTTGCACCTCATACAAGCTCAACAAGCAGCTGTTCGTGGCGCCTCGGGCGCATTTACACCTACGAACCCGGAGAATGGATCCCGCTTAGCGGAGATGGTCGATCCGCACCCCCCTATATCCGTACCTATCCGCCCCGTAAGTACTCCGGCGAACAACCCCGAGTTCGCAAAGCGACAACGCCAGTTACGCATGGCGGCCAATCCAGATATACAGCTGCCTGTTCGTCCGTCCATCCCGGGTGGCGGCTTTGAAGGGCCCAATATTTATATGCGCTGTCTACAAGCCCTCCGTTCAGGAATACCTGAGGAACAGTCGTTTGCCCTTAACCACCTCGTTAAGATATCATTTGAACGGGGTGATAAGTACAAGTTCGAGTCGTTCCTTGGTTTAGCAGAGGGTCTGATTGAGAAGGCCCTTGAGATCGGTAACCTGTTCTACCATGTCCAGTGGCAAGTAACCTATCTCAACGACCCAGTGCCGGAAAATTCGGATGTCGCCTTTCTAGACGGGCTCAACGGAACTGGTGATATTCTTGAACGAATCGCAAAATTATCACCCAAACCTATTCTTGATCATATGCAGTCTGCAGAGTTCAGCGACCGCCTACTACGAATTACAGAAGCGGTCCTAACTATTCGTAATATGGTTATGCTAGTTGAGAACGCTGTGTATATGGCGGAAGTGTTTTCTCTGCGGGATCTGTTATGCATCATTCTTCGGCTCCCGAATCTAGAGATGCTTGTTGAGATCAAGCATTTCGCTCTGGACATTGCCGAGCAACTCACACCTTGGCTCAGCCTCGATTCTGGAGACCCACTGTACCAGACACTCCTATCCCAGCTAGATTCGTCAGATCGAGGCACAATCCTCACATCTCTCCGTGCGATCAGTCGTATATCGATGAATCTAGACGCAACAAACAGGATGCAGAATGTTCCCGCTGCTGTCTTGCAGAACATTATGAATTGGATTCTGCTTAATGATGAGGAGCTTGTTGATGCATGTCTCGACTTCCTCTACCAATATCTAGCAGTGGTAGCAAACGTTGAAACCGCGCTCAAGGCTGTTAACATGGAGCATGTTACTACGCATCTTATTAGGCTGCTAGGTCATGGTTCTAAGCGGGTTAAGGAGGAACGAATTCTCGAACCAGAACGAATAGCTCCAGCCACAGAAGAGGTTTCGCCTCTACCTCCGGATCTTCAGGAGAAACTAACACACACCGACGAACCCACCAGATGCCATCAATGGCTTCAGAGCGTATTCGAGGAGACCCCCGGTTCTCAGATCACGCAGATTGCCATATGGCACGCTTACCAAAACGCCTTTGGTGCCTTGGTCAACGGACCAAAGCCTGCTCTTGGCGCGGCAGAATTCATTCGAACTGTCAGTGCGGTTTATGAGACTGCTCGAGCTTCGGTTATTAGACGCCAACGTCCCGATCAGACGGATATCTTTATTATCAATGGCATAAGAGCCAGACGTCTGCCGATACACCCCGAGACGAAGGAGGAATACTCCCCTTGTCAGTGGATGGTGACCAAAGGCCCGTACTCAAAGAAGTGCGGCTTGTACTTCCTTGGTGGGGAGAAGATGTGGGAGCACGTCGTTACTGCTCATCTAGGCATCACCATCGGCGAAGGAGGTAAAATCCAGGATAGAGAGATCCAATTATCCTGTGATTGGGAGGGCTGCGTCAAGTACGCGAAACCTACTCGGATGAAGTTGTCTGAACTCACCCGCCACACGAAGACCCACTTCCCCTCGCAGAAGCGCCTACTCAACGAGGGACCAGACTCGCTGGCTAAGCGACAGCGCAAGTCCTACGTCGTCCCCGCGAAGACTATGAGTCTTACTTGGGAGCAGACGCTCGTCACTCGCGACGAGAGAAACCCCAAGGTTGAGCAGGCAGCCGGCATTCCACTAAGCGCTGCGCTAGTGTTGTGCAACATCGCGCGCAATGTAGTCAAGACGGAGTCAGAGGAGCAGCTCCTCAAGCAGCATGAGATGGGTGGAGAGGGTGGTGGCTGGAACGAGAGACTGTTCCGCCCTGTTATGCCGAGACTGTACGAGGTATTGACGGAGAACAAGGCTCTGGTAAGTTTTACTTTTTGCTCATATCCTTTCCTATAATTTCTGCTCTTTACTAACAACCAAATTAGTCTACTTACATCACCACGCTCCTACAACTCGTGCAGGATGACTAGGATGTTTTAGGCAGAAGAAACTCAAAGAGAAGCAAGTGGGAAAAAAACAACAACAACGATGTAATTCTAGATTTCGTGGTTACGAAACCGGCACGGAAAGGAAACTTGAACTTTGATCTTTTGTCGCACCGCACATGATCACACGGAGGAATACAGGCAATACCCAGGCGTTTTTTACGAAAGTCGGGACTTTTTTCGAAGGATGGACCACATTGTTGCATAAAAAAATTCCTAATCCCTTTCCCCCCCCCCCCCCGCCATTGAATCTTTCTGTTCCCAATTTCCGTACGCACCTTCTGGGCAAGCAGGCGTGAGGTTTTCCATCTGGTTCATAGACGGGTCAGCCGTGAAGGAATTTGGCTACGTAACTTAGGTAGCTAGCTAGCTGGATGTAGATGATCCTGACGCGGGTTTCCCGTCGTCTGAGATACATATCCTCTACTTAATGAATCATAAGCCCCCCCCAAAGCGACTGCTGCCATACAATGGATTAAAAGGTCAATGGATCATATTGAATCACGCCTAAGTCCTGAGTAAGCTACGTTGTCATATGTCGTGTCATGTTGTGTTATCATAGAGTGAGTTGAGTAATTAGCAATTTTTATTTATACCTGCTAGTCCGATTTTTTTAATCACGAAGATATAGATAATTCATATGATCCCCTTCCCCACCGGGCCGCCATCCACGGCACCAACCCCTAGGAGCCGTTGCCAACGTTACACGTTAATAATTAGCCCCAAGTGGCCGCCATTATGCATGTAGTACTTTGCTGCGTACGAGACTTCTAATCCCGCCTTCCAGCCTGTCCTTCACGCACGGCCTCGAGGATGAGTTCCTTGGCCTTCTCGCAGCCCTCTTTAGAGCCCAATATCTCTATGGCTTCGTCCTTGGCTTGGTCACGTGGAACGTTGATCTTGCATCCGCTTTGCTTGCGGATCGAGTTGACCTTTGAACCGCCTTGGCCAATAACATGGCGGTATGTAGATGGGTCTGGCAGGATAAGGTAGCCGGTGGTGTTGTTCTTCTGGGCTTGCTCAAGGGCTGCCGCGATGGCTTTCTTCGCCTTCTCGATGTTATCTTGGCTGCCCTTTAGTACCCACGGAATATCGCCATCATCCGAAGAGGCAGTGTCGACAACTGTCCAGGAATAGGCATCATTTGCAGCTTCCGCGTCATCGGTAATCAAGGGGAGTGCACCATTATTAGCCCGCGTAGAAGAGGGTTGGGGCTTAGGTGGCACAGCTTGACCAGCATGGTCAACTGTGACTTTATGATCATTCCTAAGTCTACGGAAGAACTGGCCGTTCTCCGAGATAGCATGGTGATACTTTCGCGGGACCTGGATCGTCTCGCCTTGCTGTTCTTTGATTAGCGACGAAATATGTTCCTTCGCTTTCTCAACATCAGCAGGCTGTCCAACGAGCTTCACGCCGGTCAGGCCGCTTCCTTGTCGCGGAATATCAATGGACACGTTGAGTTGCGATTCGAGCTGGCGCTTCGTCTCGCCGCCGCGCCCAATAAGCGATCGGTGCTTTTCAACGGGTACTTCCATAGATTCCGTTACTTGGCTCTCGCGCTCTAATACTAGAGCTTTGATGCTATCAATAATCTTGTCGACAACATCTTGTCGTCCCTCGATCTTGATAGCATTCCCATCCGTATCTTGCTTGGGGAACTGAATAGTCCGAGCTTGGAGTCGTCTATCTTCAGGGCCACCAGCTTTGATGACAATATCACGGAGAGTTGAACCTGCGTTGAATTAGAAGAATGGTCCAAGTAAGCTTTACACAAAGAGAACATACCACCGGGACCAATGAGGTTCTTGTGCCACTTTCTGTCGATTTCAACAGTCTTTGTGACTGTTTCATCAAATACGGCACGTTTTTCTTCGATAATCTTCTTAGCCGCTGCAACTTGCGCCTTGGTGCCTTTGATCTGAATTTCAACTGTGGCATCTTGAGAGTCATTACGATCATTGGGAATATCAATCTTTGCTCCGGTGGTTTGACGAAGTTCATCCATACCGGCACCGCCGGAACCAATCAGAGACGGAAGTTGCTTTTGTTGAACAGACACGGTTGCGACGAACGAATTTTCCTTAAGATATTGGTAAAGGGAGTAGATCTCATCGCGGGCCTCGTCTGCGCCCTTCTTTGGGCCTCTGATCGTAACTTCATCGGGTCCTTGCTGTCGTCGAGGTTTTCCAGTTTCACTTGCGACGTCCGCAACAGATTCATCGTCCTTGCCAGACTTCGCAGTCTTGGGGAAGTTGATGTGGACTTTGTAACGGTTCTGTAGTCGGTGAATCTGGCTGCCTTGAGCACCAATCAACTCCCGGTGGTACTTGGGCTCGATCTTCAAGGTGTGGAGGGTTTCATCGGCCCACTGACGCGCAAGAGATAAGATATGAGATTTTGCCCGTTCAGCCTTTGCTTTAGGTCCCTTTAGTTCAACTTCTCCATTCTGGACTTGAATATCCACATCAAACTTCTCGCGCAGTTCGTTGATATGGCTGCCACCCTTGCCAATAAGATGGTTGGCGAATTTCTGTGGGAAGTCAAACTTCAAGATGAAACCGCGCTCCTTCTCGTCTTCCTTCTCTTGCTCGATGAAATCTGCTGCCTTCTTCGCAAGCGACTCCACGCTAGAAGTGGGACCTCGCATCGTAACTGTGGTGCCTCTCACACTGACCCTAACAGGGATGTCACCAGCAGCACGAGTAGTTGCGTCCTGCTCCCTTTTAATGAATTTCCGAAGTTTCTCCTGAAATCTAGAGCGATAGTTAGTAAATTTTATATCGTCCAAAATATCGTAGGAGAACACATACTTGACTGGCACTTCCAGGGTCGCTGTGCTAATCTGCTCCTGCTTATTGATGAGCTCAAGGATATTTTTCCGAGCTTCAGTCAAATTCCGTCGAAATTGTTCGAGTTCAGAAGCAGTAGGAGCCTTCTGTGGGACTTGGTAACTCTGACTGGGAGCGTCCTCGCCTTCATACACTAGGAGGACAGGAATATCACCTTCCGCCGCATCCGGAACGATCAAATTGACACCGAAGTCATTCTGAACCTTAGGCCTGATGTCGCTCCTGAGATAAGAGTGGAAGAAGGAATCAACCGGAACCGTCGCAAATCGAGAGGGCGGATGGCCGTTGATGATGGAGCTCATTTCTTTTTGCGCTTTAAGCGCGTTCTTGCCTTCTCTCGCGTATAATTCCCATGGGCTGACTATGCCTTCCGAGAAAGGAGTGTTAATATGAATCTGATACAGTTTCTCGAGTCGCTCGATCTCTTTTCGTTGGCGAAGGTAACGAGAGATGTCTCGCGAATATGCCGGAGCACCGCCGGAAGCATGACTATGGTGCTTCGCAACATCAAATACAGATGTGTGTACTTGCGTAGCAAGATCCATAGCCTTTTCCAATCCAGCGTTCACATCATCAGCTCGGCCAATCACTGTAACAGTGTCAACACCTGGTGAGCTAGGCAAGACCACGACACAATTGGTATCGGCAAAAAAGTCCTCCGTAGGAATACCTCGGTCGCCAATAATAAATTGGTGGGTGCCTTGACGAATCTCAACTTGGTCTAAGAGTAGTTGGTTCTGAAGCTCCTGTACTTGGCGCTCAATAGCAGCCCGCGCTGCTTGAACTGCTGCACGGTCACCGGCGAGTTGGATGTAGTTATCGTTGGCGGGAGGTCCAAAACTTGGTCGCTGTCCTGCCGCCGGCACCTGAGGAACTGAATGGGACCATGGTTGGTGGGGAGGCACGCGAATTTGCACACCATGTTCAGCTTCCAAAGCCGCAGCGAGGCTGTTGTTCGGACCTGCTATGAATGGATAAAACTCAGATGGGATAGACTTCAGTTTCGTGTTGAGATTCGCTGATCGTTCTCCAGCTATTTTGTTAATAGCATCACGAGCCAAGGCCGCCGAAAGTGCATTACCCTCAACAAGTACATCAATGGTAGCATCTTCATCGTCATCCAAGTTACCAGCGGCATCATCGATCTTCGGCAACTGAATTCTAGCGCCGGACTTTTCTTGAATCGACTTGATGGTGGAACCTTGTTTACCAATCACAAGAGCTCTTGCAGATAGTGGAATCGGGACGGCGATGGAAGTCTTCAGAGAAAACGTTAGTTAAGCTACGAGATTGGGGGACTTAAGAGTGACTTGCCTTGATCCCGATTTGCTGGACCAAGTCCCGAAGAGCCTGCTGCGCTTTGTCCTGTGGCCCAGTCGCCTCGAACTTGAAGTACCCACTGGGAGCTGGTGCCAACGAGACCTGAGCGCGTGACTTGCGGTTGATGTCCTTCAGAATATCCTGGAGGGGACGCTTAAGCTGGGTACGGGGCAGAACATGACGCGCCTCCAAGAGGAATGTTTCAACATTGCGACCAGGTATCGACATAGGCGGAGGGACTCCAGTAGGCGTAGAGACACCCGAAGCTGGAGTGGAAGCTCGAGGAGTACCATTGGTCGACCATGATGTCCCGTTCATCTTCCCATTCGCACCACCCCAGATAGGAGAGACATTAGACTTGGATGTAGCTGTCTTGGGGACACCAAGTTCGGGGAAAGCCTCATGCGATTGGGTGTCGAGAGGGCCCGATTCCTTAGCAGGCTGCTTCCCGGCCGCCTTAGCAGAGGGAGTTTGGCCCCATGAAGCTTTTTCGGCAGCATCGGGAGCTGAAGGCGACTTCAGCTCCTCATCGGGAACATCCTCAACAGTTACATGATGGAGAGGGTTTTCAGCATGCTTTTGAAGGAGTCTTGCGGCAGCAGAACCTTCGACATTATTGACCTCGGTTGCCATTTCGTTTATAGACAGACGGTGAACGTTTTCGATGAACGGGTGGAGTGGAAAGTTGGAATTAATGCTCGTAACTTAAAATATAGATCTTGAAGCTGATTACAATTCGTTAGTTACATATTGTAATTAAGTAGATTACACAAGGTGGCCGTTACAAAAGACGAAAAATAAAATGGGCATATCTCACTAATCTATATATCTAAGACACCTGTGGGACTGAAGATTCAACGATGAGGAAGAATGCTTCGAGAAACAGGAATGGAAATTGGAACAGGTAATGGCAGGGGCCAATTGGAAGAATCACACGTTGAGAGTAATACCGGGACTGCAGACGACGAGAGAGATGATGGAGCTGATCGAGTAGGGAAAACTAGAACATGATGCACGAGTAGTAGTATTGACTTTTTTTGTATCTCGATAGGAGGAAGCTGATAGGAAAGGGGGGAGTGTGTAACAGGGCAAAAGAGTATAGTATTTAGGTGATTGATTAATAGAGGAAGATCCGCCGGAGTGTATAAGAATCACGAAAGATTCGAAAAGAGGCGGAATGACAAGCGTTGCGAGTTAGGTGATGCTAACAACACGACGTAGAGGCGTAAAAGGTGAGGTGGAAGTTTACTGGTCGAAAGTTCTTAGCCAACAATTCTAAAAGTCGATTTTTATTGATCCGAAGCAAATGCCAGGTGGAAGTCCCAAGTGCTTTCCGAATTGAAGACTGCATGTACGCCTGCGCCTGCATACATGTACAGTCACACTTATTTTTCTACTGCAAAGTACTTCGCTGAGGAAAAGTAAACTAAAAAATGGTCAGCAAACTCTATGCGAATCCCCGCTCTATAGCCCCACCTAGCCCACACTTACCGTTCACCTTTCAAGGTTCTACATGGATGATTCAGCCTTAGCCCCAAGCTGTGGCGTTAGAGCTCGTGCCACCAATTCGATAGCTCCACGATAGAATCTCGTAGATTGAAGCCACAACCCACCGAATCAACCAGATTCTTCAGTCTGGGAAGCCACGACTAATAAACCAACATATCAAATCAGTCTTCGCAATCTTTATAACCTCATATCCTAGCTCTGTATTTCTCTACATAGTGGGAGAGGGAATGGGTGTCTTGCCATACTTTCTACTTACATAGATAGCTCCTTTCGAGTCAGGCAAAACACATCCACCATATATCTGAAGAGAAAAAGATAAAGGTGCAAAAAGAGATGTCTCTCTAACCTGAATGTTCCCATATACGTATCAATCGAGGTCGAACAATCAACCTGTGGATTCAACGTATACCAATAAATAGATAGGATTATGGGGATATAAGTATAAGTATTGCCTACCTTAATCCGGTATCGCCTTAGGAACTCATATACTTACCTAGGCACGTTAACGGCACTAGGACAACACAGCCTAGTCATATTTTGTGTCGAGGACTAATGGCAACGATGGGAAATCCGAAGGATCAATAACTAGCGGGAGAAGGTACTGAATCCGTCGGATGTTGTTAAATCAACGTGGTAGATAACCTCCCGAGTGAAGAGCTCGTGAGTGGAGGATATTCTCCAGCGAAGATGGGACTCTTCATTTGCGTTCTCTGCTCCAACACTTGTTTTAGATAGAAAACGTGAACATTCGATTTTTCACGATGTCCGTTTTCGAATAAGCAATGTTTGACATAGATTGATGTGTCATGCATTTGGTCGACGTGTGTCGATGTAGGTATCCTTAGCCTATCAACCAAAGTCACGAAGAGCCCAACATGCAACTTGCCGGTTGTGCGTGCCTCTATCACTCTTTCAATATCCCAACTTTTGTGATCATAGCACAGCTCACGGGAATTTCGGACTTGTATTTATGTCCACGTGGATGTGACTGGAAATTAGCCTGCGATGATGGGTTGGCGGCAAGGGCATGGCGTAGCTATGACTAGGAGAAATATCAGCATATCAGCACTTCTGCGTATGCTACTAGGTAGGTAAGCGTGTTATCTTGTAATCGATTAGCAAGTCTAATTCTCCGTTGTCGAGCCAAGGTAACGAGGCGAGTCTCACTCGATTTGAGTAGATACGGCGATAAGTTCTATGAATAGAAAGTTTAATAGCTATGTAGATAAAAGTCTGAAACAAAGAGACTATATAGGTAACATTCCGAATATTAGATAATCCTCGAGTGAGGTTGAAACCATCGAAACTTTCCGGAAATCGGGGAGAAACTGTAAGTGGAGTGACGCGTCGTGACGGATAGATTTGTAAGATAAATCTTGCTTCTACAACGGCATCACCCTTAAAACATGCAGGAGACGTTGACAATTAAACTTACTTCGATGTCACTCAATCCACGAATGGAGAGGAAGGCTAGAATTGACTAGATCTGCTAGACGAAGGATGTATGAACTATCTTTCGACGATGATGACCCAAGAGCCAATCAAATCTGGCAATTCAGCATGGCATGTTGGTCGGAGGGACATGACTAGTGGTTAGGAGGCTCTGGATCGAAGTGGGGACAGTTGGACCTGGGCGTCAAACATAACTATTGTTGTCAAGGATAAATGGTGAGCGAATATCTTCCAACGAACCCTTTTCGGTTTCATCGGACTGAATCTCTTCAATTTCCTGGGAGATCTAATATTTTAAGCTTAGTGAAACATGACCACCGGACCATCGATTAGATGAAAGTAGATGCGTGGATATGGTGAAAAACTTGAGAGCTTCTTCCACACCCCCTGAGTTCTTTGTTTTTAGACGACAGGTGACGGATAAAGCAGCCCAGAACATAATGTATTCCTTTCATAACAACAGTTGCCGCTTTCCAATGGACCCTGGAAGTCATCAGTCTCATGCGAGGTCCATGTGGGATTCGGATTGATAGGTATGTAAATAGTATCCCACGTGATGCTAGAGAGTAGTTGAACTTTAGCGGACGGACATTCCATTATGGCGAGGTCCCAAGAAGCTCTAACGGGAGCTTTGACGTTAATAAATCACAGGAACAGCGGGAACCCTGAGCAGTGCGTAATAACCCTTGGACTTACCCCACAGGTAATTCGCACGTATGTAACGCCGTTGAACTCATATCACGACAATGAAGGAAAAGAGTCGTTCTAGAATTGGACAACCGGGACAAAACAAGAATAAACAAAGACAAGATCAACAAGGACTAACACGAGATTCTTGAACTAAGCGCCACTTTTAAAGAGGTTATCGTTAGATCCCACGCACTACCAAGCCAAGCAAGTCCGGTCACCCTCTCCAACGGGCCGGTCAATTAGCTGCAGCAGAAATCCGCATACGACAGCCAACCCTTAGGTGCTACCTACGTGCATACCTAGGTAGTATACAGATAGTTCGATGTTGTCAGTTACTAAAGTAACATGTGAGCTAGGCGAATGTGAACATTGATAAACGGACTAGACCTTCTATGTCTTTAGCATAACAAGTAATTAGACATTTACAAATCAGGTCCTGTTGTGAGTATCATATTTTGCTCTCTTCGCAACATGAAGAGTCTCGAGCTCGTATCAATCATTCCTCTTTTTTCATGGATGTGTTATCGAGGTGGATAGACAGTGTAGAGACTGTGGTGAGAATGTATCTGCGAATCATAGTTGTAGATGGTGTGAGATTGGGCGAATGAGCAGCAATTGTACAGCCACTATCTCCATACGCCACACTGTCCCCGCACGTTGTTGACAGCCCAGGTGCCCACCCGGAGCACATGGGTACATAGGTACCTAGATACGTAGTTACATCAGCGCATATATCGAATGTACCTACAATTCGTACCTACCTTTATCGCGATATGTACTTTCCCCCTCCGATTGATTCATTCGGTACCTCGTCATGATCGTAAAGAACGAATGACGAATGATCCATTATATGATTGTAGAAGGCACAGCAAGCTTGCGCTGGAGTTTCCAATGTGAATATAGTGGAGGTTAAGTAGCGTATAACGAAGCCATTCCCTTTCCTTCTTTCCATCCTAGTTCTAGCCTCTATCCGTTTTTCATCATTTCTCTACCTACCTACACACAATACTAGTGGTATACTACTACATACGCACCCCCCCTTCTCCCATTTAGTCATTTAGTTCCGACCTTGCCCATTAATGGAATAACCAACTTGTTTTCCCTGGGTCAGAAGTGGCAGATTAGCAGATTGGCATAAAGGTACAAGGTAGGTAAAGAACGTCCCTATGATAACACCTAACCAGAGGGAAGGGGAGAAGTAGTAGAAGCATTCGTAATTAAAGACGAGTGTCGAAAGAATAAAAACAAAACACCCTACCTACTACATTCAACTTGAACACCCCTCTCCCGCTACTACCACCACTCCTCTATCGTCTCGTTCAAGGTCGGGTGTTTTCTAGTTCTCGTCAGCCCGGAGGTTTCATCACTCGACCCATTCATTCTGATTTTTTAATTGTCACTAAAAAAAAAAATCACCGCCGCCCCCCCTCTCCAAAAAAATAAGCAAGAACTAAAAACTCTGTTTTTTTTCTCTTACCCCCAGTACCGACAGGATTGTACCTACCTTAAAGGTAGAGATGGACAGCCACAGTGCTAACCCAAATGTTAATCTGCAGCAGCAACAACAACAGCAACAACGCCGTAACAGACTGACTAAGAAACCTCCATCTCAACATCGCAACCATAGTCACAGCCGAGGACATAGTTTCTCACTCACCGCTGATGGTCGCTTTGACGCCCAATCCCTTCAGAGCAAACGGAGCTCCACGAGTCTGAGGCGAGCTCCAAGCGCTCCCCACAGAACTCCCGCTGCCGCTGCCGCTGCCGCTGGTGTTGGCGTTGGTACAGCCACTACCGCTTCCGCTCCCATTAACACAAATTACAACACCATTAACAAAACCACCACCACTACAACGCCTAACGTTCCAGTTAACCTGGGCATTAACAACGCGTCAAACTCCTCTGCACCCTTACAATCACAATCGCCCCGTCATCTACCGCCCGTCACTACTAACAATAATTATAACAATTACAAAAATTACAACCACGATTACACCACCCACTCTTCACCCGTGCTATCGCCCCGTCAATTTTTGCCCTCCACAATTTCGACTCCTCATCACCTAGCCTCGTCTTCGCCCACACATTCCCCCTCCAACAACGTATTCCCCGTCGCTTCTGCTGACGGACCCCGAATTGGGCCTGGAGCCGGTAAAGGAATAGGTGTAGGCATAGGTATTGGGAAATCGAAGCCACGAGATCAGCGTTTGTCCGATCCTCATATTCTATCACCCCTCTCTTCTCAGACGCCTGAAGAATTCGTCGGCGCGCCCTTTGACGGCAACTTCATCCTAAATCATTTTGAGGCTACCAAGTCGCCGACGTATCAGTATCCATCCACCCATCCTCATACTCCTACCCACAACCCTAACCGTCCCGCACTACCCCCACCATCGAATTCGAGTCCCGACCCACGTGTGATGAGTCCTCCTCTACGACAATCGGCTAGCTTTTCTGCTCTCGACGCCGTCAACATGTCGGAGAAGTCCCATGGTGCGCGCGTCAACGAGAGCCAAGTTGTTCCTCCGAAGCGATACTCGGATGAGGGCAAAGAACTAAAAGGTCCTGGTGTATTAAGAAAGAAGTCTGGCTTCTCTGGCCTTATGAGCACATTGGTGGGGTCGCAAAAGAAACCTATTATATCCGCACCCGAGAATCCCGTCCATGTCACTCACGTCGGCTATGATAGTTCTACTGGTCAATTTACGGTTAGTCTTGCTTAAGCTGGCTTTGTCGTCGAGCCAAACTTGGATCGTTACTTATTGTGCTCATAGGGCCTGCCGAAAGAATGGCAACGACTAATTAACGAGAGTGGTATTCCGGAGAATGCTCGAAGGGAAAACCCACAGATGATCGCCGACATCGTCACTTTCTACAAGGAGACTACAGAGAAGCCTCATGAGGATCAAGTGTTGGAGAAGTTTCATGATGTGAGAGCTCAGGAGCTGCGCGCCCCCTCTGGCGGAATGGCAACATCCCCCGGCATGTATGCATCAAACTATGCGGGTATGTCACCTATGATTAGTCCACCAGCAAGTCCGAGATTTCCAATCGTGAATAATGAAGGCACCTTCGAGAATCCCCGAGCCCCTCCTCCCGTACCCGTCCCTGGGAAGAGTCCAGCACTACATTCCCTCAAGGATCATCCCAACTTGCAACCAAGTCGACCTGCGCCGAAGCCCCCTGTCTCGTTGCAGACGCGAACAGTACAGCAATCACCTTATGCCACTAAGGACTCGGGTATTGGCATGGCGCAAGCAGGTGAAGATCTCCACTCGCCTCTTACCCACACCCCGTCGCTAAAGGACAATGTTCCTATGCTCCCCGAAGAGCACCGATCGAGATCGAATTCGCGAGTGAATGGAAGCCAACAACATGGCCCTGTCGGCCAACAATCACCTAATCCTCAGACATCGTATCAACAGCAATTGATGCAACATCAGCAAGAGCAGGCAATGGCTCAGGCCCAGGCTGCCATGAAGGGCCAACTGGGTAGATCTGCAAGCACTAAGCAACCACCGGCCCAGCCGATGCCCCCGAGCTCGCAGCACCCCATCAACCGCCCGCCGGAGGCCAATGGTGCAGGCGGCGCAGGCCATCCAGCGCGCGTTGGGCCTCCGGCACAGCAATCGCGTCCCCGTCAGAGGCCGCGGCAGAGCAGCAGCATAGATGTCGCGGCAGCTTTGAAGCGCATCTGCTCTGAGGGCGATCCCCGCGAACTCTACCGTGGTTTCACTAAGATCGGGCAGGGCGCGTCTGGAGGCGTATATACCGGTCATGAACGAGGAACGAACCGACTAGTAGCTATCAAGCAGATGAATCTTGAACAGCAGCCAAAGAAGGACCTGATCATCAACGAGATTCTAGTTATGAAGGAGAGTTCCCACCCGAACATCGTCAACTTCATAGACAGCTATTTGTGCGGTGGTGAGCTGTGGGTTATTATGGAATACATGGAAGGCGGTAGTTTAACTGATGTGGTGACTTTTAACATAATGACGGAAGGGCAGATAGCGTCTGTCTGCAGGGAAACCTTGAAAGGTCTACAACATCTACATTCTAAAGGCGTTATCCACAGAGATATTAAGTCCGACAATATCCTACTATCGTTGGATGGCAATATCAAGCTCAGTAAGCCACTTTCCTCCAAAATTCTTGGTCTGAACTGTAACCTAATAATCTTCCTTAGCCGATTTCGGTTTCTGTGCACAGATCAATGAGGCGCATAACAAGCGCACTACAATGGTTGGCACCCCGTATTGGATGGCGCCAGAGGTCGTGACAAGAAAAGAGTACGGAAGAAAGGTCGATATATGGTCTCTGGGCATCATGGCGATTGAGATGATCGAGGGCGAGCCACCATACCTTACAGAATCGCCTCTCCGTGCGTTGTGGTTAATCGCTACCAACGGTACACCTCAGATTAAGGAAGAGCATAACTTGTCTCCAGTATTCCGAGATTTCCTTTACTTCGCCCTCAAGGTAGATCCGGAGAAACGTGCGAGCGCGCACGATTTACTTAGGGTATGTGCCCTTCCCTCTTTAACTCGAATATAGGGACTTTCAATGACTAAACTTATTCTAGCACGACTTTATGAAGACATGCGTTGACTTGGCGTCTTTGTCTCCGCTCGTCAAAGCTGCCAGAGAAGCTCGACTAGAGGAGAAGGCCAGCAAAGGCCAATGAGGTGCCCGCCAATGGTGTTAGGGTGTTCTTTTTATTTTTATTTTTTGGAAGATGTTTAGGAAATCTTGGAATAATTCGACGTACTCGGGCTTCTGAGGGATTGAATAAGTACGATTACAATTATCCCCATACTCAGGAGTACATCTCGCAAGACCTTCGCAGTTTTGCAATATCTCCGGCCATAGGGATGATTACGTTATTGCCCGAGTCCACGTGGGAGTTATGAGAAGGATATGAGAGGGAAGACGTTGGGCGGCAGGTGATCAGGGTTTCGATATTATCCCTTGGAGGGGCCGCCCTTAACTACTTTTGTACATAGCGAGACGATACCACCACCACCACCTCCTTCACCACCACCCTCTTCCTTTGGACGAATTAACTTCTCCATTGGACACTAGAAATGAGAGCTAGACGATACGGAATGTATGCCCTCGAAAACATGGCTTGTCTGAACGAAAGCTTCAATACGAAGAGCACTTACCCACGAAAAGGAGCTATCAGTCCAAGAGATTTGTTCGAGGCAGATAATATAATGAAGCTTGTTGATCCCCGATAAGTTGCGATTCTAGGTTAGGTTCATACATGGAAATTTAGGATGTGATTCGCAAGTCCGTAAGCATCTAGGTAAGTATCTAGCATCTAAAGATGGCGAGATAAGTAGACTTGGGCCTTCGACCGCCAGATAGGGGCTATGAGGCAGATACGGGATTTCGATTTGGACGCTGTGGACTAGTCTTAGTCCTATAGGTCGAAGTCGTGCAATTGTTTCCAATGTATTACTATATCGTTTCATGCAGATAATGCTGTCTAATAGATAAGAGACTTCTTCTTGTAGGATGACTTGTGTAGAGCAAACCTCATGCAAGGGAAGAGAAAATTGGTCGACACGAGCTTCTAGATGGCAAGGGGTCGGGGATCGCGTCATCGGCCGTTGATTGTCCGTCGGGCGAGCTACCGTAGGTCGGAGGTCGGTCGACGCGACAAAGAGGTGGTACGGGTATAGTATCTAGAAATAAACTGTTGATGATATTTTGATACATAGGTACCCATCTAAGTGTTTATCGGGAAGGTCAGAGAAAGAACCAACGTAGCAAGTCAACAAGCTTAGCTACGTCAAATCAAGGTAAACTACCTAGGTAGGTACCTATCGAATATCCATCGGTCTCTGGATCACGAGAGCTGTGTTAAACACATTTGCCTCGGAAGTCTTGATATCCCGCCTTACCTCTACAGCCTACTACTTCATACATGCACATAAAGCAATCTCAGGGCCAAACTTCGTGATAAGAGCAAAGCGTACTTTCTCCATTCATATCGTCGCGCTGCATCGAAGCAGACGTCGAAGAGGGTCAGTTCATACCCAACCCCTAAACCCCTTTTCGCAGTGAATCCTGGGGAACTAGCTATCCCACCTGAGGGTAATTGTAGTAGTCTCTAAACTCTAGATCGAATCCTAACATTTTTGTATCCCCTTTTTTGTTCGTAAAAAAGACATCGAAGAATTCTCTCTTTCCCCTCTATGATGAAGACATTTGGTATCAACCCCCGTTTTCCCCGCTATGTTCGTCTCTCTTCCCTAGTTATGAAACTGACTCCAGATCCTAAACGATTAAGTACGTTGGAGTAGGAAAAAAACCGAAAGTAGAAATCAAATCTATGCCGCGCGCGTTGATCTGCATCATCCCGGAAAACGTTAAACCTCAATCAACAGAAAAAGACCATGTTTATTTACGGGATCACACCCGTGAGACCCGCCGTAGAACCTAACCTAACCACGTCCGTTCGCGATGTACATAGAGTTATCCGGTTTCCGGATAGGTGCGTAGGTGTGTTAGGGGTAAATGGTGTGCGACACACTCGTCAACGACCAGTGACGAAGTTGGTTGAACGGAAAAAAAGCTCGGTGAGATATCCCGCATACACGTATGTATGTCGGTATACAATGCGGATGTTCAGGATATTTCGGGAACAATATCAATTAAAACTCCTCGCAATGCCGCAACGCAACGTAACCACACTCGAGGGCTGTGTCGCGGCCCCCCGCATCGGATGAGACACACAATTCGCCTGCCCTCGACCCCAAGCTACCTAGTGCTGCCACGTAGTACGCAAAACTCCGGCTAAAGGGCCAGAGCCGCAATTCTGTGTACACACCATGCCGTAAACTGGTTGTTTCGACATCGTCGAAATGAAAAGCAGTCAGGCACTGGCTAGCTTAGTAGCAAGTGTAACCGCCGTCGATGGCGACATTGGCACCGGTCATGAAACCGCTGGCATCGCTAGCAAGGAAAATGCAGAGGCCGTTGAGGTCGTCGACATTGCCAAGGCGGGCCTGGGGTGTCAGCGAGCGCCAGATCTTCTTCTGGGCCTCGAGTGCGGGAACGCGGTTAAGGGCAGTGTCCATGTAACCGGGAGAGATGCAGTTGACACGGATGTTGTACTTGGCCCATTCGGCGGCAAGCGACTTTCCGAACTGGATAACACCAGCCTTGGAAGCGTTGTAGCAAGATTGTTCTTGAGGGTAGTTAACGATGCTACCGCTCATGCTAGCAACAAGAACGATGGATCCAGGCTTGCCAGCAGCCATCATAGCTCGCCCAACGGACTGGCTCATCAAGAACGAACCAGTCAAGTTGATGTCGATCAAGCGGCGGAACATGGCTGGGTCGTAAGTCTCGGCCTTGATGTTGGAATCGGCGATACCGGCACTGTTGATCAAGACGTCGGGTGCGCCGTAGGTCTCAACAACCGCATCAACAGCGGCATTGATAGCAGCACCGTCACGGACATCAACCTTGAAAAAGGAAACAGGAAGCTGGGTCTTCTGGTGAAGCTCAGCAGCAGCCTCGTCTCCTAATTCTTGGTTGGCATCGAAGATCACCAGCGCCTTAGCACCAGCCTCGGCGCATGCACGGGCCATGTGGTTTCCGAGACCTCGAGCACCTCTGTTGGTGAACCGTCAGTCTCGTTTCATAATAGTATTGGTATGTAACAAATTTAGCTTACCCAGTGACAATCACAACCTTGTCCATTATGCTCATTTTCTGCATGGTGGGCGGCATTGAGCGGTAGACGGTCTTGTTGAGAGGGGTGACCTCGGTGTCCTCAGTGGGAGGGAATGGCTTCGGCTTCGCATCGTCGCGGTTCACGGGGATACTGAAATGATCGCTAGTCGAACCAGCAGTGCCCGTGGAATCTGGAGAGTAGACGGAGACGGGAACTTCGGTCTCGCGTACGACGTCACTCCTAGGACGGACGGAGGATTGGCTGAATGTCCGTTGAGCTGCGGGGAATGCTCTGGTGATGGAGGAAGATGCGCGAGTTCTGGAGATAAGGGGAGCAGCAGCTCTGGTAAGGCGAAGTGCTGCGCGACCAGACATTATTGCGGTTTGTGTATGTGCGATGTGTGATGTACGTAAGAAATAAAGGTGTAGTATATGTAGAAAGTTACCCAAAGGGAGGTATGTTATGTAGGTCTAGGTCTAAGTCTAGTTCTATTCGGATAGGAATTGTCTAGAATTGTTGTGCGTGTTTAGGTTTGTGGTTTGCGAGTAAGTCGTCAAGGTTATCGGGAAGCTCGAAGGTTGTTGTGGCAATCAATGACCAGGCGGCGAACAAGCTTTTATCGGCTGGGGGTCACAAAGCAAACTGGACCAAACTGTGCCAATTGTATGGAAATGCCAGGGGATGACAGGCGTGAAGAATCCGAGATCGGGGGTAACGCCGTAAGAGAAATCAGAAATGTCAAATTCCCAATTTTTCAAGGGTCCTAAGGGTTGGGTTGGGTTGTGAGATTTTTGAGGTCACAAGACGGACTCCTGTTTAATTGGATTCCAGACGGGTATTCCAGACGGGTATCCAGTATCCAGTATCCAGAATCGTGGGTATCTCGAAACTAGTCCTGTTAGACCGATAGTCACGGACAAAATCAGAGATAATATTCCTGCTCCGTGCTCCGTGCTCTCAAGCTTAATAAAGATTCGTCTGACCGTCTGCTCTGGCGACTAGGGTCTCAACGAAGCTATTCGACAGGGGCACCACAGAAATTGGAATAGGAGTATTTCCAATATGAGCGAAGAGAAATTCGGGGTAAGACGACAATGACTGGTGACGAGATGAAAAGTAGGTATCTATGAAAGATCAATAAAGAAAGTAGAAGGTACTAGTAGCTGAAAGCCTTGAAAAGCGAGAGAAGAGATCCTTTTCTACCTGTCCGCCATCGCTTATCATTCCCTTCCCTCAACAAATTGTGGGTTTTCTTTTCTGACACTTGTCAGGACATTCTGTACTTTGCAGATGGTAAAATGGATTCAGGGTCAGCAACTAACGATAGCTACTTGCTCCCGTCGCTCTAGACCCAGTTGAATTGAACTTTCTAACTTTCTAGGTTCGCTAACTCCGAGATGCCGTAACGGACCACAAGTAGAAGTGACGTCGAATGAGGTCGACAACCCGCCTACGGAGGTGGTAGATGTACCTCCTATACCGTGTCGGATACATGGTGTAGAGCTACATAGGTATTTACGGAAGTCTGAAGGTTTGACGGTGTGTAATATTTGCGCCATCCGTCTCAGATGTACCTTCCTAAGTAGATCCTAAGGCTTGCCAAGTGTTGGATCTGCTTCCAACATGGTTCAATGTTACTGCCACTACCGCCGCTACCTACATATAAATACGTATGTACAGTCAGAATGTGGGCGACAGCGAGGGGACGAAGAATGATGGTGGTGGCGGATAGCTATGCGGACAGGCAGACTGGATTTGAAAATCTTTCTTGAACATGTCGATCAAGGGTAGCTATGTGGGAGCCAGGTAGCTTTGTTGGCCTGTAAGTACATGAATTATGCAGCGCTATGCAGTAGCTATCCATACATAGTACTGCTATCCCATGGACCCTGGCCCACCATTGACAACCATTAAACCCTAGCAAACTGCCAAGTGAACGCCTAGCCCAAGCCAAGACCCCCTATAAAACCGACCCGACGGGGCCAAAACTAGATAATAATGGGGTCGTGGGTCCGGCATGCAGCCGAATGGCTGTGGGTCTCTATTTAGCTTGACTTTAGCTTTTAGCTCCCTGTCTGGAGCCTTCCAGCTTTGTTCTTTAGAATTTCGAAACTAACCTTATTCAACCTCCATCATGGCAGGTGCATGGCAAGAACACGAGTAATGAACATTGGCCCAAACTAACTAACCACATTCCTGGCAACGAAATTTTATCCTTGTAAACATACACTACATAACCTCATTACTATGCGACGGACTAGTTGACTAGGAGGCTCTTGATATGAAAGAATTGGACGTGGGGGGTTCTTGAACTCTCGTAGTAATACCTGAGTACCTACAGCAGCAATATCACAATCCCCTTCTTAATCCCGTTAGATATCAACAAGCCTGACAACCTAGACGACCTGAATAAGTGCGTTCTATTACCCTACCAACCATCCGGACTTGTCTTCTTAAGAAGGTAGTTTAGATCTTGCGGCATTGATAACTAAACTGAACTTAGAAGGCTGAAGCATCTTGGCCCATCTGACTATTTGATGGCGTCTGCGTTTAACAGATATCAGTACACTCAAAACAGACTTCTCAGGTTCGTTTACCTATACATACGATATTTTTTAACGGGACAGGTAAGTCCCTGTATTTACGGATGTACCTACCTAATGAGTTGATTTGACGGTCGAACTCGTTCTGAAGCTGTTCCTCTGCAAGCCAGCTTGCATTTTGCGGGGATAAAAGTCCCTACACGACTCGTACCTGCGGCTTATACATGTTTCGGCGTCATGTGACGGGAATGGTATATAAATATATTGATGCTAAGAGGTTAAGTAAGATTGGGGTAGGGCCACACCGCCGGAACGTTCACGATATTTTTGTCTAGAGCTAAATCAACATGTTTTCTGGGGTTGCCCCAGTAAGGGTACCTGACGCGGAGCGGAGATTATGCGCCAAATATACCTCAGATCCGTGGGGTCAAATCACTCATGTCACTCCGCATCGGTGAGCTCTTGGTCACTAGGGGCGGGCAAAAAGGAAGAGGGACAGAAGAAAACATCGTGAGATTTTGCCAGCCTAGACTCTCGGACTCTCGGTGGTCGTATTCAGACGAGATTAATCTCTCCCCTAATCCCTAAAAAAGGATGTCCAGGTGACCAAAATCCCCCACACTCCCACGTCTCGAGACCTAACATTCTTCCGAGAGGCATTTCATTGTCAATAGTGCCGCGTAATGTTCAAAACATTATAATCATGTGTCGGATTGTTGAGGTGAAGGGAAACTGAAGCAAGCGCCGAGGCTGGTACATGTTTCTCGGATTACACAACACGTTGCACCATCTTATCAATCAACCAAAACCTTGGAAGACCTACGTAATTCTGGTCTCATGTACAACATAGGCTACAGGTATCACCTTTCGATTTAAGCTTAATGGACCACAATAATAAACGGCGGTCAGTCCAGTTCTGTCCAGTCAATCCTGATGTCGACTGTGTTAGTTCAAGTAAATACTCCGATTTGCGGCTCTGTCCGTCTCAATCGAACCTTGCAGCCTCGCCCCCGTAAAAAGTTGTAGATGAGATCCGTGATCTACTTATATACACGAGCGCACGGCCGAGCACACCAACGGCGAGTCTGACAAGTTCCCATCTCACATTTCAAGATAGAATTTGACGTCCCGTATTACGCGCGTCTCTTGAAGAGTGCAGCCAAGCTAGGTACCTTGCAATACACCTAAATGGATGATTTCTCATATATATCCATGTAATGCTCAACGTACATAGTACGTTAGTAGGGCAACTCGACACTAGACCGGCTTGGAAAGAAAAGATATTTTCACTGTTGCATGGAAAGTGTTTGACCTGTTTTACCACCCTACTACGTACAATGTAATCCCAGAAGATGCTCAGACCCTGATGCCAGGCGCGTGGGATGTAGCCTGCAATACTCCATTTAAAATACTGCGTGCCGAATACATTAATATAGGGCGGTCGCGGATCTACAGGAAGCTAACGCATAATTTTAGCATATGCCGTAGTACAGTAATAGTGCATAAGTATAAATGGAGATGTGGTGGACTTCTGTGGGTTTTTGTTACGGCAAGAGCTTCAAAACGGTGCAGGCAAGGAAGGTAAGCTCCCCACAGGTCCATCTTGTGGGTATCTGTGGGGAAGCCAAAGCCAAAAAATGAGATCAGTTATACATAGGTAGGTATGTACCTACTTAGGTACTGTGGGCGTAAAGTATCCCAGTACAACATCAGAAAAGGACAGACTCGACGGGCCTGACTAGGCATTTTAGTAGGCACACAGCAAGGAAGTTCCGAGATTCGAGATGCAAAAATCATTCCAGCTTCCAGGCGGTGTACAAGTGGACATGTGGACCTCCGACAGGTCGCGGTGATGTTACCGAACTTGCGTAGGCGAACTGCACCAGCGTTGAACTCGCAGAGTCGATCGTTAACGGAACTCACGGAGGCGATGAGGCGATTGTCAGAATTAACAGGTCGTCGATGGCAAGCTGGCACATGCAAAGAAGTTTATTTATCCATCACATACCTCCTATCTACCCTCCTATCTACACGCATACCTGCCCATGCCCAGCATTGCCTAGGTGGCTTAAGTGGCAGAGTGGTCACCATAAACCCCTGGTCCGGGCCCGCAATGATCTGCCAAGATTTATCTAGTCTATCTGTGCTGTCCACCAAGAGCGGTGCGGTCATCCCATCTCGGATACCTAGCTGTATTCGTCTGACACACTGTGAACCCCGAGCGGAACTGGGGATACCCGCCAAGTTGGTGGCTGTCATTATAGAAAAAGGGAGGGAGAGACGAGCACATCTCAGATTCACTGAAGAATTAAAAGACTATCAAGGGGAAACGTGGGCAAACCGACTAGGTAGCTATCCAGGGTGGGAAGGGTTTGATAGGGCCTTTTTTTTTTCTAAACCCCCACCACCATGAAGCACATTCATCACATCCTTCACGATACTCGCGGACACGGTACGAACTGTACGCCGCAAAGTCGCTGATCCCTTGAATCTAGGATTAGTATGTCCTACCGATTATGCTTACCGAAGGCACCCCTCCTTCAGGTACGATTATGTTACTTATCATGTTTTTTGCATACTCGCTGCTTTACTATGACGAAGGATTTGGGACTTTAATATAGCAATCATTGGAACTGAGGTATTATTCTAACAACCTAATTGCTACAGAATTGTAAATCTCGAGCGTGACAGGTCTGAGTCAGAAGATAATATCCATAATTCATCTCACCATCGCAGACAGCTTTCTAAGAACGGGAAAGGCCTGAGTTGCAAGTGATAAGCTTTGCGAGCCCGAATCGGACCCCTACCGTACTCGGCCTCTCATCCCAGGTCGTTGCCTCTTCCGACGTCCGCCCCGTATTCCTCCCCCCCTACGAATTCGGTTCTCCTTACATAAGTACACTAGCAGCACAACCCCATCTAGTCATTCCGATCGTGTCGGCGCCGCCCTCTACGTCGTCATATCCGTCGTCGGATAAGATCAGCGCGTTACGTCGAGTGCCGTCCCGCTACCGCTGCAAGCTGCCGAGAGCGATCAGCTCACAAACCGAAATGGGCTCCGCCTCAGGCTCCCTACTTGCACAACACGTCCCACCGGGACAGAACCCGGTACCAAGTTCTCGGTATCCCATCCATGTCAGTAACTTTGACCGCTCTCTGCTGATGGATGTATAGGGCCGAAGTTACCCATATAATAAGTCTCTGTTTCCGTTTGCATAAGGCTGCCCTAGGTCTACCGGCATCAAATAACGAAGAGCGGTGGCCGTTGCAATATATTTATCGTTGCTCTATAATAACCAATCTGGTGTCTTTTAATTATCCACGCCTATTTCTTCTATAAAAAAGTACCTACCACTGAAAGGGTACCTGGATCTGTCTGAGTACCTTGTCCAATATGGTTACCTACACAATGTTTAAAGACATCGGGTTCAGACCAACTATAGGATAGGAGTCAGGTGCCACAGATGAATAACTAAGTTCAAATTAACCTCGCTCAAATTTCTCTTGTTTAAAGGCACGAATTCTGTCACTCCTACCCTTGGTATCCCTTATTTTAGGCTTTGAAACCTGTTATAATATTTCAATATGATCTTGAGCATCATTTTTCAATAGTGCCGCTCTGCTGTAGTAATGCGTAATAGGGTCTTTTTATTCTGTCTCTCATGTTGCCTTTACGCCGTAAATCATCTCGTATAGCCAATGAGCATTCCGTTTCTGCTGCATCAGTACACCCTCAAGGTGCACAACGCTTGCCAAGTGCGGAAATTTACTCATTTGATTGGCTAGCCGCCCCCAAAGTGCTGTATAATGATGACCTACATGAGAAACTTCAACTGCCCAAAGCCTTAGCCTCTTAACTTATAAATACGACGCTATCTCGACAGTCACCATAACATACGGGTGAGCACCTGAGATGGCTAATATCTCGTCTCAGGGGTTACTTCTGGGTTCATCACCTTGTCAAACATGCGATATGTCTTCGGTTAAGACTTTTATGTGCGTCCAGTGCAATAGTCTGGCATTTTGTGACTCTTGCCAGCTGAAATTGGTGCCCCATATTCCTAGGGCTATCGGTTAGGAATATTTCAATTTAGGGATAATGTTGCAATGTAAAATCATGGGCAATATCAATCCGACTTCGATCTTTCAACGTTTATTCCTAAGTGCAATAAGTTAATACAAGAAAGTCTTGTCAAACTCCAAGCCGCAGCATATGAGCTAGGTCAAAAGCTTCCAGGTAGAACTGACCGTAAGTTCTATCCCAAGGTCCCTGTCACGAGGCGGAACCAAGAAGCTGGGGAAGAACGACGTTGTTGCGCGAAGAGCTCTAACTAACCCCTTCCAGGGAACGCGGTATACATACATGAACATTCCTTTGTCTACAGCTAAAGGCCAGCTGCTAACAGGGCGGCCTCGTACAGGCCGACTCCCGATACCTCTGACCACCAGCTCTCGTGGAGGAAGGTTCTGAGACCCTCGTTATCCCAAAATTCAAGCTCCTGATATACATTCTCCACTTTGAGCCGTGATGATGAGAATAGCTGATTCCTTGTCCTATACCCCAAACTACCTCCATTCTACGTAAAGAACGTATCGATGTGATTTACGGTGCCCTTGGGAGCTTATCTGACTTCGTCAGTTATTCTACTTGTTTCTCGTGTCTAAGAGGACTACTAGGATGTGTACTTCCATGCGGCAACGAATTATGTTCGGCATGCGTGAAAACTTATGGGTATGTTAGTTCAAGGACCACGGTTGAGTTAAATTACTGTCCTCTTTATGTTCGTGAAATCATGGCAGACCTATCATGGACTAAGCCCCCCTGTGCTGGGATTCGTGTGCTATGCCTTGGTAGGTAAGAATAAATCAAGCCACTGAGAAGATTCTGAACCCGAAACTGCCTACTCGACTTTTCCTTGACTTGATTGCCGGTACAAGGCAAGTCAACCAGTCTTGTAAATGACCAATTAGTTAACCTTTGGCAGCGCCGGTGGTATCATAGCTCTTGGACTAGGGGTAAAGGGATGGTCGATTAACAAAGCCATCAGAGATTTCAAGGCACTATGCAAGGATCAATGGAATCGAGCGAGAAGCAAAGGAAGCTCTCCAGCAGAATACGTTAAGAATTCAAAGACGCAGCGCAAAGGTTGGTAACAATCACGTTTTTCTTCGAATTAGAAGTCAGTTCTTCGAGACAGACGTCTTCAGGATACACATGTAAAGGCAAGTTTTAAAAACCTGTCGTTTGGTATCGCCTGTCTGATGCCGTTTAGGATCGATATGCTACAGATTCTAGAATTCAACTGACGAGATGAAGGCTGTTGGAGTTCTCTAAATATTGTCTCAAGCGAAACTCCGAGCCGTATTTTTGATTAAAGATTACATTCTCGGATCTACAGCACGGCATATCGTACTTACCGAGGGTGCTATTCTCAGTATGCATCAACAGGGCTACTTTGATATTGAACTCATTCGGATTAATGCTTGAAAGAACATGCAATAATTAAGATAAAACTTTGTTTGCAGAGCACGCCTCACCTCTCCGGAGAGATGAGATTGCCCATTAGTGGATTTCCACGCCAGTTAATGAATGAGGACGCCATCCATATAGGCATGCACTCTAACCGTCCTGGTGACCCAAGTTTACGGATACACTAATATATTCGATTAGGGTCGTACTCGGAGTTTGCATTTCCTAGGTATCTGGGACTATTCGTCTAAGAAATTGACAGCAGGAGCGTCGAGATCCTATACAACGGAACCTATGAACAAGTTTTCGTCATCATTAAATCCAGTAGCAGAGTCACCAGAGTCTCCAGCACCGATGCCCAAACTCCCCTCCAAAGGAGATACAGAATAAACCTACACGAAAGAGTTGGGGCCTTGGGCTGCCTGAGTTGGAGGGATCTCTCAGTGTCTAATGTGCGTTTTTTGTTGTTGGGATCTACCCGTGCACACCAAGACGTAGTCAATATGCCTAATGACTTGTATTAGGGTCCTAGGAATGTACGATATGGTGACAATCTCTTAAGATATTATGTACTAGAGATATTTGTCTCGTCCTACTCTTGGCCGAGCCTACATGTTTGCGATGATGACAGTATGCCACGAGCGTATACTGACCGCCAAGGTGATCCGACTATCTTCCGTAGAATCTTTCGAGATTACTATAAGAGGCACTTCCAATAACGTATTGAAGCTTCATACCGATTCTACTTAGTTGAGGGTGGCGCCAAAGGTTACCTATTTCTTTTAAACTGTGAACGCCAACAAGCACAATTCCCAAGACGCCTACAACTACCTAGTTTCACCTGAAGTTGTTTAAAGACATTTCAGAGTGATTGATCCGAGGTGAGGCTCATACCGACAGAAAATTAGAATTACTTGCATCTGTATGTATGTCTTTACCACATGACCGGGAAGTACTGTTGAAGTATTCCCTGTTATACACTGTTGGTATTGATATCGTATATCAATACCATAGGATACTTAATGATTACTTACCCCTGAGTAGCCAATCTTTGTCAGTGCTCGATGCTACGCGTCCCACAGCCCCACTTTATCCCGCCATCGAGATTAAAATAAAAGATCCCCAAGATTTCTCATTTTTCTAAGATTCCTTCTTTGCTATCAATCGAACGACCAACACTCGCATATTTTACAAAACCGTCGAATCCATGATTGTCAATGTATGATTACCGGCCTAAGATCTACGATGCCAGTCGCAGAAGAAGATCGTGATGCCACTGTTCGGATGAACCAAGCTTTATTATCCGAAGTCATCAGACAGTTTCGCAGTCTTGGTTTTTGTGCGGTCCATTTCTCTTCATGTCCACCCTCTTCGCGCTCAATAGCCGGTTTCAAAGGTCTGTGCGCCCTATCGGATCCTCGAGGCCGACTATGCCACGAATGAACCGCTATATGAGAATATTATAAGATGGTTAGCATGTGAGTCTACGTGTTCTGGATATGCCCTCTATCTTTCTATAGTAGGCCCTTAAAGCTCCCAAGAGATAATATAATACGTGTTTCTATACTATCAAACGTATCATTCGGAAAAGACCAAACATCTTCATCAATCTCGCTTTACCTGTCAACTTTAAATCCCAGATCGTGTGCGGCTGAACCGCTCGTGTGACCATGTCCACAACATTAACGAGATCTATGTCTCGCTTAAGCTAATTGCGCTGTTTCTACACTCAAAACGAGTCGGGGCCTTGGTTTAAAAAAAGAGAGGCCCTGAAAATAACCCATGTCCAATGTAACGACTGAGGTTTCATATGTATTTCCCCTTGACAAGGGTTGGCAGTCTATAGGAGTCTTGGATTCTTCAGCCTTGTCCGTCTACCCAATCACTCAGCTCGCCTTTACGGCTTTGTGGAGCTATTCGTCGACCTCGAACAGGACCCTGCCGTGTCCATGTTTGAGGATCACAGACCTTGATCTCCACTATTGCGGAAGCCAAGGTTCACGGAGAAGGTTAGAGCGACCGAGATTCCTCGAGACTCGCTTGGTGCTGAGGGCCGGTCACTCCCCTACTTCGTATTATCACCAGCTCGTTTTTGATGCACCTCTTTCTCCTCTCCCTCTCTTTTGTGTGTGTTGGGCCTGACTATCGCCATTGTCGACCACCATGGCGCCGTAACACATTCACTCACTCCGCGCCAACATGACGAATTCGTTTCTTGGTTAATATTTTATAATACTATTTTTGAAATCTATACCCATTGAGTGGGCTTTTACATTCTTTATCTGGCCGATATATCCCGCGCCGCTGCCGACGTAATGGCGACTCCAGGAGCAACGCAGGCCCTTCTGGGCGCCTTTTTCTTCGGTATCTTGTTCAACGCGGCGTCGGCTGCCCTGGTATTGTACGTTATAGGTCACGGTTCAGCAATCTTTCGGGACGGTCTGAGGCTGGTCCTCATATTATTTCTCTTGTCTTCTGCCGCTTGGGCGCTGGTCGAATTCCTCGCAACTATCATCGAGCCAACCGCGGGCACCTCGTGTCAGGTCGCTGCTGTATTTTCGTCTGTTTTCGATCAGCTAGGAAAGATTTTCATCGAACAGTACTTGATATGGGCGACACGAGTGGAAGGAAAGAAGGCGGTTTTGAGTTTGGTGCCGCAAATTCTGCTTCTTGGACGATTCGGCGTCGGTATGGCTTTCATAGGGCTTACGGGAAACGAGTTCAGCCCTACCTGTGTGCCTATATCCAAAGTAGTTCCGGTCGCTATCACCGTCATCGTGTTAGATTTTGTTATAGTCGGCCTACTGGCTATTCAAGTTTTGTCTATGGGCTCGACGAAGGACAGTGCAAGTAGCTCACGTGTTCCTAAGAGGAATGTTGGTATGGTCGTCATTGGTCTAGGAATATGGATAGGGGTAAGTTCCGCCACTATGTCATGTCTCCTCTGGTGCTAATTATCCGCAGACGAGCGTGGTCCTCCTCCTAGGCATGAAGTCGACAGAATTAGTACTGAAAACAACGCTCCCTGCGCTTGGTTTGGCAATCCTAGTTGGTACGTATTCGACTTTAACGTTAGTTATATTTAGTGCTGACAGGGTAAAGCGTTGGTTACTGTACTCTCGGGAACGCTTGTTATTCCTCGGGGACCACCTCCGCGACGACCAGACTCTCCGATGACTCGGGATATGGGTAGGGATTTGTCGTCTTCAGACTCTGCTGAATACCCCCCATCTCGCTATGAAGATGTGAAGGGCGTAACTGCTACAATGGCCATGGCCGCATATGCCGCCCCTAACGATAGTTCTATGCCCACCGTCTCGTTCCCTATCACACCAACTCCTGGTGATGATCAGGGTAGAGTTAAGAAATACATGAAGGTCAAGGGTACAACAGGCAAGCTCGTAATTTCGAAGCCGGTTATTGTGGAACAAGAAGGCATGAACAATCCCCTAGAAAGGATACCAACAGTCGACCTTGCCACAGCCGCGAATTATGAAAGGGAACGGCGTATCAGGTTAGCACAGCGTGGGTCGACTCTTATTGCACAACGACCAGCTCCGCAACCACCGAGTGCCGGAGGACAAAACGGAATGCTTTCTAGAGAAATCAGCACGAGACGGAAGCAAGTCGCACCTGCAACCTTGGCGCAATTGGAGAGATCCGTTTCGAACGAGACTACCAAGACGACTACAGGACTTTCCGTCGAAGCAAACGCATTATCTACTTCATCAGAATTGTCACCAGGGGCCGAGAAGGTTCGGAGGAGATCGCCTCGTCAGCCCCCTGCGCCACCAATCCCGTCAACCTTCCAACCGATTCGACCTGGTGATCCAATTCGTATACCGATTCCCAGGCCTCGAACCCCGCCTGAGTCGCCAAAGACTGAATCGGTGAAGACTCCTCTGCAACGACGTCCGACAATAGGATTACCGTCGAACCCTCGGGCGCAAGCAATGAAGGCAGCAAGTGATGGCGAAAGCCAGAGACAAGAAACCGTGATGTTCGTCAACAACATTGTTTACGATGATCCGAGTGTTGTTGATAATATCATGCAAGGAGCTTCGAAGACGCCGATGGCACCCTTGAACTCGCGTGACTCGGTTGTTAACCGTCCGCGCCCAATTCCTCGAAAGGGAGACAAAGATCGACAAGTTTTCCCCGCTGAGCTATCACCTAGCCAGAACCATAGGCGATCAAAGTCGGTCGGCTCAGGTGCAAGTAGGAAGTCTATCCTTCAGTCCATGCCTGGAAGCCCTACTCAGCTACCTCCATTGCCGCCACCTCCTAAGAGTGCCGGCAGTGTGCCACGGCCTCTTCCTAATGATACGAAGAGCATGACGTTCGACGAGAAAATGAATCTCCTATACAGCACTCCACTTAGCGCTTCTTCGGTAACAAATACTGCAGAAAAGCGACGGTCTGAAGTCCCTCAAATTCCGCCCTTACCAGCGACATACATGGTAGATGCACAGCCGCCCAAGGCTGAAAGCATCCCTGAGCCCGACTCTAATAGCGAAAGGAGAATATCCAAGACAACTGATAGGAGTTCAATCCGCACTACGAGTATTCTCGGTATCGAGGATATCCCGCAGCGACTTCTGCCAAAAGCTGATAGCTCCCGTAATGCGGTTGATGAAGTAGGACAGTCTTGGCTTCCAGGGATTTCGGTTGAAAATGAAAGACAAAAACGACCGTCTGATAAAAAGAGCAATCGGAAATCCTCCCCTGTTCTCCCGGAGGCAAGTCACTTCAGCGTGTCGTCTATGAAGACTGAAAGCAGGGTCAGAGACGATGACAGGAGCACTATCTGGGGTTCCGTGCACTCCCCAGTTGCTGCTGTCCATATTCAACAGGCACGACGACTTAACGCCCGTTCAACGTACATTCAAAACTCCCAGAACTCCCGCATTCCCGAGGAACCGGTAGAGCGAAGTTCATATGCAAATATCCCCGACGAAGTTATGGAAGTTATGTTGGATATATCGGATAGTCCGGTCGATCAACAGGAGTCTCCCGAGAAGGCCGTGCAAGAATTGCCCACTTTCCATCACCGAGTTGGCGAAGAGTGTCCGACGTTCTCTGCCAGAAAGGACAAGATACGGTCGAGGAAGATGCCTCCGCCGGCTCCCCTCGCCCTAAGCAGAAAGAACAGCAAAAGGGCAATAATAGTTCAGCCTGCAGAACCCTCGCCACTGGAGTCGCCTGAGGCCGCATACCAGATGATTCAAGCTCAGTTACAGAGATTCGAACAGCCGAACCGGGACTCAGCCGGGAGCCAAGGAGGGCGCCTAGCGCTGTTAGAGAACCTAGAGCGTGAGATGGGCCAGCTGGAAAACAGATGGCAGAACCGTGTTGACCGTGATTCTATGTCGAGCATTGGCACTACAACATCAAAAGGTTCCCGCCCACCTTCAATAGCCGAGCGCAGAGCATCTCGGAGGGCATCCCTGCGCAACGCGGCCTTGCGATCTAAAAGCCAAGAAACGACCGGTACACCTTCATCCCAAAGCTCAGGAACGAGCTCCGAAAACACACAGGCCAGTGCCTGGCAATCTCGTCTTGCCGAGGCTCAAATGGAATACATGAAAAGCACTCCCGACCTACTTATGAAGCGCAACAATCTTAATTTCCTCTCTGTTTCCAAAGCTGCACTGGGCAGCCCAAGTCCTCCCGACACTGACGAGTCTGACTACGACGATGAGGTGCCTGGTAGCGTTCAACAACTGCGGCCGACGGTGTTCAAGCCGGCGACTCAGGTGCATGAGCTCTGGAAACCGCAGTCGCCTGTTAAATATCCGGTCAGCTCAGGGCTCTGGGTACACGTAGCTAAGAAGTCCGAGAGAGTGAGCGAGGTTCATGAACTTCCGGGCCTATCTGTACGTCCGGCGATTAGAAAAGCCCGGGATTCGCTATTAATAGAAAGTTCGCGATTATGGGAGAAGCCGGCCAAGAACAGCAGCACTAGCGCTATGGAAGGACTATGGAAGAAGTTTGATCCCTCAGGATCGAGCGGGACCGCTACCCGCCGCGTCACTATTCGTCCGCCTCGAAGGAACAAGCGCGCCACCCTCTTGCCTGATATCCTAGAAAATCCCGAGCCCTTGCCAGACAAACGAGGAACTCTAGGTCTTTTCCAATTCCCTTGGGGAGAAAAGAGCGAAAATGCCAGCATTCAACCTCGACCGGCTCGCCCGTTCATGGCCATGCCTGGAACTATGACCACAGGGGGACCAAAGATTAACGCCGTCTTGGAAGCTAGGTCCAAACAATTGGAAGCGGAAGAATTCACGACTTCATTCTTCGACGATTACGAAGCGGAAGAAGAAGGTGACAACTTCGAGTTCTCGGATAGTGATAACGGAGACGACTTTGACGAGAGTACACTCTGGGAGATTGCCAACTTGTTAAAGAGCGAAAACGTACCTTCGAAGAACAGCTTACTTCCTTTACCGCTGCAAAGTCCAGCTTACGCCACCTCTCCGGTGTCTTCGACCAACGTTGTTGAACAGCCAGCTGAGGAGTATCGTGATGATGCTCTAGTGTTGGAGGAGCCGATTCCAGCAGACCGTCTACCCCGCCCGACTTCGGAATCCACATTAGTTCAACCTTTGCTCTGGACCCAGCCAGAAGCTCTTACAGTTTACACTGTCGGTCTACCACAGCCCGATTCAACCATGTGGAAGAGTTACATCGCAGAGCCCGCGAAAATGGCTCGATCCAAATCCCAATTTGAAGATATCCCTCCCATCGAAAGCAACGAATTATGGAAACCAAACCCCAGCAACGGCAAAATGACAAGGACCGGGTTACTATGGAGCGCAAGCAAGCCAGTCCACGAAACCTCAGCCGTGTCACCGAAGACGAAGGCTGTTGCACATAGCAAGTCTTTGTGGGTACGGCCTATCGCTACTTTAACTTCGGATATTAGGGGCCTATTCAGCCCTAGCCACTCTAGGGCTGACTACCGAAGCACTTCCAAAGTGCCTGCTGCGCTCGTGATGGATAGGAAGCCTCGCGTGGTCGAAGTACACCTGGAAAAGCTGACCTCGAGATCTCTCTGGACGGGACAAGCTGCGACTAAGTCTTCGTTAATGTGGGAGAAGCCCAGTGTCATCCATGCGACTGAGCGCGATGGCCTATTCGACAGCAATGAGGCCAGATCCGACTTTCGCAGGACCACGAAAGAGCCTGCTGCTATTTCTACGAAAAGAGTTACTCGCACAATCGAGAAGCCCTTAGCGAGATTGAGCACGAACAACCTATGGTCTCCGGAAATTGTCGCCTCGCCGCAACCTGTCAAAGGCGCCCAGTTATTTGTGTCCAAGAAGTCAAAGGTGGCTACTCGGCCGGTTGACACGATCAAGGTTCAATCAATCCCCTTGTGGCATAAGCCAGAAACGAGCGCAGAGTCTGAGTACGAAGGACTATTTGATGCTAGCGTTGTCAGAAACAATTATCGGAGAACTTCGAAGGCCCCGGCTGCTATCTCAATGCCCAAGAAACCTCGTGTAAGCAAGGAACCATTGCCTGTGCTCACAACCGCTAGCCTTTGGACTGGAGTGTCTTCGGAGTCCGAGCCCGAGTCTGATGTTCCCGCCGCTGAGTTAATCGAGACACGCGAAGTTCCAGTGTCGATTATAACCAAGTCCATGTGGGAAAAGTCGACCTTGCCAGTCTCAAGCTCGGATTTCGAAGGTCTATTCAACAGCAACGTTTTCAGGCTTGATTATCGAAGAACATCTAAGCTCCCGGCTGCGATCGACATGACCCGAACGCCTCGCAAGATGGAAGAATCCCTTCCAGTTCTAACGAGCATAAGGCTTTGGGAAAAGCAATCCGAATCGAGCTACATCCCCATCCCTACTGGTGTTTCTCTATGGAACAAGCCTATCTCGTCGATGCCCACTTCGTCCGGTCTCTTCCAGGTCGACCCGACTCGCAAGGTGTATCGAACAACCTCAGCAGAGCCAGCTGCGCTACAAATGGATCGGAAGCCTCGAGCCGTCGATGCGCCCCTTCCAAGACTTGAATCAACTCGCCTTTGGACTCGCGGCCAGATCTCCTCAGTCGAAGTCGATTGGATTTCGATTTCTTCTGTTGGACCCAAGAGCCCCTCTATCGCTTCCGTATCCGAAGCAAGCTCAGCGCCTTCATCTCCTATGTCTGATTCGTCATCGGTTAAGACGACCACTACCAAGGCATCCTCAGCTAAGAGCTTCTTCAGTGGCTTGTTTGGGCGAAAGAAGAAGGAACCGGAAGCCCCCAAGGCTCCTCAGGATTCTCTGGAGGCAGAGCCTGAAATCCCCGCTGTGCCGGAATTGCCGAAGGAATTCGTAGTGAAGAACTTGGACGAGGTACCCCACAAGAAGCCGGCGCATACTTCCCTCCGCAAATCGCACCGCCAGAGCGTCGCTTATCGAGCGGACTGGGATGGAGCGCTACGGGAAGCCATCGCCGCTAGCTACCCCGATACTACGGTCGCTTTAAGGGCTTCCTATCCTCGGGATTGGGAAGCTGAACTCAAAGAAGCTATCAAGGCAAGCCACGTGCCATTCAAGCTGACTCGCAAGCCCGCGTCTCCCAGAGCTTGGTCTGTTGCTCTCCAGAAAGCCATTGTTGCCTCCTACCCCGAGATCAGGTTCTCGCGGGGTCAAACACTACCGGCGCAATGGACGGCTGAGCTCCGGGATGCCATTGCTAAGAGCTACCCGTCTCAGGTTGAGGACTTCGATGTCACCGTCCGTCATCCCGTCTTCATGGGGTCTATGGAGACGATGGCTGAGACGGTCCACCCGGCAATTGGACCGAAGGTTTTGAGGAGTAGAGGAAACTCAAGAAGCAATGTAGCAAAGCCTGCTAGCTTCGACGTTGCTGTTCGACATCCCGTATTCTTTGGCTCCTTGGAAACTACCGCCCAATCTGTTCATCCAGCAATCCCTACGAAGACACAAAAGCAAGATGCAACGAGCGAAGCTGTGCCAGCACCTTTACTCTGGTCCAAGGCAGTGGCGACAGAGTCAGCGACAGAGGGTCATCTATGGAGCCCCAACAGCTCCGCACCTGAACTCCAGAAAACATCTTTCAACGCTGAAATCGACATGGCGCACAGCCCACGTAAAGCAAAGGACACTGCCAAAAGTCCCGAGCTCAAGATTGACTTTAGTGGGCAAAGCACGTGGAGACGCAGCGAAACTTCTCAGTTCCAGAATAGGGACTGGTTGGACGACTCAATGAAGAAGCGCTTCTCGCGCGTCGAGTTAAGGTACTAGACACCTACCTAGGTAGGTAGAAAAAAGAAAAGGAGGAAGGCTACGAATTTCTAAGGGGTCGGTGTTAAATGAGCGTTATATATAAGAGCATACTGCCTAACCTAGGATATACCCCTTGCACAAATGTACAACATCTAATGGCTTTGTACCCGCGTCACATACCATTCTTTTTTTTCTTTCTTTTTTTTCCTTTTGAATTATTTTTGCGTTGAGTTGCTATTTAGTAGCGCGGATATGTTATGTATTTAACGCAGCATCACGCTTGATGATAGTGAGATAGCGATATATAAAATACCTACCTATAGTGCCCAATTATTGAGGACGAAAAGACATAAGGATATCTGTATGTTTTACAGCCATTGTTTCTGGTATCCCTAGACACCAAGTCTTAATCCATGTGCCTTTCAGGATCTCTCCGCGCTCAATCTCACTACCAGCATCGCCACGCTCCTTCAATGTTCCCAAGAATTTTCCATCACTATCCACAATATCCGCGCTCGTCGCCGTCTCAGCCCGAATCTTATATATCCTGACATCAATATCTGCCGTGTAGTCGTAGACAACGCCCTGTATCCCCGACTTCCCAAACACCAGCATCGTGTCCTCCCTCACGTACAACGGCATGGTATCAAACCCGTGCTTCTCCCGGAACCAACCAGGCCCAACTCGCCAACGGTTCGTAAAGAAGCACCACCACGTCCCCCCCGGCAAGTAAAACTCCACATCCCCGGACTCCTCGAAAACAGGCGCCGCGAGCAAGTTCTCGCCCACCATGAACTGGCGGTCCAAGAACCAACACGTCGGGTCCTCGGGGAACTCGATACACATAGCCCTCACCGAAAGCGGTAATCCGCGCTCCGCGGCCTTCGTGCCCTGCGCCATCAGGTACGGCATCAACCGCGTCTTGAGCGCGGTCCAGGTCGCCAGCACGGCGGAGCAGCCGTCGGCCGACCGGTCGTCGGCGTCGACGAGCCAGGGGACCCGGTATGAGCCGCTGCCGTGGAGTCGGCTGTGCGAGCATAGGAGCCCGAAGGCTACCCAGCGCTTGTAGATCCAGGGGGCTGGGGAGCCTTCGAAACCTCCGATGTCGTTGGACCAGAAGCTGAAGCCGGAGAGGCCGAGGCCGAGGCCGCCGCGGATGGATTCTGCCACTGGGATTGATGGGTAGAGGGTTAGTGGGGAGGTTGAGAGAAATGGGGGTGAAAAGGAGGAAAGGGGGAAGGGAGGGGGAGAGGGGAGAGGGGTGAGAGGTACGTACTAGCTTCCGGGGTGGACTCGCAGTCGCCGCCCCAGACGAGCGGGAATTGCTGGGTGCCGGCGCAGGCGGCCCGGGCGAAGAGGACGGCTTCGGTTTCGCCGTACCGGGCTTGCAGGGCGGTGTAGACGACTTTGTTGTAGAGGTAGGCGTAGTAATTCTATCAAGTATTAAAAACACGGTCGAAGATTCCTAGTTTTAAATGGATAATTCGTTTTAGATGGCGGCAGACTTACATGCATCTTGTGAGGATCAACCTCCTTATCGAACCACTGCACATCCAACGTCGGGATCCTCTCCCCGAAATCAGTCTTGATGCAATCTACCCCCTTATCGAATAGTTCATTCAGACACTCGGTGTACCATTTCACGGCCTCCGGGTTCGTGAAGTCGACGAGCCCCATACCGGCCTGCCACAGGTCCCACTGCCAAATATCGCCGTTCTTGCGCTTGAGGAGGTAGCCCTTCTCGGCCGCGTGCGCGAAGGCGGCGCCGTGCTGCGCGATGTACGGGTTGATCCAGACGCAGACTTTGCTTACTAGACCCGAGGACTTTAGGCGGGCGATCTGCGCTTTGGGGTCCGGGAACTTCTCGGAGTCGAAGATGAAGTCGGTCCATCTGAAGCCCTGTGACGTGTTAGTTTTAGATGTAAAAAGAGGCACAAGAGGGTTTGAAAAGGAAAGGGATTTAGGAGCTTACCTTCATCCAAAAACAATCGTAGTGGAAAACGTCCACTTGGATATCCCGCTCTTTCATACCCTCGAGGAACGAGTTCACTGTCGCCTCGTCGTAATTAGTCGTAAAACTAGTCGTGAGCCAAAGTCCATAACTCCAGCTAGGCACTTTGGCAGGCCGGCCCGTTAAAATAGAGTATCGGTACAGCACTTCCTTGGGCGAAGGACCATATATGATATACCACTTCAACCTCTGCCCCTCGATACTCGTCTGGGCGCGACAGCACCGCTCACTCCCGATCTCTAGCTCGACTCTCCCCGGCGTGTCTATGAACACGCCGTAGCCCCTATTACTAAGCCAGAACGAAACATTCTTATACGCCTGCTCGCTCGAGGTGCCTCCGTCCGCATTCCACAGCGATATCGCCTGCCCTACCTTATTAAAAGCGCCGAAGCGTTCCCCGAGGCCGTGGACGGTCTCGCCGACTCCTAGGTTCGTCTGCGTGAAGACGTAGTGCTTGAAATCCCTCATGTCCCCCGTCTGCAGCATGTTGCTCCAGGCCGGGCTGTACGCTAGACCCACGCTGCGCGAGGCCAGCGAAGTAAGCACCTTGGACCCGTCCGTGCTGTGGAATTGGATGCCGAAGGCGTGCTCTGCTGAGCTGACGGTCGCTGAGAGCGAGCCTGAGCTGAGGGTTGTGCCTTTGTCGTTTTTGGCGACTTTGGGCGCGTATTTCAGCCCGCCTTGGGGGAAGAGCTCGAAGTTGGGACCTTTCCGGGCGGCGCCGGCCCAGTGCGTCGTCTCGACGGAGATGATGCCGTCGTGGGGCGCTTCGAGGTCCTGAGGTTGTTGTTTAGCTGATGGTCATGACGTGCGTTAGGTATGAGTGGTATTTCTTACGATCGTCAGTGTGCTGCAATTCAAAGTGTCCCCGCGACCCCTGATTTTCTTCGTCGGACATAGTAGGCTTAGGCCTTTGTCTGTCTCCGTGATGTCGTAGACCTCTTCGGCATACTCGACACGCACGCCCTCCGCTACCGCCCACATGCCATCGCGGAATTTCATGTTTGCTATATTTTACTTGATCACGATCTAGAATTATTCTTCAATGGATAGATAGATCAAAGTAAACGTCTGTTAACAATGAATGATGATGAGAAAATACCACATATAATCTTCCCATCGTATCAAATGCGGAGAGCCCGATCAGGAACCCGACCCCAATCTTGAACCGCATATCGGATGCATATTCTACGGTATGTAGTATCACCAAACGCCAAATCGGTTTCCTTCCTCAGTTTTTCCTCAGTTTCTACTGGCCTTGGCTCAGATGATCTTGGGGAGACGGGAACCGGACCGTATATGCGATGACTTCACTGCATCTAGTGCTTTTTACATAGCCCGTACATGTGTATAGGCAATCCATGGTTAGATGGTCTTAGAGCCGCTCCTATCTGAGGATAAACCGTTACTAGCCTTACAGCAGCAGGTGACAAGTCGTCGGTTCAATTATGAACGAAAGAAAATAATGGGCTGTATCCACGAACCCGGACGGGCTTGGACGGCGGGGCGGCTTGTCTGCTTGGCTGTCTCGGTAGAATCTCCCCCCACCAATAATAGGGGATGAGGCACCATGGGCTTGCTTTATACTCTTTCCTTCCCCGGACTTACCCCAACTACCCATCCCCTCGTCTCCCCTCATGCCCCCAATTTTCCATCGTGAAATATGATCGAAACTCAGTTCTTGCATACAACACATACCCTGTAGGTACGCAAAGAGCTTTCCGGAAGCACGGTCCAATATTTGAGCTCAAGTGACGAGAGGACAATCAGAGATTGCATATTCTAGACTCTATTTAACTAGTCACCTTGTCTAGAAATTAGACCCTACGTTAAGGCTAACTAGAATTCGGAAATTGCTCTGCCGTTGGCTAAGACTTGGGTTGACCTTCAATGTGACTATACTGGTCAAGGATATGTATGTAGTTGCGATATAAGTTATCACGTCGTGACAATGAGTCTTGGGGTAATCTCGCCCACCTAAATTACCTTCATGTCGTGATATATTGGTGAGTGTTAAATAGGAAGCTAGCCCAAATGCGGTCTTCAATATCATTATTTGCCTCCCTTTTGACCACTGCGCTGGCCATATCCAACAATGGTAGCACGCCACTCTATAAAGATTCATCAGCTCCGGTTGAAGACAGAGTGACTGACCTACTGTCACGGATGACCATCGAAGAAAAGACAGCCCAACTCGTCCAGGGGGATTTGAGAAACTGGATCAACATAACAGATGGCAGTCTCAACCAAACTGGTCTTGAATGGAGTATGCAATACCGTGCCGGCTCGTACTACGTCGGCGTGGCTATACCTTGGGAGATGCTTAGTGATGGCGTCAAAATTGGGCAGGACTATCTGATGCAGAATACGACGCTTGGGATACCGGCTTGGGTCCAGTCAGAAGGAATACATGGCTTCCTAATCCCGAACGCCACCATCTTCAATTCTCCAATCGCCCATGCTTGTTCCTTCAACCCGTCCCTGATTGAGAAGATGGCAAAAGCCATTGCGCAGGAAGCTCGTGCTTTAGGCGTTAACCAAATTTTCGGGCCTCTTGCTGATTTAGCTCGCGAACTGCGGTTTGGTCGTGTAGAGGAAACCTTCGGAGAAGATGGCTATCTGTAAGACACTCATCTGGCTGTAATACGGTATATATGGCTGACAATTGGACTAGGACTGGTGAACTTGCTCACGCGTACGTCAAAGGTCTCCAGTCAGGTAATGTCTCGGCCATGGTGAAGCACTTCGTAAGGGCCCCTATTTTAACTTACAGAGTAGCTGGTACTGATATAGAAAGGCCGCATTCGCATCACCAGAACAAGGTCTAAATACTGCTCCCGTGCACGGAGGAGAACGAGAATTACGGACCACATATCTACCCTCCTTCAAGCGAGCGATTATCGATGGTGGCGCGTTTTCTATCATGTCGGCATATCATAGCTACGACGGTGTGCCCGCTGTGGCTGATAGACACACCCTGACCGATATATTAAGGGGAGAATGGGGCTATAAATACTTCGTGGGTGACTCTTTCAACTATTGACTCTGCGAGTCCTAATATAACCAGGTGATGAGTGATGCCGGCGCCACAGACCGTCTGTGCAATAACTTCAAGATGTGCAATTCTGACCCCATCGATTCTGAAGCTATAGTCAACCTTGTAAGTATGCCTATCAACCTTTGAAATGGTAGAGATCACAGGGCCTTACAAACCTTTAGGCACTTCCCGCCGGAAACGACGTCGAAATGGGCGGTGGATCGTTCAACTTTGAAAGGATCCCCGATATGGTCGACTCGGGCAAGCTGTCCATAGACGTCGTAGACCAAGCCGTCTCCAGACAACTACGTGCGAAGTTCGAAATCGGGCTATTCGAAAACCCCTTCACTGATGTCGCGGTAGAAGACCAGGCCAAGTATATCAACACACCAGAGACCATTGAGCTCGCAAGACAACTAGACGCAGAATCCATCGTCCTACTCGAAAATCACAACAACATCCTCCCTCTGAAAAGGGATGCCAACATCGCCGTCATCGGGCCCATGGCTCACGGCTACATGAACGTAAGTCCCAAACCCCTTGATATCTATCAACCCGAAACGGGCTAACAAACCCCAAGTACGGCGACTACGTCCCCTACCTCTCGCAATACCGCGGCGTGACCCCGCTCGACGGCATAACCGCCGCCTCCACAGGCAAAATAACCTACGCGCAAGGCTGCGAGCGCTGGTCCTCCTCCCAATCCGGTTTCGCCGCCGCCACCGCCGCGGCCCGCGAAGCCGACATCGCCATCGTCATAGTCGGGACCTGGTCGCGGGACCAAGACGAGCTATGGGCAGGCCTAAACGCAACAACAGGCGAACACGTCGACACCTCCTCTCTCAACCTCGTCGGCGCGCAGCCGCACCTCGTGAAAGCCGTCCTCGACACCGGCGTCCCGACGATCGTCGTCTACAGCTCCGGGAAACCCGTAACCGAGCCGTGGATCAGTTCCGCGGCTTCGGCGCTAGTACAGCAATTCTATCCCTCGGAGCAAGGCGGCCACGCGCTCGCCGACGTGCTTTTCGGCGCCGCGAACCCGTCGGGGAAATTGAGCGTTTCGTTTCCGTATGATGTGGGGACTACGCCGATATACTACGATTACCTGAACTCGGCGCGCGCGAGCCCGGATCCGGGGCGGGTGTACCCGAACGGGACGATGGTGTTCGGACATGCTTATGTGCTGCAGAGTCCGCTGCCGCTTTACGAGTTCGGGTTCGGCAGGTCGTATAGCACGTTTGCGTATGCGGGCGTGGCGCTGGATAAGAGCGCGGCGGGGCCAGGGGATACGGTGAGGGTTTCGGTCGATGTGACGAATGAGTCGGCGCGCGATGGCGCGGAGGTGGTGCAGGTTTATGTGGAGGATGTGGTGGCAAGCGTTGTGGTGCCGAATAAGCAGTTACGCGGGTTCGCGAAGGTTTTCGTGAAGGCTGGTGCTACTGAGACGGTGAACATCGATATTGACGTCGCTAACTTGGGGCTTTGGGATATAAATATGAAGTACGTCGTCGAACCTGGTGAGTTCATTGTTCATGTCGGGAGCTCGAGTAAGGATATTAGGGGGAACGCTACACTTACTGTTGTTTCATACCTAGGCACGTAGATAATGACACGGCACCTAGGGGTACGTAATTATATACATGTTTATTAATAAAGCTCTTTAAACGGAGTACCTCTAATAGTTATCTCTTCCAACAAAGCTACTTGGGGTATATCAAATCCTTATAGTCTACCATGTATGTGTATGAGCCCAGTCGCGACAACGTTTCTACGTTGCTATGAATAGACCACCTGACTCCATAACCATTCTTTATGTACAAATTATCTCATCAAGTCTAAGTGTCTCGTGAGCCGTTTTATTTCTGACTTTTTTCCCCTCTTCTTACCATTCCTGAGCATATCTAGCTGAGCATTAGTGGCTAAAAACCTTGGTTCCGAATTTCCAGACCTCGTCCACGACGAGCTCGACACTGCCATCCGTCTTATGCTTCTCAGATAAGACGACCATGTCCGCGTCTGCGCCGTCATCGAGGCAGCCCTTGATACCCTGTAGCCCTAGCATTGCGGCTGGGGTCGATGTGACGGCCTTCAGCGCTTGGGGTATGCCTGCGCCAGACCAATTGAGGAAGTTAGATACACATTCGATGAGTGTTATCGAACTAGAATGCTAATTAGTCATATGGCCGTTTCTAAAATTTAGCGGTAATCCTTACCTCCCAGCAATTCGATCGGTGCCCTCCAAGATCAATTTATTACCCTTCTTTAAGATGTTACTCGTGTTCTCGCCGTTGGTCCACTGGTAAGCGCCATCTGGGAGACCCACTAGGTGCATAGAGTCTGTGACGAGGATGAAACCATCCGGATGAGCATTGAAGGCAATCTTGATGGTTGTGGGATGTAAGTGCTCCCCGTCGGCGATGATGCCAAAATAGGGGCGGGGCAAGCTTTCTGCTTCACCCAAGACACCGAAGATACCGGGATTCCGGTGGTGCAGAGGTCGCATAGCGTTGAATAAGTGAGTGATCATTGTCGCACCTGCAGCGACAGCCGCTGACGCCTCTTCGTATGTTGCTTCCGAGTGTCCGATCGAGTAGATGATGCCATGGCTCGTAAGTTCGGGGATGAGCTTCGTCATTTGTCCCCGCTCCGGCGCGGCGGTTATCATCTTGATCGGGAGAGGACGGAATGTGGTTTCGGGATTGAGGTTTGATGCGCCGTAGCAATCTTCCAAATCTTCGAAGGTCTCGGCTACTCGCAGCACATCTACGTCATGTACTCCGTTCTTAGTTGGGCTTAAGAATGGGCCTTCGCAGTGTGCGCCAAGCGATTCCGCTCCATCTTCGGCGACCTGCAAGTACCCGGACGGTGCGAGATGTGGCAACGCCCGCTTGTAGAGTTCGCTTCGTTGGCTTGTGATGGTGGGGACGTAGGACGTGACGCCGGTCTTGACCATTTGCTTATTCAACTCCTTGACCTTCTTCGCGTAGACAGCAGGCTCAAGAAGCGTAGAGAAGTTGAAACCGAAAGCACCGTTCAGCTGACATTCGATGAGACCCGGTGATAAGATACGTCCACCTAGGTTGACGACCTCGTCAGGGAGAATGAAATCATCGTAGAAAGCAGCTTGGCTTCTGATGATTTTTCCAGTGATGGAATTGACCCATAGGTCTTCCTCGACTAACTTGTCGTTCTTCAAGATACGACAGTTGGTGAACTTGGTAATACCGTTTCGGCCATCTGAAGGTGTCGACTTAGGCGACGATGGCAAGGAGTGAGGCATGATGCCAGTATATACCTAGGTAGGTAGTTAAAAATAGATTGTTTGATGATTCTATGTTTTATCGAGTAGTAGGACAGTTGTCCCTTCAGCGAGTACTTGAATTTCCATAAACGAGAACACAATAAACTATGGGAAATGGCTCATAGATGTATTTATTCATGATATCACGATGCGTTGCCGCTGACTCCGAAGGGTGGCCGATATTGGTTCCGAAAAATCTCGGCTTGTTAGATCCATGCGTATCAATATCTGGAAGGCCGAAAGAGTTTGTCACTGGCATCAGCGTAAGGGCCGATGACAAGTGAGATTGCTCTCTGCTGTTTGATCGGTGGGGCCGGTCAGACGTCAGTCTTGAGATTGTGACAATGGAGCCCGGTTTGCTGTAAATGGACTGGTACCAATATCCACGGCGGAAAATGTGCAGACCAATGGTAACAACATGTGACTAAGAAGACTGGTCAGCATCCTCCAGGGCATTCTAGGTCGGAGGGCTGGTTACTAAGAGTGGTGGTATGTAGAGTGGTAGACAGGTAAAGTGGTGGCAACCAACTTGACGAGGCCCTCTAAGATTTTAGATGCTCCGGTATCATTTGTGGGTGTCGGCGTCTATCTCCGGCCCCTTGTTCCCCACGTTAGAGCCTCTACAACAGTAGATCGTTTTCGCCGTGTGACAATCCATTGTAACGAAAACGAAAATTGGATCGTGGCACATCAAAGAAAGGTTTTTGTAGTGGTGTAAGGTAACGTTGCGGAATGGTGGGAGGCTTTTTCGAAAGGCAAAGAACCCCGATAAACTGATATCGTCCCGACAAACGGGTTTGGCAAGGCCAAAGTCCACTAAAGTCAAAATGGCATAGCGCAATTTCCCCTAAATCCAGAATGATCCTCCCCGGATACCAAGGTACCTTCCCTTCTGAGAGAGCCATTGGTCTTCAGCACTTGCCTCCGGATCTAGCCCACCTAAAGTGCCTGAGCAAGTGGAACCTGTCATGTCAAGTCCCAAGGGCCTAGAGTTTTATCGATAGTAGCAGAGTAGTCGCTTATGCGATACAACCTAACTCTACTACCCCCTAACGGTTTCCAAGCCTTGATACTGCCGAAGTTCTATCGGTCTATCGTTGTCAACTCTTTTCTTCATCCTCACCAAGCACAAGGCACACGCACACTTGACTTTGCATCACTTCGGTGCTTTATCCTAATCCTATCTTACCCCAACTTCACAGGTCTTTTACACACTAACTAGCTCCATGACATCCGGCCCTCCGTAATTATCACGCTGACACGCGTTGTTGACGGAAAAAGTCCGAGAGATCCCATGCTGATCTTCTACGCCTACACCGTTCGGCTCAAGGCCTGCTAGTATACTGTGAAGTTGTAGCGAGCGATACCACCGCAAAAATGACCAAGTCAGACATCGAACTCGACCCACTATGGCAAAACCTCGATTGGTACGGTGTGCCGGTTCTTATCTATTCTCATCGCTAAGAGCCCTAAGAGCCTCATGACCGCGTTTCTTTGTCTGGGGTGATGCGGCTGCGAGGCTAAAGTAGGTCTGTCGCTAACGACTAACAGGGCGATTGGCCAGATGTTGATTATGGGATGGGATGGTACCGAAGTAACGCCTCAAATTCGAAACCTCATTGAGAACCATCATTTAGGTTCTATCATATTGACAGCTAAGAATCTGAAATGTATACCTACCATGTCTACCATATCTCTAAGATATCCGTCAACGCTCATAGAGCTGCACGTCAAGAGGATACTAACTACGCGACATTAATACAGCTGCCGAACAGACTGCTTTGTTGGTTCAAGAGCTTCAAACAATAGCTCACCAAGCAGGTCATCCTCAGCCATTGTTGATAGCTCTCGACCAGGAAAATGGAGGTGTCAACAGTCTATTTGATGAGGACTACATCTGCCAATTCCCCAGCGCCATGGGCGTTGCTGCCACGGGGAGCACAGAGCTAGCATACAGTGTAGCAAAGGCCACGGCCACTGAAGTATCAGCCGTCGGAGTTAATCTCATTCTTGGGCCTGTCTTGGATGTCTTAACAAATGCTCGACACCAACCTCTTGGGGTTCGGGCAACTGGAGACGATCCTCAGGAAGCCTCACAGTTTTGTATTGCTGCTATCAATGGATTTAAGGATGCGGGCGTGGCTACCTGTGGGAAGCACTTCCCATCCTATGGAAATATCGACTTTCTCGGCTCCAGCTTAGACATGCCTATTATCACGCAGACTTTAGAAGAGCTCAGCCTTAGCGCTCTTGTACCCTTTCGAAATGCGATTAGCGCGGGGCGCTTAGATGCTATGTTCGTTGGCGGTGTTGGAATCCAAAGTGCTGGAATGAACGTGATGCACGCCTGTCTTTCAGACCAGGTCGTAGATGACCTCCTTAGGAACGAGCTTGGATTCAAAGGCGTCGCCATCTCAGAATGCCTCGAAATGCAGTCTCTTATACAGGAGTACGGTGTCAAGGGAGGAACCGTGATGGCCGTCGAAGCAGGGAACGATTTGGTGCTTTTGTGCAGAGCACATGACGTGCAATTGGAGGCTATCTCTGGGTTAAAACTGGGTTATGAGAACGGCATCATCTCGAAAGACCGAATCCATACCTCTTTGAAGCGAGTACTACGAATGAAGAGTGTATGTACATCTTGGCAAAAGGCTCTCAATCCGCCTGGGCTTCCTTTACTATCCAAGATACATCCGTCACATCTCGCACTCTCGAGGAAGGCTTACGACCACTCGATTACAGTTGTACGGGACAAGGACGGTCTACTTCCTCTCTCACAAAGCTTGCTCCAAGAAGAGGAACTATTACTATTGACACCTCTAGTTAAGCCTCTACCGGCTTCGGCGGCTACTAAAAGTTTATTGGAGAAGGGAACTAAAGGAAATCCTTCTTTGCATGAGAGGTGGATTCATCAGGAACGTGGAGCGATCATGAGCGGAGAGGGTGTTTTTCGAGAACTCGGCCGATCGATAGCCCGAATGCGCAACGGTAAACTTCTTCACACATCATATACCGCAAACGGACTCCGACCAGTACACGAGAATCTGATTAACAGGGCATCGGCGATCATTATCGTAACTGCTGACGCTAACCGAAACATGTATCAAACTGGGTTCACAAAGCATGTAGCCATGATGTGTCACATGCTTCGTGGTACGGGCCAGAAGAAATCACTCATTGTCGTTGCAGTTAGTTCGCCGTACGATTTTGCAATGGACAAGTCGATTGGGACATATGTCTGCACCTTTGATTTCACCGAGACAGCCATGGCCTCTCTTGTCCGTGCGCTATACGGAGAGTTCACCCCTCAGGGGTCGATGCCGGGGACGATGAGGAAGAGCAAGAAAGTTTCTAAGACAAGACAGCAGTGGCTCGTCGAGAACTACGACCGCGATCGAGATGTTCCAGCTCTCGAGGAGTTACTAAGGACTTTAGCCCGTTCCAGCACACCGAGTCTCCCGTATCTCACAACGTCGGCTCACTCATTTGAATTGTTCAACTCTCACGTTGAAGAAGCGCACTTTGTCGTTCGGAATAGTAGCACGAAAACGTTGTACGGATTTGTGGCTACATATTACACAAAAGGTGTGGGGGCTATTGGCGCGCTCTTCGTCGACCCAGCAAAACGAAACGTCTCGATTGGAAGGTCATTACATCGTCGCGCACTACGAGCACTACTTCAAAAGCAAGGGATCAAAACGATACAGCTAGGGCTTACATTTCCGGGAGTGTTTCCAGGAGTACCTGTTGATGAAAGTGGGAGCAACAAGAGCTGGTTCGATAATGTGGGATGGGACACACAGTTTCCTAAACGACTAGCGAACATGGTCATCGACGACCTCGGCGCTTGGACGGCACCAGAAGGTCTTTTACAGAGTATACAGCGAGCGAGCATTAGCTTCGACCTAATCCACGGGCTCGACAACGCCGAATCAGTACTAAATCACGTAGCGACGCATGCGGGACCCGAGGTCGTGGAGCTCTACAGATTTGCGCTCCAAGAGACAAACACGAGTGGAGTGGTGAGAGCCAAGAACTCAGTAGATAATCTACTAGGGACAGTCATTATTTGCACGGCAGCGAGTCGACTGTCGACGTACATCCCCGCGCTTCATTCTATCAGCGGGGGAGATATCGGTGGCATAATTGCTCCAATTGTTCCCTCGACGGCTCAGTCAAGGTTGATACTGCAGGGACTAGCATTCATGGGCGTGAGACAAAATAAGGCGCACAAGTCAGCAAAGAGTGTGCTCAGTTGGGTAGGTTGAGCCGGGCTCATACTAAGTACCTATATTCATTACAATTAACATGCTTATCTAGGTTCTCGAAGAGGCACATGAACCTCTGGTAGCTATGGGTTTCGAAATCCAACAGACGTTTGACGAAATTACAAATTCGCCGGAGAACGTAAGTCTGATGCCTGTCTAAAAATCGATAGATTTTGCTGATCATTGAGATCTGAGATAGTGGTCTGACCTAAGTTGAACAATGCCATTTTCGGGTGACCAACACACACCAAAAGTACCAAATGAATAAATGAATGAATGAAAGAAATCCTTCACCGAACCTACGTTTTTGGGTACCCCTTTTCCCCCGAAGAAAATGGAATGATGGATTGGAAGTGGGGGTCTGGAAGTGCAATATTGTTTCTCTGCTCCAACAAGAGTTTCAACCTATGGTTCTGGCTTATAACTTTTTATATATTCGGGGTGAGCGAGCCGGAGTTAGAGGCATAAGAATTGCGATTTTGTCCAATCAAGAATTGAGTCTTGCTGAGATTTTGAATCCTAAAACGCACAATTACCGATTGAGTTTTGAGCCCCCGTTCGTCGTCGTATGTAGGCCGTCGGCTGTCCCCTGTTTAAAAATAGAAAATAGCGCCGCGGCGCCGCGGCATACTACAGTACTGCCACCCCGGGGGTTGTGATCTTCAAGGAGCAACATTGGTTTAGTGCATTGGTCTAGTGGTGATGTGGAGAGAAACAAGTCAAGTGATAAGAAAGCCTTTGTTCGCATTACAACGCCATCGAGGATTTGACGGGTTTGATACACAAGTATGCATGTACATAGGTAAGGATATAGAATGTGTAGATGTGTAAGGCATGTAAGGACGGACGTACATGCAAAAGAAGCACCGAGAGTCTGGATTGGAAAGGCAGGCAAAAGATGACAGATGACAGATAAAGTCGTTCGGCAATGTGGTGATATAACCCCATAGACGGTAGGGGGATGTCGATAACCCCACCCGCCGAGTTTCTTTTTAACTTGTTCCAGAAGGTAGAGAGTTGGTCTTCTGCAGAAATCGACATTCTGCCACCCCCTCCTCCCCTCCACGATTTAGGTAATGTGCCACACGGACTAAGGAGACGATAGGGGTTATCATCTACTGCCCAGGTGCATGGCAGTGACATCAAGGTCACTTTCATCCCATCTACCATGTCCCAATGAGCGTCTAAAGATTCCGAGGCCGAAGAGGACGGGACCCCTATCGCGCATGTTTGAGCAACCTCCGGCCTACCTACATCATACCTACAAGTACATCCCCTTTACATGCTTACCCCAGTTCCCGCCCAGGCACCAAGTCCGCTACATGTATTACGCTTGTACCTATTGGTTGAAATTGGATGTTAGCCGTGTTGATGTATGTGAAATGCGTACGTGTGTATGACCTATGGCTGCTGTCAAATGGGATTGAATGGGATTGAATAGGCCCGGGGGGTCCATGATTAGTTCTTTTAGTCTTTTTATTAGTCCTTTGGAATTACCTAGCAGCCTAGGAACCCTTTCTTTACCTGCTTTCTGCTTCTGGCTTCTTATCCAGTCTTGATATTAACTCCCAGGGCTATCACCGTAATCCTAGACACAAGAATCCCAGCCCCCAGTCGAACAGCGGATCTTTTCTAATTCCATTTCTCCACCCCTTGGTCCTTGGTCCTTGGCTTGGCTTAGTCGAATTGCTTTCGCGCCTCCACTTTCCGCTACGGTGCTTCAGTGCTCCTCTCGCGCCCTGCTATTAGCTTCGCTTCGCTTACCTGGTAAGTTCCAGTGGTAAGATACGGACAAGCAAGTGATTAGTTGGTTGTTTCTTGACATCCCGATCCGTTTCAACTCCAGCAAAACAACCAATACTCCATACAGTTTATTCAACAATTATCTACCAACAAGCCTTCAAAGAACAGTACCTAGGTAAACAATTCCCGCCGCAGGTCCGTTCTCGACCGCTGCCAACAATCTTCTAGCTCCACTTGGTCCCGCAACGGTGTGGAATCTAAATTTTTCTCAATCTATCTGCATTGGGGAGTTGGTTTCGGCTCGCTTCGTTATCAGTCGAACGTCGAAAAGCCGAAAGTCTACGTCAGCTTCCCAGCCCTTCCCAGCCGATACTTGTCAGCAGTAAGCAAGTAAAAGCAAGCGAAAAAGCAGGACTAAACCTTCGGGCCGGGAAGGGTATTAGCCCTTTCCGTACGATGCGATGGCAACTTTCAACTCCATGCCGGCGCTGCAGTCAGGCGCCAGCCCGGGAGACGCCATGGGATTAAACGCCGCCATGTCCGGTTCCGGACTGGGCATCGAACCCTTCGACCCCGATCTCAACTTTGACGAATCTATGCTGTAAGTCTGATCTTGATGGGCGCATTGCATTTTCCGGGATATGCGGATGTAGACGTGGATGATCTTGCGTATATGGTGTCCGCGCTGTCAGAGAAAGAGTAGCACGTGTAGGCGGTATATACAACAACAACATAGTAATGCTAAGACCCACGAATAGAGAAAACGTCAACGGTACCCTCCCTCCTTTACCCTTCACCCCCTCCTACGATTTCGAAACATTCTCCACCACCTTCGAAGACCCCTTCAACTACTCCAAACCCTACGAGACCGCCGCGCCGCATCCCGAAGACTTCCACGATGAAGGGTCGTCTCCGCAACAACCGGACGATAAGCTCCTCAGCTTCTCCGCCACGGCCGCGAAAGCTACACCCCTCGACGATGCGTTAGGCGCTTATTCCGAAGTCAATATGTCGGCCGAGCTATACGGCATGTTCTTTGTCGCCGAAGATGTCTTCGGCGGTGAATCTACAGGTCGACCGCTGGAACTTACGTGCTATCGGCGGAATCTATGGCAATGTTCGGGGCAAATAACGATGCCGCGGCATTGCACGCAGGTGATGAACGAGCAGGGGCGCGCGATCCCCATTGTAGAATTTTTTGCCTCGATATCGGCCAAGGAGAGCATCGAGGGCAAGTCCACCGAGATAATCTCCATACCGTGGAAGAGCAGCAACCCGGCCTTAGGGGAAGGCCAAGAAACCAAAGTAGCCAGCGCACCGCCCAAGATCGCGCTCGACCTAAGCGGCGGCCAGGAAGTAGACGGCCACAGGGTCAGCATACCGGTTTCGTGGAAGCGACTGCAGTTCAAGAGCGCGACGGCGAATAACGGGCGCCGGAAGGGACTGCAGCAGCACTACGTCGTGCAGATCAGCCTGCTCGGCAAGATGAAGACGGGAGGCGACTTCATGAAGATCGCCGAGATCCAGAGCGGCCCGGTGATCGTGCGCGGACGGAGCCCGCGGAATTTCGATAGCAGGAAGGACGTTCCCCTGACCGGCGACAAGAAGGCGCCCGGAAGCGTGGAACGAGCGCGAACTCACAGCGACGCGAGCTCGACGGCAAACCTGAAGACGGAGCGGTCCGACTCCGCGCATAACTTACACCACTTCTCGTCCCCATCCCTGGGCACCACGCCGTCCGGTACATCCTGGGCGACCCCCTCAACACCCGCATACGGCGGCGGGCAACAAAACTCACAAGCCCACCCCGCGAAGAAGATCGCGCTCTCGCCCAATATAAGCCGGCCACCGGTCCCGGCCTGGGGCAGCAAGGAATCTACAAACCATAACAAGGCGCAGCAGGCGCTAAGCAGTCATACGAAGAATAGCAATGGCAGCAGTAACAACCATAACGGATCGGCGCCGTCCGTGCCGATAAACTTGTCTTTGTCGGAGGACGAGCGGAGCCCGAATAACCGGTCCAACTCGGACTCGCTGACGAGCCCGAGGCTGCACCGGACGTCTACGAGTCACGGGCCGGGCGGCAGCCCGATAGAAGAGGAGGAGGAATTATATGAGTATTTCCCGCTTAGTGTGGATGATTGGTAAGTTGTATCCCAGACGCCAATTACAAGTCCATTCCCTCTCCCCCTTAGTCCCCTATCCTGCCCCTGAAGTTTAACCGCGTTGCGCTAACACTTACAAATAGGACACCGCTCGTAGACACCGTATACCGCCCGCACATCGTCCACCACATCGCCGTGCCGCAGGAAATCAAGGCGCAACAGATTAGGAACAAGTCTAAGCGGTACTTCTCGGCCGAATGAGTACCCTACCCACCTGCCTATCTACCACCTCAACCTTATAAGCCGATATACGCCAAGTACCTTGACTATGCTATGCAGGTACCGTGTGCTCCTACGCGCCTAGACGATTGTGTGGATCAGAGACCCAATCCCTTCAAAGATGAGAGCTAAGAGCAAAAAGAAATCCGGTGAACCAATTTGGACCGGATAGAAGTGGAATAAACGAGGGGCGGGTGCTTTTGTCTATATTTAGTGAATTGGGATAGACTGAGCGAGCGAGCGAGCGAATGCGTGATTTGGCGAAGTATAGTAGAAAAAGAGAAAGAGAGACGCCCAGGTGTTGCTGACGGATCAGACGACGGCATGACACAACACAACATCACACTTCAACACATTGATCCCTTACCTCCCATACTTCCTCCCACAACAAAACACACCCATCCACACCCACACATACAAACACGAGCAGGCGTAACTTTTGATTTTTATTTGAGGAGATACTGGATCTCTCGGCCATGTATTATGAAACGCGTACCTATATTCCTTTTTTTTTTTTACCACACCCGACCAATTTTTTCTGCGATATTTCTGCAATTAGTACTGGAACAGGACTGGACAGGACTGGACCGGACCGGACCCGGCTTCGAGATATATTATATACCTTAGGTTTTAGGTAGTCTATATATGTTTATATGTACGGCACCCGTTTATGTATGTATGTATGTAGTATCTATTAGCAGCTTGGGGCAATTATTTGCCGGAGTTGTTGTTTGTCGTTCGTCATACTTGCTCTGCTCTGCTCTTCGTTCTGTTTTAATTGGTTCTCACTTTATTGTAAGTTCTTTAGTCAATCTATTATAGACGGCAGATTCGGTATATAGTATTTAGTATAGTGAGCAAAACGAGCGAATGAGCGCCCAGGTTGGCTTTCAACAATATACACCTGGTGGCAATGGCGATTCCTTATATCTTAGATGCCTACTACGCATAATCCTCTACTCCACTATTCACTTAACTTCCTATTCATCCAATCACGCGTACACCTCATTTACGTGTGATCAAACCCAACCCAAATTTGATGAATTGTGCATGTCTTCATTATATGCTACTATGTAGGTATATATACCCGTACCTAAACGCCATCTAGATTTTCCCGCTATCAAAGCTCCTTGCTTGCTTGCTTGTTCGCTCGCGCCGCCCCGCCCGGACAACCGCAAATCGCAGCGGGAAAAAAAGCAATCTATGCTTCTTCCCTTCTCGCGTCTCGTCTCATTGATCGCGGTAGGGAATGCACCAAAACGCTAGGTATATGTGGTTTTTTCGACCAAAAGGTCTGAAAACGAGAAAATAAAATGATTATCGACCGTTAAAAACAGGATAAGATGACATAAATAGGTAGGGTAAGTAGGTATATATACAACCGTAAATAGGTAATCATGTAGGTATAGTTTTCATCCCGTGAGGGGGACACGTTCTACGCTGTAGTCGCACACGCGATAGCGACCGCGGCGCCTAGGATGGAGCTCTCAATGGCTGGGACTAGGTCCACGGATCCGGGATATTGGCTGTGGGTAACTAGGGTGTCGATATAGCGCTGGCACGTGGGCAGGTACTCCGGGTAGTGCTCGATGACGGAGCCGTTGAAGGCGACCTTGGTGCTAACCTCGATCTCCCCGATCTGCTCATCGACTGAGGGTGAAGGGAGCACTATGCCGCTATCGTTCGAGGGAGTCGGCTTGGGGGTCACGGGGGCTTGCTCAGCTTCAGTCTCGTGTCGCAATTCCCAGAGCGAGAAGACCGAAGCGGCGAGTAGGGCAGCAGAGCGGCGCGAAATGAAGGTTGCGAGTGTACGGATGGTAGTGATGTCGGAGAGAGTAGGTGATGTGGCAGTAGGGTGGTGTTTTGTGAACTCGGATATGGCTTTTTCGAGGGTGGGCGATGTATCGCTGAAGTAACGTGTTAGTGTCTAATATTATTAGTCATGCGGTGTGGAACTTACGCCTCGATTCTCGATAGGATTTCCGTATCAAGCGAGTACGGCTTCTCTAGGGACGGTGGTAATTGACCGCCTAGTAGGCCCGCTGTCTCGACGGCCTCGACTATAGCGAGTCGGCAGATTTCTCCGAGATAGAATCCACTCAGCATATGTTCGAGGGGCTGGAAGTCGGGCCGAGGGTGAGAGGCGTTCAGGAGTTCGTCCCACCGTGTCAGAGGCAGGATATCCTTCCCAAACATGCCTAGCTCCGTGTTTACAATGACGTGGCTGGCCGACTCGAACCAACTTTCCGGTCGTTTGCCATATTTAACACGACTAAATGCTGATACCGGCAAGTGGACCGCAATGTTGGTACCCGTTCCTAAAATCAGGCCAAAGCGTGTCGAAGCATGCACGTAAGCCTGCGAAAGCAACGTTGCTGAACTATCATTGACGATAGCCTCAAGTTGGACCTTTAGGCCCTGTTTTTTGCACGCAAACTTGATGAGTTCACCCAAGTCCTGGCCCAGTAGGCCATTGGTGGCTAGAAACCCTTTGCCCATACCAAGTAGAAGCCCGCCGCCTAGTGATACTTGTCTAGATACGAGTCATGTTAGTTTCGCTATACGCCATAGTCTAAGAAGAAGGTATACGTACTCTACCGGGAAACTCCAAGCAAGACCCATAGGTATAATGTCTTGTTCGTGTGAAAGGTCATTGTGTACAACTTCATGGATCCGGGCTGCCATCCAGTCGAAAAAGCTCATGCCTTCAAGCTTCTTGACTTCTGGCGTAATCTTAAAGCTAACCATTCGAATGATTTCGCTCTCCCTTCCCGTCGCTTCTCGGCCTCTTAACTCCACCAACGCAACTCTCAGCGTCGATCCACCGACATCGAGGGCAAGATATTGTCCTCGTTCTTTTCCGGTGGGGAGTAGGTGGTTGAAGGACGGAAGCATGCATTCTGGGTGACTGTGCAACCGCTCCCGAAACTGGCGCTTAAGATCCGAAGAATATCTCCTCAGGCCGGCTTCGTCAATAGGTTCCAAAAAGAGTTTCTCTGCTTCCTTCAAGAAATCTTCGAGAGCTCTCGACGGGTATGTCCTCTTTCCGTTGACGTGATGTTCCTTGAAGGCCTTCGGGCTGATCCAGAATGCAAGTATAGCCTGCAAGAAGGACCTCCCCCGGAGGAACGACTTAAGAGCCGCTAGCAGCGATTTTTTTAACGTAGTCATGGCAGAAGTGAGTGGCTGCATGACAGGGAACTGGCTTGAGGGTCTAGTTGGGTATAAATATAAGTCATGAAGGTGACATGGGCTGAGCTGAAAAATGAGAGAGGCAGCTGATAATCGAAGACGAGGTTGGAATTCCTAGTCTTCAAGCAACAGCATGCAGCATGTTCCAGCGGAGACAGGCAATCGGAAACAACAGAGAGTGAAATGTTTCCTTAGGGCCGCGTCAGAGCTCGTATAGGCGGGAAAATGCTAGAACGGCAGAAATGAAACCTGCCGGTCAAATTCGAAGTTAACGAGGCGACGCCGTTGGTTGGATCTAGTAATGTACAATCCCAGGAGGAAAGTAAAGAATAAAGAGCCAAGACCCAGGTTCAGAGCACGGGGTGTGTGTGTTCAGGTCAGACCCAATGGGTTACAGCATGAATGAATGGTGCAATAAGAACGAAGGACGGTTAAGGCATAACAAGTCTCTGATACGAGAAACGCGGGAAAAGAATGGTTGCGCTGGGTTGCTTGTTGCTTGTAGCGGAAAGTATGTCGAGATAGACACCAAGAGTGAGGTGAGAGGTCTCGTTTTCTCACTCAACCTTGACTCAACATTGACATTGACCCCCCTAAGCTAAGACGTGGCTCGCGCCTACGGCTATGCTTGTTCCCAACCGTCTAACTAGCGTATGTATGTATGGTATGTATTACCACCTAACAGAAAGAATAACACATACAACAACAACAAAACCAGCAACAACAGGGCTAGAATAGCAGCTAGAACGCCCGAGGATATGGGATAGGGCGGGACGGGGATCCAGGAGAGTGGGCCGAAGAACAGATCTAGCGCCACCGTTTTCTCGGTAGGGTAGGTGACTTCGGGATGCTGGATGCTGATGGTATTCTGGCTCACGTAGCAACAAGGAAAAAGTACAGCTATAATACTAAAAAGGGCAAGGAGCGCATATAGGTTATGGTGGTAGGTAACAACAACAATAACGATAGTAGCAGATCCGTCAGCGAAGACTCGGGCAATCAGATATGTAGGGACAGGGGGCCAATTCGAACAGCGCGCCAATCAGCTGTCGATGTCAGGGTGGACAGGGAAGAGAAAGGAGGAGGATACAAGAGGAAGAGGAAGAGGAAGGGCAGAGGTGGACATCGGACATTGACATTGTCTCACCGTGGTGGTAGAAAGGTAGCAGAGGTAGCAGAGGTGGTAGAGGTGGCAGTGGTGGTGGTGTTGCCCAGTTGGTACTATCTTCCCTTTGTGCCATCTGGGCCAGTGTTTGTAGATGTAACGTTGTAGGCTCTAGAATTCAAGTCAACTGTTTTTTAACCTTTCTAGCCTTCTAGGTCTAGGTTTTAGTATATTTAAAGGAGCAAGGATCGCCCGCCATGCACGAGCCACATGGCGTTTGCATAGACATATCGGGACACTTTTGAGTTTGCATTGTTACCAAAAGTCCTCGCTAGCGTCTAGGACTTGCTATTTCCTTACACTCCGGATCTTGGTAGACGTAAGCCACAAGCGTGGCAGGAGAGAGCACCTTGAGAGAATTTAGAACATTCCATTTCTAAAGGAAATGAATCATTCTTCTCAATTCATCTATTTTCATTTCTCCAACCTTAGCCGAAAAAAGGCCATGGGCGAAATATTAATTACCTACATTCATGGTAGTACCCTGCTTGGTTGAAGATGATATCCTGCTTTTTCCTATTTCAGCTTTGCGGCTCTGGTAGCTCTAATGGAAAGCACCTAGACGAATATATATGATGCGGTTAGATCGCATCGAATATCAAATGTCATTGATCCGCATTAGGACGAGTCCCTGGCTTGGCTTTCCCCACTACGGGAAGATGATGTCGAAATTGCATTAGCTCAGGTGTCAGAGACTCGTCAGGACGTTTCTCATACGCATACACACACGCATACCAGCGTTACCTGCTACCCGTCACGATCACTAAGCGAACCCGAGATCTCCGGGGGATGGGTAAGGCATCAGATAATAATCTCGTTATCGAACTACTAGTCCTTCCCGAACGTGTGGTTGGCTGAAGCTCGAGACTCACTCCTAACAAAGCAACCAACCATATAGCTCGGGGCGCCACATGACCCAGATCCGTTCATGGACAGGTTACTACAACGTTCAACGAGCCTCCCCAGTCACAAGTGTAAGCTCACTATCGTCGCGGTGGAGAACGGGCCAATCCGGGGCAAACGTTCCATCATCGACGGTACGTCCGATGGTGTCCGATGCTATCCAGGTGCGGCCTTTGTTGCCTTTGCCACTATGAGCCTCCTCCTCATAATGACTTGCGAAATCTGTATTACTTGAAGCGTCTCTATTGAATTCCTACTGTTTCCGTAGATAAGTCCGTAAAAGCACAACTACCTCCATCTCTGCTTATCCTCATTCCAAATCTTAACCCTTAACAACTATCATATCATCAAAATCCCAATTTCCCAAATTCAATAAAAATCAAAATGAGGCTTATCATCCGCGACGATTCCGAGACTGCCAGCGCCTATGTAGCTAATTACATCATCGAGAGAATCCGACATTTCAATCCTACCCCGGCACATCCCTTTGTCCTTGGCCTACCTACCGGTTCAAGCCCGCTTGGTGTATACAAGATTTTAGTTGAGCAGTACAAGGCTGGAAATGTAAGTGTGAGGTGGACGAATATTTCGAGCTATAACTGACTAGTTTAATTTAGATCTCCTTCGAAAATGTCGTCACCTTCAACATGGTATGGGATAATATTAATCTATTCCCTTCTATGAGCGCCTCTGCAACTGCCCAAATACTAATCAATACCCGGAATAGGACGAGTATGTCGGTATCCCTCGAGACCATCCCGAGAGTTACCACTCTTTCATGTGGAAGAACTTCTTCTCTCATGTCAACGTGAACCCAAACAATGTCCACATTCTCAACGGCAACAACCCAAATCTTGAAGCAGAATGTGTTGAGTACGAGGCTAAGATCAAGCGTGCCGGCGGCATAGACTTGTTCTTGGGTGGAATTGGAGAAGACGGGCACATCGCCTTCAATGAACCCGGCTCTAGTTTAGCCTCGCGGACTCGTGTCAAGACGCTAGCCTATGATACTATTCTCGCCAACTCTCGCTTCTTCGAGAACGACATTGACAAGGTCCCTAAAATGGCCTTGACAGTTGGTGTCCAAACCGTTCTCGAAGCGCGAGAGGTTGTCGTCATTATTCTTGGTGCCCGCAAGGCTCTCGCTCTGCAGAAGTGCATTGAGCAGGGCGTTAACCACATGTGGACACTATCGAGTCTCCAGTTACATCCTCACCCCATGATTGTGTGTGACGAGGATGCAACGTTGGAACTGCAAGTGAAGACTGTGAAGGTAAGCATATCTCCGATGTAAAGACTAGTGGCCGTCAGCTGATTAGTATTGTAGTACTTCAAGAGTATCGAGAAAGTCGCAAGAGAGCAGGGATTTGAGCAGATCTTGCCGTCAAGCATCAGAACTGGACCGGGACCAGTTCCTAAGACTGTAATCGACGAGGTTCAATCGCCTACAATCCTCGCACCGCAACCCATTACAACTCGTCTATTACGAGCGACGCCAGCAACTGAGTATCCGGTCCGGTCAGTATCTCCGGATCTAGTCCCGGACCGAATGGCGGACCGCGTCGGAATTCCTGACATCTCGAGGAGATTAACCCCGCAACCCGAGGCGCAACGAGTGGCTAGCGTCGGGGCGTAACGTGGCATTTTTTTCAACAGGATGGTGAATTTGTAGGATTATCGCATGACGGTGCTATGGTATGGTTTGAGTGAATAGGTATTCACGACAATTGAAATTGACGGTTTAGGATGAAAAAATTTGGAAGGTGATAGTAGGGAATGGATATCAATTACGAGCTAACCAGGAGGTAGACTCAGCTGGGTAGAGTACTTGCCAGAGTTGATTCAGTAGATAAGACGTACGCAGTAGATTCAGTTAGTTGAGTTGGCGGTTTATACCCATCTTCACGTGTCAAAAGAACGCGTGAGGCATACACATGTACATTCAAGATATGTACGATATGATAGATTTAGGATACCCAATATAGTTAAGATTTATTGTGTTGAGATATTTTACTTGTTTTTCGTCCGCTCGTCTTATGTGAAAGTCCCTGTAGTTAGCCGTAAGTGACCATGCTTTACCACTCAGCACGTATCAACATTCCGAATCCATCCTCCCGTCCGCAGCTAAATAGAAGCGACGGGTATCTACCTCGGTAGGTTGAGAAGAAGCGGTAAGTTATGTCGATTTTTCACGTATGAGCGTGCTATTCATATCAAAAGACGCCACTGTGTAGATGATAAATAGGCATTGATCTAAGTGAGACAATTTAATACCCGTGTCATACATGTGAAGTTCATAGCGCAAGGTCCCTTTAAATATCATATCTGACTTATCATATTAGATGGGGGGATCTCCCGTCCAGTCCCGCTATAAAACCATGGACAGCGGCATTGGAATAGATATTAGATAAGCCTTGTGGAGATCATCTTACCAAAACTGCCACTCGAGAGCTTCCTCTTTTGAGACCGTCAATGGTAGGCTACGGTTAAGCATGAGCCTTCTGGGAATAAATCCTGAATCACAAGACATATTACTCCATCGTCTATGATTCGCCGTTATACATACTACACAGCCTCTAATTCTAAGACATTTAAAATGAAAGGAGTAAGTTTTACCTATTTTCCATACGATGCACGATGGTGGAATTGACAGCTCCAGCCACCAAGCTGTAAGAAGCGGTGTTCTTACTAGGGATTACTGATAGGTACCTACCTACACGCCAAGATGCCTATCAAGATAGGGACGAATAGATTGGTTAGCCCTATATAATGCCAAGAGCCGAGAAGCCAATATTAGGGCTTCCATGAGCTTAGCTTTTGTCTCTATCACCTACACGTAACTAGCGACTTGGAACTTACATAGAATGGATTCTGGGATAAGAAACAATGTTACCTGTCTCATTTATCCTAAGGTCGGTCATGTCTGACGAACGACAACAGGAACGGGAACCTGCAGATGTAATTAATCATGTTTATAATTATCTCCTAATTGTATTCAGAGACCTGGGGAACGATTGGCCGGGGGGGAATAAATGAGGGGAAAGATCCATGATATCCAAATCTGCCATTAGGTCCAATGACGCTACTAAATGATCATTGGAGATACGATCATCCAACCCGCCTAACCAAGGAACTAGACCAGGTCAACCAACCTGCCAACTACCACCGATACTACCTAATCTATCCCCGCGTCCACTCATACACCCTTCCTATCTCTATTCTCGCGGAGGACTAAGGACTTGCCGAGGAAGCACCTATGGATCAGTACTGATCATATCGCCGATCCAATCGTGTGCCTTACCACTCCTAGCTACCCCTGGGGGCGCATGTGATGTTCTCGTCCATACCGCCATCGAATCTCAGCTCCATGATGTCAGGACGCCGCAGCTGATTGTATGGCGACTCAATATGGTTCTCTGTTCGCACAGACTATTTGGCAGCCTACGGTATCCGGCATCCGGATGTATACCAACTAACTTACCTGCCTAGGTAGATATGCAAGCTATGCAGGGTTCGACGGTAGGGACCTGTCCAATATGGCTGGTCCAGCTTCCCCCCAGCTTGTTTTTCCCTCTATTTGTTTGCTTCGCTGTGGCCTGTACGCAGCCATGGCCGTCGACCGTTGCATCCTTGACGGGGATAAGGGTCTTTCTAAAAGGTGTCTCGTGCCCTTTTCTTTCCTTTCTAGGTACGGGGAATAAATAAAGACTCGCTGCTGCCAAGTCTGGAGATAGGAAAAGATCTCCCCGAGCTTGATACTCTGTTCGCTCAGACATTAGGAACATCGGTTGGCTTTAGATAGTCAACTACTTCTGATCTCGTCGTCATCATGGCTCCGAAGTTTCCTACTAGCTTTCGAACGAGAGGAAGACCGTTCCTGGCTTTCTTCACGATCTTCTCGTTTTTTGTCCTGGGTGCGATATTCGCTGTTAAGATCGGTGGACCGGCGCCGCAACGCGGGTTCGATCTCTCACATCATGCGGCGCGGGCGAAAATCACGGAACCCAAGGTCAGGGCTGAGACGAAGGGCGATACATATCTGCTTGGCGTAGGGAAGGCCGATATCACGGGCCCCGTCGTGGAAATCAACTTCGCAGGTTACGCCGACCTTTCGCAAGTCGGCACCGGTCTTCGACAGCGAATCTTCTCGCGAGCGTTTATCGTCGGCGATGTCAACAACCCGGACGATCGGTTCGTGTACTTAGTCCTTGACGCGCAGTCCGGCGATACGGCTGTCAGCTTCGGTATCTTCGACGGGCTTGCTGCGCTAGGGGACGAATATTCTGTGTACAAGAGGGGGAATGTAGCTGTTACTGGAACGCACGCCCATTCGGGTCCTGGGGCCTGGTTTAATTACCTACTCCCCCAGGTCACCAGCTTAGGGTTTGACAAGCAGAGCTACCAAGCTATTGTCGACGGCGCGGTTCTGTCGATTCAGAGAGCTCATGAATCCTTGACCGAGGTAGGCGAAATGCTTTATATATTCATAGATGGTTTCGCATAGCTAATGTTCCTAATAGGGATATCTTGACTTTGGTATGATTCAAAGTGAAACTGTCTAAGAATAGGTCTCTAACCGTATGAACAGGGGCGGTGAACATCACGGACGGCAACCTTAGTCGAAGTCTATACGCCTACTTAGCTAACCCTGCCGAAGAACGAGCCCAGTATAGCGATTCGACCGATAAAGAAATGACCGTTCTTAGGTTCCAGCGCGCATCCGATGGCAAGAATATGGGAATCCTGACGTGGTATCCCGTCCACGGGACGTCGGTTTACCAAAACAGCACTCACGTAACCGGCGACAACAAAGGAGTCGCGGAGATCATGTTCGAGCAGGCTATGCAGGACGACGACACTGCCGCCGACGGATTCGTTGCCGGGTTTTCTCAGGCCAATGTTGGGGACACAACCCCTAACACCCTTGGTGCTTGGTGAGCCCAGACTCGCACAATTCTCAATTTCCTGACAGGGTATTAATATTGCTCCAAGGTGTGATGATGGATCTAGCCAAATGTGTAGCTTCGAAAACAGCACTTGCGCAAATGGCAAGTCGCAGGCTTGTCACGGCCGCGGACCCCTTTTCACCGAACTCGATCTCGGCATCGCAAGCTGCTACGAAATCGGAAAGCGCCAGTATGATGGTGCTCGATCAGTCTATGTGAGTCACTTATGCTTGTATCGCCATGATAACATTTAGTGCTTACTTCTCCCAATAGGACTCACTTGATTCATCTGGCACCGCAGTAGTCGGCTCAACAGTGAAGTCCTTCCACTATTACCACGATATGTCCTTCTGGAACTTCCAGCTCGACAACGGAACCGAAGTGCAGACGTGTCCGGCAGCCCTCGGATACTCCTTCGCCGCGGGCACAACCGACGGCCCCGGCGCCTTCGACTTCACACAAGCGGACTCCGGAGAGCCAAGCGCGAGCCCCGTATGGGAAGTCGTCAAGGACCTACTCCACGCCCCCACGCCCCAGCAACAGGCATGCCAGAACCCGAAGCCCGTGCTCCTCGACGTGGGCGAGATGACGGAACCGTACGCGTGGAGCCCGAACATCATCGACGTGCAACTGCTACGCGTCGGCCAATTCGTCATCATCATCAGCCCCAGCGAAGCAACGACGATGTCCGGGCGGCGATGGCGCGCCGCCATCAAATCGGCCGCAACCTCGGACATCACCGGGACCGACGCCGAGCCCAACGTCGTGCTAGGCGGGCCCGCGAACACGTACGCGCACTACCTGGCGACGCCCGAGGAGTACGGGATCCAGCGGTACGAGGGCGCCAGCACGCTGTTCGGCCAGTGGGAGTTGCCGGCGTACATCAACCTCACGGTCGGCGCGATCCAGTACATCGCGCACGACGCGACGACCTCGCCGGACCCCGGCCCCACGCCCCCCGATAACCGCAACACGAGCCTGAGCTTCATCACGGGCGTGGTGCAGGACAACGCGCCGCCGGGCAAGGCGTTCGGCGACGTGACGGCGCAGCCTGCGCCCGCGTACGCGCGAGGCGCCGTGGTCAACGCGACGTTCGTCGCGGCGAACCCGCGGAATAATTTACGGTTGGAGGGCACGTACGCCGCGATCGAGATGCAGGATTCGGCGACGGGGAACTGGACGCAGGTCCGCGACGATTCGGACTGGAGCCTCGTGTACACGTGGACGCGCACGGATACCGTGTTTGGGTATAGCAGCGTTACGATTAGTTGGGAGACGGAGGCGGATGCGCTGCCGGGTACGTATCGCACGAGGTATTATGGCGATAGTAAGGCGCTGATTGGGGGTGCTATTACGGCTTTTGAGGGGGTTAGTTCGGGGTATACGCTTTCTTGAGTAGTTAGGGGGGGGGAGATATGAGTGACGAGGGATGGGAATTGGGGGGAAAATAATGAGAGATGGGAATGCGATGAGTAATGTTTTATGTTAGTACCTAGGAGGGAGAATGTTATGTTTATAGCTAGCTACCTGCGGTTTATGAGGATGAGGATATCGCGGTTATGTATATGCTTAATAGACCTAATATTTGGTTGCTGCTGGAAGGAAGCTTAAAGCCCATGTCTCTGCGATTGGTAGCACATTCTGTTTCTTCCAAGGTTAATATGGATATTATTTTCATAGTTCTGGCTACGGTGAGCATTGCGTAGCCATTCGTTATACTATATATATAAAAGTACTCGGCGAGCAGCATCACGTCGTTACACCTATATACCCGTACACGCCATCACGCCGGCGGCCGCTTAACAGTCAGCTTGAAAGGCTTCTTCAGCCGATCCATCGGCGTGATCCCGTTCCGCCCCAGCTTATCCGGCCGCTGTATGCCGCCGCCGCCCCTCCACCCGACCTTCGGCCCGCAGTCCACCGTCGTCGCGTGGAAGCTTTTAGCCGGGCGCGTCGGCTCCTCCGGGGGCTCCGCGTTCTCCTTCTCCGCCTCCGCGCCGCCCGGCTTTCCTCCTTCTTCCTCTGCCTGCGGCTTGGTGGGCGAGCTGGAGAAGCAGGAGTACTGTTTTGGTTTGGACGGCGCTTGTTGCTGTTGGAAAGTAGTTGTTTGTTGGGTAGGGGTGTAGGTTGCGGTTGGCCTGGTCGAGAGCTTCGAGGAGCCTAGTCTGTGGTTTGCGAGGTCGGGAGAGATGGTGGGAGCTGGCTTTGCGGGCTGGAGATCGGTGAGTGATGAAGGTAGGGAAAAGTGCCTTGCCGGTTGGCCGCGGCCTCGCGGGATATTGTAGGGGCGACGTGCGTTTGTTAGATTTGAGGGGGCGGGTGGTAGGATTTCGTCGGCTTGCTTAGATTTGTCATGATTCGTTATGCCATATCCGTACCCTATTAGACTTCTCTGAGAAGGAGCTCGGTTGGTTGGGGGCCTTCTCGTTGCCGCCCCCTGAGGTTTTGGGGCTGGTTTGGCTGCTTCGGCAGCAGTGACATTCGCGTAATGAGCCCCAGCCGTCGTGAAACCCGATTGTGACGGAGGCTGTGGTACTGTGAATGAAGCAGACCTCTGCATTGTCGTTTGGTAAGGGGCTGCCCAGCCTTCGACCGATTCTTCGGCCACCTTCACACTAGGGTGACTAATTTTTTGCCGTTTATTCTGCCCTGGACGCTGGCCGAACCCGTGGCTGTTCGCGGTATTTGCAGATTCTTCCTCATTCTTGTTTGGATCGACCGCGAAAACGTTATCCTCCACCGCAGTCATCGCGGGTATATCTTTGTAGATAGCGTCTTCTGGAGGGAGTTTTCTCTGTAGTATCCTGGCTATTTCCATCATCACTGATCGATCAAAGGATGGTCCCCTTTTGAGGAAGGTCGAAGACGAGAGACCCTCGACAAATCGAGATACTTTAGTATTGTCTTTACTACCCATAGTGTTTTGAGGGCAGCTCAAGTAAAGCAGGGCTTGAGCACGAGTCATTGCCACATAGAGGAGGCGTCGCTCCTCATTCTCGTCCTCGGATCGCAAATGCGGGATAGATCCATCGTAAACCGCAGGAATGAAGACGACAGGCCACTCTAGGCCTTTTGCAGCATGTATCGTAGACACCGTAACTTGAGGTTTTGCTTCCTTGTCTTTTTCGTCAGTCTGCTTATCAGACGCCAGCGAAACGTTTGCCAAGAATCGCGCCAATACGTCGTCATCCGGCATCTGTGCACCATCTTCGAGAATTGGAAGTAGATCTTCTTCTGGCTTATCCTGATGCGTGAACTCTTTGGCTAAGTTCACAAATTCCTCGACATTTGCCCATCGTAATTCATACCCCGGGCCATGCGCCTCTTCCAAGTGTTTCTCGAATTGCAGGTCTTTGAGTAGCAGCATGATGATTTCGACCAAGTCAGAGGGATCACCCTTCTCTGGTCGTAGTTTACTTCGCAAATGGTTGATTAATCTGAATAGGCCTCCGCTGATCTTCTGTTCTGTTTGCTTTCTAATAGTCGTCGTTGCTTTTCGGTCGCCTTTAAAGTGCTTCTCAAGTAATTGCCAGAGGCTCATGGCATTGCGTTCAGCTTCCTCTAGCAGAGATGTAATTGTGACATCGCCAACACCTCGCTTCGGAACGTTTATAATACGAGCGAGAGCATCGTTATTATCGGGCTGATGGATGACCCGTAAATAGTCCAAGATTGTCTTGATCTCAGCCCGATCGTAGAACTTGAAACCACCTACCATCCTGTAAGGTATACCTTCTCTCCCAAGAGCGGACTCAATGTGTCTCGATAACGAGGCAGACCGAAGCAATATAGCGATGTCGTCAGATTTAACCATGTTCCCAGACATCATCTTTACCCGCTTGATCTCGGAAACAATCCACTCTGCTTCAGCCATAGGGGTTTTCAGCATTCGAAGGACGGGCCGAGTACCCCTAGCATGAATTGGCAACAAGGCTTTCTTGTATCTGTCTTTATCTTGTTGGATGACCTTCAAAGATACGTCAAGAATGGAGCTCGACGATCTATAGTTCTCTTCAAGGGATATTTCGTCGGTGCCGGGAAAATCTTGAAGTAGGCGATGGAGATTTCTTATCTCTGCCGACCGCCAACCGTAGATGCTCTGGTCCGGATCACCAACTATCGTTATCCGCCGATTCTTCTGGGCGAAAAGTTTCATCAGATCATACTGAACCCCGTTTGTATCTTGGTACTCGTCAATCAAGACAGTCTGGATGTTCTGGACACAGTCGGGACATTGACGAAGCAGCTCGACGCAACGAACAAGAAGATCATCGTAGTCGAGCAGATTCGATCGCTCCAGATGGGATTGATAATCTTGGAAACATTCTTCCATCATTTGAGACTTTATGTCCTTGCCGTCTTTAGCCTTGACAGGCTTCTCGTCGGAAGTTCCCTTTGCTTTACGCTTACTGATCCAAGCACGAGCAGCAGCAGGATCGACCTGAACTTCCAATCTCTTGCATATCCGCTTGATAATGGCCCTAGAATCGGAGTCGTCGGCGATACCGAACTTGGGATCCAACCCAATACGTTTGCCATATATAGCCAGATATTTGCGAGCAATGCTGTGAAAAGTCCCAAGAACGATGCTCTTCTCGCGCCCGTCTCCGAGTGCCTGACCGAGACGCAGTTTCATCTCATTGGCTGCCTTGACGGTAAACGTCGCGACAATAACGTCGCGTGGCCGGATACCAACATGGTCAATTAGCCAAACGACTCGAGATGTGAGCGTGTGAGTCTTGCCGCTTCCAGGACCAGCCAATATAGCGACAGTCGATGCTTGAGAGTTGACAGCACGAGACTGTGCCCGATTTAATGATTTGAATAAGTCATTGTTATTGCAGCCAGACATGGCTACAGATTCTCGATCATTGAGAAAACAATTTATAGGAATTATGGCCGACCATCAGCAAATTAATGATTCGCCATCATATTTGGGTCAACATCTACGAATTGTATATTATAGCAGGGTTGAGAAGTAGGCAGACGCGTGCTTGGTTACAAGGGCTGCAAGGGTAAGGTAGTAAGACGCGACAGCTGTTTTTGGATCGGGCATTTTAAGGACCGACATGTCACTTGCAGAGCGCCAGGTCAGGTGACCAACTACTTAATTCCATTTGACACTCAGGATAGGGCGTAAAAATGACCTCATTAATTCATACTATGTTATTAATAGCAATTTCAAGTAAAGAACAAACCATTATCGCATCGTTTTAACTTTATAAATGTATCTAAATATAATAAAGTTTGCTGTTCCAAAGGATGTGTAACTCGAATTCAGATCCAATGAAATCAATTGACGGCTTACGTGTTCAGGCACGGGTCGCAGAGGGGTAAGAACCGAAAAAGTCCCGGAGCCGAAATCATCCTCTCTCGCATTTGATCGAATTCATATTCGAAACAACCAACCAATCCTAGCGAGCTAATTCTAGATACCCCCCAAAAAATCCTAGCTTCAAAGGATGGGGTTTCTCGAAGATTTAATAGCGATCTTAAGAAACATCGCGCATAACAATGTGATTTCGTTGCCGCCGCTCACCTTTCGATCACTCGCATTTGTCGGTATTGTCGGCATCGTCGGCAATAAGGGATATTTTCATTTTTAGTGTCGTTTTTGCGCATCACTTCACAAATAATTGCGAAGTCACATCGGTAGAGTCGTCATCACTAAGATCTGATATGTTGAGGATGTGACGAGATTAAAAGGGGAATGGCTAGCACCTTTTTATCAACGTCCTTTAAGGCCTTGTCACCATGGTTAGGGCAAACAATCACCATTTTCCTCGCTAGTGCCAACAGAACGTCGTACCTAGTCGGGGGTTCAACCACGCCTCTGTCGGTAGAGATGATTCTGGCCAATCGGTGGCTGTAGAGGCAGAGTGACCTGCAGAAGCGCAGGGGGGAGAGGTGAGGGTGGCGGCGGGGTCGCTGATGTTGTGGAAGTCGACCGCCAATCATGTCCGGTTCTCGGGTAGTTGGCGCTTAACTCCCTGTCGTTCCGATATCCTTATCCAACCAGAATTGGAAGAACGGGATCAACCACTGCCATCCGCAAAGATGAATTTGGCAATCTATCACCCTCAGTGGGCGTTCTCCCTGGGGGCCAGTCATGCATGGAGCCAAGTACCTAGAAGGGGCCGACGAGTGAGAGGCCATTTCACACCACAAGCGCCAATGTTCGCACGTTAGCATCGCGGATTTCGGCCCACTTCGACACACTGCCGAACATCACCAGCCGCTATATACCCTTTGTCCTCCCGACTTTGTGTCTGACCTTGCCAAATCTCCATCAGGATGTGTTTCGATTGATCCGTCAGGAGGTTTGACTAAGGAGTCGGGATATAGTATTTTTCATGACGATCCGGGTCACACACAATGCAACTGGTGCTTTATAGAAAGCATTCCTCGCTTCAGTTTGTGCTACTTCTGTTTTTCTCAGCATTCACTCCTTTTTGTTCTGCTAGTGTAATACAAGACCTTCATAGCAACTACTACGATCCGCCTCCATCAGCGGAAGACGGTCCTCCACTCTCGGCTGGAGCCTTGAGGAATACAGCTTACCTTCCCGCGCAGATTGGTGGTATAGTCGGATCGTATGCTCTTTCGCTCGTTGTAGTCGCAGCAATCCTTCTTATCTTAGCGAAGAAACGCCGCGAGCATCTGTCGGCGGGAGAAGAAGACCTTGACGGCCAATATCCATATTCATTCGCTTTTCCCCCGCCTCAACTCGGAGGCGCCCAAAATCCTCAATACGGCCTTGATCCGCCAAAATCGCCTATCAAGAATTTCTCGTACCCGACTCCGCCAACGCCATTGACCGCGACAGGGCCGACAAGTCCCTACATTGTTCCATCGCTTCATTCCACGAGCACTCTTGGTGTTAACCCGTTGGTCGATCCACGAGTCGTTGCAGCAGACCGCGAAATGGCGCAACAACAACTAGAAGAGATGTACAGGCTCGTAATGGAGCAAGAGGCCGCCAAGGAGGCAGGCGTCACTTTGGACCAACCTCCAGCACCATTATCGTCCCAACAGCAACCTCCAAAGCAGGGGATCTTAAAGAGGGGCAAAAATAAGCCGGCGAACCTCGACCTACAGGCTGGAGCAGAGAAGCCTCAGTCCAGAGCCTCTTCGATTTTGTCCGCTTTCAAATCGCCTCGAAAGAAGAATGTAAAGGGTATCAGCATCTCGTCGCCGATCATGACACCGATGTCAGGTACCTTTCCGCGCCATGAGGAAGAGGAAATGAGCTCAATTCCTCCTCGTCATTACGCACCCGCATCCCCGCCCCCGGTTCCGACAGACCAGATTCCTTATGCACGGGCCAGTAGGCAGCACCCATCAGTGGCACCCATCACTCCCCCGGATATCTCGCCGGAGAGCACGCAAAGTATTGATGAGCGTCTGGGCCATATGCGCAACAACTCGCAATATACAGACCCTGACCCTGTCTCTGCCATCTCCGCTGTTTCCGATCGTTCCACTGCACCGCTCGTTGGTCTACCTTCGTCGCCAAAGCCAGGCGTCAACAGGTTCCCTTCCCTACCAGCGTCTCCGAAGCCGGGTGCTACATTCCCAACTTCACCCCGGTCAGAGCAGTCTTTCTCACGTCCCAATGCACCATCAGCAGTTCGAACTGGTGGGACACTTCCGTTACGAGCTTACGAGCCTGCTCTTAGCTCTCCTTCGGCACAGACGACCAAGCAGACAACGTTTGAAAGGACGACACCTCTGTCGCCATCAGGATTACGGACTCCCTGGACGGGCGCGCCAGTGCCTTATACCCCGTACCAGCCATTCTCGCCTGTGGTCCCCATCACACCATCGCTAGTGACCAAAGCAGACCGAAAGAGGATGAAGCAGTTACAACCCAAGACGCCAACGATGGAGATGGTGAAGAGCGACGACGAAATGTGGTAGGCTTGGGTTACGTGTTTATGGGGTTGCAATGATCACAATGAAAGGTCTCATAGGGCTCATCCGGCATTGGGCCTGTTTCCCGGCGTTTTTTATATGGGCTCGTGTTTCAAAATCTGATGAATGACGTAGAGGGATGAGAGGGATATGGGATATTCCTACTTTCGGCCTCGAAGCTTTTTACTTGTCTATAATTCTATTATACCATTTTGAGAAACTCTTGAAGGAGTTAATTTAACGTTGGAGTTTCAATTATACTTCTCAACCAATGGTTGCTTCTCTTCTCTATCGGGGCTCGCCGTTGAATATTTGGCAAACTAGTCATGCAGTCTTACCCTATTGCTCTCTTCGCGTTTTGAATCCGCGGATCTAAGATAGCGCCTGCATGTGACTATGTAGAGATCCAAGTGAGGCAAGCAGGGCAAGGCTATAATTGCTAGATTTGCTAGATTTTATAGGAACACGATAGACGGCATAACGGCAGACCAAACCGCTCCTCATCGATGTGGATCTAACAAGGACTAGTTGTTCCGCACACACTCATTCAGTGACGTTCTCGACGCCTGATTGGCCCAGGAAGACCTCGGATAGATGGGAAACCTGGTAAATAGCAACTACGGATCCAAGCCGTCCATTATCGATGACGACTGGTTTCTTATTGCCCAGCAAAGTAGGAGAGGATACTTAGGTCGGAAAGGTGTCGGTGTCGGTGGGAAGTGAAGTTGTAGTTGTACCAGACATTGGGACTATTAATCAATATAAGCAATATCGGTATAGCACTACGAAGCAGCCATCCGTCTACAATGATGAGTAAAAATCCCCTAAAAACCCTTGAAAGGTGACACAACCTTGGGAATATGACAATATGTATGTATTTTATCGCCTGTCTACCGGCCAAGGGGTACGGACGTAATCGGTGCGTACCCGAAAAACCTAGGTTAGGATCTCCCCTGGTCCTTACCTGGGGCTGCCTGGTCGCTTTTTCCTTAGTGTTCTAAGTTCTTGTGCTACATATGCGTACTATGTAGAGTAATTGCTCGAGCAAAGTGGGCAAGAGTGGGAAAAGTGGCTGGAACTCCTCGAAATTGGAGAGTTATCAGTGGCTAGTGACACGTGGGTCGTAGCCTCCCCACCAATAGAACGGTCTCGACGGCTAAGCCGAAGATCTTATATGTAGCAGGCAAGACTTGCAAGAGTCGCAAGCCCCATATTAATCAAATATGGTCCGAGCGTTTCGATTAAGCCCGATCGATATCTAATCCGCACCCATGATTCTTCTAACTAAACTCATCCACCCATCGTATGATTCTCTCAAGCCCTCAAGCCTCCATCAAGAAATCCCCCGTCTTTTGCACTCTCGCAATTGGATTTTTCGCGCCTCGTTGACACTCCCGCCTATCGGATTCCAAGATCTCGGAAGAGCCAAATCTCCAATATCGCCGTGTGAGTGCGACGGAAGACAAGGTGTCTACCTAACAAACAGCTTGTTGCTACTGTCGTCCCCTTCCCTTCGGGCCTGGTTGAGAGATTAGGAAGGATACGGCGGTAGAGTGAACGACGAGGGCGTTGGCTTAGCAAATAAGGGGAAAAAAAGCAAAGCAGAGTCAAGCAGAGTCGAGCAAAAGCAGAAGCAAAATTGACGTCTACCTATTACCTACCACACCTACTACAACATACACATACACACACACATTACAGTAGTGGGCATTACATCCAATACATCCAATACGTCCAATACCTATTCCTATACACATCCATACACATCCTTACCATCCTTACTCTGCACCTCTACACATTGAACACACACTTGCCTATTCTTCCTAGTTACATACGCCATACGCCATTCGTACTAATCTAGGGAACTCCTCTCTTCTTCCCCTTCTCCGCCCAATCTCAAAGCAGCCAGGTCCACGGGTATTATTTTTTTTAAACGGGGGTCTTGGCGTCACAATAGCAAGCTTTTCGCTTTTCGTCAATTCTTTTCCATTTCGCCCGTCCCTGTTTCACGCTTTTCCCATACACATACCCGATCAACCTGGGAAATTTGTTGTCGCGAAATCTACTTTCCTAAAATTACAACCACCTTTTACTCTCACTTCCTGTCGCCTTCCCCATCCAGGCTTTATATAATCGACAATCGATTGCGTGAGCCCACCGGCCAACCAACCATTTCCTATTCATCCATAGATACTATTCTGGCCCTTTACCATTCTTGGCCGTACGATCAGGTCATCAGCGACGATTACCCCCCTGGTCTGTTCCCGCCTTATGCAAACCCCCTCCTTTCGCTTGTTCTGACCTGGGCTGCCCGGATTGTCTGGAAGTGAGCGGCTGAAGGAACTTGCTGTGGTGCCTGCTGATGTCGAACCATATTTGCATCTCATGATCGTACCAGCACCAGTGCCACCAAGATGACCGATCAGCAAGAAGCCTCCGACCTTTTTGGTTTGGATGAGAACGGCCCGTATTACCAAGATAACAACCCGAGCAACGGGGACGCAACGTTGACCGAATCTAACGCCGCCAACCAACAGTTTTACAACGACCCTAATTGGACCTTCCAAGACACTCCTCCATACGACACATATGACACTAATAACTTCTACCAAGATGATTGGAATTTAGGCCCGCAGTCAGAACTGGAACATGGCTTACCGTCGCAACCTCAGGTGTCGGCGCCGCAGCAATCCGCTGCGGCCGTCCCGTCTTCCATCGCCGCCGGTCCGTCAAATCCGCTCCCGACAGCAGGTCCAATGAGAGCCACCACGACGCTTCAGGTTCGACCGAACGGTGCTGGCCCGCGAGGGCTGACCGAGGAGCAGCGGCAAAAACTACAAAGCATTGCTATGCCTGCGCAAATTCACTACCGGTCCCCCAAGAGCGAAGCAAGTCCCGATTCCGCTGGCCCGGTGTACAAGTCCTCTTCCATATCGTCGCCCGAAGATCAGAGCCTGTCATCTAAATCAAATAGCCGTAAACGAAAGTCCTCGATAGATGTTGATGACGACGATGACGACGACTTAGATGGCCACCAACCGGTGAAGAAAACGGCGCATAACATGATTGAAAAGAGGTATCGCACTAATCTCAACGACAAAATAGCGGCTTTAAGGGACAGTGTACCGAGTCTGCGTATCATGTCAAAGAGCGCTCGAGGAGAGGACACGACGGAAGATAGGGAGGAGTTGCACGGGTTGACACCCGCGCATAAGCTAAACAAGGCAACAGTACGTCTCCTATCACATTATATCAAGTTGCCGTTATGACTAAACTATATACAGGTTTTAAGCAAAGCTACCGAATATATTCGACATTTGGAGAAAAGAAATATCCGGCTTATCGACGAGAACGCGGCCATGTCGCAACGGATAGCTGCCTTTGAGAAGCTGTTTATGGCCGGTGCGATGAATGGAGCAGTTAGCCCTCTACAACAGGGAACACCGTCTACGCCTATACAATACTCGCACGAGCCCAATGGCTACGCGAACTCTGCTATGAACACCCCGGGCCGGCCGGATCCCCAGGGCATGATCCAAGTTCCCGATGACATGAAACGTATTATCGCCGCCCAGTTAGCGACAAATCAACCATATCCGGTACCGCAACAACCTTTCAGAGGTAACCCTACGATGATACGTCAACAACAAATCCAGCCTCAGCAGCACCACATGCAGGCAAGAGGCTGGCAGAATGCTGGTCCCTACTTCGGAAAGTTGATGGTTGGTTCTTTAGCAGGGTTGATGCTTTTGGAAGCTGCTCGGGAGAACGAGCAAAGCAATGAGACACCGGAAGGTCGCGGACTTTTCGCCCTCCCCATACAGCTCCTCAGGTTCCTCACGTCTTCGCTGAGTGTTGATTTCATGGGCTATAGCATTCACGGTACTCAGGTGTTATACTCGATTAGGATCGTATTATTACTCTGCTGTCTTGGGTGGGTTTTCGTCTCTACACTCGTGGAGCGCAGGACACCCGGCATGGACAGTCTCAAACAAAAACAGGTGTCCTTAAAAGCGGTGCCGTCTTTAGCCTCGCCCATTCACGTTCGCCGTCAAGCGTGGCTCACTGCTATCCAGACAGTCTGGGTCCCGCGTCACAACTTCTTCCTCGAGGCTGCCGCTCTCTGCCTCAAGACGGCCAAGCTAAGCCTTCGGAATCTCATTGGAATCCATGGCTACCAGATGCTAACAGGCCTCACCGAAGATCAGGAACTTGCCCGTGTCAAGGCTTGGGCGATCGCGCTAGACGCTCAACTTGCCGGGGGAGATGTCGAGATCAGCAAGAGCCGGCTCACTTTAACACTGCTCGCTTCCGGAACCCTCCCCACAACCCCGCTACGACTAATGCTTAAAGCCCTTCATATCCGTGTCCTCTTATGGGAAGTTGGCCTCTCTGGTATGCAAATTGGTATCTTCAATACCTTGGCATCGAAACTAGCTAGGTCGAAATGGAACGAAGCGAAACAACTGCACAGACTCTTAACACAGCTTCGACGTGGTGGCCAAGAGCAATCTGATGACGATCTCCCGGATCATCTAGCCGCCCTTCTCGAACATGACTGCGACGCCGTCTTGAACCAAAGCATTGTCCAAAGAGTACACAACCTTGCTTGGAATCGCCCAACTGACCACAATGCTATTGGGATCATTGATGGCATGGATACCGTAGTAGATGATGTAGCAATCCGGTCGCCGATGGACGCAGTTGCGGCTTGGTGGTCCAATATCACGCTACAAGGTGCACTTACAAAGAGTCTCTTGACCAAGGAAGATGATGATCTAGAAGCAGTTCAGCAAGTCGAGGATGAAATATCCCTGGCCATCAGGACCGCTCCGATCGGATCCATCGCCCAAAACCGTGCCTTAGTTGCGCGCGCGTTGCTCGTCGAGGAGAAACGAAGTATGAACATTATGGCTGCGTTACAAGCAATTGGCCCCGTCACGCCGGTTCTCTCCGCGTCGAACAGTCCCGCCGGTAGTCCAACTCGCGGTACACCTTCACCACCACCTACCCCTCTCAAGTCTCTTCCGCCTTCTCTTGTTATGACCACAGAAATGCGCACTTCCCTTCTCTGTGCCATGGCCATCGCACATCTTCAGAAATTTTCTCCACCTGAGGAACCTGTTGACATCTACGGTGTGATTGATCAGATCCACCCCGTTAGCGACATGGGGTTACTTGGTTACACGGCAACCTTTAAGTTGATGGATAGACTTGCAAGCCACGAATTCGCAGCTGAAGCATGCAGTGACACGCTTGAGCGCCTTTCGGGCACACTAAGAATCTGGACCGGAAAAGATTGCGGGCTAGAGCCAGAAGTAAGACATCAGATGGTTGAACGATGTTTAGCCGTGACTCGTGGTGTTATGGGGATGAACCTTGACACCGACACCGGCTACGGAAGTAGTAAGTATTAATCCAATTTCATCACTACCTAATCTTATTACCGGCTTCAAGTCCTTTATCAAGCAATGAACTATGTATCGTCATAGCACCAACACCAACTGATTAATCAAGCTACAGTGAGCGAGAACGAGATCGAGTTAGAGAACTCAACCGATTCAAACGATTCGGAAATTGCAACTACGGGAAAACTCCCCGAGATCAAGATCGAAACAGACGTTGCTTGAATCTACTTAAATTTACGGCTCCAATTTCTATTCTTACATTTAATCGGGCTAAGTCCCAGCCAGTCTGGCGATACGAAGATCTACTTATATACCCCGCACATCGCCCATCCGTTCATAACCTAAACGACGGTTAGGGTATCATGGTTCGAATAGCGGGAGTCATGTATTGACGACATTGACGATTACTAATTCCACGTAGCTTACCACATTAACATTCTCCCACTCTACTACTACTTCTTTGCTACATATAACATTCAATTATCCCATCCTATCCTAACGCTACGTGCGGGATCGTTACATACCTATACATACAAATGAGGGACATGGTCCGGCTCAAAAAAATTATCGGGGCGTTCTGGGATTGGCGCGAACGTGCTTTGCGGTCCTACTGGTAGAATGGACAAACTGGGGGTTTGAACGTCGGCGCTTTTCGGAGACGATAGAGGAGGACCTGGGACTACTTGATGGATTTTACTTGTGCATCCGGCGCGCATCTCAGCGGCGCAACAGTACCGACGAAAATAGTATATAATTAAAGCAATTGCTTATTGCTGCATATCTGTCGCGTTCCAAGCAAATGAATGTTTGCAGACAGCGTCTCCAGCTCAAAGCTATAAAATCAGACCCGTTCGGAATGAATAAAGATATTATAAAAAGCAAACTTGAGATGCCAGAATGCAATGTGCTATCCCGTGTCCAACATATATTGACCACGCGCTTCGAGCTACCTACGAGCTTATCTATTCAGACGGTACCAAACAAGTGGTTATCTACTAGGTACTAGATCTCGATGCCTATACACAGAACAGCAACGAGGCAAACGGGAAAACTAGATCTGGTCATCTTCTCTTTCCACCTCTCAACCGTGCCGTGTCGTGCCACGTCGTGCCGTTTGCCGTTTAACAGGTAGGTAGGTAGGTAGATAGAGATTATAACACTGAGATGGAACATCGTATACGAAAAGTGAAATCCACGACAGAGCGACCTAGGCCGCGTTTTGGGCCACCTACCTACCTAGGTAAGTACCTACGTGCTTGCTGCTGCTGCTGCGCGTCACCGCCGCACGCCGTCTGCGCCTCGCACCCGCAGGTTGCCTTCGCGTGTCGCTTTCCGGTCCCGGAGCTTCGGGATGGGGGTAAGGGAGATGGGGAAGGCTGCCGGTGCAGAAAGAGGGTTCGGCTGTGTGGTTCTATAGGGCTCGTTTAGAGCTTATTAGCTAGCTGGATAACTAGATAACTTGGCAGGTAGGTAGCGAGGCAGGTAGGCGAGTATGGGCGCTCAGCCGCGAAGGTGCTTGAGATCGTGTTGAGGCGTGCATGCAGGCATGTATCTACCTATCTATATCTGTAGGTAGATGTTTTTGGGTATGTGAAATGCATGGGAAATATAGGTACATACCTAGTGCAAATAAGACTCATATAACCTGTTTCTTCCAACGCTCTCTGTCCCTTCGCCGTTGTACGTTGGAATAGATATCCATTCTTACCGTGTCCGTACAGATATACCTCCGCAGGTAGCTACTTACCTACCTAGGTAAGCAGGTAAGGTAACATATTCCGCTTAGGGCTTACCTCTCCGCACAGGAGCAGCAGCTAGAAGTATCTCGGTACCTAAATAGCTGGGTAGAACGGGTAACTGGATAGTAGCCGGATAGCTGGGTACTGGAGATCAACAGCAGGTGCCCCATCATTGCTCACCCCCACGAACAGCAGCCCACAGGTCTAACGACGCGAGCTTATGTGCATCATAGGTATGCATGTTTACATGGAGCATGGGTAATGGATACTCGGTGCCTTTCTCTGGCGGGGGAGGTTCTTACAGGCTGGCTTACTCAGCACTTATTATGTACCGCATTCTTCTTACTTGCCTACTGCTAGGTATGTATGTAGGTAGGTGGGCAGATAGCTCGAAGCACCGAGGAGGTGGAAACTTGGTATTCGGATTGGCGTTTCCTATTAAATACATATACTACCTAGGTGTGTATGTCACTAGTATGATACGATATGATACGGTATGGCATGCAGGACTCCCGTTCGTCGCTCTGCGCGAGCGGCCGCACAGAGAGCTACCTAGAGCTGGGGTAGCGAGACGCATTTTATATACCTAAACGGTGCTCACACACCGAGCTGACCGAGCACAAGACCCGAAGGATTGGCACTTCGAGCCGGGCGAGGCACGGTACTTATGTAGGGACCAACGAGGAGCTGTATCCCCTCGCCTCGGCACGTTGGCCTTTCTTGGTATAAGGCGATATTATGGAAGAGACGGTGTATGTAGGTATACTGGCAGATTGGGTATGGATGTACGTATGTATGTATTTGCCGTAAGCCGAAAGCCCCGAGATCTCGGGGGGGGGCGCGCGGGCGCGCGGTGTTGCCCCCTATCCAGCATTTTGGGACCGTTGCATGCAATAGGTAAATAAAGCCAAGACCTAGCTAGGTAACCTACATACACTAACATGTGTAGGTAGGCAAGAATGTAGAGTACAAGACGCCCTGTCCAGCGTGGAAAGACGGATATGTAACGTAGGCAGGCCAGCTCGTAATATCTAGCGAATGCAAAGCTGCAGCACACACATACATACATAATACCAAGAACGCGCCAGGAAGAGCCGGTAGCGAAACGCGTCGGCTTGGGTGGCTTGGCTGGATTTCTTGGGGTGTTCTTTCGACATGAACCCCGTTTCGACGCCCACGGGCATTAAACTGCGTTACATATACACTTCGCGCGAGGTCTCGACGCGGGGCCAGAACCTTGGCGGCTGTGAGCTCTTATACGCATGACGTATGTACGTGATATAATATATGTGTGTATATATGTATGTATAAATATGTAGGTAAGTACGTTTAAGTATGTGATATGCGTAGGTAGCTACCTATTTATTATGTATTATATGCAGCAGCCCATGTGAACTAGGCATGATCGGCGAATAGCTCTCGGGCAATTTTATCACTTTCTACGTACCTAGGTCATCAGCACGACATATGTTCGCGTTGTCATCGGGCGCTCGGGTAAGGCTGATTGACCTACCACGTACATAGATTCAGCAGGTATGTATGTATAACAGCTCTCATAACGTGGGACGGCGAACGACATACCTAAGGTAGGCTTGGGCGAGTATCACCACCTTAGCTATCCATCCACGAACGTAGGTAGATTGGCAGATAGGTAGACACCCCGGAATCATAATAGCGACAGGTACATAGCTAGGTAAGTAATGGAGACGAACGGAATTCCTAGCTCCGCCGAAGCTACCCACGTTCAACATTCCCCAACGGGAATTACAGAAGAGCTTGAGACGTCCCGTTCGAGATCATATGACGGGTCCCAGGACGCAGGTCGTCAGCTTCGTCTATGCGGTGTCACGGCAGTTACTGGCGGGGCACATGTCTGGCAATGTACCGCATAATCAAACCCAACGGCCGGGGCGCTGGGCAGGTGGGCGTGTGTGTATGGTTTGCGCCTCGACATCTTTCCAATTTCCACTGTATGTATTTCCGAGTTGACCGGCCTATAGCTACCTAGTCGGTATGTTGTGATAAGGGCACGCGCATCCAGCAGTTTGACAGAATGGAAAACCGGCAGGATCTTGCGTATAGGCACTAGGGAGAGGCGATGGGGCTAACTACGGGATCGCAGATGACCCGGCTTGCCTTGCCTCTGCAAGGTTGTTGAGAGTCATACCGAACTTGATAACCAATTTGAAGAAAGGTTCTTGGTATCGTGATAGGGTCGTTTGGGGGCGGAAATTTGTGGAATAGTGAAATAGCAGTCCGGAGATAATGGACGGGCGAATCGGCGTGAGTCAGCGCTGGCAAGGCTGCTGACAAATGCCCCTATCCATTTTGCATAGGTAGGTACCTAAACGTCCTGTAGGCAAAACAGGACGCCTCAACCTTCATGGCCACGCTATCGCGCTATCTTGACCGCCAGAAAGGCCAAAAAGCCTCGCTGCTCTTATTTACTGGCGATGCCGAATTACCACGTAGTATTTCGTATCGAGCCAATATAAGTTGCGTTAGGCTGCTTGGCTACTTGAGGCTCGGGGAATACGACAATTATGGTACGATGTATACGGTTTCGCCGGTAGCCTCTGGGTAGGACGGCGTCGAGAGCCGCGTATTGCGCAATTCTGAACATGGTTCGGGGATCTAAATGGTTCAAGAAGGAAGGTCGCTCAAGAGGCGAAAGTAACACTTCGATTTATTGGTCGCCTCGTAACCAACCATCAGTTCACCGCTTCAAGGTTCTGTCGTGATAGGTTAACCCTGTGTTCCATAGAATGTTATCTCATTCTCGAAGATACGCCTAAGTCTTTGGCGAGGAAGTGATTCGAATAGATAGAAACCTCCAAACTCCAAAATGCAGCCTCGTGGCTATGTAGGTATTTTAACTTTTCAGCCTCTCGTGGCTAATAACTTGGAAAATAACCTAGTCACGGCAATAATACACATCTGTCACCCGTTCATAGCTCCCCCTATTCATTGCCCCTTTTTAGTATACATGTGTGGCGCGTGCGAGCCACTTGTCACAGTCCAGCAAACCTTTACCTCCCTATCTTACAACCAACGGAGCAAACACTCCGCTTAACCCCTTAAACCTCGTTCGTCGATGTCAGACCGTATCCCGTCATTCTTCCGGTTTATCCTCGGATGGCTTATCCTCCGGTTCGATCGCCGCGATATACCTTAACTCCAGCTTGAAAGGGCCTTCCTGTGCGCCGAAGAAACTATCCAAAAAATCTCAGTAAGCGCGAACACGCAACGCGAGGCCTCCCAACCCGGGGAAAGAGACGAGATAAAACGCAAAAATAGGTAAACAAACCTTCGCATCAAGATCCCTATCCGCTTAATCCGATCCAAGCGCAAGGGCTCCGTATCTTTCACGGGCACGCCGCGGTACGTGGGCTTGAAGTCCTCCCAGCGCACGCTGACCTCGCCGTCGACGGGCGGCACGAAGTCGAACTCCCAGCTGACGGTGCTGCTGCTGCTGCTGCTGCTACTGCTCTCCTCGCGCGCGTCCGCCCCCGAGCCCTTCGGCGGCGGCGGCACCTCGTCCTTGACCACGAGCGTGTATCTCTTGGCGTCGGCCTTGCCGACGCCGAGCCGCAGGCCCTGGTAGTCGAACAGGTCCCAGCTCTGCGGGTCGACGGTGCGCTGGGCGGCGAACCCGGCGCCCTTGAGGGTGCTGATGTCCAGCGTGCCGTGGAACGTGACCGTGTTTGACTCCGGCGAGCACTCTAGGTAGCTCTTGCTCTTGCCGCCGCGGACGCGGTCGTCTGAGGAGCTCCATGCGTTCTCGTTCCATGATCTTTGGTAGGCGTTGTTAGTAAGTAAGTACTGTACTATACCGGGATACGGGATAAGGGGCACTTTTGAATTCGAAAGATAGGGGTTAACTCACTTATATCCGCCGAATAGGTAGAAATTAGGTTCGCTCGTGGCCATGATGTATTGATATGTGTTAAAGATGTCAAAACCGCGCAGATGATTCTTTTTTGAGCCTCAGTCTTGTATTTAAGTTCAAGCGTTGGGACTCGGTAACTTTAGAAGCCCCTTTATAACGCTAAAATAAAAAGGGGGGGGCGAAATTTTAAGTTTCAGGGGACAGGTAAGGATATATGAATATGGTTATTGTTAAATGTATTGGTAAACTAATTAGAGGGTAAGAAGATCTCAGAGACCCTTGATGATGAAATTGAATATTTGACAGTAGCGAACATGCTCGGAGACGAAAATCTCGAGCAGATCATACATCGCTCGGTTGAAGCTTGAGCTTTGAGATCCACGGTACCGGAGCGGAGGTCAGTGCCAACGTAACCTTGCTCAATGCCAAGCTTCGTCACGAAAGGGGCTACCTAGATAGCCTGTATCCGGGTAATCGGGTTGGCGTATGTTATCGTTGATTGTTGTCGGGGGACGAAGAGAGAAAGCGAGCTGCGGAATTGACAACTTTAATTATCCCGATAGGTATATGCGCCAGCCCCTTTTAACCCTTTTGTCGATGTTGACTCCAATGTTGTATGTTAGTTTATGTAAATGGATACTTTCCAACAACTCGTTTGCAGTGGAGATAATCTATGTATGTGCTAATGTCTGTGCCGCTTTCGACGTAATGTGTAATGTCCCATCTGGTCGGGGACGCGCCCCTAGCCGCGGATAGGTTCGCAAGCTTGTAATGTGGGGCTATAACGTAGTACTTAGTGTAGGTATACCACGACCCGAGCGACCCAAGTAAGTAAATGTGGCTACGAACGGACATAAGCCACTCTCTGTTTCTAGTCGTCCGTCGATGAGGTCACTTATATATCACTTCCATTTACAGAGTTTGGTCGCCGACCCTTATCTCCCCCTTATCTCCATTGCTTATTCCCCCTTTATGTATGGACTTAATCATGTACGATGATGCTGCTTTCCGCTTCATTGTCTGTGTCACCCCATACCGCCGAAGGCAATTCTTCTGGTGATCGTGCCCTTCCACTTCGGTCGAATTACCACGATCCGACATGTATGCTGTCTCAGATCACCCTGTTCCGGGAAGGTGGAAGCGTGAGCAGATCAGTACTCCGACTGAGTGGGATTATGTAGACGGTCCATCTGTCCAACCGACCAACAATAATGTTATCTTTATGATTAGCTATCTCCAGTTACGGTTTATCAGTTTATCTTCCCTTCACCTCGCTCAAATCAGTAAAAGCTTATTACATACAACACATCCGTATTATCAATATAAAATGCAGCCTACAGCACTACGACAATCTATTCCGCCGAACCCGATTCCGATTATAACAGGATAATCGGACTTTAGGGACCCGGCGCATTCTCGAAATCCTCCTTGCGAGGTAGAGATCCTTCCGACGAACTTAAAAAGTCTTAAAAAAAACTACACACGCCCTTTTCCCCCATCCTTCGCGCCGAATATGCGCAGGTACGGTCTCCGGACCAATTCCATAGTCCGAGTCACGAAATTTCCTCCACACATGCGGCGCATTGGTGAGTGGGAAAATGCAGGCTCGCGGGTTGCGAACAGGCACGGGTCTCACAATGATATACTCGTTTTATTGACGGAGAGTCTGGGTCATGTGGCGGCCTTCAGCTATGAAATTTTGCGCCTCGCTTTATAGAGCGGAGTTTCTTCTTACGACTCCGTTCGACGCTATGAAACGTCAAAGTAAGTAGGCTTCGAACTGTAAAATAGAATTCCGTGGCTTGCGCAGGTCCAAACCAAGATTCGATATCCCACGCCCCCCTAACCCGAGGTTTATTCGATGGATCCTTTCTTGGCGTTAGTTACTACCAAATAGCAAGCTAACAGGCTAATAGAGGCAGAGAGGCAGAAATATGGATATCGTTCGAATTTTTCAATGGTCGGGCCCCCAATTTATTCATTTCTCAACATTTAAGTCTTTGAGGTTAGTGTGCGCGATCCGAGGAATACAATTGCGAAATTCGCAGGTTTCTAAATTTGTTGTGATGAATTGCCTATTGCCGGGTCTCTTGTTCTAACAGTGTCTTGGCATTACCTCAGTGAGGCTCTTGTCGTTGGTTAGTATCCTATATCCTGGCCCCAACGTTGTCTCTTCATCGCTGTTGTGCCGTGTGAATCACAATGTCGATAACACCAACAGCATACTCATGTATGATAACGGCCTTGTCAATACAACCTCGGTCGTGAAACCGGGTCTCATGGGTGGAAAGTGGAAAAATGAGGTTAGTACAAGACGCAGGAGCTCCGCGGCTGCCGCATTAATAGGTACCAACGTTCTATCGCGCCGTCGGGTACTCGAGAAGTCGAGACGTTGCAATGTGGCGCATAAAAACATTGGACCATGTGATGAGAAAAAAAAGAGATGAGCACTCGAATAACAGCTCCGCTCATACGGAGGTTACGGCGATATACTTTCGAAACTCCTTGAAATTCATGAATGACATCAATTCGTGCCAATCTCACTTCCATTCGCGTATCCACTGTAGTATTGATCCATATCTTAGCTCGGGAGAGCCCTGTAATGCATCATCTAACGGTTTGTATCCAACAAGAGTCCTTCTCGCAAATAAAAACCAAAGTGTAGAAAATATTTCGATATAAAAAAAAAGAGTAAAATAAACAACACCACGCTTTGCCCGGATATCCCTGAAACCCATATTTATGCACCGAAAAACATAGACGAATTTCCATTCGTCCCGAGTGCGTGGTATCTCGCGCCAGTCATTCCCGAGGTTCAAACATAACCCGTTCCCAATTCGCGTGATCCAATCCATGCTGCCCTCGTATGTGTCCGCCCGATGCCAATGCCCGTTTGCCCGTCACATCCGGGACTCTCCCTCACCCCTTCTCTATCGTGGTCCCCACTTTCTTCTTTCGCTTGCTATTACCGCTGCTGATGACCCAGGCCGGGGGACCCGGGCATCGAGAGCGGCGTAGTTGGGTAGTCGTAGCCGGACTCAGAGCCGTTCGCCGAGTGGTCGTACGAGTGTGTAAGCGGTGGGGTCTATAGCGACTCCGAATCAGCTACGTGGTTCTCGGCGGGAGTAAGCGCGCACATGACTCACATGAGGGTTCGAGTGGTCGTACGAATTTTGTGCGTGGACATCCAACCCAGGCACGAAGCCGTAGTTCACATACGACATGGACTCCTCAGGGGGATACGTTTCCCTCTTGATGGCGTCGTTGAAGTGCGTCATAGGGGGGAGGGTACAGGGGACGGCAGATGCCATATAGTTAGGGTATCCCTCGCTGGTAGTTATCGGGTGGTGGTACGGTTGCGCCGCGTTGTAGGGAGCTAGGACCGTCATCTCGTCCGGTGGGGGATACGCCGAATATCCCATAAACGAGGGCGAGTGAGACCGCTCTCGGTCGTCATATGTGTGGCCGAACAGAATCTCATCGTCGTGGTTCATAGGCGGGGTAAACTGAGGGGGTTGTACTGGCTTCTGAGGGGCCGAGGAAGACTTCTGCGATTTGGAAGAGCTCGTCTTCTTGGTAGTCCGGGTGTTGGACGGCGACTGCTTGTCACTTCCGGTGGGGGAGGACGCGTCGTCCGAAGTTCCTGCGCGCCTCTCGAGGTCTTCCAGACGCCTCTTCAACTTCTTGCCTACAGACATTGTTAGGACTACGCAGCTAATTGAGGGGGTTCCAAGCTAGGGCGCCACCTACGGTAGTTGCGCTGAGCAATTCGGTTCTGTATCCTCCGGCGTTCAGCGAGATCCGAGATCTTGGTCCAGTCCTCGTCAGGGTTGGCGGAGCTGGAGAATGCGCTACTTGTCCCGTGTGCTGAGTACTGCCTCGGAGCCGAGGCAGCTGGATATGTGTATTGGTGCTGTGACATGGCGTACATAGCTGTTGGAAATATATAGGAACGAGTTCCTAAGTCTGGGTAGACCCGTTTATATAGAGCTGGAAGCTATATACCACGAGAGTTTGTCTGACAAGCCCGAAGTCGAGAACGGTTGTACACTAGTGAGTATTTGCGTTGTTTGAAGAAGCTTAAAACACTTTGAGTCGAGATATGGTGGGACACATGAAGTTACTGAGGCGGGAGGAAGGAATCTAATATATACAAGTTGAAGGTTAGGTAGGTTCAGCCATCGAAGCCGCGTTCGAGCTGGAGAAAGGACCCCATCCTCGTCGAACCCGGTCCAAGTACGTAGATACGTAGATACGTACCTACTTCCCACGCAACCATGCGAGCATGGATGCACAGCTTTTGGACAGGGCATTCAAATGCGAGGAGGGCCTACCTGCAGTCCGCTCTTTCATTGCAACCTCGTTTGGGGTGGTAGGGAAAGTGTAAGGGGGGGTGTGTGTGTTGTAGCTTCCGCTTGGGACTTGGGACTTGGGACTGGGGACTGGGGCCAGTGCGAGAGACAGCTACGCCTCAAATCCGAGGGAAGGTATGGAAGGGTAGAAGAGGTAAGAGGTAGCGGCCGATCCATGTCCCTGGTGGAACTGTACGACGGTGCGTGCGGTACGTACTATGGCAGAAGAACATGTGCGGGACGGACAGGGGTTCATTTGGAAAAGAGGGGTGTGATATTTTAAAAGAACAATGATGGATGTACTGTACACTCTTTCGAGAGGAGCTGTGGACAGGGGTCGAGAGGAGGGGAAGACATTTGCGCAGTAGCGATTATTGGGACTTTGCTAAATTTGCCCGAATTCTGCGATCCAGATACAAAGTACCAAGCCTAACCTTACGAGGTAAAGCGCTTTTGATTTATCTCACTAAAAGCAGCGTCGCTAGCTCCCCTAGAAAACCCTTGTAAAGGTGCCTAGTCGTAGGGCTGGCTAGATATTTATATAGTACCTAAGGTTTATTAGCCTACGCACTTTATTCGTCAAAAGCGACGGATTTTACGAATGAACTAACCATGATAAGGAAAAGGTTCTTTAGATTCCGTTTTAGATTTCTTAAGCACAACTAAATCTTCATCCGAAATTGACCAATGAATTAAAAGATTGATAATGGATTCTAATAAACCTAACTACAAGAAGTAGGTTGTTTGTTTCCCTTAGAAGCGGCTAAGTAACTGTATCTACATAGCTATATTTTAGGTACCTTAAACATTTTAGCTTAAGGCGAAGCTGGACAGACAGACCGGGGCTCTCACTGGATCATGTCGCACTCCAGCAACTATTATTTGAATTTTTGGAGTTTTGTTGCGCTAGGGCGAATGCTATGATGAGTTCTCATTGATCGGTTTCTACGATGAGTCGAATTAGTGTCAAATGAGTCGATGAGTTCATTGCGTACTCCGACCACTCGCAGGCCAGCTTTCGATGGATTGCACGGGCAGTGATGAAATAGTGTAGGACATTTTCTAAACTCGGAGTCATCTCTCGCCTTTCGCTTTACATCCATGCCTCACGCACGTTTTGTAGGCCTTGCATAGTGCTCATATTTTGATGCTTTAACGGGAGTCGAAGCGGGACGGCGCACAATAGTCCAATAGGGAACTCGAAGTCTATGCTCCTTATCTTCATATTCCGGCTGCTGTCTTTGATAGCTATAATGCGCACAGAATTGCTAATCGCAGAAATGATTAGCGGCATAAAATTATCATGGCAGCTATGGGAGCTTTGGAGTCTGACACCGTCATGGCCGTGCCCCGATTTCCGAGTTCCGACGGACATCATATCATTCATAATTGTTGTCGTCATCACTACCCGCCTCTAACCTTTGTATATACTACATACACAACATACATAGCAATGCGCTAACGCCGTTCAGTGTAGGCTATGTAGGCATCAGGAGATCACACAAAATGCGAAAGCGACTTAAACGCCGTAAATAGGAATCTGAGTACAGAGGCGCTCTGTTGCTCAGTTGGAAGGATACGAACGATACGGCCCGAACGGTACACGAAGCCTCCCTGGCATGGAATTCTCTTGTACCAGGCAGACGGCATTCCATGAAGAAATCCCAAAGCCGTGGCTTGTGGAGATTCCCAAATGGTTGGTCTCCAGTCCTTCGAGAACATGCATAGAAGGGAGGCTTAGACATTTCGGAACGATATTCGGTAAGACGCCAAGCGATCAAGATCTGTGAAATGCCACCTAAACTGCTAGAATTCCGCCAAACACCTTACGTAAAGCGGTAAAGCAGTAAGACGATAAAAAAGGGGTTGGCGTTTTCTTGTTTCTGATTTTTTTTCTTTCTGTGTGATTGATATTTTCGGCCCCCAGCAAAATATATGTAGCAAATGGCAAATAAGAATGGGTAGGTGGAAAATGGAGGTGGAAGCGGAAGTGGTCCAAGTGGAAAAGGCGGTCCTAAGTTAGGAGCGACTAGGAACTAGCGACTCAAGGCCCTTTTTCTGATTCGCACGTGCTTTCTAATGATGCTATTTTTGGTGTGCGACCATTACAAAGCTAAGGTGGCTCCTCTGATTGGCTACCAGCTCCCCCCTTCTAGGGCTGCTAGGCTGCTAGTAAGACTTCGAATAACCTTCTCGAATAAAGCACCCCAGCTTGTTCCAGCAAACTCCAGGTCAACCATTTTCCGCTCTATCAATTCATCACCGCTCACCACCACAAAAAAAACATTTCACTAGCCTATTCACCTGCCCGGCTGGTGAGATTAATAGCGCCGATATAGTAACATCGTGGATACTAGACCCCAGATCTTATCAATAAGATCATGTCGCTCTTTGGAAAAGGGCTTTTTATTTTTATTCGAACTTCTGCAGGGTCCTTTCAAAAACGGGGTTACCATATCCCCACAAACTCATGTTGTGACGAATCATATTGATTATTAGGAAGCGAAATGTCAAAATTAGAAGTCAACTGCTCGTGACCTCGGGCGTTATTGGAATGTTCTATTCGGGAGAGATATTCAGGTCTACTCACACACAGTATCTTTATCATGACGGTTATGGTGCGTATGGCGCGTATGGCGTGTATGGCTAACCGGACAACTCGGACAAGTCCGACGAGTCGGCGGCGGCATTCCTAATGAGCCACAATAAACCTCATGGTCTCAGGTTTCCTTCTAACACACACACCTTCGAATCTACGACGAATGACAGGGGTATTCTTCAGGGCTGAGACTTGAGATTTCAAAGGGTCGGCGCATTCTCCAGAGCTTTTCTTCCGACGCCGTCTTGGCTTGAGCACCAATGAAGATCGCCCCCCTTTTTTGAATGATGTACCTATTCTCAGCCTCGTTAGGCCAACTTGATCATCTGAATAGCCATAGGTAATGAAATCCTTGCATGTGCCACATGGCTCGTTCAAACAATCACTTTGTATTGGTCTCCTAACAATAACCCGCTATCAATTCGGGTGCGTTCTCTCTTATCATTAGCCCACATAAAACTGTTTTGTATATGCCTCCACCGATAACTACAGCATCTTTTTTTAGGTCTACCTTTTCTTGTTGCATATTAGCTTGTTCCGTACTCAATCATACTCTTTTCTTAATGATCCATAGCTGTACCTAACATAGAATCAGGGGCATGGAAAAAGTAGGACCGATATCGTCTTTCATTGACTCTGCTGGCGCCAGCCTCGTGCTAAGCTTTCAACAGCTATGAAAGCCTAGCCCATTACCGAGCCGCCGTACATTGCATACAAATCCCATATGCTGTGTTGCCACCAGAGTTATATTATGCCCAAAATACATACGAACGGCCTATCTAGACCGCGATCACTGCGTTAGTAGGCTTTTTCTCGCATGATCAAACCCGTCATCTATATCTCCTACTCCCTGTCGCAAGGACTCCTTCGCCTTCGCGATGTTTCATTCTTAACTTAAGACGTGTCGACCCGTTCCGGGGTAAAATTAGCGTAATGTTAGTTTAATCTTAATCCTAAAGCCGCAACATGGATTCCATCACATTTAGTGTCGGCTTTAAGATATTATATCCAGGATATCTCGAATCTTTATACTAGTGTATATGATCACTGATTTCAACTGTGCGAGCTCTGGCCTACCGAGGTTGGGTGCTGACGCGAGAAGCTTGGATTTATCCCACAGAATCGGCAAATCGCGTGCTGCCGGTGCTTGCTGACACTACCCTTCCGCAGGCAACGGCACAACATAAGCCACCCATTACTTCGGGTCCTTGAGCCAACATAGAAGCCTTTTAAGGTTCTCACTCGCCAAGAACCCTTCCCCTTCTGCGGAGGCCATTACAGCGGCGGCAGGTACATGTACAACGTGCGTCTCACATAGCAGGACCGCTCACGGGATAGCAAATCAGAGGTCTCGCTCAGGTCACAACCGTTACCAACGATCTCAGTCAAGACAAGCCATGTGAGATCCCACCTGAGTCTCTCCCACCCGCCTTGTCCAGTTGAATTTGCCCTACTAAGCAGCACATATTCTGGGGAATACCTACTAGCGAGTGCAACTTCGGACAAAGGAGGCAAGTAATCGCGTTGAGATCGCTGGGGGGGAGGATTAATAATCGCTCGATTTCTCCACGTTCTGGATTCTGATACTCTTCATCTCGACGTCGATCTCAGCTGAACCCCCCTTATCTTAATAGCCGATCAGAGTACCCCCTGAATTTCTCGGGGCCGTGGTCGCAGATAGAGAGTTGCTTCATGCGACTGGTTGGTAATCTTAGCATGCATGAGTTGGAAATGTTGAAGGAAAAGCCACCCTAGCCGCATTAGGAAACATGTTAGATAGCCCTATGCTCTGCATATGGCGGCGACCCTACCTGCTGCGTGCTTCGCATGCGGGATCGACACCACTTGGCTCATGTCAAAGGGAAACGTCTAGGCTCTCCGAATTCTCCGGGAGTAGGTGTGCGAGCGTTCCCCGCCCTGAAGCCCCCGTCTCAGCATGGCTCAACGCGCGTCTTCCCCCCAGAGTTAGGAAGCTATGGACGAGTGGCGGATATGAAACCAGCAAATACGGCGGAATAGATGCCGACGCTAGTTCTAGGTATCTAGATAAGTTGCCTGTCTAGTCAGTTAGATGACCACTTGGGGA